GAAGCAAAGGGCCCTTTCAGTGGTGCTGGTGTCGTATCCTTCCTTCTGTGTGAGTCCCTGTTGTTGTTATCCGTGTCCCCTCTGCAGGCTGGCGCCACCAGCTCTTGAGCTCACCACCCAGTCGCCGGGCCCAAAGCGGAAACCTGTTCTCGAGGGTCGACGTGCTGCGCACTCCCGCTGAGAATCACCCACACCGGACGGCAGAGCTTCATGATCGAGGCCTCGGACACACAGACGCCCCCGCCGCTTCATTACTCGCCTTCGGTCAGCGATCACGATCGTTCTTCTACCCGCGAATCGACCCCCGTCAGCACTCCAGTCGGCTTTGGCGCTACTTCCTCGCGCAGACCACCTGGCAAGGGAAAGGATCCCTTTTCCTTGCAATCCAAGCCCGCAGATCGAGAGAACCGAACGGCGTATTTCGATTCAGCGCTTCTTGAGCCTGGTCACGACGAGAATACCAGCTTTCCGCTCTTCCCTTCATCACCCCCGGACGCCGGCACGATGAGCGGCCAAGCGGCACCCCTCGATATCGCCACTCGCCAGACGTCGGTGTCACCCCCAGGGCAGCAGGCTTCCAACCTGACGTCGGCTTTGCAGAAAGCCGCCAACAGCAACAATGAGCGCGTAGGCAGTATCTCCAGCGCAAGCGGTACCAACAACGGCGTCGCGCTCAAGACCGCCGCGGCGCGGAAAGACTCCTTGGGCGCAAGCATGGCGCAGTGGGGGAACGGCACCAAGCCTATCTCTGTGACGGGCTCAAATCGCGATAAACCACGTCGCGAATCCCTCGCTGGCAGTTTAGTCGGAGGAATGAGCTGGGGAGGTGTTTCTGTTGGGAGCTGGATTCGCGATGAGTATGTGTTCCCTGTCCCCCAAGGAGGAGACCCCGAATTTTCACATCGACTTCCTTCTGCTTCCCGTCACAATCTCCCCTTGATAAACAAGACACCTAGCCGAAGTTAGCGATTCTCGCGGACTCAGACACTAACTGGATGTGCAGCATTATTATGACAGGCACATCGCCCTTTACCTTTCAATCACCCTCGTTCCATTCTTCTTCATATCTGCCCAAGCTGGAAGCTAATTTTATGCGTGATTTCTCGTGTTGCGGAGTGACTCTTCCGACGCTTCATGACCTACTACAACATTACGAGGAGGCCCATGCACAGAAGTCTCCTCAGCCCGGCCAGCGCCACGATAGAGCCGCTATGGCGGCGGCTGCAGCAGCAGCGCATCAGCAGAATCAGCAATCGTCCGCCAACCAGGATCGCGGGATGCAAGCCGAGAGACCATCGAATAATCAACAGAAATTCAGTCAGAACCAAAGTCATCAGCATGGCCAAAACGATTCGAACGCCTTCTCGTCTACCCAGCACAATATGGATATGGATACCATTGACGACATGGAATTAGATGACGCCATGGGAGTGACCGATTCCACATCCTCGCAGATGTTTCCGTCGCAATCGCGGGATCCTACGCAAGGAGGTTTTGGTTCGCAGAACCAGAGGGTGCCGCAGCTGAATTTGAATATGCTTCAAGGACATCAGGGACTAAGGGGCTCACAGCCGGGTACACCGGTTACCACGAATCACACTCTTCTGCAGAACAACCCTACGGTGTCTTCGGTCAATACACCAACTCTGATGTCAAATCCTCTGCAGAATGCTCAATTCCGAAATACTCCAGATTCATCGGGTCCAGGAACGCCCGCAGAGCTGGACGACAGCGTTCTTGGCGGTCTTGGAGAGCTTTCGATGCAAAACAATACCATGTCTAGTCAAGGTCAATTCTCCGGGTTCGGCGGCAACAATGATATGGTTGACCTCTGCATCGACGAGCCGGCCAAGCGCTTGTTTAGCCCCAACGGCGGTTTTAACAATAATAATAACGCCACTTCCCAAGCGCACTTGAAACTTGGAAGCTCTCAGTACGGGCCCAATAGTGAAATTGCGCGGCGGATTCGGGAACAACAGTTGCTTGCCGGTGTTCCGGATACCGTCGGCCTACTCCCGAATGAAGAGCCTAAGCCGTACCGATGCCCGGTTATTGGGTGTGAAAAGGCTTACAAGAACCAAAATGGACTTAAATACCACAAAGCGGTAAGTGAAGACAGCCATATCGGTTCGATTTGGTGCGGATGGTTTTTCTAACGAGATGATAGCATGGCCACAATAACCAGCAATTGCACGACAACGCCGATGGAACTTTCTCCATTGTCAATCCCGAAACGTCAACCCCGTACCCAGGTACACTAGGCATGGAGAAAGAGAAGCCATATCGATGTGAGGTGTGCGGCAAACGCTACAAGAATCTCAATGGGCTCAAGTATCACAAATCGCACTCTCCACCCTGCAACCCTGACCTTCAGCTTGCTAGTCGGAACTTGAACGTTGGAGGCGTCATGCAAGGCCAAAATATTAACGTCGCAGGAGCTGGACTCCCCGGGATTGGTGAAGAAGGACTGATGTGATCCGCTCCTCTTCGGGCATATTTAAAATCGCTCATTTTCCTCGATCGAGTTTTAGCATCTTTGGAAATTGTGTGGAAAAACTGGGAAGCTTATATGCACTCTCCATGGCATGGGATTTGGCGATGAGCCTGACAAGTTTTGCTTGCATTGGTGGCGACCTCGAACACGGAGTGGATCTGTTGTGATATTATACTACCAGTTCAAAGGGTGATGGATCTATTGCATCCACCGCCAGCGTCATCTCACCAGAACCTCTATCAACTGGAAGTGAGTTCAGCGACATAAAAATCCATTCGGCTTATTGTTTCGCAATGTCATTTTGCTGGATTTTTCGGGGAACTACCTCATTGGCTATACTGCTATTGGTTTGGATACTGCTGTTTCGTGAGGAACTGCTTTGTTTACCAAATGGCCCGGTCTAATCCATTCAACGAGCCTTGAATTTTTCTGTTCTATTGAAAGAAAAGCCGAGTCAGGAACATGCGCGACTCTCAGAGGAAGGAGATATTGACAAGCAGCAGATTTGTCGGGCGAATGATTGACACGGCATTGACACGAAAACAAGAGGAATTTCGTTTGAATTTTTTCTCCAGGTATCTTGGTTATGGTGTTTAATGTCTCCTTTTCATGTGGGTCGTCTCTTTCCCGGGGCTTGGAAACCAAGAGGAAAAAAAAGGTGCTTTTGGCGTCTGTTTGTACATAAGACTCCCTCTTTGGTTGTTCTTGGTTCTTTTTGGGCATCATTTGTCTCACCCCGCTTTACTTTCACCGGTGTTGGAAACCTGTTGCTTGCATGTATAATTGTTGGTTTCTGTGTGTCTTGGCTGATAGACGTTGAGTCTCAAAAACGAAACAAATGTTCTTCCTGTCTATCTCTTCCTTACGTATGTTTTCCTTACCGATCATTACCCAATAAAAGTTGGCTATTGGCGATTAAGATAGATTACGTAGTTGACTTGTTGCACGGTTTGGCAAGATTACACATCGAGGTTTATGTCGTTATGATCTGGAATGTTTACCGTGCCATCCAAAGACTGGCCGGTCGGACGCATCCAACATTGGCCATGTTTGAGTTGGATGGGTGACGATTCGAATTGTTCCAGTCAGATCCCTGTAATCTTATCTACCTAGGTAGATGACGTCGTCGACCTCGGTGGTCCAATTGATTGCGCAGTTGGAAGCCAAAGTTCAGATCTCCTCACCAATCCAGCTAATAATAATTTCTGAAATTAGTGTCACTAACTGGCCCATCAATATTGCCATTTTCGTATCTTTTTTTTGTTGACGTCTTTTCGAGTTAGACTGATAACTATATACTAGGTCTTTATTTATTAATAAATAATTTCTTGAGTTCATCTCTTCCCTTCTCGAAGTCTCTTCATTACTGTTTCTTCCAAAAAAAAAAAAAGACAAAGAATATCCAATAAGAGAGCGTGAGAGTTTTTTTTGACTACTGTAAAAGTGTTAAAAAATTGTAACTTGAGCAACAGAAACCAGAACGAAATGGTGCAGGTTGATCCCAATGGGCAATGTAGATGAGAAGAACGTTAGTCTACCCCAGTAAGCCCTAAACTGAAGTCCAGGTGAGCAGGATTAAGGGCAATCATGAAAGAAAGTTCAAGACTGGCAATCAAAGCAAACCTTTGAAAATTTTCGAGGTCATTTCAATCTTTGTTCCCTTTGCTGGCAGATCGCTTTGTTTCTGGACATCGACAGCACGTGGTTCAAGGTCAGCCAGGCGGTCAACCCCGGGTCCTTACCTACCTAAATGTCAATAACAACCTCCTGCCAGGACTCGCGTCCCAGGTTGTCACATTTGACACCGCGTCCAGCATTCTTACGTCACCTCAGTCTGCTCATATCAAATCAGTGAGATGAGGGGTGACTGAGTGCAGCAGTACTCTGCTGACCCTACAGCAGAGTCGATATTTCCAAAATAAGCAACTTCTCGCGTCACTGCGTCATGAATGTCAGGTCAGCCATTTTGCGATCACGACAACTAGCGTCCAAGCGAGACTTTGAATCTCAGACAGGTCAAAACATCTCCAAGATGGCGATGCGTCATAAGATGCTCGATCTACTTATTCCAATCCCAACCACTGTAGAGACTGTTGCAGGGACAGACAGTTATGGCAAGGAGGTCATGCCACCCGTTCCTTTGTCATTTGATCGAATCAATGAAGGCCGACCGCCGTCATCAAACGCTCCCCTTTTCGAACTCCCCCTGGAGATCCTGTGGCGGATCCTCCTGTACGTGCCCAGCGACAGCCTTGCCTCGCTTGCCTTTGTTAATCGCGATTGTCGCCAATTGGCACGTTCTCGCCAGTTCGTCAGCGTCTCTCTTAATTACAGCACAACCAGTATGCGCTTGTTGGATCATCTCTTACACGAAGGAGGCCAACGCTACGCCAATAACGGCCGGACTATCTTGCCATCAATAGGAGCCTGTGTCCGACAGTTGAGAGTAGCAACGGAGCCTGATTTGGTTGTAAGGGGACATGATCTTGAACCGGACGATTATTCTGATGATGAGAGAGACTCCAAATGGAATGATGCGCATTCTGCGTTCTATGGCGCCTATCTCCCAACCATACAAAACGTCGTGTCCTGTTCGCTGCCTAATCTCAGACTGTTGATCTGGGAGGACAATGTCCAAGTCGACGAGTGTTTCTTTCATGACATCATGAAATCTCCTATTCAATACCTGAAACTGCGCCACATCAAAGTTGCGGAAGAATATCAAGTCAGTTTACCTCCAAAGTTAACTGGACGGGCATGGCCGTTACAATCTCTGTATCTAGCGCTCTCCTGGACGTGGCTGGGTGAGAGCCCTGTGCGTTCCACCCTGCCCCTGTGCATTAGCCTTCTGCGACTATGTGCGGCATCCTTGGAATCGCTTGTTTGGGTGGGGAGTCTCACAGAAGCCGAGACCAAGTGTCACGTCGAAGGCTGGGATTTAAGTCTTCCCCCATTCGAGAGACTCCGCGACCTTCAGATGCCATTCCTGGGTCCGATTATTTCGGGGACCAGGGTTCTCGAAGCTCTGATTCCTCCTGAGGGACAATGTTATCTTCGCTCATTGTCAGTGGATCTGGACAATCCTAGTTTTCACGGCTATCTAAGAAAGCGCGGTAGAATCACATCTCTCCAAAGACTTGTCGTGGAAACTTTGGGTCCAGCAAATGGGGCGTTTGACTTTCTCAAGGCCAATGACCATGTGTCCACCCTGTCAATACTCTACTACAGAACCTCTTCCGACATACTCACTAACCGGCTACTGCCTATTCTATCTCGCTCATTCACCAACTTAACCTCGCTCCGTCTTACGTGGAAGAAGCCGCGTATTCCCGCCGAAGCTCTCAGGTACATTAGTACTCTGAAGAGCTTGGAACAGATCTATCTGAGCGCAGGAAATCAAGACGGGTACCAACCGAACTGGTTGGTTGACCATGCAGCCATGCGACAGACATTCTCCCAATTGCCTAACCTGAGAAAATTCGCATTTGCCTATGACACCTACGACAATGGACAGCCTGAGAGCGATGTGGAGTTCTATTACGAGGACATGGGGATCCCAGAAGCATTGGCGGAAGTTATCAATGACGCGCGGGGTCGGTTCATCAGGGGAGAGCTGGAGCTTATCGATGGCCCTTTCACCGAGCTGGTCGAGAAAGCGTGGGAACGGATCCATCTGAGGAAGATGCTCTCCGAGGCGGATAAATATCTCCAGGAGATGCCTGACAATCATCTGGGGTGGATGTACTTTGGTCAGATCCCGATGGGCGTGAAATCCGTTGACGGGCAGAGAAAGGCATATCCACTGTCACCGAAGAGGGATAATTGCGCGACTTTTCTCGAGAAGATGTTCAACTGGAAGACCTATGAGATTGTGTAATCGGGGGTTTTGTCGATTCTAGGTGCCTGTGATGGTTTCTTTCTGCTATGATGATGTTCTTAAATCAGATACCGATATGTCTTACTCTAGAGATCGAGGTGATCATCCTAGATGACAGCATCAGGTTTATTCCAACTGTACTGTATGTAGTGACTAGGTACGGTAATAAATCAGAGTTCTCAACTGCCCTGGTAGCAGTCATCCTACTGAGAAATGACTATGAAAAAGTAGATGATAGATTGCGTCTCCACCAGGGCATCGAAATGGAAGTCAAGCCATTGCCATCTATCTATCTATCTATATTATCCAAATTCACCCTGCAGAACGACCTTCCACGGAAATTCTTTCCCAAAAATGAAATAAAGAAAAAAAATAAAGAGTAGCACAGCAAGATATAGAGTAATGTCAAGTCGTCCAAAATATTATTGGCTGAGTGGAGGCAGATCACCTGACGTTGCAAAGCGGAATTTTCCGAAGGAGGCAGGAGCAAGCCGCTTCCAAGTACTTTTTGGACAAGACTTTCAGATGTACCGTGTCATGCTTAACGTGATGGCAAGCTGAGGATTCCCTCAACAGCCCTCGATGATGCATGCTGTACAGCAGCAGCCACGATAACAATGTCGAATCCGCTCCACCAAAAAAGCACGGGTGAAGCGGCGTCGCAGCCTCCCACCACCGCTTTTGGACACCTGCGACAAAGGTCCAGGCAAGCATGTATCCCATGTCGCCAGCGTAAACGGAAGTGCGATGGCAGATTGCCATGCTCTACTTGTACCGGGTATGGCTATGAGTGCCATTACAAATGTACCAACCACCATGAGGACAACAGCGGTAATGCCAATGGCCAGAGAGCCAATGCTACTACCAACAATGCCAAACGGACATCCTCGACAGCTGCTGTGGACGAGTCCTCGACGCAGCTGCTTCCAGCCAAGAAGGCAGTTCGCCTTACTGAAGAAGCTAGGGAAGGCACAGTGCTTCTACCCAAGCAGCAGCAAGAGACGCTTAATTACAAGCCACCCCCAAACGGCATACTGGAGCCGTCCAAGTCCAGATATATGGGTCGACATTCATCTGTCGCTTTTCCACGATGGCTGGGCTTGAATTTGCAATCGACCACCCCTCCGCGGTTGCATTCTTTCGCATACAATACGGGGATCAGGAGAGAGCCCGGTTATGGAGTGCGCTTCCAGCTGGTAGAGTTCATACCCTGGGATGAAGTGAACGATTCTATTGATCTCTATACGTCCGTGATACATCCAGTTCTCGGATTCTTGGACATCGAGAGTCTTCGACGCCGATGCCGTGATCACTGGCATGGAAAGCCCCAGGGCGCCGATCTTGAGGCGGTCGTTTGTGGCGTCGTGGGATTGGCATCTCTCTTCTCTGGAGCGCTTAGTGAAGAGAGGGAGATGAGGATCGTCCTACATGCCAAGGAGATCCTTGATGATTCGTCCGTAAGCCGCTTCCCGAGTATCGATGTAATCTCGGGATGGATATTGCGCACGGTTTATATCCGATCAACCAGTCGGCCCCATATGGCGTGGCTGTACAGCTGCATTACGATGCACCTTATCGAGGCGGCTGGCTTACATAGGGAGATCGAAGGAGTCATCCTGACGACGGACAGTGGGAAGAGGATGATCCAAGAGACCTGTGATATTCGGGAGCGGATCGCCACAGTCGCGCGCTGCCTGAATACCATTATCTCCTATGAATATGGAAGATCAATGGTCGATGTTGGGCCTATATCGCAAAAGAACATCATACCTCGACAAGGGGATTTGACACTTCAGTTGTACGAGCTGGTGCGAGTGCTTCCGCCGGATGATACCAACCAGGATCCTCTAGTACGGAGACTCGAGCTGAGCGCTGCGTTGGGAAGATTGTTTGCGATTTCCACAGATCATGAATTCCTCACACTAGTGAAGACAGATCTCTGCCTGTGCATCTACCGCCGGCTCCGACTCCTGGACCTGGGCGTGAAGCAGGAACAGCTAGAGCAGGTCATTGCGGCGGGGACCGCAGCTTTACCAGCTGCACGCAACCTGGTTGCACGCAAACATCCATGGTGGAACGCCATCGGGACAGTCTTCCAATTCGTCTGCGTTCTGCTCGCCATCGACAGCTCTGAGAGTCTGTCAGTGATCCCGGACGCCATGCAGACACTGAAGACTATAGCAAAGCAATTAAATACCCATCTAGCGATGGAGGCACTCAACACGGCCCGAGGCCTGGTTCGCGCTTTGACAGAAAAGAAGCGAAGAGACATCAACATCCTCGAAAAGCTCAGCGAGGCTACCGACAATGATACAAATCTTACGACGACTAATACCACTACTGCTAACAATAATAATAATGACGATGACGACCCTGATAGACAGCAACAGCAGCAATGGCCTGGGCCTGCGTCTCTTGACATGATGGACGGGGACTGGAACTGGGACGCATATTTCCAGCCTCCATACTCGACGATGTCGCCTTTTCTAGACATGAGATCGTGGCTGTGATGTGCGATGTATGCCCAGTATATATATAATCCCTCTAGTGTCGAGCTAGAATTCAGTTCAATTTAATTCAATTTAATTCGGTGATATGATATCATCACTGCTTTTGACGATGACTACTCAACAAGTGAGTGAGTCTCGTTTCAAGTCCGAGTAGGTGAAATATTCTGATATTGGCAAGGAAGCACAAGGTAGGAATAGTAGGTAATAGTAATAGTAAGGTAGGATGGGAAAAGAAAACAGGAGGGGAAAGATAAGGTATAAGAGAGAAATACTAGAAACATCATTTGCATGTATTGTTAGCATGTTAGCTTTGCAACATAACTAGAAGGATGATAAGGAGAAGAATAAAAAAAATCTACAAAAATCCATAAATCCAGATCCAAGCGTCGTTTCATTTCCGCACCGCACGCAGCCTTTTTCAATTCAGTTCAATAGAACTCCCGAGAGAACAAAACGAAAACAAGACAAGACAAAAAGACAAGAAATGGAATGGAATAGAATAGATGTCATGCAACGCCACCACCTCGTATGATAGGAATAGGATAAGTGTACAACTTTCGGATGGAGAAATCTAGAACGGAACGTATTTGAAGTCGAAGCCAACCGAGCACGGGTTCCAGAGATGGACGACTACCATTCGAATTCACCTTGACCTTTGTGGAAGACATACCTAGGGAGAGTTAGTCGGATCTGCATCAAAAACCAATTGGTTTAGGACTCACTCTTTGCCCCCAGTAGAGAGGATCCCGTCCTTGAGTGTGCACTTCCACTTGTTCTTGACTCGCTGCACCTTGTCATAGGTGCAGAGCATAACTTGCCCAACGGCGTCCTCAGTCTCATGCTCTTCAGCGGCCAGGTCGTCTGGATCATCCAGATCGGAATTGATGGCATCCTCATCATCCCCTTTCTCATCATCGTCTGGCCCATCGTACTGTCCGGCGGCAGCCGGTGTTCCTGCCGAGCGTTTGGGCACTTTTGACGACATATGTTCTTCAAGGGGAAGCATGAGCCCTCCACCTTCTAGACGCAGTGCTTGAAGCCTTATCTGCTCCATGAGCAACCTATCCCCTTCACCATTTTGCCGTTTAGCTGCTTCCCGTCTCCGAGCTACCTCAGCCTTCCATTCCAAGAGGGCTTCGTCGGCGCCATCCGTCTGCGAGCTGTTAAACGGAGGCCTCTGGGGCTGCGACATATTTTGATAAGCCTGCGGAGGCTTAACATCCTGCGGCATACCATTGGACGCCTGAGCATTCTGAGGGCGCGGTTGTCCTGGCAAGGACAAGGCTGCCTGGGACTGAGCTTGCAGCTGACTGACCGAGTTGGCTGCGGCCGCTCCGTATTTGGAATTAAGATTGTTCATAGCACGCTCACGAGCAAGTGCCTGCGGATTGGTTGGGCCCTGTGACACCGCGCTCACACTGGGTAATCCATGGTGTCCATTCGCGCCCGGTTCGGTTTTGATCTGCGGACCTTGGCCATTGGCATTGGACGCCGACGCCGTAGCCGGGACCTGGCCGGGGATAGAAGCGTGCGCCGGGGACGGATCAGTATGTGGCGGAGGCTGCGAGGGTCCTTGCTGCTGCGGGGGAGGGGGTGTCGGTCGCGGTGCATTTGAAGGAACCGTCGCAGCAGGAGGGAGAATTGGATTCTGTGGCTGGGGCGGCGGAGTGGGCTGTAGAGGCGGGTCCCATGGGAAATGAGCAACCCCCAGATGCGACAGCTTCTGCTGCCAGCTCTGTTGGAGAAAGAGAATGGTCAGCAGCGGTACTCAAAGCCAGACTGACAGCTGGGGAAAAGCAAAGCAGAAGATCGAGAAGCTCTAGTGTGACACGCAGGCTCGGCGTGTGATTGGCCGGCAGCGCAGAGGCCAAGCGGGCGGGTAGGAGCGGCTTGTCGGGGCGGACGGAGGTGTGCGTGGGTATAAAATGGCTCAAAAGGCGGCGGCCTCCCCCATAAGCATTGCGAATCCCCCAAACCTTGGAAACCCCGCTTTGGCCACCCGACCGGCCTGGCTGCGCTCCCTGGCCACCGCTCGCCCTGACGAAGACAACACCGGCCACGAGGGCTTCCAAGAGCTCCTCCCGAGCCTTCGCGCATCTCATCCGACAGAAACGCACGATTTGGCAGATGGAATCGATGGAACAAGGGGAAAGGGCTGATGACTAACCCTTCTCATCTCTTCCAGCGTCTGCTGATCGACACCGCCTTCCTCAAAGTCGACCTGAGAGGCCTCGCAGACCTCTTGGATGACACGGTCGTAGACCATGCCCTATTCACCAGCCGATATGAGCTCAAGTCTTGATAATATGAGGACCTGCGGACGGGAAAGGAAGGGATGAGGCTCCGCTGGTCGTGAGAGACCAGACGGAAAGGCAGGGCTGCCAGACAGCACTCACCACCTGCTGGTTCGACATGGTGCCTCAGATCCCCCTGCGACAGCGTATAACCTGCTTAAACCACTGGACTAGATGAGAACAGGACCTGGAGGTAGCTGAAGGTCTTCGGTTCTATGGCTTGCTGAGGGAAGCCGTCGTCGCAACTCACGCCGATGATGTCGCCGAGGCTGCGACGATGGAACCGACTCAGCTGCACCACTTCCTAGACCTAATCTTCCGTAGACTATCCCTTCCCGCTTTTTTTATGACACAGATATCCTAATCAAATGGTCCGGCAGTCGTCTGGACTGGCAGGGTTGGTGGTCGCGCGGCTCTGCTGTAGTTCGTGCTGATAGTTTGGTGAGGGAAGATCGCTATGCCTGGGCGAAATCTATCATACCCACTGCTTAGTCAGCGTATCGACCTTGGCGGTCCAATAGTCGACAAGCAAGTTGACGACAAGAAACAACTGTACGCCTGTTGACGACCAGCAATTAACACACATCAAGGTAGAAATAGCAGCAAGTGTAATAAGATAACCAGTATTTTGCCACAGTGAAGTAAAAGCTACTGTCCTGTTCCACGACTGAGGTGGGATTCACAATTTCACATATATGTTACTTACATAATCAGGACGGGTACATAAGGTCTTCCGCTCCCAAATCCGTCAGGCTGGAATGATAGCTCTTAGGAGCGGCCAACCTTTTACACAGGTGGATCAGAAGTCACAGGAAAGTGAGAGGTGGTGAGAAGAGTCTTTCACTTACTCTGGTCCAGGTCTGAGTGAAGAAGGACAATATGATGCAATCCAGATGAGCCTCAAACCATGAAAGTGGGACTGGTTACTCGTACCGTACATACACTTCTTGGACCACTCTTTGTATTCTACTGTATTCCTTCCCTTTGTCTTCACAAAGCACATAAGTGAAATTTGTGCCTACCAAATCAATCACTAACATATTCTGCAACCCCCTTTGCATAGATTGTTACGCTGGATATGACAACAGACGAGAAAGCTGCACTAGCAAGGTGAAGTGTGACAAAGCAGAAGACATTATTACTGTATATACGCAACAACTGACTACCAACAAGACAAACTCGACAACAACAATCCGCTATGCAAGCCTGTTGCAACGCGCCAAAGAGTAAATCAAACCCGTCACCTGACGTGGACCCGAACGCCCCGGAACCAGCCCTGGAACCGTCCAATTGCAAAGCCATGACCCATGCCGCAAAAATGCTATGTACAAAATTACGACAGAAAATCATGCACTTATCGGATAGTCATCGACTTTGCCATCTGGGCTTTGCTACCCACACCACCCTCACGGGAGGCGGAAGCGCTTGTACCAGGCTTGCGCTCGAAAATCTTCCAAAACTTCAAGCTCTCGTCGGCAGCTACAGAATTGTGAGTTAGCGCATGGACAAGGGAAAAGTGACATGGAAATACATACCAGCTGTAGCCAGCATCTGACCGTCAGGGCTCAGGCAGCTGTGGAGGACACGGGTCTCGTGAGCAGGAATCTCCACGTTACGAACCAAGGTCGGGTAGCTCCAGATGCTCAGGGAGTTGTCCGGGAAGCCGCTGGTGCTGACAATCTCACGGTAGTGGTTGCTCCACTTCAGGCTGGTGACTTGAGAGCCGGTGTCGATACTGTTGGTCCGAGCGCCGGTGGTCGTGTTCCAGAAGTGGATGTGACGGTCGTAGGAACCACCACCCGTCGCGAGCAGATTCAGCTGCCAAGGGCACCAGCTGAGGGCCTTGACGGCAGCACGGTGGTTCGTCTTGGTGAACTTGGGTGCGCTGAGAGACCGCGCATCCCAGATGTTGACCAGGTTGTCATTGCCGCCAGTGGCGAGTTGAGCGCCATCGGACCTCCATTCCAGTCCACACACCTCAGAGGTGTGCGAGACAAGCTCAGCAACCTTGTGCTGGGCAATGCGAACGTCGTGGTTGAAAACAAGGCCACTGCGGGCGCCGGTCGACAAGGTGTGCTTCGACCATCCCATGACTCCCACGCGAGTGTCATGGCCAAACATGCTCCGCAGCTTCGTGCCTTCCTCAACGTCCCAGATCTGGACTTCACCCGTTCCCAGGCCGACACTGACGTAGGCGCCATCCCCACTCCACTTGACACTGCTGACGTATGTGTCTGGAGACGTCTCGAGAAGGCAGTTGACAGCTCCGGTGTCGGCAGACCACACGTAGACGTTGCGCTCAAGACCAATGGCGACTTGGTTGCCAGAGCTCCAATCCAAAAGGTTGAGATAGTAGTCGTCTAGCAGTCCAGGAGCATCCAAAACACGCTCAGGTGCGGTCTGAACGCGTCGACGGAACTGAGCAGACTGGGAAGCAGCAGGCTTGAGAGGGCGGTTGTACTGAGCTCTGAGATCAATGGGCTTGGATGACTCAGGTGGTGGTGGCTTGAAGGCCAGGATGCGGGTGTTCAGGTTCACACCACACGCGTTTGCCAACGAGGACTCGTAGGCGACAGCATCGGGCGCAGGTCGGGAAGAGTTGCTCGTGGATTCATTGTCATCGAGGCCGAGGTTCTCAAGAGCAGCAGTGATGTCCTCGTCTGATCCCCGACCCCCGATGTCAAAGGCACTGGCAGCGTTGGCGAGGACTGCAGATCCGTCACTGCCACTGGTCTTTGGTCTTTGGCTCTCCTCAGGCTTTGCTGCACCAGCAGTCGTCAAGCCTTCGCTAGCCATGCGGTTGGGAATGAAACGATCACCCGCGTTGTGAGGAATGCGGATGGTTGTCTTGGTTGCTCGAGACCGGCTCGAAGCATCTTTGCGCGCGCGCTCCTTGGATGGGGTCTGGCTGGATGTTGGTCCAGTTCCCGTCAAAGTCCAGTCAGAGACCCCCAATTCCAGGTGCTTAGGGGACTTGCGACCGCGAGCGATGTTTGACTTTGGCGAGTCACGGTAGTTGCGGGATGACCGGGAGGCAGACTTAAAGTGCGCAGCCAGATTTCCCCCATATACTGATTGGGACGAGGCACGAGGGACATCACTGGCATCACGAGAAGGAGTCAGGGGAGACGAACTGGGGGAAGCATTGCTCGTGAGACTGGTGGTCCTTGTGCTAGGCGATGGGGTAAGAGGCATGCGGCCTCCAGCGGTTTTGCTCGAGAAGAGGCCGCGGTGGCTCTTTATCGGCGTTGAGACAGAGGCGGTAGCCATTGTGATCAGAAAAGCTATTCAAAAGAAAACGAAAGAAAAACAAAACAAGTGATCGAGTGTCCCGACAACTCGATGCTTCGATGTGGTCGATTGTTCAACTAAGACTAGTCGTCTAAGTCCTAGGCGGGCAGTCTCAGCCTATCCAGTGAAGAAAAAGATGCTCAACTGAATGGCTCTTGAGATGACGCGTAATACTAGTAGATCAATCGATGTACGTGACACTGTGATATCTGAGAAGTTGGAAAAATCGCGATGGGTTCTTGCAGAGGAATAGCTTCGCACGTGGGGGTCGATCGGTCTGAGGATAGCGAACTCGTGAAGTGGAAATCTAGCCTCTTGCAAAAAGATATGGTATGGAATGCAAGTATGGGGCGGATAGAGAGATATAGGATGCAGGAATAGCGGATATAAGGGATGAGAGAGGATGGTGAGGAAGAAAAGAAGAGAGAAGAGCAGGGGAGTACAGCCATCGAGGGGAATAAATAATGACGTCCTGCGTTGTTCCATAGCAACGGGCACGCCGCGCTAGGCCGGCTGCGGGCTAGCGCAGCTGCTAGTTGCGGCTCTTCCGTCTCCTGGAGCGCCGTCGCCCTGCCAGTCTTGGCGTTCTGGACTGATCTTTCAGGCTTCCAGGGGACTCTGCCGGCCTCAGTCTTCGAAGGCCCTGGTCATGCTCTCATCCGCTCCATCCCTGGAATGATGTGAGACTGGCAATGTGAATTGCAAGCTCTTCACTGCCTCTGCCTCTGAGCTCATTCACTCACGACCTGCGCCCTGATCTTCCCCTGGGGTCCCGCCCCGATGGCGCGGCAACCGCCCTCCGCACCTAGCAACGCTACCGTCGCCTCAGCATCCGGCTTCTCGCAGTTCCACGAGGGTGGGTCCTCCTGGGACGTTGTGGCCGGAGCCCACCGCCGCTCAACTTCGGCTTCCTCTCCCTCTATGGCCATGAAGGACAAGAATACATACCTGATGCCGACAAGCCCAGCCAAAGGCCGCCGCGGCAGCACCGACTACCGGCCCAGCATCAAGAAAACCGTTGGGAATGTCCCGGCATGCCTCGTCAATGCCTCCGTGACCTATTGCGGCAACGATCAGATCTACGCCTTCGGGGGGTTTGACCAGTATACAGATGAAGGTTCGTTGTCTCCCATTGGCTCTTCCTGCGTGCGTGACCTTCCTGTACTGACTTGACACCAGTCTACAATCACGTCCTCAGGTTAAACCTAAAGACCCTCACATGGGAGCTGGTAGATAATTATGGAGATATTCCGGGTGTTCGCATGGGTTGTTCCCCTCCCCCACCTGGGTTCGGTTTCGTGACTCATTGTGGTTCTTAGGGCATACTGCTTGCCTCTATAAAGGAGACAAACTGATCGTCTTCGGTGGTGAAAATGAACATCGGGAATATCTGTCTGACATAGTCATTCTCGACATTCCCACTGCTACTTGGACCCAACCCGATGTTCGCGGACCCATCCCACGGGGAAGAGCACGCCATGCCTCTGTTATCTACGAGGACAAGCTGTTCGTTATCGGCGGTGTGGCAGGGGAGAATAACCTCATTCTGGACGACCTGTGCTATCTGGACCTCAAAACATGGACCTGGTCTCGCACGTGGAGTTTCACTCCCCGCTTCGATCACACTGCTTGGGTGTGGGGCGGTCGCCTTTGGATCTTTGGCGGTCTTGGCCCTGATATGGAACGAAGCACGGATCTTTGGTGGTTAGACCTCAAAGGCAGCCCATCCCTTGGAATCACATCGTCACAAGGTACCGTCGAGTCCCCGGGATCGCTGAACAGGGTTACTCATAGTCCAGGCACCCCTCTTAGTCCGTCAAGTCAATTACCTGGCCGGTCTGGTGGCTACGCAGCGAACTCAGGCAGTGTGCAAATCCGGTCTCTGAACCGACGGAAGCCAACCGCGCCTGGTGCAATCTCGTCTCTCAAGTTCCATTCTGGGCCTCATGTCCCGGCCTTGCTTTCCGGGACCCATTTCCACGTATACTCATCCGGAGTTCTTCTGGATCTGATCACGCCGTCGGAGACAGTGCGGCCTTACGAATGTACTTTGTCATCACTCGAATTGGACTCGTTGCGATGGCAAAGGCTCGCTGATGGTCAGGAGGTGTTCAAGCCGGGGTACCGGTGGCACTACTGCACTATCAATGAAGACGGGACTAAAGTGTGGCTGCTCGGATGCGACCTCAATGTTGCGAACGCGCCAGGATCTGGCGACGATAACAATCTAAGCGCGATCCTATTCCTTGATCTCGAAAAATATGGACTTCTTGGCAACGACCTCGTTTCTGAGACGTCCGAGCAGAACAGGATCCTCGCCTCCGAGCGTCAGGGATCGCCTCAGACTACAGGCCTAGGTGCTGACCTACTGGCTGTCTTTGATCAACCACCTGAGACTGGTAGCGGTACCGACTTCATTATCACCGCTAATCGCGATGACCAGGAATACCAAGATGACACAACCCAGCCATCTTCTCCATCGCAATCCCAACAGCCCACATTCCTGTCTCCCAACGCGGACACTTCCCCTCCGATCCACGTCCATCGCATTATCCTGCAAGCCCGATGGCCCCACTTTAAACGTCTGTATAATGCGCAGATGGCTGAGTATCATACGAAGAGGATGCACATCCCAGAACCCTACTCTCGTGGTTCGTGCCTTCCTATACTATCTGTATACTGATAGCATCTCGGGCCATCCCGAGTACTGCGCGGACATCATCGACGTGGCAGGTATGCTTGTGATGGCCAATCTTTACGATATGCCGAAACTGCGATTGCTCTGCGTCAACAGGCTGAGTCGAGAGCTCGATGTCGAGAACGCGGCCATCATTTGGGAGAGAGCTGGTCGCACGAACGAGGAATGGCTTCGACGTCGTGCGGCGCAGTTTTGTCTAACCCACTGGGGACGGGTCGTGCGTACTGCGGGCTTCAAGTCTCTCAACCGACAGAGTCTGATCGAGCTCTGCGAAGTGGTTGACATGGAAGGACGGGTTGTTGCCGGGCCGGAGTTGGAGATGGTTGGGGCTCTAGGTTCGGATAGTCTGGGGCTGGGGAGAACTAAACGGCCTCGTCTCACCTCTAATGGGCTGGTGGACGATCTGGACGATCTGGAAGGGGACGATGAGGATGGAATGGAGCTCGCCTGACACTGTTCATGTCAGGTATCTGCCATGTTGCTTTAAAAATGGGTTATGGTATGACTTGCGGGTACTTTGGTGTTAGGAGTAACCTTTATGCGGGGTCCAGGAGTGCATTAGCGGCGCATTTGTTGATGTGACCTTTCAATTGTGTTATGACTGCTATTATGGGAATGATATGGTCTATGATAGAGCTTTGAATCAGAATGATCTTCCAATAAACCTAGTTGAAATCTGTTGCTGTGGCGTGACCACTGCTAGCCCTCGCCCTAGCAACAATCTTGTCGACTGTCAGGGTTCCAAACACGACGGGGCTCATACTTCGTGTAGCGACTTTTCATTCTTGGCTGGCACGCAAAGGGTTGGTTCATTTATCCAGAACGATTATCCGTATATAACAACGGAGTAATATCCGTGCTGTCATTGGAAAAAAGGAGGGCGGGTCGAGCTGGGCTGGCACTAAAACGTGCCTCTTGTCCATTTCTCCACCCTTCCGCAGCGCGGAGTATCGCCCGTGGAACGGAGTAATTGTAAGCAATAGGTTGTCTCGACTCTCGACTCCATGCCGAGTAAGGTAATCCGAAGCCGCGATTATATGTCCTGCCTACTGGTTACGATGGCCAGACCTTCCTTGGCTGTGTTTTGTGGGCGCCAGTTGCGGTGGTGGAATAATGGCTGGTTATGGTCTGGCTACTATATAAGGGTTCGAGTCTGCTTCTAAGTAAGGTACCTCCTAAGGATAATCAATATCGTCCTGTGTAGCCTCTTAAGGGAATTCGCAAAAAAGGCTAAGTTTATTGTTCTCGAAAAGGAAACTCTAACAACCACGTGTCCGTCAGTAGGAGATCGAAACGGAGAAAATGACCGCGACTACTACCACTACCACTACGACTACTACTACTACACCCACACTTCCTCCTGATTTCCTCTGGGGTTTTGCAACTGCCAGGTGAGCTTTATATCAATTGATCCCTTTTTTTTTACTGTATTATATGGAATAATAAATAGGATGGCAACTGACTCCATGTTGCTCCCTTCATTTCTAGCTACCAGATCGAAGGGGCCTTCGACGAAGATGGCCGTCTGCCTTCGATATGGGACACTTTCAGCAAGACACCTGGTAAGGTCGAGGACGGGACCAATGGCGATGTCGCCTGCGACTCGTACCACCGTACCAGCGAGGACATTGAGATATTGAAGAAGTACGGTGCCAAAATCTATCGCTTCTCGTTGTCCTGGTATGCCTGCCTCTTCTTATTTTGTCTGGGTTTTATGTTTGTCTGACAGAACCATCCAGGCCACGTATCATCCCTCTCGGTGGGCGAAACGACCCCGTCAATGAAAAGGGCCTGCAGTTCTACTCCAAGTTCATTGATGACTTACACGCTGCGGGCATCGAGCCCTTCGTCACTCTCTTCCACTGGGATCTGCCCGACGAGCTGATGAAGCGGTATGGAGGCATGCTCAACAAGGAAGAGTTTGTGGCCGACTACGCCAACTATGCCCGTGTCGTCTTCAACGCGCTCGGCTCGAAGGTCAAGAAATGGATCACTTTCAACGAGCCGTGGTGCAGTTCCGTGCTCGGCCACAACACTGGCAAGCACGCCCCCGGGCGGACGAGCGATCGGACGAAGAGTCCCGAGGGAGACGGCACTCGCGAACCTTGGATCGTGGGCCACAACCTTCTCGTGGCTCATGGTACCGTTGTGGACATCTATCGGAGAGAGTTTAAAGAGAAACAGGGTGGAGAAATCGGAATAACCCTCAACGGTAGGCCTCACCTCATCGTTCGATTCGACTTATCTCTAACTGCACCTAGGCGACTGGGCCGAACCATGGGATCCCGAAAACCCAGCAGATGTCGAAGCCTGCGACCGAAAGATCGAATTCGCCATCTCGTGGTTCGCGGACCCGATCTACCACGGCAAATACCCGGACAGCATGGTGAAGCAGCTGGGCGACCGTCTGCCGAAGTTCACGCCCGAAGAAATCGCCCTCGTGCACGGCAGCAACGATTTCTACGGCATGAACCACTACTGCGGAAACTACATCCGCAACCGGACCGGCGAACCAGACCCGGAAGACACCGCCGGCAACCTGGACATCCTGATGGAGGACAAAAACGGCAACCCCATCGGCCCTGAGACCCAATGCGAGTGGCTGCGGCCGTTCCCGCTGGGGTTCAGGAAGCTTCTGAAGTGGCTCGCAGACCGGTACAACAACCCCAAGATCTACGTGACCGAGAACGGGACGAGCGTCAAGGGCGAGAGCGACCTGCCGCCAGAGGAGGTAGTGAACGATGAGTTCCGAGTGCAGTACTACCGGGATTATATCGGCGCGATGGTGGATGCTGTTGCACAGGATGGGGTCAATGTCAAGGCTTATATGGCTTGGAGTTTGTTAGAGTAAGTCGAGAAAAGAAGATACATTCTTAGACTTCTAGATAGTATGTGACTGACTGACTGATTCTCGCCAGCAACTTCGAATGGTCTGAAGGCTACCGGTCCAGATTCGGAGTGACCTACGTCGACTACAAGAACGGGCAGAAGAGGATCCCGAAGAAGAGTGCTCTTGTCATCGGGGAGTTGTTCAACAAGTATATCAGGAAGGAGTAGATATTGTCTGTCTGCAAGGAATGCGTGTTTTCTTTTTTTTTCCTCTCTCATCAGTTTAGTAGTCTGAAAGAAGACTACCTTAATAATGCATTGAGCTATTTGAAATTTGATTTTTTTTTCCTTGTCGCTGGAGAAGAGTGGTGACCTGTGGACGCTGTTATGTGTATAGCCTAGGGACCAGACTGTGTGTTGCTCCTTATTAATACATTATTTTGATTATCATCGCTATCTAGCCCTTTTTTTTTCTTTTGAAATACAAATACGATGGGTATACTGTACAAGACATAAGATACAGGAAAATAACTTCTGTCAGGTGGAAGCAGTCGGGACTGCTTCTTGTAAAAAAAAATCCTCGGCTTGCCTTACCTGGTTCTTGACAGCTTTGACAGTTTTGAGATAGACCTTTGAGTCATTTCACTTACTCACATGCCAGAGCAGGCGGTTTATCTGCTGGCCTGGCAGATCTTTTGTCGTTGAAGTCACTGCGATTATATTCATACCACATGCGTAGGATTCCTGCCATGTTATAATTTGATAAAATCACGGCTTGATCCATCTCTGATTGACTTTGTCAAACCCAATCACATCGAGATCGATATTTAGGCTCCGGAGCATCATGTCCATGGTAAATGACTAGAATGGAGAGAAAGAACAGTACGTTAGTATGGATCGGTCTTTTTTTTTGGTACCTTGATAGAGAGTTCACCTGGGATAATGGCGTAACATACCTCTTCTTCCGGTTCTGTCGTCTGATTCTCTTTATTGTGACTATCATCAAGATCAACATCGTCTGCCATCTCTGCCCTCCTGCTTTCTAGCTCTGCCTCATCGTAGTCGACATCAGCCAGGCTATCTGCGTCGTACCACCTCTCCATCTCTCTCCGCCGGTTCTCCCGCTCCCTCCAGGCCGCGACCCCGCCCATTCTGAGGACCCTTTCCCGTGCGGACGCAAACAGTTCGTCGGCAGCCTCCTGGCTGACCGCTCTCCACTTGGCGATCAGAGCTTCCAGCTCCTTGTCCTTGTTAGATGACTCAATCCGTAGAGCCTGCTGTGCGGTGTCGAGCTCGGACCGCAGCGCAAAGAGGCGGGATTGGAGGGCGCTATGCTGTTTCTGCAGAGCAGATAGTTCGGGATCAGACTTGGAAGAGTAAGAAGCAAACCGCTGCTGTGAATAAATTGGGAGCTTTCTGTTGCGATTATTTGCTATGGTATGTGGAGATTGAGAGTGAGGTTGAGATTGAACTTTGGAGTTGTTATCATCATCAACTGCCAGCTTTGTCGTGCTGCTGTCGCCGCTCTTAGTCGACGATTGAACTTCTGTCGTCTGCCCTTTTACCTCGTCACTACTCCGAATAGTCTGATTATTGGTCGTTTTCGTGTCTGCAAGAGACTCGTCTTTCTCATCTCCATTTTCTCGCTTCTGAAGAGGTGTGCGGAGGGGAGACTTGAATGGCCGGGACAGCGTTGAGGCTGCCTCGTTCAGACGACGTCGTTTTGACGCCTGAGCAAGATGAGCCATTGTCTACCCTCTTTTATTTTTCCCCTCCCCAGGTTGCACTAACGCAAGTGATATCCCTTGCAGTTGTTGTTGCATGGCATAATGCGAGTCGATAGATAGTTGCGGACAGAAGAGAAGATGGATGGCAGAAATGCTCCGCCGGGAGCTCTCCCCGCATCCAAATCAACTGCCTTATCGATAAGAAAAGAACTATTTTGACGTGACCTAGCTGTCTTATTCAGCGTACCTAACATGTGTCTTGCATATATACGAATAACGTCGCTAATTCTCAATGTCCACTAATGCAACTCGTCCAATATTGAACCAAGAACGCAAAATACAATACAGTACAACAAACAAACAAACAAACAAGCATTCAATGCCCTACTCCACCCGCTACCCACTGTCCAAATTCTGGCTCGCCAGGTCGGGGAAAGAAGCCGCGATCATTATTGCCGCCACCGCCGCCTTGAGCTGCTTGCCCTGCGGCATTCCCGTTCTCTCTCTGTCGATTGCGTTGTTGTCTCACGTACATGAGAACCAGCAGGGTCGCCGCCAAGGCAACGATGACGATGCCTTCCAGAACACTCTCGTCGATCTCCAGCTCGAGGTCGTCATAATAGCCAACATCCTCATTGAGTCGCTCTCCCTCGCCTCGACGAACGGTAGAGCCAGCTCCCAGCAATTCTTCCTCATCTTCACCTCGCTGACCATAGAGCTGGGCGCGGTATTGGGCTTCTTCCTCCTCATCATTCTCCAAGAAGGCTATGATCCACTCTTTGAACGTGCGAGGAGGTCTCGACTCTACAGTCTGTTAGCAATACACACAAAAAATCATATTCACGTGGATCCAGGGGAAGCGACCGAAAGGACAGGACATCTACTTACCTTTTTCATCCTGAATAGGATTAACATCTCCGTTGGTAAGGCGATTCCAGAAATGGCGTATCCGAAGTTTGATAAGACTCAGCTTGACCGGGAGGTATGCTTCCTGATTCGTCTCGAGAGCCAAATCATAATATCTCTTCGCCATATGAAAATCTTGCTCAACTGCAACACCATTCTCATGCATCCAGCCGAGATTCCAATATGCTTGTGCGCTGTGATGACCCTCTGCGGCCGTGTGGTAGCAGGTAGAAGCCTTTTCAGCATCTGCCTGAGTCCCGATCCCGTTAAGGTAATAGTCTCCCATTTTGACAAGAGAATCAACGTTTGCCTGTCTGGCAGAGCGGGTCCAGTAGATGAGAGCCAGTGCTGCATTCCGAAGCAGAGGCGAGCGCCGTTTCCTCGTCCAAGGAAGGATGGAATCCAGGGAAAGCACGGATCGCTGCTCATCCAAGAGATAGGCGACATTGGCCTGTGCACTCTCGTAGCCCTGCTCCGCAGCCATCATGGCGTCTATCAAGGCGGTTTCTAGGTCACCGCTCTCATAGGCAGCATTCGCTTCGACGAAGGACGAGTGGATAGCTTCCGCCCTTTCCGCAACCATTTTGTAGTATGCAGACGCCATACCGCAATGCCGTTCTTGCCCGATTCCATTATTCGCAATCTCCGCTAAGTAGTAGAATGCTTCCATCCAACCCCACCGAGCGGCGAGCTCGAAATACTTTGTGGCCGTCTGGACGTCCCCTTGATCGAGGAACAACGCACCCAGCCTTGTTTCTGCGGCAGGGAAGTCCTGCTCAGACGCCGCCTTGAAATAAGCCGAGGCTTTGTATGCATCCTGCGGAACTCCATATCCATGGAGGTACATCAGGCCGATCTCATGCTGACACAGGGGATCGCCATTGGCAACGCCCCGTCTGAACCACGTCAGAGCCGTTGCAAAATTCTGCTCGACACCCTCTCCCCGTAGGTACATCAAACCAATATGGCCGGCGGCTTTCGCAGCGACTTTCTCAATGCCAATGGGATGGTTGGCATGGACGGTACCATCCTTGGTCCAGTAGCGCTTCGCAACGAGTTTGAAGTACTTCATTGCCTTGCGGTAGTTGCGTGGAAGGCCACGTGCGCCCTCATAATGCATCTTGCCCAGACTGAAAGTGGCCTTCAGCTCGCCCTTTTTAGACATCAGGTCCAGGTACTCCAAAACATCCTCCAGGCTTGCTTCAGCGCTGGAATGGGGCCCGTCCCTGTTGGCATTCAGCCCAGAACTCGACACACTTGCCCCTTCTCCATAAACGCCACCCTCCTCATCAGCCCAGCGATAGGATTCCCGAAGCATGCTGTGGCCACCTGGCGGACCAGACCGGTAATATTCAATGGCTTTGTCTGCCACCCTCTTGTAATAATGGGTAGCTTGGTCACAGTTTCGTGGAGTCCCCACGCCGACATGGTATCGAAAGGCAAGCGTCATTTCCGATCTCGTATTTCCTGCCTCCGCAGCGAACGTGTGGTACAGTAATGCCTTGGCTTGGTCACGCTCAACAGCACCGCCGATGCCTGTGGCGTACATAAAGCCCACCATGTACTGCGCCGTGCTGTTTCCGGTCAAGGACGCAAGATTGTGGTACCATCGAAACGCTTCCTTGAAGTTCCGCGGATGCGTGAAATTGCCGTAGAAGTTCATCTCCGCCAGAAGGAACATCGCATCAGGATTCTGGGCATCTTCCGCTGCAACCTTCAATTCTTGAACTGCCTTTGCCAGATTCGGATGCAGTTTCTGTTTCTGGGATTCGGCATCTGAGGACTCATCCAGGGGCGGGCCGTTCATAAAGAGGAGGTAGAAGAGTTGCTTCGCGTAATGAAACGTGTACCCAAGCAGACCAGATGGCTTTTCACGTGTAACGACAGGTATCTTGGACTCTCGAAGTATTCGCAGCGCGGCTTCGACAGAGTCTAAGACATTGCATGAATGGATCAGTAAGATTCAGTTGCGCAATCCTTTTTTTAATGTCTACTTACCGCTGCCATCCCACCGTTTCTCGCCATCTCCTGGACCAACTCCAGGTTGAGTCTCTTTGCTCGAAATATCTGCCGCTGATTTCGATACATCAGTGGACCGACTGCGAGACTCAACCACAAGTGCGTGCGACCATACTGCAAGAAGTTGTCAAGCCTCATCAGCGTCTGCTCTGGCAAGCTCAGGTCTACTGGAAGCTTCGCGGGACTTACATAGCAGAAGCGGCAGTATAAGCCGCAGCCAGAACTTCATCTTGCCCTCGAAGATGGTGGCCTCTCACTCTGAGGGACGCATCGCGACACGGTGTATCAGAGATCAACTCTGGTCCCTGTCACTGCAGTGGAAGGACCGCGAAGTTGGCAAATTGCTTGGAGATTGAAGACGTATGCCTGCTCGCAGGATGCCAGTACGGGCCACCTATCCGCACGGAGCTTCATTTCGCCGACGGTTCCCCAGACCCAACAAAGCAGCCAATCCAATCAATCGGATAATTCTCAGATCAGCCTGCTTTCTTCAGCCATCCCGTACTCCTACATTCTGCAGCACAATCACTATTCAAACATCTTTCTTCATCTACCAACTTTTCCGAGCATATTATTCTACGACAGGCCACAGCTTAATTCCCAGATGGAGACGCCAAATTTCCTTTCGTATCATGCTTTCTGATTTCCTGAGAGGCAAAGCGTAACTGTATACATGGAATTCACGAATAAAAAACAGTAATACACATCAGCAGTAACTCTTCCATATGGACGCATGGGTAAAACCACCATTCAAATGGGAAACAAAGGGGGGAAACAGCTTCTCTTAACTCCATGCTATTATGCGCGTAGCATCTTTTAAAAAAAAAAGGGGGGGGGTTCTGTTTCGGGTTTCTTTCCGAGGAAACACACTCGAGGCGAGCCCAGACTTTGTTCACAATCTTCCAAGGACATATCGGGGTGTTAGACAAAAAGAGAAAAGAAAAAGAAAAAAATCTAAATCTCTTCGGAAGGAATCTGGAGAAAGGTACACCAATGAAAGGCACAGATGTCCATAGACGCGAGAAAATAACAACCAATTCCAAACCCTATGGTGCGACATGATCATTTTGTATGTCTTGTGTGTGAATGATGGGTGGTGGTACAGTAACATGAAGGGCTGCAAAAGGAAACCCAGGATGGACAAGCTCAATTTACTGGCGTGGGGACCTATCATCATTGTCAGCACCATAATTCTAACCAAACAAGAAAATGGAGAACCTACGTTGGGTTGTAAGCAGGGGAGGTAGGGCTATAACTGGGAGACGTCGGCCCACCAGGGGACGTCGGAGAGCCAGCAAAATTGGGCGAAGTCGGAGAGTAGGTCTCTGGGCTCGTTGGAGACCATCCCGGCGAGGTTGGTGAATATTTCGGCGAAGTAGGTGAAGTCGGGGAGAAGTGTCGGCCACCGCCAATGGCTGGGCTGGTTGGGCTGTAGCTCGGAGACGTCGGGCTAAATGCAGGAGACGCCGGGCTGAAGCTAGGCGACGTAGGACTGTAATTCGGCGATGTCGGCGAGAAGCCCGGAGACGTAGGAGAGTACGACGGAGAAGTTGGCGAGGTTTGGCCATACGCTGGTGACGTAGGTGAATATGCAGGAGACGTCGGCGCATAAGATGGGCTGGCTGGCGAGAAGCCAGGTGAAGTCGCGAAACCAGGGCTGGTAATAGCCATACCCGGAGATGTAGGAGAATAGCTGGAAGACGGCGAGTAACCAGGAGACGTGGGGCTTGTGTTGAAGGGACTGCTTGGAGAATAGCCTCCTGGACTCTGAACAGCAGGGCTGAAGCCACCGAAGCCACCTTGCGGCTGATAATCGGTAAAGCCGCCAGGAGTCTCCGAGCCAGCCTGGCGGATCGGAGAGAACTTGGCCTCCGGATCTGGAGTGCCAATGTAGGCGTTCTCCATCATGGGAGAGTAATTGTCGTACTGTGTGGCGGCGCCATCTGAAATGGCAGGCTCCTTGACTCCGGCAGCTCCCACGCCGGCATTGCCCGAGACCACGGTGTTGAGCATATTCTGGTCCAAGAACACGTCGAATTCTCCTGTTCCCGCAGGGGCCATCTGACCGAGAATTAAATTCTCAGACACACCACGGCAGTCATCAAGCTCACCAAAAGCGGCGGCGTCAAGGAGAATCTCGACAGTCTCTTCGAACGAACACCTCATGAGCGCACCATTGTCTGCACGATTGATACCATGGCGGGTGACAGGGGTAAGATAGCCCCTCACTGTCATGACATCGACTAGGAGCGCCAGGTGGCGATGGTTGACGTAGGAACCATCAAAAGCAAGCACCTGCGTAAGTTCGCGCAGGACAGCAGTGCGAGCAGCCTCGATACCGAAAACCTCGAACACTTCAATGAACTGGTTCGAGTACGTCCGAGTTGCATCCACTCCAGGGATAGCCAACACCTCGCTCAGTGCGGAGCCACTGGTCTCAAGGACCCATTCTTTACAGAGCGGATCGGTCTTGCTCTGGTAGAGAGAACCATCTTCAAGAACGCGGACGTTGTCCTTTTCGTTGATGAAAGCGCGCTCCACTCCAGGCACTCCACGTAGAGTAAGAGTGTCAAGGAGGTGTTGTTCGAGCTTCTTGAGCGTAACATCGTATTCCATGTCATCATCCTCCTCGTCATCCTTATAATCTTGGATCTGACGGATACGAATGACCTGCTCGTCGGCGTTGTTGTCACTGAAGATGACCGCGATATCCTTTGGATATGACTCTTTGATCTTCGTAGCCACGTCTTGCACCGTGAGCCCCTTATCAAGAAGCTTGGGACGGCTTAGTATAATACGTAGCAGCCATTTAGACTGGCGACTAGAATCATCAGTCACATCTTCAGGAATGATGAAGTAGGACTCCACCATGTCTCGGTCGTTTTCGATGACAGTGGTCTGAATGTCAGGGTCATAATAGATCTCGGTCGTTTCAGTGACTGATCTGAGGCTTGTGTGCTCCACGGCGCTTCGCAACTGCTTAGCAGCCTCCTTGTCATGCCTTCTAGGACCTTCCTGGTAGACAGTCATCGACGGTGTCTTGATGTTTGTAGCGACGTTCAAAATCTCCTTAAGCCGAGGAACACCGAGAGTAACGTTCTTCGATGACACACCAGCGAAGTGGAAGGTATTCAAGGTCATCTGCGTGGCTGGTTCTCCGATAGACTGAGCCGCAAGTACACCAACCATTTCACCCGGGTGTGCAGCTGCCCTAGCGAACCTGCTTTCAATGGCACCCAAAACATGTTGGAAAGCTAGCTTGTTCAGGGAATATTCGGTGACGAGCCGGCGGAAAGCAAGCCGAGAACGCAACTGAGCCTTGAACAGCATTGTAGCATTCTCTTGTGCCTCGCGCGAGATGATATCATCACCACGGACGACCACCAAGCGATCCATCAGAGCCTTAACTTGGGGAATGACTTCTGCCGGATGGAGGTCACTAATAGCACCCTCTTTGATTCTGAAGGTGGTCTTGGCTGACTCGAGGATACGCTGCACATTGATTGGCAGCTGCATCATCTCCTCGTCTCCCTTGGCGATAGAGCGCAGGAACTCCCGATCTTTCAGGAGCTGTTCCCACTCCTCATCAAGGTATTTTTGAACTTCCATGTCACCAGCAATTTCGGTAGCTTGTTCCAACACTTCGGGGCCAAGCGTCCGCTCGGGGTCCATCAGGTCGACACGGAATCTGTCACGGAACTGTGCATCGGAGCACCTAATGACGTCCACTCTCTGGTTCTCAATATGAGCACCATCCAGACCATCCTCACCGTAGAGGAACTGGATGACATCGCCCAGAGAGTTACGGACGGTACCATCATACTTGACCATAACTTCTTCCAGTGCTTTGACGAGCTTGCGCTGAATGTAACCAGTCTCGGCGGTCTTCACGGCGGTATCAATGAGACCTTCTCGACCAGCCATAGCATGGAAGAAGAATTCAGTCGGTGTCAAGCCGCGGAGGTATGAGTTCTCAACGAATCCACGGGACTCCGGAGAATAGTCATCCTTGGTAAAATGAGGCAGAGTCCGATACTTGAATCCGAACGGAATCCGCTTTCCTTCGACGGATTGCTGACCGACAACCGCCGTCATCTGGGAGATGTTGATGGTCGAGCCCTTGGAACCAGAGCGTGCCATTTGAATGGCGTTGTTCAGATCTTTCAAGCTCTTCTCTGTCTCACTACCAGCCTCATCACGAGCGTTGTTGAGAGCACGAGACACCTTGCTCTCGAAAGTCTCACGGATGTTCATACCAGGCAATGGCTCCAGCGTATTCTCCGTTGCACTGGCCACGATCGAGTCGACTTCTTCCTTTCGTACCCGTACAGCATTCTCAATCCTCTGAATTGTCAGTGGATCAGGAATGGTGTCACCGATACCGATGCTAAAGCCGTTATGGAGAAGCCAGTAATTGACCACTCTCTGTGCTCCGTTGAAGAAGGCGACCGCAGCCTCAGGTCCGTATTCATTGTAAATCGTATGAACAATGCCTCCACCGCTGGCACCAACCGTCTTCTTCGAAAACATTCCATACATGAGCTGGCCACCGTGCACAAGCAAACCGGAATCGTTTAATGGAGAGAATTTCTCCGAGAGTGGCGCCTTGTCCTTTTCGACACGCAAGAGGTTCAATCCTGGCGGAAGTACCATACTAATTATCTGCTTTCCGGTCCATCTGGGTCTGGGTTTGAGAATAGCGGGCTGAGGAATGACACCATCCCAGTCAGGGACCCACATCATGATGTTCATCACTTGTTCCTTGGTTAGGAACACGTCACGTCTGCAGATCTTGTAAATCCCACAGAGAGAATCCTGGACGATTCCCATCAGGGGACCATTCCGCTGGGGGGACACAATGTTAAGCGGTACCATGGCGAGTTGATGAAGCTCTGCACGCGACTCCTCGCTCTGAGGTACATGCAGGTTCATTTCGTCACCGTCGAAATCGGCGTTGTAAGGGGTCGTGACTGACAGGTTAAGACGGAAGGTCGAGTACGGCATCACTCGAACACGGTGACCCATCATCGACTCCTTGTGCAAGGAAGGCTGTCGATTGAATAGAATAACGTCTCCGTCCAAAATGTGACGCTCAACCTTCCATCCATAGAGAAGAGTCTGCTTGCCTTTCTTGTTCGCAAGGCGAAGGTCAATACGTTCGCCGTTATCGCGGACAATGTACCTCGCGCCAGGATAATTGTTGGGGCCGTTGTTCACCAGCTCTTGCAGGAAATGGATATTGTAGGGCGTGACAACTTCGGGGTACGTCAAGATCATCGCGGTGGACTTGGGCACACCAACCTCGTCCAGGGACAGATTGGGGTCACCGGTAATGACGGTACGAGCAGAGAAATCGACACGCTTGCCCATCAAGTTCTGACGCAGACGACCCTCCTTACCCTTTAGACGGCCACGGATGGCCTTGACAGGCCTATTAGACTTTGTCATGGCCTTCGGTTGACCAGCGATATCGTTGTCCATGTACGTCGCGACGTGATACTGCAGTAAGGCTTCGAACTCCCGCACGACATGGTCGGGGGCGCCTTCCTGTTCACATCGCTGCAGGTTCTGATTTGCCCGGATGATCTCTGCGAGCTTGAATGTTAAATCATCCTCGGAACGCTGGCCACTGGAGCTTTTGCCATTAAGAACGCTGGGACGGACGACGGGTGGTGGAACGGGGAGGACGGTGATGATCATCCACTCAGGCCGAGCATAGTCATTACTCAACCCCATGATCCGAACATCTTCCTGAGAGATGTTCCGGAAGATGTTGAGGGCCATCGCAGGGGTAATTGTTTTCTTCTCGGGTTGTGGAATCTCCGTCTCGTCATCCATCATGTTCTGTTTATTGGGCTTCCACGTTCCCACCAGGGTAAGTCCTTCTCTTCGGATGGTAGGTTGAGCGTTGCCGCATCCACCGTGCCCTCGAGGCTTCTTCGTGCCTTCTTTCGAGTATTCTTCGTCTTCCTCGGGAGGGTCGGCTTCGCAGATCAACACATCCTTAGACAGACGCCAGATCAGATCGAAACGTCGCTTGGGATCCCGAACCCGCAAGGCATCCAGGAACTTGGGATCGGACTGATTTCAGCAAGAAATGTTAGCAAAAACAAAACTGCCACGCTAATGATTTGCCATCCCATCAGGGATGACTAACCGTATTGGCCTTGATCTTTCCACAGTTGTGGCAGACAGTCTCCAGCAACTTCTTGGTCTTCGTCAGAAAGCCTACAAGCGGTTAGCTCCAGGATCACGTCGTATCGTTTCGGTTAGGGAGGCGTCACATACCTACGTGAAAGACGGGTGTCGCGAGCTCAATATGACCGAAATGTCCAGGACATTCCTTCTGGCCTTCCTCGCAGGTCTCGCAATAGTATTGACGATCAATCGTGCCCAAGCGGGGATCGTTGGGTCCTTTCGTCCGTGGCCGCTGTCTCTGCTCATCCTATTTTTTGCAACCGTGTTAGAAGTCACTCGTCTTGCGCCACCTGGCGTTGAGGATGAGCACTAACCATGGTCTCGGGATATTCCACATGGACCACACTCATCCGCTTGATCTCCTCTGGAGAGAGGAGACCAAACTGGATCTCCTTGATGGTGCGCAGAGGCGCCTTGGAGTAAGGGAAATAGACGTTCGACATGGTTGGCGATTATCGATATGGCTGAGGTGTCAGACGGCTGTTCGATAAGGTGCTGTCGCAAGCTGGTGGAACTGGTATCGACTGTCTCGGCTTCCCGAATTGCAGACTTCAGAGATCCGTCACAAGCGTCTCTAGAGAATGATATCGAAAAGCCCTTCAGTCACAAAGTCAGTGACTACACGAAGGGACAGTACCGGCTGGCCGGTGAGGCTCTGGCAGCCCTTGCCACGAGGGCGCCCTGAACCCAATCAACCCGACGTCGCGAAACTCGGCGATACGGCGTAGGAGGGATGGAAGGCCAGCGGGATGGTACTCGTGAACTCGAGAAGAGATATCGCGATGCAACACGCGATATTCTCGAGCGTTGGGCGATGAATGGATGGGTCGTCGCGTTGATGGAAGGGAGTTGGTTTGGCGTCGTCTCACCTGCGGTCAGGCAGGAGTTTTAGCCCGAGTTTTCTTTGAGCCGCAGGCGCGCTAGCGGCACCCAATTAAAAGTGAGCAGCGCTAGCCTCAAGGCTTGGCAAGTTCTGCAGTGTGCCCCGGACACCCGCCAACCGCCTTATCACTTCACTGCGCGCAGATACGCAGTTTAAACGGCCTCGTCTTGTTTCCAGAGGCGCGTGCCAGCAGTCTTATTCACTCTCACTCAGTGCAACTTCACTCCCTGCACCAGTGGCAGATGAGATATTTCAAACCCTCCAGCCCGTGAACCAGGCTGGACATGGTCATTTTCCTGGCACCTTCACATGGCCGGGCTCTGATCCCCGCAACCCAGCGCCATGAATCTCTCTCTGGTTGATCCCTTTGTCCTGGCACAGGACTACCCGGACACACTAACGGGCAAACTGAGTATGATTTCTGTATTTTTTTTTTGCAGCCCCATAACACGAAATCCATCATACTTACCCAAATTACAGGAAGCGGCCACGCAACTTGTTTACGGTTCAATCGCAAAGGGGATTACCTCGCATCTGGGAGGGTGAGTTATACAATTTACGGTGGCGCTTGCTGGCAGAGGACTGACAGCGACGCTAGGTCGATGGCACAGTGGTCATATTTGACGTCGAAACAAATGGAGTGGCGCGCAAGCTACGAGGGCACACCAGACAGATCCAGTCCCTGAGGTACCAAACTGTGCATCCCATGCGACACCGGTGGCCAAAGCCACTGACACTATCACAGCTGGTCTAGATGCGGACGATACCTGTTAAGTTCCTCCCAGGACTGGAAATGCATTCTGTGGGATATGAAAGATGGCTCGCGGGTGCGCAGTGTCCGGTTCGAAGCGCCGGTATACATTGCTGAATTACATCCCTACAATCAGTACGTTCCTGATCAAGCTTCCAAATTTCTTCACCTGCAAGATATCTGACTGACTGTCCACGCAGTTGGCTATTTGTCGCATCGTTATTCGAAGACCAACCGGTTCTAGTAGACATATCCTCCCCTAAACCTATCAAACGGATCCTTCCTTCCGCCCCCCTTCGTCCGTCGATTCCCAATTCTAACGAGGCCGACCCATCCGTGGCAGCAAAGCAAGCAGCTCAGGATGCTAAACATTCTACGTGCGTGACGATCTTTACGGCCTTGGGGAATCACATCATCGCCGGAACGTCCAAGGGATGGATCAACATCATTGAGACGCAGACGTGTAACATGATACACTCAACACGGCTATGCAATGGCGTTGTGATCCTCATTCGTCTCGCCAGCAATGGGCGCGATTTGCTCATCAACAGCTCCGATCGAGTTATCCGGACGGTGCTGATGCCGGATCTTTCACAACTGGGAGTGGGACTGGATCCGGCCAACATCAAATTGGAAGTGGAGCACAAATTCCAGGATGTCGTCAATCGGCTCAGCTGGAATCACGTCGCGTTCTCATCGACGGGAGAATTCGTCATGGCGTCGACATTCATGAACCCTGACATTTACATATGGGAACGAAGCCACGGATCGCTGGTGAAGATCCTCGAAGGGCCGAGGGAAGAGATGGGAGTGGTGGAGTGGCATCCATCGCGTCCGATGATCATGGTCTGCGGCCTGGAATCCGGCTGCATCTACACGTGGTCCATAGTGACGCCGCAAAAATGGTCTGCGCTGGCCCCCGACTTCGCGGAAGTGGAGGAAAACGTCGAGTACGAAGAACGAGAAGACGAATATGACATCCACCCTGCGGATGAGGTCCACCAGCGTCGCCTGGACCAGGAAGACGAGGTCCCGGACGTGCTGACTATCGAGCCGGTCAAGGGCGACGCCGACGGAGGCCTGGAGACGTTCCGGATGCCGGTTCTTCTCGATATTTCGGACAGCGAGAGCGAGGACGACATTGTGGCGGTCGGACCGGGAACGATGCGAAGACGGAGTCCCGGCGCCGGCCGCGAGTGGGCTGTAGACGGAGACGGCATTGGAGATGGTGGAAATGGTGGTGGTGGTGGTGCCTCAAGCCGGGCGGTAACGAACGGTACTGCAAGAGGTCATAACCGTGGACGACGAAAGCAGCAGCAACAACAACAACAACAATGATTTTTTTTAAGGCAAATAGAAGCTGGAATAAAAAAGACAGGCAGGGTCCTCATGGATAATGAAGACGTCTTCGATTATTATTATGCATGTACTGTATGAATGGAATATAAAAATGTCTCACGGTCTCTTTTTTGATATCTACCTAGGTAGAGGGTTCAAAAACAAAAAGGGACGATTCGCTTTTGTCCAAAAGAAAAAAAAGCAATAAAAGTCATTCCTTCCAGAGCCGGATCGATCATATGCCATTAATTAATTACTTTTCTTTTCCCCAAGAACCAAGAGCCAGAACCGCGGTCTAGATACATAACCAAAACGTGAACGTGAAAAAATTCCGGGTATACAGGATACAAGATGTATGTATATATATGAGAATCATCATAATCATGGGCCACGTCACGTTAAAAGAAGCAAATCATCGCCAGAAAGGAGACAGAGAGAAAGAATTTCTATCTCATCTCCCCATAGTCAAAGGACAACGCCATAGCAATGCGCTCGTCTCATGCTGAATGCAAAAAAAGAAAAATAAAAGGGGAAAAAAAAAGAATCAAGACATTTCTCATGACTTGTCGCATCTTTGACAGCCCGGGACGAGGGAGGAGGGAGGAGATCCGTCACGGGAGACTAAAATATACAGGCCGACTAATCCAGCTCACGCCAGCTCGTATTCTCGATTCTATATCTGGGTCAAGGCTGAAATCCCGCGAAGGGAATGGTGACGGACCCAGGGCAAGTCTCACATTCATGCTCGACTCGACTCGACGAACCGAACGAAGAACTGCAAAAAGGTTCTCGCGGATGGGAGCTGGTTGGAGATTGTTGAGAAGTCTGGAAGAGGAAAATTCCCCTAAGATTCTGCACTGGTCGTCGTCCCTGCGTGCGATTTGGCCCAGCACGCTTGCTCCCCGGTCTCCACGTCACCAATCCAGGCGTCTCGAAGGGCCTAGGCTAAGCCCGACTTCATCGTCATTGCTTGCGTCGGAAGGATAAGACGGTTCCCAGTCGATTGGGAAGATCAATACTGAATCTAGAGGGTGGCAGGTAAAGGCCGCAAGGATGTGGGAACACTATCACGTTCCCCACCATACTGCAGACAAGGTGCATGGAAGATGGGGCTTAGATGGGTGGGCGGGGCATGCGTGTGATATCACCGGTACGAACGGGAGAATTGCCGGTCCCCTGTCAGTTCTCCGCCGACAACGGCTTTCGGGCTTGGTAGATGTGCAGAAGATTGTATGCATGGATTTCTTTGTTGAACGCTTCCAACTTGACCTCGTCCGCCAATCTCCGGATCTGCTCCACAGGCCAGTGAAAGACACGGCTAAAAGGAGCCAGACTGAGGGTCTCGATACTCTCCGAAATGGCCAGGTTATACCACCGGCCAACCGTCTTTTCATGCTCATCCTGGAGCCACGGGTTAAGGGGCAGACCAACTATCTGGTGATCGATCTGAACAAATCCCGCCTCTTTCAGCTGCTGCTTCGTCTCAAAAGACTTATGCGCAATGGGCCTCATCGTCTGCTCCGTGGCCTGCCTGAGATACTGATACCACCTCGACAGGGCAGTGTTCTCCAGAGAGCGTCCTTCGCACCGGGGTTCAAAGTCAATCTCGACTTGCTCGAACCATGCTCCGGGACGGAGATGGGCAAAGATCCTCCGGTAGAGGCTGGGCCAGCTGGTCACACTACCCGCACCCATCTGCATATGGATCAGGTCCCAGTAATTCTCGCCTAAATTCCAGGGGCTCTCAAAATCCCATGGGGCATAGAAGTCGCAATTCTTGGGGATGTTCTTGGGCTGGATGGGAGAAAGATCGACTCCGACGACAAAGGACTTGGGGTATTTATTGGCCACATCGATGGCCCAGATTCCAGTGCCGCAGCCCAAGTCGAGAACTCGGCAATCGTCCGAGTGGGGAGCGTAGATGAGTCTGTCGCCGATTCGAGCTTCCGTGATGACTTTGTGGAATATGTCGAGACGGTCCTGCTCCTGTTCGTCGCACGGGAACGGATACACTCCTTTCTTGAAGCCATGGTATATCCGTCCATTCTCCTCATAGTCCTGGTACTCTGGCTTCTCTGGAAGCCTTGAACCATCGTCAGTACACAACAGCCGAAGAAGGGGAAGAAATACGCCCGTAGCATAGAAACGTACTGGTTGCTGCCATAAGTCCCCTTTGTCTGAGAGGCACTGTTGCCCCAATTGTGCCCTGGATGCCCCTGCTGAGCTCCTTCTCGATCTGTAGGGGAATAAATATTCATGGCGTCCGAAGGCTGTCTGGGCCGATGGGGTTCGGCCGGGAACGGCGCTGGAGCGCTCGGGGAAGGCTGGGAATAAGTCGTGGCGGCCAACTGCGGTTGACCGTGTTGCGGATTGTGGAACATGGTCGTCCGGCCCCGAAGATATCAGTCGATCAGTAGAACAGGTCTAGAAAAAAAAAGGCGGCCGGAACAAGGCAGGCGAAGGATAGATATACGTGGTATGAGCATGGACGGAAGCAGCTGGGGGGGGGGGGGGGGGGGGCACAGCATGACCTCAAAATTTGGCGTAGATTGGACTGCGGTGTGCCAACAGAGCTCCGGACTCGCTTGGCCGACCAGACGCAAGACCAGGGCGCCTTCCAGAGGCTGGCGCGCCAGAGCTGGTGCTTCCAGGTTGGGGGAGCGACACGGCGAGCCGGCGGAGACCTGGCCTGAACAGGCAGACGAGACGGGGGAGGAAGAGTGGGCTGGCCGGCAAGAGGGGCAGCAAGCATTAAAGTTGACCGCAACACTCCGCGAGCCTGGTTAACTGCGCTGGTAAGACCGTAAGCTGGTTACCTGGCAGCCAACCCAGGCGGAGCCCGCGGCCACGAAAGCGAGGCGGGGTGACGGTGGACCCTGGCCGGACGCTGGATGCAATTCGAGCAGGCTGCCAGGCCCAGGGACGATGGCCTGCCTTTAGCTCCGCTAGTCCTGCAGCAGGCCTCCATGGAGTCCATGGCAGTCGTTGCAGCGTCCCTTCTGGTCTGCGGCCAAACGCATCCATCCAGACGCTCCATTTGCAGCGCAGAGGCCAATGGCGACCGGGCGCCAACGCCGTCGCGCTGGGATGGAGCTCGTCCAGAATCCTCCGTCTCCATGCGGCTGCTGCCGATGCCCTCCACACCGGCACGACTAAGAGGGGCTCCAACCGCCGCCGCCCAGGCCCTTGGGCCCGGCCATGGATGATGCACCGCCTTCTCCGTAATGCACCGCAACGCGCCCATCTGGCGACGCTTCGAGCTAAGCCAGGCCTGCGAACGCAGTCCGGAGAAGAGAGTCGTTCCCTATTCCCGGCAGACAACGTCGACTTTGGTGAGCATGCTGGTCTGGCTGCAGAAGGCACCAGGCAGGAAGCCACACGAAACGGCCATCGCGGTTTCCATGTTGGTGTTTTAAAACGGAGCCATCGCTATCCGGCCAGGGAGAGAAAGGCCTCCATCAGGCCGCGCTGCCAATCTGCGACCAACCGCCACGGCCTTTCGGACTCGTCGATTTGTCCTGAATCCTGATGGGCGCCCCGGGGAAGCGGGTCTTGAACACTGGCAACCCGACGGTCTGGTAGAGCTAAAGGTGGCGGCCACTCGCTGCGCCGCAAGCAGAAGCCCGTCTTGTATCACGCTCTTCTCCAGCCCACACCCCCCGGCCCCGGACCCGGTCTGCGGCCTCTACCTCCCTGTCGCTGCCTCTATGATTCCTGCCTGGCGCGCCCAGCTGGACCAGAGTGCCAATAGTCTACGGTTTGCGACGTGGTGGACGGCCAAACTCCGACGGGGTCCCGCGTCGCCTCCATTTTCATGTCATGCAGCGGCAGGAACGGACGCTAGCAGTAGGCGAGGGCTTGGGCCTCCGCGGCCTCTCCGGCGGGCCTTTCGGGCCATCAAAAAGCAAAAGCAAAACGAAAACAGAAGACCTCAGGCACCACCCGGTCCCAGGCCATTGGTCCACTCGCAGCGCGCAAGGTCTGGATAACTCCTCCCCGAGAGCACCGTCCCGTCTATTAATTCCTCTAAACTATAGTCGCCAGTCCTCGACGGACTCCGCGGACTTCCTCTGCCTCTGGAGTCCTTGACCGCTTTATCGCCCCACCGCGATCCTGGCATCTAGTCAATCCGGTCCAAAGTCATGTCCATAGGATGCCGACCGCGGTGGTGTGATTGGCAGCAGGCCCAACCCCTCAGGTGGTGATTCCAGTCTCAGCCATGCACTCGGCTCACTGCCCCGCGAATCACCATGCTGTTTATGCAGGGAGAATTCTAGTTAATTATAATGAACCGAACTACAGGGTTGGTCGTCAATGCCCAAAATAGATGTACATACATGTACTGGCTGCCATTGGAGGACCCAAACGTCCGGTCCGTCTCGTTCCACCGGTGGGAAGCCATCGCCAGCGATTATTCAACTTGTGCTCCCTTGTGCTAGATGGCTATGAAACTGCCAACAATGAGCGGGGATCCCAGACACGTCATCCATATGGGAGTTGCTCCCAGCGAGTGACAGGCCATGGCTGGACAGTACCTGTGACTTGGTCCCCAAGGCACACACACTAAACCAACGTCACAGCTGTCCAAGTGGATGCCGGGAACCAAGGTTTTGGCTGGTCGTCTGCCATCCTACACCACACAGGGTTCGGCATCGCGATGAAATGCAGAAGCCATAATCGACTGAACTTCCCTGGATAATAAAGCCGGACCAGGTTGGGTCATTGCAGCATCAATGACATCAACATCACCAAGACGACCAGCAAGACGTCTGCTATGGTGCCCCAGGTGACTGTTGCCAATTTCGAAAGTCGCCTCCCGGATTATGGAAATAGTCGCCTGCTCATCTCTCCATCGAACTTAAGTGTTGGTCCCATCGAGGTCAGGTTCCTCAATCGAATCTCAAAGAACAATCCCCGTCTGCGGTAGTGAAACCGTTACGAATCGCAGTGGCGCCGTTCTGAGAAGTTTCCTTTGAAACTTGGCCGAAAACGGTTGCTTATTGATCGACTCTCCAGAAAGACCAATATTTTTTTTTCCTTTTTTTTCCCCTTCGAACTTCTTGTTTCTATGAAGCATTGTCCCCAAAAAGTTCTCCTTTCTAAACTGCCTTCGCAAAACTTAAAAAGGGACCGTGCAGGAGCTAACATGCAAGCCAGGCATAGAACGTCCTCCTGTCTGTTGAGTATCTACCCAACTGTACGGACACCTGCATAGCAAGCAGGAAGGACTAGTAGACGTGTCCAATACCGGGCTCACCCGAAGTCGGCGCTGATTTCTATGAAGGACCTAAAATAAGAGATTCAGCTGTTGTCACACATCACTCAGATGGATAGTCCAAGGAACAAACAACTCGGCAGGCGAGGCTGATGTCTCCTCTGGCCACAAAAAACGACAGCTTTCAGCTAGTGACTAATGAAAAGTACTCGTCTGACTGTGCCGCAGTCTAGGCAGTCAGGTTCTGCCAATCTTGTTGACTCGTCAAAGTATAGGATTCTGTTCCCTGCATCCGCTGTCCCAACAGCCTGGGCCTGGGCCACTTCCGAAGTTTAGGCCCAACCATGGATCCCACAACACTGACGGTGCACTTGGGCACGGTGACAAACACTAGTGGCAATGAAACGACTTAACTTTTTTTTCCTTCTTCCTCTGGAGCAGATGGCCATTCCGATTCCAACGGTATCTCTATCTCTGCATGAACTGGTTACAGTCGGGCAATTAGGTAAGTGCTGGCAGCTCCGCACAGACCAGCGGCGCAGCACAACTTGGAAACTTTTTCCGGAAACTTGGCGATCTGCTCCTTGCGTCATTCAACATTGGCTTGCACCACGATAGTTGGATCTGCTAGGAAGCCACTAACCGACAGCTACATCTAAGCATCAAAAAGTGGTATTCTCGCATGAGCGAACAATAGTTGTGCGATTCCTGGGGAACTCTGTCAACAACGCGACGCGAAAAATAGGCTAGAAGAAATCTGACTCTGAGGCGTCGCGTTAAACGAAATACTTGATAGAGGGGATCAAATCCCATAGAAGCTCTTCTATTCGTTATTGCCAGAAGCCAATCTCCCCTGGTTTTTGACGGCTGAGTGTCGAGGTACCTGCGGCGGTCCGGTCCACATGCACACCCTCCAGGCGGCTGCATCTTCGTCACTCAACCTTCCTGCGGGCAGTTACGTGTATGCGCTTGCTGGATCGCCTTCGTCTGCAGGCGGCTCCTTTGCGGCAATCTCGTCAGATGACTCCCTCCGGCTATTCGACGGCCAATCTTTGAAACTCGTATCCGTTGCTGCGGCAAAGACGCATGACCAGGGCGGTGTCACTTGCTTAAAAGAATTCCGACAAGGTCCAACCGGAACTGCGCAGGGTTTGTTGGCAACTGCTGGGAGGGATGGAGCTGTCAGACTGTGGGATGTCAGGGCCGGACATGGGTCAGGAAAGGCTGCTGTGGAGATGAGAACTGGTATGTCTTGTATTGTCTAGTTTTGTCTTTCCTCTTTGAAGAAAAAAAACACCCCCACCCCCCCCCCCCCCCCACAAACCCAAATTGGGTAAATATCTCTACCTGCCAGATAAAGGCGTTCAACTAGACTGAAAATTGGGAATCAAAAAAGTTGGCATGACCACAGTCTTACTTGCATTTATCCTGGTTGTCATTGTTTTGAATCTCATTGTTTACTCCCTGGATGTCTACTTGGAAGTTGACAAGCGAACCTGTGAGCTGACTGTCAGCCTGGTCTAGCCAAAAATGCCCCCATATTATCTCTGGCCTGCCATGCTGCAACCAATACCGTTGTTGCTGGAACAGAGCTCGTGTCATCGCAGGCAGCAGTTGTGTTTTGGTAAGTGGCTGCACGAGAACTGCGTGGAACAGTCTTCAGCCTTGGTTGCAGTAATCCCCGTGCATGCGTCTAGACTAAGCACTAGGAACTTTTTGCTTCATATATTGCATATGTACCCTTTGTTTCTTTTTTTTTCTGCCCTCACTCCCACTTTCCTTTCCTTTCTTTTGCTTCTGCAAATCTCATCCCAGTCGATGAGCTCTGTCGGTTGCTTGAAAGTGAAGTTCAGCTACTAATCCCTGGCCAGGGATGTCAGATCACCAAAGGAAATCCGGCATGAACTTCTCGAGAGCCACAATGACGATGTCACGGAGGTATGCTTTGAATGATCTTTCTCTTAGTTTGGTGCCATGGAGCTGAAGAATAACCTTTCTGCGATCCTTAACAGCTCCAATTTCATCCGACACGCGATAATGTCCTACTGTCGGGCAGCACGGATGGCCTAGTCAACATCTATGACACAACGATCACGGACGAAGACGAGGCACTTTTACAAGTCATCAACCATGGCTCGATTCATCGCGCGGGATTCCTATCGGAAAAGGCCGTCTACGCGCTCAGCCACGATGAAGTATTCGCGATTCATCCGATGACGGATCCGGACAGCAAAGATGATCCAAGCCCAATTCAGTTCGGAGACTTGAGACAGCCTCTGAGCTGTGAGTATGTTGTCCAGACTCTCGCCGGCAATCAGGGGATTTTCCTGGCGGCGGGGAACAAAGCGTAAGAACCGTAATCATCCAGTTCTGCAGATGTCCCCGTGCTAAGTATGGCAAGCAGTGAAAAGAGACTGGACCTTTTCCCGATCGTCTCAAGTCCAAAGTGGCAATTTGACCACAGCAACATCTGGCGTCTCCCCGGAGCCCATGGCGAGGAAGTCGTCCGGACGGTGTATCTTGATGAGCAGGTATGTCAAATTTCTTCCAGTGTATCGAAGTCATGAATAGATACTCACACTGGTGGCTCTACAGTCAAGGACGATTTTCACTGGCGGAGAAGACGGCTTTGTTCGGGCTTGGAAGCCACATGAGGCTGAAACCGAGGCGGAAGTGGGAGGCGACAAGGAGAAGCGCGACCAGCCCTCTGACAAACCGGGTCCAAGTTCCAAGGAGGAGAAGAAGAAGAAGCACAAGGAGAAACGGTACAAGCCGTATTGAATGTAATCATAAGATGTAAAGTCCGATCTAAATAATATGTTCTAATAAAACTCTCGTGATACATGTCTCCGTTTATATATAATTTACATTAAGCAGACATTAACACCATGAGAATCAGCACCTGGTGAATTATTATAATACATCGCAAGAATTCGTATATATCTCATCTAGAGCGATATTACTCTTCCAATCTGACGCTGGTTGGGAACATCAATACAATAGGTAGGATCATAACAATGAAGACAGAGAACATGCACGGCAGTCAGAACAGCACTGTAAAAAGTTTTCCCCTCTCCCTTTTCCCATTCTCCACATAAGTCCTCAAAGCGACTGATTATGCAACAAGTCCTCGATGGTCTAGTGGCTATGATTTCCGCTTGTCATTCCGCGAGGAATACAAGCGCGGGAGACCGGGGTTCGATTCCCCGTCGGGGAGACAACGAAAATATCTTTTTTTCCCCTCATTTTTTTTGTTTTAGATTTTTTTGCCCCTCTCCCTTTCCATTTTCCCAGATAAATTATCAAATCCAGCAAGAGTCACAACTACGTAGTACTAGAGAGCGACAAGTGAAAACACCTAGGCACTCAGGTAGACCGTCGAGAATTTGTTGTGTGGGGCCGGCCGGTCACAACAGCAGACGATGTTCTCTAATTAGGAAGGAGACTCGGCTTTTGGATAAACCAATATCCGGTACGTCAAGCAGTAACAAGCCAGTCGCGTGGTCTAATGGTTATGATTTCTCGTTCACAAAGTGAACTCACTAAGATCCGAGAAGGTTCCCGGTTCGATCCCGGGCGCGACTAGCTTTTTTGCTTTCTTTGCCCCACCCGGAGTAACTCCTTGTTGATACGTTAAGCTTATCACTCAACGCCCGGGATTTTTTTTGTAGCTTGGATACCTAGTTTTTGGAATATTATTATTTATCGTCGTATCGTCATCCTCCTTTCTTTACTAGGAACCTCCCTTTCCCTACATTTTTTTTTTTGGCAGAGGTCCCAGAGAAAACAATACCTTCAATTATGATGTCGATGTCTTAATAAACTGCTTCATTGTGTTTTCACCTTTTCTCCCTTCCTAACCCGCTCGCCACGCGGGTTTCCTCCGACTTTTCGTCCCTCGCTCTCCTTGCGAACTTCCCGCGATAATAACAATAATAATCGTTATTACTACTATTAATCCTCAACATACACCACCTTCATGGACGCCCAAGCATACCTCATCCGCCACGGCTGGTCCGGACCCGGCAACCCGCTCAACCCCAACCGTCGTCCCGGCCCGCACGGCGGCCTCGGCCTGACCCGACCGATCCTCGTCGCGCGCAAGCAGAACAGGAGCGGTATTGGCAAGGAGGCGCAGGGTCATCCTTCTAATCAGTGGTGGTTGCGGGGCTTTGAGGAGGCGCTGCGAGGGGTCGGTCAGGATAGGAGCGCAACAGCAACAACAGAAGCAGGAGGTGGTGGTTCTTCCAGTGGATCGAACACGCTGGCGAAGGGGAGGAGTGAACTGTACAGGTTTTTTGTCCGGGGGGAGAGTCTGCCGGGGACTCTTGAACAGAAGACTACTACTACGACGACGACAACGACAACGACTACTACAACAACTACAACTACGACTACATCGGCTGTTGTGACACCGTCTACGTCTACGTCGAGTGCTGTCGATTCCGATACGAGTTCGACAGTAACGAAGGAGGAGAATAAAGACAAGAAAGACAAAAAGGAGGAAAAGAAGAAGGGCAAGAAAAGAAAGCGGGAAGAGGACGAGGAAGAAGATGACTCTGAAAAGCAGACGACATCTTCAACGAAGAAAGAGGAAAAGGAAAAGCGAAAGAAACGAAAGCTGAAGGAGTCGAAGGAGGAGGACGACGAAGAGAGGAAAAAGAAGAAGAAGAAGAAGAGCAAGGACACACAGAAAGAAGAGGAGAAGGAGGAAAAGAAGAACAAGCGGGAGAAAGACAAATACGAAGACGAGAATAGCGACGACGACCGTAGGAAACGGAAAAAGACGAAGAAGACGAGGGAGGACAAACAGGCGACGATAGAGGCACCAGCATCGTCGTCATCAACATCACTTCCGGACAACGAATCGGAAGAATCGACTTCAGCTGCAAAACAACAGCATCAGAGCGAACTGTCCTCAAAAAAAGGAGAAAGTGAAGGAGAAGAAAGAGAAGGAAAAGAAGAAGAAGAAGAAGGAAAAGGAAAAGGACGGAGACGAAAGGGAGGAGGAATCCCCTCCCAGCGTTGAAAAAGAGGGGACGAAAAAGGAAAAGAAAAGGAAAAAGTCAAAAAGTGAAAAGGAGCGAAAAGAAAAAGAGAAAAAGGGCCAGTTACGATGAATGAGTGAGTCAGTAAAGGAATGACTCGAGGCCGCAATGGCCGTGGTTGTGCAATCTATACACATATACCCTTGTTTTTTTTGCCATCTAGACATTTAGATACTGCTTGGATATGTATATGTACATACATACGTGCAGTACATACATACATACACTGCGGCATTGTATCTCTTGTCAATAGATAGAGATTGCTAGATACCATACTAGCTAGACATCATACTAGATAATCTAGATACCCCAAACCCCCTCATCTCATCTCGTCCAATTATAATAATAATTCATAGGACAGGAATTAGAAATAAAAGCCATAATTCTAAACACATCTCATCTCATCAAGAAAATAATAACAATAACCATCTTCAACATTACCCTTTTTTTATCAACTATCAACAGGTAACTTCCCCGGTCTATTCGACAAAATCCACGGCCTCCTAGCCCAGAAATCATCCTTGATGATGTCGACATGCTCGACCACGACTTTGGCCTTTTGGCGGAGTTTGCGCAGTTTGTCCTGCTGGGAGCGGGAGAGCTCTTTCTCTTTGTCTCCTGCTGCGGAAGAAGGTTGTTGTTCTTCGCTTGCTCCTGCTCCTGTGTTTGGTTCTTCTAGTTGGTACTAGATTTAAAAAGATTAAGCTTGTCAGCTGATTATACCAGAGACTATTTATTGTCAATTGCTTGTCTTTGCTCTTACCTGGCGGTAGACAACGCTTCCTTTCTTATACATCTCCGGCTCGTTGTTATAGTTGATTCCAAACCGCTTGAACAAGATTTCGTTCTTGTCGGATGATACGGTGCCCTGCGATTTTTTGACATTGTCAGATTTATGTCTGGGTTGATTTACTGCAGTACTGTACTGCGTCGTACCTGCAACTCCTTCTCTGCATCTGCATTGCTCATACCCCCCTTTTGGACCAGGGCCCAGAAGGTCGTGTTATAGAGGTTGTTGATGTGGCCTGCAAAGCACGACTCGTGAGCAACAAATTTCCTACTCTAAATAGGGACTAAGTATGTACAACATACAGTCAACCTGTCGCCAGCTCATGTAATCTCGCAATGTCTTAGTCGTCGGATATAAGACTGCTCGTCCGTCAAACGTAGGGAGGTGTGGCGGCTCGAGTGGCGTAGAAGGGAAGTAGGTCGGCCATCTGTAGATATAGTAGGCTGTAAATGTTGATACGATTGTCGATACGAGTTTGCTGACATGGTTAGTTATTGCAGTCAATGGATTTGATGATGATATGGATAGGAAGCGAGAGAGAATCATGCTGCCTTGCTTGATATTCACGAATAAGATAAATAGAATAGGGAGAACATTTCCAACTTACGAGCTCCTCCTCTCAAACAACTGGCAACTCGGGTGGAAGACAAAGCTGCGAGTTGAATTGAATCGAATCCCCTTTAGTAAAGGCCTCTCTTTCGGTCGTTCCCTTCAGTGGGGCGAAGGTGAAATCACAAACCTGTATTCGTCACTGACCCCGTATGCAATATTCAAGTCTGGGAGCTCCTTCATCACGTCGACGGCGGCTGCATTCATGAGATCCAATGCTCGGCGGTCGTTTGGTTTCTCGAAGCCATATTTGTCGGATAGTCTTTATCAAAGCGTTAGAATGATGCTTCATTTTTATTTTAAAAAAATTGTGCTTAATCAAAAACGGCGAAAAAAAATAACAAAAGCAATGGAAACAGAAGAAAAAGAAAGAAAGAAAAAAGTATCAAGCACTGAGTTAAACCCAACTGCGCTGTAGTGTCGCTCTTACAGAAGACGAATAACGAATAGCATAGCATCACCATCACTATCGAATAGAAAGAACATCCGCACACAAGACGCAACAAACAGGAAGAAGCATATAAATGAACGGAAAAAAAGAAAGAAAGAAAGAAATACTGTCTTCACACTTGAATGAACACACAACATGGAAACTCACTTGTGGAAGCCCCTCCCGTCGATTCGAACGACGATCCACGTATCGGGGAGCAAGACATCAGACTGCTCAAAGGACTTGACGTATTCATATCTTTATAAAGCAATAATCAGTCAGAAATCATAGAAATCTAGCGACTAGGTCGGAATGGTAATACGGGTGGATTCTAGGTTGTAATTATTATCAACATACTTGGAATTCGCCATCTCTAAACAATAAATAGCTCCTCCCCCACTTACTCCGTAACTCTTTCTTTTTTTTTTGGTCGGATTGCTGCGCGATCAGGCTAGGAGGTATATATGACAGGATAAGAATTATTAATAATCAGAAAAAAAAATTCTTGTCGATCAAAGTGAGGCTGTTTTTGTGGCAAAAGATTTCTTCTCCCATGAGATTAGATATTGATTGATTCCGGGTAGTACTCTAGTTGAGTCAAAACTTGAGTGGTAGAGTGCGGAACCGGAAAGTAGCCAGGCCAGCCGACTGACTGATTCACAGCAAGCAAATAATTATATAGAGGCAAGGAGACGTCAACTTCGCTGTATTTTCTGCATTTAACTGCCTACTACGTGCATGAATTCTGTAGCCCAATGGAATGAAACTGAAGATTCACGTTTAAAAAACTCTACATATTTTAAAAATTTCGTAGAACTGTCAAAACCGAACTCTGCTACAGCATAAATCATACATTTTGTAGTTCTACCACACAAAAAACGACTACGAGACCACTTCCTCCTCAGGTTCTTCGTCTCCTGTCTCGCTCGCCTTCTCGCTCGACTCGCTAGTGGTCTTGTCGGACTTTTTGGACTTCCTGGTAAAGAAACTTCGGCTGTTCTTTGAGGTGGACTTCTCCACAGACGCCGTGCTGGAAACGGCACTGTCCACGCTCTTGCCTAGCTGCGCCTCGCTAGAATTGGCGTCTTCGTCAATATCTCCTTGATTGGAATCATTCTTCTTCGAGAATATACCGGCCCGGTCCTTCCACGACAGATTGAACTTGCTCGAGCTGCTCTTGCGGGTGATCTTCTGAATGAACGACTCCTTCGCACTGCCATTTTCTACGGGGCTGCTGGAAGTTACCAGATCAAGCGAGTCGTACGATTCAGTCGCAGCTGATAGAGATCGGGAATCCTTAGACCGTCTCGACGCAGGAGGGGAGCTATCATCTGCCGTGGATTCATTCTCCTGGAATTTCGAGATGCTGCTCGAGTCCTTGTCCTTGTCCTTCTCTTTTTCCTTGTCCTTATCCCTATCCTTCTCCTTCCCCTTCTCTTTATCCTTTTCCGACTTCTTACTGAACAGAGTCTTGAAGGATGGAGCGGCAGGGTTCAACTTCGGAGTAACGGGCCGATGGGAAGACGAAGGCCTGGTGCCGATCGGTGCTTGCAAGGGTCGATGTTGTTTTTCGTATGCCCCTTGAAGGAAATCCGGCTCCGTAGCAGAAATGCCCAGTGGTAGATGACTCGAGGATCCATACTGAGTGGACGGGCGCCGCGACGGAGTCCGCGACCAGGCTGCCGGAGAAGCCCAATCAAAGCCAAGAGAGCTCCGCTGCCCAGCTGCCTCCCCTGATGGCCAGCCAAATGGTTCCGTAGATGGATGGGGAAGCTGGTTATCAAATGAGAAGGTCGACGACGGGCGAGGAGATAAAGAACCCCGTCGGACAGTGCCCAGAATCGACGACGGATCGATAGGATCATGCCTAGGGCTGAACTGGTTGTATCCAGTATTCTGATCAGAAGACCCGGCCGTGAGCAGATCGCCCGAGCCTCCAGAACCGAATTTGCTGGATGAAAAGATGTTCGCAAAGGCACTCCTCCTGGAGGGCATGTGATCGGAAGAGCTATCAGCCGTCACGTTCGTCGTGTTGCTCCGTGGGAAGAAGGACATTGCATTTGCCCAATTGCCTGTATAGCTGAGTCTCCGGCGTCTTGATCCGATGGGTTCTATGTCGTCGAAGTTCTTCGGAAACGACCGACTTTGTCCTGGCTTCAACGTCCCAAGCAACGGGGGCCCATCTGCAAGAGTCTTCCCACGTTGCCGGTGAAAGCCAAAAAGGCCAGACAGTCTCCGGGAGGCGCTTTGCACACCGCTTGATGATTCGCCTTGGGGGACTTCCTCGTTGCCTGATGGCTGATGATCCGCATCCCGAAGGCGGCTGAGACTGCTGTGGGGACTCGTAAAGAAAGTTGCGGATCTGGGTTCTGAAGACACCGGGGATGGTGACCCATGTGGAGCGCTCTCAACCGGGCCGACATCTGGATACTGCGCACTCGTAACTCCCTCGGGAATGTCTGAAGACTCTTCGTCTCCGAGGAGATCCGATGGTAATAACGCATCGGCTCGTGGACTCATCGGTGCGTTGCTTGTTGATATATCGGACTCGGCGGGAATCCCGACTGACCGGTCAGGAGGACCAGAGAAGGTCATTCCATTGGTGATGTTGAAGAAGGCAGAGCTGGGAGCAAATGTGGGCGAGTTGTTTGAAGGCGGATTGTAGTTCACGGCACGAGGAAATGACGGATCCATCTGAGGGAATGTCACTGGTGACGACACATTACTCGTGAGCGAACTCCGATGGCGTGGCCGGCGCATGGCAGCAGCGTGCGAGAGGTCTAAATCAAGAGGCTGTAGCGCGGCGAACGGGCCCGTGCCGTTGGCTCTTTGACTGTTGAGCCATTTCAGACGTTCTTGGGCTTCCTGGTATTGTTGCTGGGCCTAAAAAGTAAATCAGTATCATTTCATGTAGCAAATCCCGAAATAAGAACAGACCTGTGCGTGAAGGTTGACGAGAGTCGCATATCTTGCTTGGAGATTGCTTAGACGGATTTCCCACTGTCGAGCCCGTTCAGTATCGATCCGATCCAGCTCCTTGCCATCCTCGCTATCACCGCCTTGAAGCCTCTTTCTCTCCTCCTCCAGCTTCTTGATGCGGCCGCCTTTCTCTTGAATCTCCTCATCGATGCTTTTCATTTCTGCCTGTTCGTGGGCGATTTTTTCCCGGATCTCATTGGCTTGCTTGGCTGCCTCGGCTTCAACCCGGGCCTTCTCCTCTCTGACCCGTGTAATGTCTTTGTTCATCTGGGCGATCTGATCCTGCCACCGGGCGATGTCATCTTTGCGTTTCTTGCGCTCGGCCTCCTTCTGCTGCAGCAACCTCTCCCGCTTGGTCTTTTCGCTCTGCACGGTTCTGTTGACACTCTCAAGCTTATTCACGTGCTTCTTGAGATCACCGCTGGCCTCATCTTTTTCCTTGACGCGCTGCTTCAGTTCATCCCTCTGCTTCTCCAGTTCCTTGAGTGTCGCATTATGCTCCTCCTCCTCATCATTGATCTGCTTGTCCATCGCTTCATTCTCATGCTGCAAAGTCTTAAGACGTTCTGCCAATTGCTCCAGGGATTCACCAGTATCCTCGTTTGCCGAGCCTCGCTGGGCGTCATCCACCTGATTATGAGAGGTATCTGGACTTGTTGCTGCAGGAGATAACTTCCGGCCAGCCCCGGATCGTTTGCCTTGCACCTGACCTCCACTATGCTCTCGCGCCATGATCGGAGCTGCTGGAGCCACGAGCGCGGGTGTTGGCCGTGGCACAGACGCGCGAATGGTCGGACCGCCAGTGGTGTCATCTTGCTGAGTTTGGGACAAAGGAAGGGGCTTCGTGCGGACATGAAGGACGGCGCTCGCAGTCTGAAAATTAGCCGCGCTGACAGCGAAGACACAGATGTGATAGATATGTCCTGGGATCAGATTGCCAATGGCGACAGCCGTTTCAGCTCTCTTCGTTTCGCCCACTAGATTATCAGTCGTCAGCCATGAGGTTCTTCCAGTCACAACGACCTTCACCATCGCAGTGTCTACCTTTCGAATTGTTGATCTGTATGATATGCTTATGAATAGAGTTGTGGAAATCGGGCTGCTTCCAGGCAATTCGGATCTCCCGGGCTGAAATCTCCTCGAGGGTCACTTCCGGTGCTGGCGGAATATCGAGACCGAGCTTATCGACGAGAATCTCGTTGGGGGTCTGGCAGACCTGCCAAGCACGGTACAGCAGCCTGCAAAGGGACTTGTCAGCAACGCTCAAATGCGAGAGCTCCGCGAAGACGGCGGGAGCTGCTTACCAGACCAGCGCCCACAGGATGGTGGCCGCCAGAAACAGAGCCATGACGCCTCGCACCCTCACTCGCGGGACCACGCTGGGGTAGGCGTCAAAGGACCAGTACAGCGGCTCATACATCCCCGCGTCGAAGTCCATCCACAGACACGGGGGACAGCGGCCAGCGGCGAGGCTGTCGAGCTCGAGAACGAAGGTGCCTGTGGCGGCGGTGCTGTGCTGGAGTTTGCAGTGTTCCGGTTCCGCTGGCGAGGGATTTCTTGGCCGATGGGATTGGCCCGCTGGTGGGAGGCCCGGGATGATCGAGGCACGTGATTGCGCTGTGCTCCGCACTGCAAACCATCGAAGTCTGCAGCGTCAGCCTGCGGTCTCGCCCGTTGCGGCCTAGCGCACGGCGTAGTCAGCAAGTCACCTGCGCCGCCCTCCCCCAACTCGCCCGCCTCTGACTGGCCCGTCCCGTTGAGTCTGCCGCGGCCCGATGCACTCCCGCCAAGCGGCGTTGAGCGTTGAGAACGTGATGGGAATCCAGCCCAACACTCTGCTGGCCTCCTCCTCTCGCCCTGCTTAAACCCGTCACGTTCGCTGCGAAGTCCTCTCGTTCACCTCCTCCAGCTCCCTCTCCTGTCCCCTCCTGGCCCCTCCCATCCGGCCTTCTCCCTCCCCTCTTTCTTGGGCCGTGGACCCCGCCTGCTTCATGTTGCTATGAGGTAACGCGCAGCCCTCGATGGCCGCCAGTGTCACATGGTAATCGGCTGTCCCCCAACCCCCTCCGACTCCTCCCATCACCCCGCCGTATTTCCGCCTCCCCCTCGTCTACGCTGCCAAATTGTTCACTGCCACTCCTTCTACCGGTTCGGTCTGCTGCTTGCTTGCGGATTGCGTTCTGGTTGTGAGGGATGCAGTACGTTCGGAGCCTGAGCGGCTCTGTGTCCAAGACATGGAACTCCATCAATCCGGCTACCCTGAGCGGAGCCATTGACGTGATAGTCATTGAGCATGAAGATGGTTTGTGAACCGGTGGGACGCTTCTCGAGCGGACTGCGATCTAACTGCCGACCTAGGAACGCTCGCCTGCTCTCCATTCCATGTCCGCTTTGGCAAGTTTTCGCTGCTCCGTCCCTACGAGAAGAAGGTACCTACCTATGCTCGAGCCCACGGATGGCGTGGCTGTGGTTCACGTCGTTAATCATGCCCGCAGGTCGAGTTCCGCGTCAATGGCGTCAAGCAAGATTTTTCCATGAAGCTGGGCGAAGGCGGAGAAGCATTCTTCGTCTTCGAGACCACGGATGATGTCCCAGCATCACTGCAGACATCGCCTTTGGTCTCTCCTAGTGGTAGTCCGAAGCCATCTGCTGGCGCTGGAGCAGATGCTTCCTCGCTTCAGGAACCCGATGATCTGGATCTCGACAAAACAAATCACACTGTTGCTAAGAATGACTCGAAAAATTCGTCGGGAGTTCCGATCCGTTCACCGGAGCAGCGAGCGTCGAGTGATCTAGGTATGACCTTTTGAGGTTGCTGTCCGCATGGCGTATCCTGATTCATGCCGCAGGAACAATCACGCCTCTGTCACAGTCTCCTAGTGACTCCGCGACGAACCGGTCTCGTGTCGGCTCCTTTGACGGCAATGCCCATCCTGGCAAGTTAGATCGTTCCGCTTCCGAAGGAGTGCTTCCGACCACCACAAAGTCTATGGGTATGGCAGGAAGTAAAGATCACAGCCCACAGGGCTCGCCGCGGAGATCGGCAACAAGCAAAGAGGATGTTAATCAGAACCGCCGGTCGCTGAGCCCTCCTCCGGTCTCTCCGGAAGAGGCTGTCTCCCGTGCCATTGCTCTCTCGAAGAAACTCTCGGGATCGAACATTCCATCGCATGTGACAGAGACCGGTGACCTCATGCTCGACATGACGGGCTTCAAAAGCAGCGAGGAGGACGCTCTTCGCGCCGAACTCATCGCACGGAAGGTGCTGGCAGAAGAGTTGGAAGGCAACTATGACATTGGCGCGTTAATTGGGGCAGATGATCAGGGCAACCTGTGGATTTATAGCAGTGAGGAGGCAAAGGAAGCAGCCAGGCGTCGAAATGCACTTGGATCCATGAAATCGGGTTCATCAGGAGCCAGTGAGGATGCTGTTTCGGACCCGGGCTACCATAGTGAGGGTGAGAAGAAGAGCGCTCCAGCATCGACAGTGTCGACACGGCACCACCGTGCGCAATCGGACGTCCAAGCTGGATTTCCGACTCCTCCTCGGACGCCAACGCAGGATTCTTCAGCTGGAGAGCCCAACCGCAACTATGCCAAGACACTGCGACTAACGAGCGATCAACTCAAGTCGCTAAATTTAAAGCCCGGTCCCAATCCGGTGACATTCAGTGTCAACAAAGCAACCTGCCCGGCGACCATGTATCTGTGGAGCTGGAAGACACCTATTGTCATTTCGGATATCGATGGTACTATCACGAAGTAGGTCTACCTAGAGCGATTCCGCGTTTGTCAAACGGCCACTGACGCTGTCTACTCAGATCCGACGCTCTGGGCCACGTGCTGAACATGATCGGGCGTGACTGGACTCATCAAGGTGTCGCCAAGCTCTTTACGGATATCGTGAACAACGGATACAACATTATGTATCTTACTAGCCGCTCCACGGGTCAAGCAGACTCGACGCGGGCTTACCTTAATGGTGTCCTGCAGGACGGTTACAGACTGCCAAAAGGACCGGTCATTATGAGTCCCGACCGGACCATAGCAGCTCTCCGGCGCGAAATTTACCTGCGGAAGCCAGAGGTGTTCAAAATGGCATGCCTTCGCGATCTCCTCAGCCTCTTCCCGCCCAACCATAACCCATTCTATGCCGGGTTTGGGAATCGTTTCACCGACGCCCTGAGTTATCGATCTGTCAACATTCCCTCATCCAGGATTTTTACTATTAACTCCAATGCTGAGGTATCGTTGGACCTCCTCAGCTTAAACAAGTATAAGAGCAGCTATGTCTCGATGAGGGAGTTGGTTGATCATTTCTTCCCTCCTGTCAGCCTCCTCGTTCAAGGAGGAGGGGAGGAGTTTACGGATTTCACTTATTGGCGAGATCCACCCCCCAATCTGGACGAATTCTCGGTCACCGACAGCGAGGCTGAAGATGAAGAGAATGATGACGAAGAAGATGAAAGTGATCATATGTATAGCGATGACGAGGATAGCGATATTGGCGATGATGAAGAGCATGGTGATGGCCTTGCAGGCAGCTACTTCTCACGAGATTCCATTGACAACACCGATATGGTGAACTCTGTCGTCGACTCGGTCGCAGAGAGTCAACTCTCCGACGGCGAAGTGGACGTTACAGAGGATGAAGATGACGAATATGACGGCGGTCGTGTCACGTCCTCGTCCAAGCGCAGGTGACCGTCTTGGACAGTTATACGAAGAGACGAGAAAACGAAAGTTCCTCTATATGAAATTTTCCGGTACTAACAGTCTCCGTGTGTTGGGACAATGCAAAGCGGAACCGACATTATACCCATGATTCTATATGTTGATTATTCATTGGAAGGTTTACGTCAAGTTGCAGTGAATTGGCTGCCTTGTCGTATATATGGCGCAACGGACTTTGGTTATCATACTAGGCGACTTGGAATAGAGTTGCTTTTTTTTACCCTGCGTTTTGGCCTATAATTGCATTAACGGTTTTGCTATTGCCTTTTTTTTTCTCGGCGTTTTTTGAGGGCGTCTTTGTTTGCATACCTTGCATAGCCAGTGGAGTTATCAGAGCACCTTCTACAGACCACGGAAAGGCGTTTTTGCTATGGTTGTTTTATGTGGTCCGTTAGCAATGTTCTTCATTCGAATTTAAAGGTTGTTCGCCAATACACTTAGAAGTGGTTTGATACCCCCACTTTTCATGGATGGAAAAGAACTCGAAGCATGAAAGAGTCTTTCCAGGATCCAGGAATGCAAAAATTTCTATTCATGTCTTCACTGTGCGTGAGTGCGACGTGGTATTTGATCTACTGTTGTATAAAACGCGTGGGTCTGTATGAGAAACTAGAAGCACATTGACAGTCTGCGTTTTTGCATATGTAGCAACTTATTAAGTAGGAGACTATACAGTAAGCAAGAAGTTTTAGTTTTTGCTATATGAATGGTACAGTACGAACAGTCCAGGCATGGCGGGCAGTGGATGAGTATCCGAATGGGGAATGGCGTATCTGGTGAGCTTCGCGCCGACCTCAAAGAACGCCGCATTATATACTTACTGTCCACTTTAGCCAAGAGAACGCAGTTCTAGTCCACAGCACCTGTGTTTTGAGAATACGCTGTGGATGCCGGTTCCTGTCACTTCTATTCCTCTTCAGGCTCTTCGAGTAGACTTTTCATCCAGCCTCTGAAGAGCTATCCCATACCGCAATGCAGGGCTATTAACCACTACACCCGTTACGTGCTACAACAGCTTGCCCGACTATCGATCACCACCCCTCCTGCGAATCGTCGCCCGGATAAAACACATCTGAACAATGGCTTCACCTCGTCCGAATCAGACGTCTGCGACGACGCAGCCTTTGACGCCGCCCGCTGATCCTCCCGTGGCAAACAATGCCTCCGCGTCGCAGACCAACGCTGCCCATTCCAGCGCACCGAATCCCACCGTTGTCAACCCTCCCTCTATCCCGGCGACTTCGCTGAACGACTCGGGCAAGTCGCGTCGTCCACGCGATGCGCGTCTGATCCATATGCTGCTTGCTTCGTTGGGTGTGACGGCGTACCAGGAGCGCGTGCCCCTTCAGCTTCTCGACTTCGCCTACCGCTATACCTCCTCCACTCTGCAGGATGCTGTCCATCTCACCATGGAAGGATACGCGGGTAACCCCTCTGGGCAGGGAGAGGTAAATGTGACGGGTGGACGGGGCGGCGTCGAGGTGAACACGGTGACCCTGCAGGCGCTCCGACTGAGCATCGCCTCCCGGCTACACTACCAGTTCCAGCCCGGTCTTCCCAAAGAGTTCCTCATGGATGTCGCGTCGGAAAGGAATCGAATTGCGCTGCCGGGTGTATCGAGAGGGTTTGATGCCGCCGGCGGCGCATCGAAGAACGCCTTTTCCAACATCTCGATGGGCGGGATGAGGCTTCCCCCGGAGCGGTTCTGTCTCACTGGCATGGGATGGAATCTGAAGGATGAGTGGGAGAGCGAAGGGGAAGAAGATGATGATACGGCTGAACCGACGACAACGCAACCCGGTGCTGGTGCTGGTGCTGGTGCTGGGGTAGGTGCCGGCGAGAACGAAGAGGAAGGCATTGAAGACGAAGGAGACGGGAAAATGGAAGATATCTTTGGGGAAGACACAGCTATGGGAGAAGGTGACGAAGAGGAAGATAAGACCATGACCGATGCTTAATTTTTTTTTCAACTTCGATGTCATGCCATTTTTAATGGGGGTGATGTGTCCATTGAACTGAACAAACACAAACACATAAAAAAAAGAGGGTTGGCGTTTCAGGCGCATGGCTGGAGGAAGGGAGGCTACAATCTTTTTTTTTTTGTAACTTGCGAACCCGTGTAATTATTTAGAATATCCTTGAGGAAGAGCATATGGCGAGATGAGTTCTTTTTTCCCCCTTTGTTACTCTTTGCATATAAGAATTGCTTGTGTATGTGTATGTGTCTAATATAATAAATATATTTACTGTACATGAAATAAAATACAACGCAAATTGTGATAGGAGATTGTTCGTATGGATCGATCCCTATTCGTAAACCCCCGAAAAGCAAGCATAAAGCAACTCAACGCCCAGGAACTCACTGTACCATGCAAAAAAGGAAGAAAACAGAATTAACCAAGAGACCAACCAACTCGTAATAATCAATCAATATCCCGTCCTGTCCTGCCGCTTCCGGACGGAATGGGAATGCTTGCTTGCTCTCGTCACCTGCTGGCCAATTTCTCCTCTCTTTGCTTTCTTCTCCTCTCTTCGTCCTCTCTCATCATCTGGATGACCTCCTGTCGTCTCCTCTCCACATTGGCAGCTTCTTCTTCCCGCTGCCGCCGTCGGGCCTCACGGCTGGCGAACCATTCCTCGCGCGCGCGGTCCTCCTCCTCTGGCTTTGCGTGTGCCACCATGCATGCGTTCATGGCGAGTCGTTGCTGTCGACAAACCCAGGTTGCAGTGATGGTGCGGTTTACGACGCATTCCGCGAATGCTGTGAAAGACGAGTCAGCCAGCCAGCCAGCCAGTCAGTTTTGCATACAAAAACGCCCAATGATTATTACATTAAGTGGTATATTTTGCGAAAGCCGCCGGAGGAGATAGGTAGGAGTAGGACAAGAAGAATACTCACCTTTTATCTCTTTTGCACAATACCCTCTGACCCGTTTATAATATAGCTCCTTCACCTGCTGCTCTTGCGCTGCCGACAGAGGCATTGGATTCGGGTATTTGGGACGAGGGGCGCTGTCCGTGGATGTAGATGTAGATGTCGACGTTGATGTTGATGTGGTTGCCATGGTTTTTCAATTGTTATCAATACAGTCTTCTTTTGTATCGCTCTTAGACAAAATATTCGTCAAATTATTTTCAAGTAGTGGGTGGGATCGATCGCAATGGAAATAAATCGCTTTGTGAAACTTTAAGTCTGGAAAAGAGTTTAACATGAATTTATATCGTAACTTCTTAGAAGCTCATCGTCGCGCAGGGAGAGGAGACATAAAGCTGGTCGAGAAATCTTCAGATAGCCCCGCAGACTCAATTGAATGAGAATTGTCTGGTATCTTGCGAGGTCGAAAACAATATTGGAGGTCTTTCGTCGCGGCTGCGGAGTGACAGGCGCCGGAGCTCGGAGGTCAGTTACCTCTGCGCGGGATCAGCTGGTTGATTGGTGGGAGGGCCATCACCGCCTTCCAATTTTCTCTCCGCCGGCAATAAGTTTGATAGTTGAAATTTATTATTATCACGACGTTCACTTCACGATAAATTCCTCCACCAGTTGAGACTTTGTCCTTAGTCATAATCCATATACTAAACTGGCATTGATAATTTCCGCATTTATTTTTCTATAGCGAACACCACAATCACACCGCCAAAATGTCGTCGATGCGGAATGCCGTCTATCGACGGCAACACCGCGAGCGTGGCCAGCTCGAGGGCCGTGAAAAATGGGGTATCTTGGAAAAGCACAAGGTGGGATTTACCATATACCTATGATCTATCTGTTTTTGCGTCATTAGCTGGAGCGCTTGCGATTATGACACCGCTATGAGCGAAGGATGAGGAGAAGGAGACCAAGAAAGAAAAAGAAACTAACTTGCATATGTATATATAGGATTATGCCCTCCGTGCCCGTGACTATAACATGAAAAAGGCAAAACTGCAGCGCCTGCGCGAGAAGGCCCGCGACCGCAATCCAGATGAATTCGCCTTTGGCATGCTCTCGGCCCGAACTAGTAAGCAGGGCCGCCATGGGGCGCGCGATACCGTGCCGCTCAGCCAGGACGCCGTGAAATTGCTCAAGACACAGGATGCGGGTTACTTGCGAGTCGTGGGGGAGCGTGTACGCAGGGAGATGGAACGCCTTGAGAAGGATGTGCAGCTACAGGAGAGCATGCAGAAGGTTCTCGACGGTGGAAATCGACGCCCTTCTCGGTCTGATGATGATGACGAGGACGACGACGACGACGAAGTAGACGGTTTCGGAAAGAACAGAAAGATTGTGTTTGCAGACAGTCGGGAAGAGCAGAAAAAGTTAGGACGACTAGAAGATGATGAGGATGAGGATGAGGACGAAGGGGAAGAAGACGACGAAGAAGATGATTCTTTCGAACGACAGCAACAGCAGCAGCAGCAGCAGCAACAGCAACAAGCGAAAAAATCAAAGAAACAACTCGAAGCCGAACGGCAAGCCTTCCTCGAAATGCGCGCCGCTAACCGACTCAAACGTCGAGCGGCAGAGGTACGGCGCAACCGCCTCAAGGCGCTCAAGAAGCAGCATGCCGAGATCACGGCCGCTGAGCGAGAGCTGGACTGGCAGCGCGGGAAACTGGAGCATTCCGTCGGAGGGGTGAACAAGCATGGTATCAAGTGGAAGATTCGGGAGCGGAAGAGGTAGATAAGGCAGACGATAGTCATGTATGATATGGTCTTACGTGCAAAATTTATTTTAATTTGCGTATGGTGTGTGTGGCTGGCATGAATGTCATTTCGTCTCGTTTCGCATCGTTCCGTTTCATGGATTCGGGTTGATGGGAATGGATATAGATTACCTACAGTTCGTTTTGTTTCGTTTTGTGCTGTACATACTGCATACATACATGCTAACTAGGATATCATCTCCGGGTAAAGAAGAAAGAAAAATTAGGTATTAGCTTCCCTATGATTTTAACGATACCAACATCACTTAATCAAAAAAATGATACACATTAAGCCACAGTGTCTTAAAAACAGGGAAGAGGTGTTTTTTTTTCTGTTTGTTTTTAGTATTTTTGACGACACATTTTAAAAAACCTGCCAATTAACCCTACTGCCTCCAGATCTATATCTGTCCCATCCCATCTGCAGACCCAGCATTGTTACCTAGACGTCGATTCATTCTTTTCTTTTATCATTCTGTCATTCCTTAATGTTTTTCGGGTTTTCATTTTCGTACTTTCATGCCTTGTTCATCGCATCTACCCGGATGCTGACGGCACGCTTGTGCGCGTCTAGTCCCTCAACCTCCGCCAACTGCATCACTGCACCAGACACGTTGCGGAGCCCTTCGGCTGTCAGGTTCGAGCTCGTGATGTGTTTGACGAATGAGCCCAGGTTGACGCCTGAGTATTGCTTGGCGTAGCCGTAGGTTGCTGCAAGTAAAAGCAAATATAGCGTTAGTTTGTATGGTTCCTAGGGGAGAGAGATATGTCAGAAAGAGTCAACTTACGCAAAGAGTGGTTTACTCCCGCAGAGTAGTCTCCAACGCTTTCGGGCGTCCACTGGCCGATAAAGACGCTGCCGGCGTTCTGTACCAGGGGAATGACGCTCTCAGCATCCTGGACCTGGAGGATCAGGTGCTCCGGAGCGTATTCGTTGCTCAGGGCCATGGCTTCGTTGATGTCTTTCACCACGAAAGTAACAGAGTGCGCGATCGAGCCTCTGACGATATCAACCCGTGGCAGCGCGTTGGCCTGCGCGTGCAGCTCGTCTTCAATAGCGCTAAGCTGCTTCTCGTCGAGGTCGACGGCAATGAGAATCACCTGGGAATCGACACCGTGCTCGGCCTGACTCAAGAGATCCGAAGCGACAAAGGCTGGATTGGCATACTTGTCTGCAACGACCAGTACCTCGCTGGGTCCGGCTGGCATGTCGATGCTGACGCCTGCTGACGTGTCGTTCGACACCATCATCTTTGCGGCAGTAACGAATTGGTTCCCAGGGCCAAGGATCTTGTCTACTTTGCTGATACTCTGAGTTCCGTATGCCATTGCTGCGATTGCCTGTGCGCCGCCGGCCAGAACAATGCTTTCAGCACCCACTTTTCGTGCTACATAAACAATTTCAGGAGAGATACTTCCATCCGCCCGAGGCGGGGATGCGAAAACAATCTTCTTACACCCGGCCACCATAGCCGGCACGCCCAACATCAGTGCCGTTGAAGGAAGAACGGCTGTTCCACCAGGGATGTACAGACCGACTCTCTCAATCGGGCGCGCAAACCGCGAGCAAACCACACCGGGCATCGTCTCCACCTGCAGCGGCTTCTCATCCTTCTGAGCGCTGTGGAATCGCTTGATGTTCTCGAAACTGACATCGATAGCCTTGATCGTCTCAGGTGGCAACTGCATCAAGCTCTCGGGGAATGGCGCGTGGATCACCGGTGACTTCAATGAGGTCGCTTTTTCGAATTTGTGAGTGTACTTGAGAACTGCCTCATCCCCATTCTCCCGAACATCCTTTATAATCGGCCTTACAAGGTCAACAATAGCCTCATTGGACTTCTGAGACGGCCTTTGCAAAGCCTCTTTCACCACACTCTCTGGCGTGGAAGCGGTGACTATTCTCCTCATCTGGATACGGTCGTTCTTGTCTTGAGCGGGAGCCTTTGGCGCTGGCTCCTCTTTCTTCGGAGGTGTGCATTCAGATGGCTTTTGCGTCGTGAGACCGACCTTCTCAGCCCACGGGCCCTTAGCATCGCCCTTCCGTCTCTTCACCTTCAAGTTCTTCAGGTCGAGATTTCTCTCAATGTCTTCAAGGCTAACGCCGGCAGCAACGCATCGGGTAAGGGCGAAGTAGAGCAGGTCTGCCGCTTCTGAGGCGATATCCTCCTTGGACGATGCCTGACACAGCTCCTCTGCCTCCTCCATAATCTTGGCCTCGACGAGTTTAGGCTCATTGAAAAGCCGTGCCGTGTAAGAACCGGCAGGCGCGCTCTCCTTACGAGCCTGTAGGGTCTTTTGTAATCGAGAGAGGCCGGAATAAGCACCGAAACAAGTGGCCGTACCTAGGTGGCAGAAGCCTAACAGATGTCAGCAAGAACACTCCCTTTCGGCGAGACACAAAACCCACCTCTGCCTTTCTGTTTTACCACAAACACCAAGCAGTCCGCGTCGCAGTCCAAACCCACCCGTACCAATTCTTGGACATCTCCGCTTGATTGCCCTTTGTACCACAGGCCTCGTTTCCTGCTCTGGTAGACACCTGTGCCCGTTCTCAAGGCTTCTGCGATGCTCTCGTCACTGCTCCACACGAGACCCAGACAGATGCCTCTCTCATCCGTGACCGATGTCGCATACAGGCCGGTATTTTGATCGGCCACAGCGCGTGCTGCCAGAATCTTTGCGGCGGAAATCTTGTTGCCGGGTTCTCGCTCCAACGTCAATGAGTCGGCAGGAACAATGCTGATCACACCTTGTGCGACGCTCTCCTTCACGGCCGGCTCAGTCACAGACCCTCCAACGTAAGATTTGTAGACCCCTTGAGCCTCAGGATCAATTCCTAGCTTCTCCGCTAGATCCTTCGGGTTGGCAGCGCTAGTGCAGATGCCGATATCTTTCCTCTCTCCGCTCTCCGAAATCCAACTCTGCAGCCCGTCCACATCCTTATCGGAGACGTACACCACCAATCTTGACGATGGAACATCCTGCTCACGCGAGAGCGTCGTCAATTGTTCCAGAGATAGGAAAGCCTTCGCAGCACCCGCATTGAGGATGTCTACAACATCCCCTGCGGAGGCGATGTCGGTGACGTCAACGTACACATCGAGGAGGGGGAAGTTCTGCCGGATGAATTGAGATGCCTGCGACAGACTAGAGACCTTGATGAGCGTGCGGCCAAAGTACGAGATCTGTTTGAGCGTCAGGCCTGCGGAGGTGGGGGAGGAGGGGTCAATCGAGATCAGGATCGGGGATGCCATGATGAGCTGGCGGAAGGGCAAAAGGAGTAGTTTTGGGGAGGAAAATGGGGAAATTCACAGCCCCTTGAGAGTTGTCCTCCCTGATGGAGTTCGAATTGGCTAGGATTGTGTCAATTGCTGATTTTGGGAATCTTGAAGTCCCGTCACTCGCGGTGATGGGTGAAAAAAAATCACCGTCCGCGGCTGGCCGTATTTTCTGCCCCGCAATGATCGCCGCAATCGGAACGCCCGCAGCGCCCAATGGTATCAATACTATTATCTGCTCAGCTTCGCGCACCAAGATGATTTGATTTAAATTAGTTGAGCAGTGTAGAACAAAAATTGGATCGATAAACAAAAGGGATCGTTACAAAAATGGAAATAAGAATTAAGAGTATGTTAGAAAAAAAGATATGGTCGTATGAGTCATACTAAGCTAGGTAGCTGCGCGTTGGATGCTGTGGAGAACACAGTAGAGCTTTAGATCCATCACATCTTCCAACCCTAACTGAAAAGGATCTTCAATAACTGCTGACAGGGGTATAAGTATATATCTATATATCTCTAAATGATCGCGAAAACCGTCCCAAAGAGTTCCTGCATCACCGCTCTTGCGTTCTGCCTCTTTCCCTCTTTCTGTTGCCTGCGGACGACTTCTCGCACCAGCTGCGCCGTCCGAGAGGCATTACTGACACTACCCTTCATGCCTTCAATGCACTGGATTATCCATTCTCGGGTCTCGCTATCCTCACATTCGCAGCCTGCCATCATTAATGGCCACATCATGCTGATGGACAGGGTGCGGCCTTCATTGACGGAGAGTCGCGCAAAGTGGATGATTTTGTCCAAGGCACGTTTGGCCTGAGGAGTCGATGGGAGATGCACATAAGCGACTCGTTGGAGGTGGATATAGCACGCGTAGAAGTTGGCGCAGTAGGTGCGCAGATTCTGTTCGATCTTGGCAGCCAGATCTTGAGACAAATGTTGTCGAAGTTGGTCACCTTTGTCCGCAAGGTCGATGATGGCCGGTCGCCGGGTCCACAGAGCGCCAAGATCCTTCACGATCTTGTCGGCGGCACACATCACCTCGAATTCATCCGCAACGGTGCCGCGAGATCGGTGCCATTGGTCGAGTTGAGCTATTCGACCGGAGAATGTCAACACCTGCAGGTAGAAATTGTAGGCGAGCCTGTTCAGCGAGTTGTAGAGAATATCTTCTGTCTCGAGGATAGCCGCTTCGTCGCCGTTGGACGGATCTGCGTCCTGGTCGTTGACGGGCGACACGCCATCCCCGAATCCTTCCAAGTCCTGTACGTCAGGGGTAATAAGAAGATGGGCACCATCCCCGCCCGCACTGACGACTTTCGCATCAAGAAGCTTGAGCCATGTCCGCAGTTGAGCGCCTAGGACGGTCAAAGGTCTCTGTACAGTGTTGGATATGCTGTGAGCTCGCCGGAGCAGTTCGTAAGTATTGGTTGGAACAGATGTCGTGGTCAGCTCAACATAGCAGAGGAAAAACACAGAAGCTAAGATGACCTCATGTGTCGTCGCATCCACTTTGTCCGACACGCGCTCAAGGATCTCCCGGATCTCACTCAGGCCGAGTTCGTAGTAATGCGTCGAAGAAGGGACCGAATTCTTTGATGCCTCTGGCGATCCCGCAAATGACAGGGCCGAGAACGCGCAAATCGCATGCCTGACCACCGGACTCGAATTTGCCAGCCGTAAGAGGGAGACTCGCGCGCTGTTCCAACGAGGTTCTACGCCGATTAAGATTGGAGGCACTGCAAAGTCGGCGAGATGCCGTAGCAGAGTGAGTTCTCCACTGGTCACCCCGGACCCTGGTGTCACGGTTATGGGAACAGATCGAGGAGTCTTGACCGTGGAATGGCAACTACCGGCTGTCTCGAAAGGAAGCGCAGTTTGCTGAGTTACGGGATTGTTGTCTAGAGGCCCATTGAAGGTTACATGAGGCCAGAAACTGGAATCACCAAGGAGACCGAGATCCCACGCGTCCAAGTCAACGGGACCCTGGCCACCAAAGACAGGAGCCGTTGCAACTCCTATGTCATTCGGCAGCACCGGTGTGGCGGTGGCGTCATTTCGAGGCGTCGTGAGGTCTGTAGGAAGGGTTTTGATGCCTTGCGTTGATGAATTGGAATTGAGCGGAGAGGACTCGGACACTCCCCGCGTCGGGCTCAAAGGGTCCTGGGGGCCGTACGATGGCAAAGGAATCACCCTGGACACTCCCTGCGAAACGGAGCTTCTTCTTCTCCCTGCTGCAATTGGGCGCAGCCTCGTTTTCCCAGACTGGCTGTTAGGGTTGTCATACTGGCAGACCAGGTGTAAACGGGTGCAGTTGTTACAAACGTCCCGATGCTCATCGCATTTGACACGCCTCCTCTTGCACGTTTGGCAGCCGGTTCGGCTCCTTCGCTTGACTGGAGGCTGCTGCTGTGCCGGTTTGGTGCTTCGAGGGCTGTCCATAGTATTGTCCTATCCTAACCCATGTAGGTGTGCGCGAGAGTCAACACCGGTGTGGGGTTAAGGGCTGGGGTCAGGGACCACAGTTCATGGTCTATGCAACGTTAGAAGAGATAAAGTTTTCAATGGAGAAATTCAAGTAGTATCGTCTGGTGCGCATCGTCTTGCCATGGTAGGCCAAAAGCTCTTGTGAGCGACTTGGGCGGGCTGGAGCGGTCCACCACGTGGGAACTTGGACGAAGACGTTCCTGACGATGAATCAAAACCGTGGGCAGGAGCGGAGAGCGGAGCTGGCGGCCCGTGGGGAAAGTGCGGAGGGCTGGGATTGCATCATTGGCCTGTCTTCCCCTCAGCCACCTCTCTGGCCATTCAGTATTGGAGACAGCATGCAGCATCCAATGCCTACTTATTTATAGGAATCTCCTGTTATGCTCAGTCAACGATTGGCGATTGGGGTGTCTGGTTGAGCCACGAGCACGTGTCTAGGTAGGTAGTCGACTGCTTTCTGCAGGTACCCATCCAGAGGCACTGCCTGGGCCAATCAGGTCGATGTGCATTGTCTTCTATAAAAGAATTAGGGTTCATAGAAGCCTCTTTAGACTGGACTAGGATGACCCAGTAACGAGAGGGACAGAATGTGGTACACATCCGTAACCCTATGCTGCCGAGTACTCCGTACTCTGGATTCTCACTAACCTTACAAACACTAAATGGATCCAACGATCAAGTCATAAGCCAAGGGCCGGCTTTTGATCTCGGGAACGCCCAATCTCATTAAAAATAGTTACTGAACACAGTCTTATGTGTTCACTGTTGAGAGAGCAATCTGTAAATAAGAATTTGTGAACCCCTGAGCTAGCAATGCAGGGGTAGTCACCTTCCCTGCCCGATGCGGTGTCTATTTTAGAGACATCAATTACTCTACGGAGTACAAGGGAACTCGCTAGTCACTGGACAGTTACACACGGAATGCACCTTCTAAATGTGTGATGGGTATTAGCTAGAATCTATACTGCTGCTCTCTTCTCCACCCAGGATTAGACGGAGAAATATGACAGTTATTGAACAATGTTGTATTGCAGAGTTCTTCACTAATTGACAGCATAACTAGTATTGATTTGTGAAAAAATGAAAAAAAAAAGAAATAACTCTTAGTCCTTTGTGAGCCCTCTGCATGAAGATAACAATCTTATTAACACCAAGCTTTCCTTAGCCTCTCTTTTTTTTTTTGGCAAGCCAGTCATTAAATAGCGCATAATATAATAACAATTAATTTAATACCCTCCTGCGGAGCTATTGCTTGGGAGTTTGCCATGAAAGCGTCAGCTTGTGTATAGGTAGCTAATGACCCCGCAGCCACAGTTTCAAAATACTACAGTGCCATCAAACTAATTCCTGTGCAAGCACAAAGTACGGAATGCTCCATAATACTTGGTCCCTCTGCCTTTGCGCAGATAGAGTCAAATCGGATTGCTTTAAACTCCGGTGGCGCTGGAAAGACTAGGAAGGAAGCCATCTCCACAATTGAACCGCCGCCCACTCCACTGCTTCAACCTTCGTCTACGGAGTACTCTCTACTGCCGTTAACCCTGCAGGCCACCTGATGGGGGCACATGCGCATGAGTGACCTAGGCACATCGGAGATTGAGCTGCCAGGAGTCATTCACATGTCTCCTGGTCAATACTTTCTTTTCCATTTCGCCTATACTCCGTGATAATTAATCCATTCTCGGATAGGAGGCCTGACGGGTATTTGGCATTACTCCGTAATACTCCGCAGCCATGTGATGTCGGCGAGTCAGGCGGCGGGGTGCGAGGCGTGCGATGACACGATTTGGACGACCAAGTGGGCCTGATGACCGCATCATGCCATCATGCCATCAAGGGACCTCAATTGAGGAGACCTCGTTATCGAGTTTAGGTCCAGGTACTCCGTACCAACTGTTAAGGTGGGCGAGCCAAGAGAGGAACGGCGCGCAGGCGATCATCCTGGTAGCGTTCCTGTCGATCGCCTTCTATTTGCGGGCAGCGTGGCGCTAGCCGCCCGGGCATGACGACCACGGCAAGGGGCAGCATGCCTCTGCCGTTGCCATTTGCCCATGCTCGACGCTGGTCTAGAGCTGCAGCTCTCAAGCGCCGACGCTGGCAGCGTTCTTGACGCACGCCTATCACAGTGGGATCCATGCCGCTCAGGGACGGCCTCCAAGGCTCCAACCGCGCCGACTTCTCAACAAGAAAGGCCCAAGCAATCGACAAGAATGGGCAGAGTACAGGGAATGGCACGAGGCATACGGAGTACTCCGTAGAGTGAGAACAGATCTGTCTGAGCGCCTCTTCTCCACAGATCTCTTCGGGCGCTCGGGCGATAGAAAGCCCGGCGAAGTGGAGTCTGCCCAGGAATGGTATCTGGAGTATCTCGGATTGTACTCTGTACTCCGCGGGGAAGGAGCAGGGTTGCATCTACGAGGACAGCCCTGGCCTGGCCCGCATGCATCATGGCACGCGGTCTGGCCGATATATCCATCTCCCAGCGCTAACCACGCGCTCGCCTTTCTCGCTGCTTCTTATATTAATACTCTCTCCCCTCGGGCGATCCTCTCCTTCCTGAGTCCCTTCGCTGGCCTGACGCCGGGGCTATCCACTCCTTTCTTTTCCACTCCTTTATTTTTTTGGATATTCCAGGGCTTCCTCAAATTCCACTCGTTCGACATGCGCGTCCCATCTCTGTCACTCTCTTTGGCGACATTGGCCCTCGCGGGACACGTCTCTGCGACTCCGGTCAGGCGCGCCCAAGATGACCAGGCTAGCCAGCGTGCTGCTGCCGTGAAGCAAGCCTTCCAGATTGCTTGGGACGGGTATAAGCAATACGCTTTCCCCCACGACCAGCTTCATCCGGTGGACAACACCTATGACGATGGCTAGTGCGTTTCCCAGAACTGCCACATGGGAATCCTTGTACTGACCTCATCAATCTTCCCAGCGACGGTTGGGGTGCTTCGGCGATTGATGCTCTCTCCACGGCCATTGTGATGCGCAACGCTGAGGTCGTTAACGAGATCCTGGACTATATCCCAACAATCAACTTCCGGAACACGACCGTCACGTCGACCATTAGCCTTTTCGAGACCACTATTCGGTATCTGGGTGGCCTGCTGGCCGGCTATGATTTGCTCAAGGGGCCTGTGGCTGGCCTGGTCAATGACACTCAGAAAGTTGATACCATCCTGACCCAGGCGAAGACTCTTGCCGACACGCTGAAATACGCGTTCGACACCCCCTCCGGCATCCCGTACAACAATCTATACATTAACTCCAAGGGCAATGATAACTCGACCACCAACGGTCTCGCCACCACCGGGACTTTGATCCTAGAGTGGACCCATCTGTCCGACTTGACCGGTGATGACGAGTATGCCAAACTCGCTCAAAAGGCCGAGTCGTACCTCCTGAACCCTCAGCCAGCCTGGGCCCAGCCTTTCCCGGGTTTGGTTGGGACCAACATCGCAATCGACACGGGACTTTTCCAGGACGACTTGGTCACCTGGAACGGTGGCGACGATTCTTTCTACGAGTATTTGATCAAGTTCTTTGTGTACAGCCCGAGTCGATTCTCAGAATATCGGGATCGTTGGGTGGCTGCCGCCGAGTCAACGATTGCGCATCTGGCATCTTCGCCGTCCACTCGTCCCGATCTGACGTTCGTTTCCGTCTATAACAACGGAACATATCAACTGTACTCCGAGCATCTCACTGGTTTCATTGGCGGGAACTTCTTGCTGGCTGGCTCGGTTCTGGGGCGTCAAGACTTCATCGACTTCGGTCTGAAGCTGGTGGATTCATGGCATGACACCTACAACTCCACGGCTACCGGTATTGGACCGGAGGAATTTAGCTGGGATCCGAACTCGGTTCCGGCGGACCAGGAAAGTTTCTTCAAGCAGGCGGGCTTCTACATTACGGCTTCGAATTACGTTCTCAGGCCGGAAGTCATTGAAAGCATTTATTACGCGTACCGCATCACCGGTGACCAGAAGGTAAGCTTCCATTCCCAGACGAATGGGTTGAATTGGCGTGCACTGACGCTTGGATTAGTACCGTGACTGGGCGTGGGATGCATTCGTCGCCATCAACTCGACGACTCATGTCAGGTCTGGATACTCGGGAATTGAAAATGTCAACGTTGCCGGCGGCGGCGGGTATGACAACGTTCAGGAGAGTTTCTTTTTTGCCGAAGTGCTGAAGTATTCCTACTTGATCCAGGCCGACGGTAAGTTGCGGTTCTCTCTGATGGGATTTCTCGTGACTGACTCTTTCGAATTGCAGATGCGGAGTTCCAGGTCCAGAAGAATGGAAAGAACTCGTTCGTCTTCAACACCGAGGCACACCCCATAAAGGTTGTCGGATAATTCAGTGAATATACAATTCCTATGTCCTCTTGGGGTGGGTCGCGTGACCCGTCTGAAGTGGATGTAGAGTCTGTCTCCCGTTGCCTGGTATATACTGTATAGCCGTGAATACAAGGACTGTCTGAAAACAAATTCTCCAGTGCACGTAGCCCCAAAATCGAGCTGCTCAAGATAGTAGTTCTTGAACTCGTACGAAGTACGAGGGCAACTTTCAGTTATTGAGTTTTAATGATTTGTCTGAACCACGGTCCTTCCTCCTCCCAGTTCCAGCCCGTGACGAACCTGGAAACGGTGGCCGTACCACGAAGGAAGTTAAGTTTGTTTTGAATTAAAATAAGCTGGAAGTAAGAGCTTTTTTTTTTGCCGTAAGCCTACCTCGCGACCATGACAGTTTTTATTAGTCTTTCTTCTAAATGGAGCATCTTCGAGGAGAATTATGAACCTCTCCTCTCCAATAACGTATAACGTATCCTAATTAGCTTCTCATTGATCGTCTCATTCAAGGCTAAATACGCTGGCGACGAAGGAGTTGGTGAGAAGTATTGAGACTGATGAATCGTGGAAGAGACGTCAGGATTGTTATACTGTGCATTGGAAGACATCTATCAGTAAGGGGTAAGTAGCAAGAAATACGGCAAAAGATGGGAAGAAATAGACAGTCGAGTGCGAAACTTTGGTCGACGTCACGCAGCACGCTTTCCATCTGTGGCAGTTTTCCGTCAGGGCTATGGCCAGCAAGCCCAGAAAGGCAGGCGGTGTGAGGAAGGGACATGTGGACCGCGGGCGCGCTGGCGGCCCGTCGATGCTTATCCGCCGCGGAGGCACGCCTCAGGACGCGTTGGAACAAGACCCGCGCGGCTATATCCAACACCACCAAAACACACCAACGACAGACAATGGATTCAGCTCGAGACCGCATTGATTGCGTTTGTTAATATCGTCAAAATGTATCTCCCTCGCAGCTTGATCTCCCATCTTTACCTTCAACTCCTGCGCTCGCACCATCCGCTCTCCCCGCCGGTACTGATTCTCGTTGCCCTCGAGCCGGATGCCCTCTGTGCCTGTCGAATTCTGACCACGCTATTAAAACGCGATTATATCCCTCATAAGATCCAGCCTGTCGCCGGATATGGCGATCTTGCGCGTGCAGGCGAGGAGCTGGTCCGACCAATGCGCACCACGGACGGGGGAAGTGGAGGAGTCGTGGTATGCCTAGGCGTGGGGGGACTGGTCGATCTCAGTGAAATACTGTGTCTCACGGGTGAAGATGGGACGGAGGAAATGGGAGGAGTCGAGGTCTGGGTCATTGACGCGCGCAGGCCTTGGAATCTAGGGAACGTCTTCGGTGGACAACCGCGGTCCCGACAACCATTGGAGGAAGTCGATCCAAATGCGCGTCGGAAGAGTAGCGGCGTGGACAGGGGCTGCATTACTCGTTCCTACACGAGCGGAAGCGGGGGGATCATCGTCTTCGACGACGGAGACATTGAAGAGGAATTGAGCGCGGAACGCGAGGCATATTACGCGTTGGAGGAGATGCCAGAGGTTGATGATGACGACGATGACGATGACAGCCTCGGGTCAGATAGTGAAGAGGAAAGCGAATTTGGATCACACGGCAAGAAACGGAAATCGTGGTCTGGGAGAGACGACGAAGACGACGAAGATGAAAATGACGAGCCCCCGCGACAACGACGGCGGAGCAACTCCGTGAGTGCCTTCACTGTGATGTATCCCTTAACTCTCACTGATTTTTGTTCTCCAGAGTTCACCAATTCCATCATCGCCTTCTAATCGTCGTCGAATTGGACATGATTCTTCCAACTCGTCACGGTCCCCTTCTCCAGTGTCCGACTCGATATCTCCGCCTGTTCCAAAACAGCCTTCGGCACGCACGTTACGAAGACGGCTCCTGCGATTGAAAAGAAAGCATGAGACTGTACTACAAAACTATTATTCAATGGGGACGGCTTATTCGGAACCCATCTCGTCGATGCTCTACTCTTTGGCCTCAGAACTGGGCCGCGAAGATAATGACCTACTGTGGCTTGCCATTGTTGGCATTTCAAGCATGGAGGTCTCTGGTCGCACAATGTCCGGTGTCGGTATCTCAAACCCGTCAGAATCTGGGGGTTCAGCAGGTTGGGGTGGAGCACGGGGAGAACGAATACGTCAGATACTGCGGGATGAAGTCCATCGACTCAACCCTCCTGATCCGTCCGAGAACTCTCGTGATGTTCGGTCTGAAATCAACGGTGTCATTCCAACGACTGGGCGGTCTCCAACAGATACATCCATTCGTCTGTCACCAGAACCGAGATTTCTTCTCGTGCGGCACTGGTCTCTTTACGAGAGCATGCTTCACAGTCCCTACTTGGCCTCGAGGTTACATGTATGGACTGAAAATGGCCGGAAACGTCTTCACAAACTACTGGCCAAGATGGGCATCAGTTTGAGTCAGTCCCACCAAAACTACACGCATATGGATATGGAATTGAAGCGGGTGTTACGCCAACGATTACTGAAATATGCGCCGATGTATGGCCTGGATGGATTGGTTCCGCCAGTCGCCTCCGGGCATAGCAGTAACCGCGAAGGATGGGGCTTCGTGCGATGCTGGGGCTGGAAGGCGTGTCTTTCCGCCACAGATGTTTCTGTCATTCTTGGAGCCATCCTCGAAGTCGGGCCGCAGAACTTGTCATCCTGGGATGCCAGTGCCTCTTTCCACTCACGGAGTACAAACGGTTCGTCTCAGTCGGAAACGCCGTCAGAGTCAGACCCTGCCAACTTGCATCCTCGGTTTTGGAGTGCCTATGATGCACTTTCTCCCACTGGATCGGAATCACCCACCTTGCTCCTCGAAGCACTTCCCCTTGCACAACATCTTCACCGTGCCATCCTCCGTACGGGCACGTCGCTGCTCTCGAAGCATCAGATTCGTCACCTGCGTGCATTCCGCATAGCCGTGGTCAAGGATGGACCAGATGTGAAGTTATTCACCAATCCGGGCGCGCTAACCAAACTCGCGCTGTGGGTTTCAGAGGCCATCCAGGTGCAGGAGCGGGAGCGAGGCGACGGGCTGAAGATTGGGAAGAAGCGGGCCGTGGGAACTCCGCTCGTTCTGGCCGGCTTGGATGAAGACCGTGGCGTCTACGTCGTCGTTGGTACAGGAGGAGGCGGTGGTGTTATTGACTTTGCTGCTATAGCAAAGCGGCAGGAGGAACGCCGTGCAAAGAAAGAAGCGAAAGAGAAGAAGAGAAAAGAACGGGAGGAGCGCCGCAGGAAGCGCGTTGCCGAGAGAGCTGAAAGGGGTGAAGATGATGATGAGGAGGAAGAAGAGGACGAGACGGAGGAAGAAGACGACACATCGTCATCAAGCTCCGACTCCGAGTCCGAAGACGAGAAGAGCCTGTTCGGGAACAAGAACCTGGTTCGCAACCGGTTCGGCATCGCTTTCCAGGAAGTGGTGCAGGAGACCAACGCGCGGGTACGGATCGACAGTTTCGAACACTGCGTCGTGGAGGTGCAGAAAGAAGACCTGGGCGCGTTCCTCGAGGCTCTGAGTTTTAGGAGTGTTGTGGGATAGTAAACCTGTCCTGGCGTTATTATAATCTTCTGTTCGTTAATTTCATTTCTTTTATATATATTTCTTCTCCCCTTCTTTCCTTTTTTTTTTTCATTTCATTTTATGAAAACCAGCTAGCTATCTACCTAGGTTCTTGGTTCTTGGTTCTTGGTTTTTGGTTCTTGGGATTCATTGATTGATTCAGCATTGTTACCATCTTTTCATTTGTTTTTTTTCCCTGTTTCCTCTCCCCGTGATGACAATGGGCTATTCGTTTGTTTGTCTGCTTCTTCGTTTTTTTTTTCTTTCTCTGATGACGATGGGTTGGGAATTGAAGGAAATGAAATGAAGGATTAGGGTAGGTATGCCGGTTGGCTTGTTTGTTGGTCATGTCATATCATGTCATGTCAGGTCTGTCTGGTCTGGTTAGGTTAGATAATAGGTAGGTAGGAGGTTAGAAAAGAAAACCAGGAAAACATGCACTTTTCTTTCTTTCTTTCTTACTTTTGACCCTACCCCTCTCTTTCTGTATCTCTGTATCTCTGTATCTCTCTCGCTTTGTTTTTTTTTTCATTGCGTTTGTATGGTCCCGTTTCATGACTTCTTAGTTGTTACAGAGATAAATAGTTAGGCAGATAGGTTAAATTTATGTATGCGCATTTACATTTGTCTAGTTATCCAGGTCATCCTGTTTTTGCAGTTGTCTGGTTGGTGGATAATGGTGGTCACTTCGACCTTAACCGTCAATTGACTTTTGCCTCTCTTCCCTTTTCCAAAGATAGATAACCTCAATTAATTAAATTAATTTCTATCCAAACGCCTGCTTCCTATCTTCTCCTGATTATTGCCTGCCTGCCTGCATGCCTGCCCCTTGCTAATGACACTAGAAATTCTAGAGTGAGAAAATCATGAGCTGGTTAGTACCCACATGGGTACCCATCTGATATACAGAGTACAGAAGAATTGAAAGAAGAAAAGAGACGTATAATAACAGATTTGCGTTGTGGGGAATCACAAGGAAATAAATACAGAGACAGAGAAAAGTAAAAGGAAAAAAAAAAGAATGACACTTCTCATGACTTGCCCAGTATCGACCCAGCTAGCCAGATGGTGGCGCCCGCGCCCAGGACAGTCAGCCCGACAAGACGCTTCGTCCAGCTGTCTTCGTCTGTCATCTTGGCGACAGGAGCGGCAGCTTTCTTCTGCGACGTTGAAGGAGATGGCTGGGCTTTCTGTTGGTCTGCGCCAACAACATGATGATGATGGCTGCTGTTGTTGCTGTCTGCCTGAAGAGAGGCGAGGTATTCCTGGTCCCGCTTGCGCCATTTCTCGACCAGCTTCGCGATCTCGGCGAGATCTTCCTTCAAGGAGCCTGGCTCCGTCGAATTTGTTTCCACTTCCACGTTCTGGACGTTGCCGAAGAAGTCGACCACGGTTCGAAGGCGACCTTCCTGCTCGCCGCCGGGGAACAGGTCCCATCTCACTCCAGGCTGTGAATGGATCTTGGTCTCGTCGTACGAGTCGAAGAGATCGCCCAGGGTCAGCTTCGAATTGGGCGTGGTGACCTGCGTCTCGAGGAATTCTAGCACATAGTATGTCCAGCGATCGATGACGGCGACTCCGACGTCATTGTCGGCATGGTGCGAGTACGAAGACTGGTCCAACGCGCTGGAGCCCGTCGCGATGATGTTGGGCGAATACAGGTAGGTGTACATGGTGTTGGCCTGGCACGTGTCGATCATGAACAGCAGCTCGTGGTATCGTTTCTTCTCCCACATTTGGCCAAAGGCGTCCGCCAGATCCCACGCGCCAATTTCCTCCGAGTCCTGAAACTTCAGAAATCGATCTCCGCCGTGCCCAGTCATGTAGACGAGGACGTTGCTGCCTGCATCGGAGCCCAGGCGCTTGCTGCGCGGCACATCCTCATCCAGCCGGTCGGTGAGCAGTCGAATGAAGTTCTCCACCGTCACTTCATAGCCACGGTAATCCACCTCGATGTTCTCTCCGTATAAATCCACCGCCCGGTCGGCATTGCTGTACACCGTTCCAGGGAACGCGTTACGCGGGTTGCAGGCCATGTCGTCGGGGAGCATCAGGATGATCTGCGAATCGGGGATTCCCAGGCGCTTGACCGTGCGGTATAGAGAGAGGACATTGGCCAAATGGCGGTAGTTAAACCAGAATCGCGAGGTAGACACCAGAACCGCCCAGTTGGAGGTGTGCTCCGCCAACGCAGGGGCGGCGCTGAGTACCAACGGAAGGACGGTGGCGGTGAGGAAGGACGAGAGTCGCATCGTGGGCGCGTTGGGCGACTCCCGGATCAGTGCTGAGGATCAAAGGAAGACGGCAAGGCAGCTAAGACAGCTGCATCAAGGAAAAGAAAGAAACGAGTGTCTCATTCCCACTGCATATGGAGACGGGGCATGGATGGCCGCCGGAGAATATTAATCATCAGACTCCGGCACTGGCTTGGCATGGCCTGCGGGTCCATCCGATGGCGGTTTGCCGCTTATCAAATATCAACCATCTTATCAACTCCCAGAGCTCTGCTTAGTCCCCCGCAAAGGCAGTAGAATAATTCCTAGACTAAATCAACAGTAGTTCAGCCTTGAAATGGCGTAATAAGGCAGAGACAGCCCTGCAGCTCTACTGCCCAGCAGGAATCCGCCATCTCAGGCCCATCCATGTAGATAGATGTAGAGATGCAAGCTCTTCTCCTGTCCAATCGGTCGTACAGCCTTATTCTTCTTCCACCCCGCGTCTTCATCCAGCCAGACCCTGGTCGCTGGGCTGGACATTGCACATTGGACGAGCTTCAGCCATGCCAGCAAACACTGGCCTGTCTGCTTGCTAGACCTCCCCAACCAGACCACCTCATGCACGCCGCTGATTGTTTCTGCCTGTTTATCTTTCTTTTGCTCTTTCATCACCCGCACGACACGGCAGGCTTGGTGACAGGACTGTCTTTCGTTTGTCGTTGTCGCTCTTCACTCAGTCAACTGCTGCCTCCCTCCAGCGCGCGTCACACGTGAAGCTACAAATTGCCATTGCTGCAAATTTGCGGCTTTGTTTTTGTCCTTCCTTCTTTCATACATCTCTCTCTCCTCAGTATTTTTGTTTTCTGGACTTTTAATCCTCATTTCCTCTCTTGTCTTTCGTTCTGTCATATCTCATCCGAGGAAGTAATCGCCACTGACCTTGATCTTCTGATGACTTGACTTCTTGACGCGTCTGGAAGAATAAGAAGCAATATCAGGAAACTCACAAACTCCCTTGTCTGGACCATTCTCTACGCTTGACGCGAGAATTCAAGGCCTCAAAGCTATCGCCATGTCGGCCTGGCAGGATAACCAAGGCTCTGCCTCCAGTAGCGCAAAACAAGAGAAACCAACTCTGGCAACTCTTCCTTCGGAAACTCTCAAGATCATCTTCTCCTACGTGAGTACCTCTCGTGGGATTCATCTCCTCAAGTAGTGCCAATGTTTGCAGACACTGATGTCGAGTGACCTACTCAGGCTAGACCAAAAGACCTGGCCAGTTTGGCCCGTGTCTCTCGAGCTTTTCGCGACTTCGCTGCTGCGCAGTTGTACCGCAGTCTCAGTCATGTTTTCACAGATGACGAAAAGAAAGATGGCCAGCTGTCGGTTGACTACCTTGCTGCAATCCTCGAGACGTTGACAACGGCTGATTACAACTATGCACGCTTTATCAAAGAGATCTCCATCGACACGGATACAGAGTCCAGTGCGGAGCAAGCCATTCGAGAGTTCAAATACGACTACTCTTGCGGCAAATTTCTTAACACTCTGATCTTCGCAACGCTGAAGAAGGTCACCGCTCTGGAGACATTCAGGTATTGATGGCCTTGTAACCTTCAAAAAGAAGTGAGAATGTACATTGACTGTCTCTCTAGGTGGAATGTGCGTGTCGAGATCGGTCAATCCGTCTTCCTAATCTTGAGCAAGATCTCTACTCTCCAGAACCTCCATGTCCGTCTCCAGCCGGGACCTTCGCTGCATTCGTTGTCAATTACCAAAGCCGTCAATAACCCACCCCCTCCTCCGACTGCTATTCCACATAGCCATCAAACCCCTCAGTTTATCACCCAAACCCACAACAACAATGTGGTCTTTGTCCCTGCACCAAGTGCATACCTGCCGCCTCCCAAGTCGACATCCGCAGGTAAGAATGTCAAACCTGCCCGGAGACTGGGGATCAGTAAACCTACCGTGGAACCTCACAACTTTTCCCGGTTTTCTGGGCTCAGAAGCTTGGCCGTCTTGGACATCGACAGCTACGAATACATTCCGGAGATCGCAGCGTGCGTCTCGTCTTGCTCTGCGTCACTCAAATCACTGAAGATTTCCTTCTCCGAGAACCTGGCGCTGAAGGCCCGAGGTAAGGCAGGGACAGAGATTTCAGACATAGAAACCGTTGAGGACGCGGTGTCTGATGATTTTGGTTTTCAAGCACCGCCACCACCTCTGCCCCCTATCTCGAACACCGGGAATGCATTTGCTGCCACCACAAGCTCTTCTTCTTCCTCCACAAACCATGTCGATGCCCGCAAGGAACGCGCTGCTCAGGAGAAGACTCTCGCCCGGATATTCGGTCTAGACAAACAGGATCCCGACCAAAAATTGCTCGATGAGTCGTTTGAACGGGCCATTACCGCTGCATACAAGGAATCCCAGGCGGCAGCGAGAGCGTTCTTGAAACGCGACCAGGACCGTCTCTTTGTCAGGAAGCTAAAGGATATCACGGCAGAGATCCGTTCGGACATGTCATCGGCCAAAGGATACTCCGCCAAGTCTCTCAAAGCCCTAGAGAAGATGGAGAAAGCAGCGAGCAAATACTTAGAACGAGAAGATACTAACGAATCCCTCCGTTCTGCAAATGGATCTTTCAGTCAGGAGGGAAAATCGACCAAAGTCAACGTTGCCGCCCCCGGTGAATCCAGCCATAGCCACTATGTACAGCCGCCAGGTGATGTAGGTCATGCCCCGACGAACCCCTCTGATGGCCATTATTTCGACTATTTGGAGAAGGTCTTAGACAATTCCCCACACCCGCCGGCTTTCCCGTTTAACTGGAATGACACCAAGGAAGAGGTTCCGACTCCCGACTCGAAAAGCGAGGACCAGAACACTCATACCGATGTTTCTCCATTAACAGAACTTGTGGAGCAATCAGCTCAGCCTGAAACAGTCCACATAGAGGACGTACTGGACGATGACAATGCTTTCGTGACGCCTAAAATGTACGATGGAGTTGCCGAATCTGCCTTATCAGGAACTTCCAAGCCTAGTGGTGTATTTGAAGGCCAGAAGAATACGCAAGAAGATGCTCTGTCAGATGTCGTCGACATGGAACATCCTGATGATGATGGAGACAGTGGAGACGACCAGGAGCCCGCCGAAGATGGCGGCGAATGGAATTATGACGAGACCCAGGGCTCAGCATCAAAAACTCCTGTAACGCACAACGCTACAGATAATCAGCATAACGCCAGTACCAGCAAAGGAAAAGAGCCAGTAAGAAATGGCATAAACAACAGCGACGAGGGAAAATGGGATTACAAGAAGGACATCCAAAAATACCTCCGCGAACATCATGGTCTTCCCTTGGAAAGCCTCTCGATCCATTTGATTCCGGTCAAAGCTTCGGTACTCGTTAAGGCTGTCGACATCTGCAATCTGAAGCATCTGTCGTTGTTGAATGTCGGGATGCAGAGTCACTTTTGGGGGACGCTTGCAAAACTGGGGCATCCTCTCAGCTTGACTTCCATTCACACTGACAATGTCACCCAGTCTTTTCTCCATTTTCTGAGCAGCCACCACGGTCTTGTAGAGCTTTTCCTGTTGGAGCGCAATCGCAAGTCGAAACTGGCGGGCTCACTGAGAACCACCGTAGGGATCGAGCACATCAGAAAACAGGCATTGAAAAAGCATGCGGGAACCCTCCGGAGACTAGTGATCAGGAACGACGACAGTGACGGTTGGGCACTGAATCCGAAATCGATTCTGACGCTGGTCAAACTGGGCGTCAATCTCGAAGAGCTTATGATCGGGCTGACCTCGGCGAACTTGGTAAGTTAACATCAACACGTCACCTTGCTTCCTTTTCGTCGCGAGCAAGTTGGTTTTTGTTTCCCGGTCGATCATCCAAGCATGTTTCAGCCGTGCCTTTCACTTCCTCGCTAACATCAGATAGCACCTCTTCATGCAGCATATTTCGAGACTGCGGTCTCTCTTTGCGTTGCACATTCTCTACCACGGTCAGAGTCGCGATGTCCACGTGGTACGCGAAATGCGTTTCAGCATTGCCGATACTATCGTCCATTGTCCTACTCTTCCGGTTGAATACGTGGGCGTGTGTTACGCGGTGCATGTTCCGAGCTCTGATCTGGTGACGCAGCTGAGAAGGACCGTTGGCAAACCCCGTGTTGAACCTCAGACTGCTATCTCGTCAAGAGCGATGACGGATATCAAAGGAAAGGGCAAGGCAAAAGCAGACCTGGAACCAGACCATGATGTTGCACTCATGGAGGAATTCCTTGACGAATGGGCCATTGAGGATAGTGAGGATGAACTGGAGAGCTGGGAGGAGAATTCGCCCATCGTAAAGATGGATGTGAAGATGAGCGATGTCGTCGGTGTAAAGATGTGGGAAAAGGAGATCTGGAGACTGAAGCTCTAATCGGGACAGGTTTGCAAACAGCCACTTTAGCTCGTTGCTTTATCTGGTGTGTTTTTCTCTAATGTCTCGGGTGTATGGGTAATATCATTGTTGTCTGGCGGTCATGTATGTGTATGTGTACTTAATAGTCGAAAAAAAATTGATTTGTATTAAGAACTGAGGAGTTAGGGACCTACTTTGATCGAGTTATTACATATGTCTTAACCCTTTCCAACTTATAGTATACGATCATCCGTAGTCATTTCAGCAGCATACTATTTTTCAAATTGCGGCAATTATCGAGTGACTGACTGGAGTGGAGTATGCTAATTGCCCTTTCTTCTCAGGTACATCATTGAACTAAAGATCTAACCGTTCTGTAGCCTACCAGGAATGTTACTTTGTTTGACTAGGGCATAGTTCTAGACGGAACTGGCCCATAGTCTGACGATCTGGTTTCTATTTACTGTACTTTCTGTTAAATTCATCTGCCACTTTTCTCGTGGTCTTGACAATATCCACGCAACCAGGAGAATCAGAATGACAGCAAATCGAGAGTTTATAATCCTTCAATGGCAATGACACCACACTACCGTCCGTGGCGGTGACCGACTGTGTCTCGACCTGCTGGCGAACGTGCTTTTCGACATCCTCGAGCTGCCACGGCTTCTTCTTCCGGTCGATGACCAACATCCCGTCCGGACTGTACTTGACATCGGCATAGAGCTCGGCCCAGAACTCCACGCCGAGGTCGTTGGCCGCTTTCTCCATGTTTGTGCCTGCCAGCCCAAACACGGGCACCCCCTTGGGGATACCGAGCATCACGGCCTTGGCGACTTCGTAATCACGACACATCATGCCATAGAGGACTCCGTGCGGCTTGACGTGGTGGAGAGTCATGCCCTCGCGCTCCAAGAAGCCTTGCAGCGCCCCGACCTGGTAGATTGTGATCGCCGTCAACTCCTCGCTGGAGAGCCTCATTTCCCGCCGCCCAAAGCCCTGCAGGTCTGGGAGACCCGGATGGGCGCCGACTTTGACGTTGTGCGCTTTGCAGTTCCTGATCGTCTCCATCATGATCAAGGGGTCGCCACCGTGGAAGCCACATGCTACATTCGCAATGTCGATCATGGGGAGCAACTCGAGGTCTGGACCGCAAACCCAATTGCCGTACTACAAGCCGGTGGGAAATGGCAAGGGTTTTCCCAAGGTCAGTTTCTTCTCTTATCATAGGACAGGCGCGCGTACAGCTTCCCCCAGATCACAGTTGATCAATGCCTTGTGCTGAATAGGTGCCATTTTTGGACACGGTTCCGGCTGTCTGCTCGGCTAGCTGCGAAGCTCAATCGGAGACACGGGCACTTGCACGGTTGGAAAAAAGGGACTTTTCTCGCAGAACAATGAGAACTGCGCACTGGACAAGGCGTCCATCGCGGTACTTATTATTGGGTGCGGGGTTTGATACGATGCGGAGACAAGAGCAAATAAGAGGAGCTCGGCCGAGATGGTTGGCTGCTGCCGTTATCAGCATCACGGTCCTCCCCCGCCGGGCGTTGTGAATACGAGCCCTCAAACATATGCCGATCGTCATTGTCATGCCGATTCCTGATAAGGGAAACGGTTCCAGTTCTCGTGTTTGGTTCGTCGAGAGATATCCTGCCCCTCATTCCTCGATGGTCTCTTATCAGAGCCGACATCCACTCCCGGGGTCAACAGCGATGGCAGCATTGGAAAGCAAGTCACCACCATGGAATCCCTCAAGACCTTGTTGGTTGCCAATCGCGGTGAAATCGCCGTGAGGATCTCGAAAACTGCAAAGTATGCACATCTATATCTCTGGCGCCATGGATACCGTTATTGTCAGAGCTGACCACAAGGGATATCCAGGAAACTGGGCATTCGAACTATTGCAATATACACCGAACCCGACGCTGCCTCTACTCATGTGCATCTCGCGGACGAGGCAGTGTTGCTCTTTGGACCTCCTTCCACAGCCTATATAGATGGGTATGGATTCAATTGGTGCCCTTGAGTCCAATATCATCTCTGATGACGTTCAACAGTGACCAAATCGTGGCTATTGCCAAGAAATATCAAGTCGATGCAATCATTCCCGGTTATGGTTTCCTTTCAGAGAATGCAGCTTTTGCCAGGGCTGTGAGCGAGGCGGGAATCGTCTTTGTCGGCCCTTCGCCAGAGAGCATTGAAGCGTTTGGTCTGAAGCACACTGCTCGAGAGCTGGCTACAAAGGCCGGGGTCCCCATAGTTCCCGGGACCCAGAGCCTCGTTCAAACGGAAGACGAAGCGCTGGAGGCCTCCCGGAAATTAGGATTCCCGGTACATTGCCCGACCTCTCACACAGACGCTATTCTGAAGCTGACAGAACCATAGGTGATGCTCAAAGCTACGGCTGGCGGAGGTGGTATGGGCTTGTTGACCTGTCAGAATGAAGACGAAGTCCAGCAATCTTTTGCTACCGTAAGATCCAGAGGTGAGACTCTGTTCAAGAATGCGGGGGTGTTTGTCGAACGCTACTATCCGTCCAGCCACCATATCGAATTGCAAGTTTTTGGCAACGGAGATGGAAAAGCCATTCACTTTGGCGAGCGCGAGTGTTCTATCCAGAGAAGACATCAGAAGGTCATTGAAGAGTGCCCCAGTCCGTTTTTGGTGAAACATCCAGAACTGCGACAGAAACTGGCAGACGCGGCGGTTCGTCTGGCTGAATCTATTCACTATGGATCCGCTGGGACAGTTGAATACCTGGTCGATGATGATACTGGTGACTTCTTCTTCCTAGAGATGAATACACGCCTGCAAGTCGAGCATGGTATCACTGAATTGTGTTACGGCGTTGATCTAGTGGAATTGATGCTCAAACAAGCCGATGCTCAACGCTCGGGGAGGAAGGGGCTAGATGCCTCGTACCTGGAGAAACTCCAGGCTATCACGCCCTCCGGGGCAGCTATCGAGGCACGAGTCTACGCTGAGAACCCAGTAAAAGACTTCGCACCTACCTCGGGAACGCTTCAGAGTGTGGAGTGGAAGGAACTTCCGGGATCACGATTTGATACATGGGTCTATACCGGCACCAAAGTGTCGGCTAATTATGGTAGGATGATCCCTGAAGATCTAATGTACAGTACATTGTCATTCAATGCTGATGCCAAAGTAAAGATCCATTACTGGCCAAAATTATGTATCACTCTCCTTCACGAGAACAGACGGTTGCCGGACTGCAAACGATTCTCACGGAGTCTCGTATATGTGGCCCACCAACCAACCTTGATTTCCTAGCTGCAATTCTTCGGGATGAGACTTTTATCGCCGGCAAAACTTTGACCAGGTTCTTGAACAACTTCGAGTTCAGGCCCGCGACCATTGATGTTTTGAGCGGCGGCGCCTACACTCTTATCGAAGACTGGCCTGGAAGACCAACAATTGGCCGGGGCTTCTGTCATTCTGGTCCCATGGACCCGTTGGCATTTCGCATTGCAAATGCCTTGGTGGGCAACCCTGTTGGTACAGAGGCATTGGAGATCACTCTCAGTGGACCAGACCTGCGGTTCCTGGCCCCAGCCGTAATTTCTCTTTGCGGTGCTCCCATGGAGGCTAAACTGGACAACACAAGTATTCCCATGTGGTCCCGAATTTATGTATCCGCTGGTCAACGCTTGACTATCGGAAAGACCACTGAAGGAGGATGCCGCGCGTATCTAGCTGTATGGGGTGGCTTCCCTAATGTCGCCAAGTGGTTTGGTTCCAAGTCAACAGCTCCAATGGTGGGTGTTGGCGGATACCAAGGTCGACAGCTTGCTTCAGGGGATCTTCTAGCTATCACAGATCACCTACCTGAGGGAAAAAGGGAGCTCTCTATCCCTAAAAGGCTCATCCCCAAGTACCCGTCTGAATGGGAGCTTCTTGCAATGCCCGGGCCTTACGATGAAGGTTATATTACTCCAGAGAGCATTGACACGTTGTGGGGAGCGACGTGGACCGTCTCACACAACGCAGTTCGAGGCGGCATCCGTCTTATCGGCCCGAAACCTATATGGAGTCGCTCAGATGGAGGAGAAGGCGGCTCACACCCGTCGAACGTGATCGAGTACGGGTATCCTATGGGAGCGTTGAATTGGACCGGTGATGACCCTGTTATCTTTCCGGTGGACGCGCCTGATTTCGGCGGGTTTGTATGTAGTCAAACCGTGGTCAAGGCGAGCTTCTGGCAACTGGGGCAAATCAAAGCCGGAGACACGGTGAAGTTTAGACGTGTATCGCTGGAAAGTGCGCTTTCTGCCCGCCGGGATGTCGAAACGTTTGTCGATCGAATAGTCCAGGGTTGCGCTGATGGGAATTTCGATCATATTATACCGTTGAAGGAGGAACTTCCACCTGAATTGAAGAGAGAAGAGGGTGGGCCTGCTCTGGTGCATCAGATCCCAGAGCAGGAGGACGGCAAACAGCCACTTGTTTCGTATAGACAGGTGAGGAAACTTTTGTGGTTGATTAACTTATACATACTGACCTCGTGCTAGGGAGGGGATGACTATTTATTGATTGACTACGGCCATGGATCGTTTGATCTTAACTATCGCTGCAGAACTACGGCTCTCATCAAAGTTTTGAAAGAAGGAACCGGAGATATCTCTTTTTCATCTGGACTAATATCAACAGTCGGCTGTGGAAACTGTAAGACCTATGAGAAGTTTGTGTGTGATGCAAGCTGACTGTTTTGGCAGCACTTATGCTCTACTACGATGGTCTGAAGATTCCGCAACACAAGCTCATAGACTACCTTTGTATGCTGGAAAGCAAGATTGGTGACTTGACCGAAGCAAAGGTGCCCAGCCGCCGGTTCCGACTACCGATTACCTTTGAAAGCAAGAGGCAGAAAGAAGCGCTGCAACGGTATATGGAGACTCAGCGGCCGTATGCCTCGTACCTCCCCGACAATCTGGAATTTGTTGCCAAAAATAATGCCTTTACCCGAGAGGAGGTGGAGAACATCTTCTTGACGGTGAGCCTGATGGTGATCTCTGTGGGATTTTTTACCGCTCTGCCCCTTGGGCTTCCCGTCGATCCCCGGCAGCGGATGAACTGCCCGAAGATGAATCCCAGCCGGGTATACACACCAGCTGGATCGGTCTCCTGGGGAGGAAGCTGCATGGCGTATGTGACGCTGCTTTTGTATTGAGAATAGAGCATAAATTCCGGACAAATGCTGACTTGGGATCATACAGAATATATAATGTCGACTCTCCCGGGGGATATCAACTGACGGGGATGACCATTCCCGGGGTGGACATTCTTGGGTCCAAAAAGGGCTACAGCCAGGAGAAGCCGTGGTTGTTTGAAGACTTCGACCAGATCACGTTTTACCGTGTTTCCGAGGAGGAATACGAGAGACAGCTGGCCCTGTTCAACAGCGGGCGGTACGAGTATGAGTGGGAAGAAGTCGTCTTCGACATGGCGGAGCACAACAAGCTCCTTCGCGAGACCAGGGACGAGGTCGACGCAATCCGAGCGCGGCAGCGGAAGGCGCAGGCCGAGATGGAAAGGCTTGAAGCCGAGCTGCTGGCGCGCTGGGAGAAGGAGAAGGCGGCTAATAGCGTCTCTGTGGACACGATCGAAGCTCTGTTGCAAGGTGAGTCTCAAACGGACGTTCTTTCTCAAAGCAAGGCAAAGAAAAAGAAAAAATTAATGCCGTCGATCGATCACAGACCCCGAAATCATCCCCATCGAAGCCCCTCTCAACGCCAACGTATGGAAAGTTCAAATCCAGGAAGGCGATCCGATCGGCAAAGATCAGGTCGTCGTCATTCTCGAAGCCATGAAACTGGAGATTGCCGTGCGGACAGAGGAACAAGGCAGCAACGCCGTGGTGGAAAAGGTCCTTGTCAAGCCGAATGATGTCGTCCAGGCTGGGCAGCCATTGATTCTGGTTCGGAAGAAGAAGTAAATATTGACAGCGTTAGCAATAATCAGCTGTCCAATGCCTAGCAAATGCTAGCATTGGATGTTGTTTTCCTTTTTCCTTTTTCTTTTTTTTCTTTTTTTTCTTTCTTTTTTTTTTTTGCGTGTATTTTTTTTTGTATTGACGACTTCCACTGTGCCTTTTATATGTTTTTGTCAACCGTCCTTTTTTTTTTCTTTCGATCCTTTCCAATTTTTCTTTCTCTTATCCTGATTAAATAATTAACTTGATCATTAAGATTGGTTGATTAGCAATGCAGTCAGTCGAATGAATGAATGAATGGTCAGCTCAATAACCTAGGTAGAAACCGTACCTAATAATAGATATTTCATTCCAGACTGACTCATTCATTGAATTTCATTCTGGAAAACCCCCGGTGGTGGTGGACCGGCGGAGGAAGAACAACCGCCAAGAAATCTGAGTCAGATGCTGTGATAAAGTTCGATGTGGCTGGTTTCTACGAGTAGGAAGAAACGGACATTGTACGGAGGATATTTATCTCTAGGCTGGAAGTCTGACTGAGTAGGGCTGGCTGGCTATGTCGGAGTCAGCTGCGTAGTTGGAGACAGAAGCACCAGGCAGGGATCAAGGTGGGATATACTCTACCGTTAGATCTCAGTCTTGACATTACCTGGAATGGATATGCTTTGCATGATCTTGCGATGTCGGAGGACGATTCGTGCAATGCGGTTGATTTTATTATTTGTCATCTACGTTAGTCATCCGCCATGCACGGACGGCGAGTCTAGTCGCGCCTGCCAATGCACGCGATGGCGGGGAAAATCCGCCATCTTACCGGACTCAGCATGGCGCTTGTCACAGGGCGTGCAGCTAGTCGACGACAGAGCTGCAAGCTGATCGCCATCCATGGCTCGCGATGACTCGAGCAGACCCCAGGCCCTCTGCATTCATTTCCCTGAACTGCCCCATGATCTGGCTGGGAACCCGAGCAAAGAAAAGACCTCGAGTTCCAGCTGATCTCTGTCCTCACCGCTCCTGATCTGACTGACACGATGTCATGACGTTCGGACGCTGCTGTCTTGCTGGCCGGCGCGCTCATATTCCTTCCATTTTTGTCCTCTCCGGCTCGCTGGCTCGTCCACCCCGCGAGATCGTTCAAGCTTGTTCTCCCCGTGAACTGTCTCATAGCCATCGACATCATAATTGCCAGCTCCTGTTAATTGTCATTACCACTGATTATTCTGACCTTCATTTGTCTACAATTTCCAGTCTTTGTCATCGTCTCTTTCAGCTAGGGCCACCCAATCGTTCGGGGTCCCGCCCGGGGTGATATCTCCGTGGATGATTCTTGTCCGCAGCTGAAACAACACAGCCTCGGGTAGGGATCTCTGTCGTTTCTGTTCCTGTAATCAAACTATGGAGTACTTCGACTTTGACGAGGCGTCGTTTGCCTCCAATGCCCGAGAGGACGACGTGGCGTCGGATTACCTGGAAGTGGACGAGGCCGATGCCACCGAGAGGTACGAGTCGCTCTTCCACGACAAAACCTTTGAGCTGCACAGGGATGCCGCACCTGCCGACTCCAATGACTTCGCCGACCCGGAGCCCCCAACGCAAACTGGGGATGATTCCGCCGTCCCGGAGCCCGATGCTGGCGGTGATTACCCCATGTTCCGTGCCAAGGAGCCCTGCGACTTTTGCGAGCGGATGGGCCTGGACTGCTTTATCATCCAGCGAGGTGTGCTGAACAACGGCTGCACCTGCTGTATCTCTCTGTATCGCGAGTGCAGCTTCACCCATGCCAGGGAGCCGGGCAAGTATCTGGCTACCCTACATCCCGTGAGTGAAGACGTCGACATTCCCACCGGCGGTCCCAACGGCAAAAGGGCCCTCAAATCCCTTGGCGACGACCTGGACGGACGCTCCAGGAAGAGTGGTGCTCGATTTCCGCGGGAGGCCGTTCGCATTCTGAAGAACTGGCTCTCCGAACATTACCAACACCCGTATCCCACCGAGCAAGAGAAAGACGAGCTGAAAGAGAAAACGGGCCTGAAGCGAAGCCAGATCTCCAATTGGCTTGCGAATGCTCGCCGTCGCGGGAAGGTCCGGCCCTCTCCAAGGAGCAGCAGCCCGCCTGTCGCGGGCGGTCTTGATGTCCCAGGACGATCATCATCGTCTTCTGGAGGCCTTGATCTCTCGTCAATGACACCCCTTGAACGTTGGAAACACTCTCCCCCAGAACACGAAGCCGCCTCGACCAGTGCCATTATTCGCGCCATGGCCAACCCACCATTCCAGCCTCCGGAGAAACAGCAGAACCAGCAGCAACGTCCGTCCCAGTTTGGACATGGGCGCTCGCTGTCCCGGAAGACGGGCTCGAGCAATGACTCCAGCTACAGCTCCATGTTTCATGCCCCGTCGGTCAGCAGCTTGGACACCGAAAACCGGTCGTCCATCTCGGACCTCTCCTTTGCGTCGGCCTTCTCCCATCGTTCTTCCCTGAATTCGTTCGGTTCGATGGATCGAAAGGAACGCCGCCGTCGCCGCAAGCCGGCAGCTCCCACCCCGATCCTGGATCGACAAAAGACTCGAGGGGCTCGGATCTTCCAGTGCACATTCTGCACGGACTCGTTCCCGGCCAAGTATGATTGGCAGCGCCATGAAAAGTCACTGCACCTGGCTCTAGAAAAATGGACCTGTGCTCCCCAAGGGGGGATTGTGACCACGAGTGACAAGAAGAAGCTCTGCGTTTTCTGTCGCGCGCCGAATCCCGATTTCGAGCATCTGGAATCACATAATTTCTCCTCCTGCCAGGAGAAGACAGTCCAGGAACGGACCTTTTATCGCAAAGATCATCTGAATCAACATCTGCGTCTGATGCACAATGTGAAATTTGATCCATGGATGGAGAATTGGCGAAGTACCACCACCGAGATCAAATCTCGGTGTGGCTTCTGCAACGCGACTTTCACCACGTGGAAGGACCGGGTCGATCATCTGGCCGCCCATTTCAAAAATGGAGCGGACATGGCGCAATGGCAAGGCGACTGGGGCTTCGAACCATGTGTCCAGCGTCTCGTCGAGAACGCGATCCCACCATATCTTATCGCACAGGAGCGGGCTTCGATGGATCCGTACAAGGCCTCCGCCTCGAATCTGCCCGGTTCGGGAGGGAGGTCTGGAAATCAGTCGAACCGTTCGTCAGTCCACCAGCCCGTTTCACAGAATACGAACTGCTACCAACGCCTTGAACGCGAATTGAAGGCTTATATTCGGCGTCAGGTCGAAGCCGGGACCATACCCACGGATACAGATATCCAGTACGAAGCTCGCCAGATCATCTATGGAACGGATGATCCATGGAATCAGACGAGTGCAGATAATCCCATCTGGCTGAGCAACTTAAAGCGGGATTGCGGACTTGAACCGATTCCTGGATCGGATCACAACCAATTGGCCAACCCAGGGATGCAGCAGCTGTATGCAGCCGCGGGTAGCTTGCAACAACCGCCCATAGAGACAAACCCTATGCCAGGATCTCTCCGTAACTCGTGGCCCAGTAACACCGGCCTCGAGAGCCCTGGGTTGTCTGGTCCAGAGTTTTCGGGCTCGATCTTCAGCCCGGCCGGATTCCACACCGCCGCCCCGAGTATGCCAGCAAGCCTGGCTGGCAGTTTTGTGGGTAGTGCCGGGGTGTCGTCTGCTGGCCCTGTTTCTGGAGTATCCGCTGGTTGGAGTGGTAGCTTTTCAGCTGGGGTATTATCGTCATCGGCTCCGAACAGCGCGCCTGTAACAGTAGATCCTCTGACGCAGATTGCTCTCACGCAGATGAGCTTTGATCCCGAATTCCTGGAGCAACTGAACGATCAGTACGGTGAAATTCCTGACACGGTGGAGGGTCTGGGTGGAAATTTTGATACCCAGGGGTTGACAGGCGATCATCCTTATGCGACAACCACAACAGCCCGGGGGGGAGATGTTTTCTCTAATACGATGCTTGCTACCTCTGGTCCGGGGTCTAAGCCGATCTCGATCCCAGGCGCCGACGTTAATGATCCTGGCCCGCAACAGCAGTTCGTTGATCCGTCGTATTTTGGTGCGTCGAGCTTCCACGGGTGATCGGATAGCGAGTCGCTTGAGATATGACTTGACATTTGTATTCTTTACGCCATCTATAATACGGTAGTGATTTTTGACAAAAGGCAGTGTGGATGAATAACGTAATGCGACAAGTAGATGGGATGGCTGTATGGACAAGGAGAACAAGATATATCTGTGGATATGTTGGATTTACTTTGGAATATATTGTGCATGGAGTGATCTGGAAGATGAACTGAGTTATTTATCCCAAACAAACAAGCTTGTAGCCCATGTACACGCCCTTTGCTTGTTGACCAGTTCCTTTTATCTGATATCATTGGTCCAGTGATCAACGATAGGGCGTGTCTTGTGCCAGACCTGGGCCGTGCCATGTATACCCCACTGGTAGGCATCAACCCTGTTGGCCTTCGGTCAATAATAGCGCCGCATGGCTGGATATCGCACAAATTACCTGATTTAACAGTTTTCTCTGTACTGTTAAAGATACATGTCATGCCCTGCACGTGCATGTGCATCTTATCAACGCTTGGTGGGGCATTCCACCCAAAGGTGAATTGACATGTGAAAGCCATTTAAGCCGCCACCGGCTGCGATAACTCGCAATTGCAATTATAATTGCCTTATTTCTTTGTATTTTTCCTTTCCTTTTACAGCCTTGTACATATTTTGTTACTGCAATTCATGTATTTATGAAGCTGGATCGGCTGGCTTGTGCATTCCTCCAATTTCGAGGTCACCATGGCCCAATGGACGGTTTTTGAACGGACTACCCTCCACCCTACTGAACTCTCTTCACTGTACACGATGCTCCCGGCCTCTCTGCAACAACGAATACCGCGTCTGTGCTCTCTTCGTCGGTCGATCATTTCGTCGCAGGAACTGCACAGCTCCTCCTCAACTCGAGATTCGCATCGCGGATTTGTTTCCGCCTCCGAACCTCAGTTAGAATGCTATGATGCGAAGGGCGAATTGATGGGCGATCCTTCACATCCAATGACAGCAGACAGTCAAGAGTCGCTGGCCAGCTCGTCGTCCGGAAATCCCTCCGGGATCTCAACGCCTGAGGTGGACCGTTCGACTGCTTCGAATTACGAGACAGATTCCGGACTGAGGTGGAATCGCGTTGCTCCAGGCATGTCTCATCCTAGAGCTTTGTGCTGTCCGTCAAAAAAACAGCTAACCGGAGTAATGACATGACAGCCTTCAATCTCCTCCGCAATGCCGGCTTTGAAGCCCAGCAGCCCAACTCCGACAGCCGTCTCGTGCGAACGCTGTACATAAATGGTCTTCTCTATCTCCTGGAGGCGCTACCTGAAGATTTGACCAGTGACGAGGTTCGCTGTATCCAGAATCGTCTTCCAGAACCCGTGAAGTCTACCCTTCCCGAGGCAGATAGTCGCAGCCAGCCAGGCAAACCGGGACGATTCCCAGGGCAGGACCAGCCGTCGTATCTCCACCGCATCCTGGCTACCATCATTATCTACGGCTTCCTCCTGGCGCAGCTGCTCATTCCCTACGTGAAGACGTTCCTGCACAACGTGTATCTATATGAAAGGCATCATCGCATCACGGAGCGGCTTGTCGCGGCGGTCCTGGAAACGGCCGACAGTCTGGGGAAAGGCGGTGCCAGTTTCGGTTCGGCCCTCGTGAGGCTCAGCGAAGGCAGGGTGGGCGCCGCCGTCTCCAGCTTTACGGCGTGGTGGATCGAGGGTATCGCTGGTGGAGTCTATGAGGGTGTGTCTGAGGGCATGGTCATTCTAGGGTCGAGTCGTCCTAATACGGAGTTGCAGCGCCAGGCTTCCTAGGTATGTACATACATTTTCTTTCGGTAATTTTCCTTGTCGATATTGTTGATTTCGGCAGTTATACATACTCCGTATCCTTTGGTCTTTCTTCTTGGTCTATTTCGGTAGTACTTTTTGTTATCATGCAATTGGTTATGTGACACGATTTGACGCATGTAAAGAAAGATACCTTCATATGTGGGTCGCATCAGATCGTGGGATGTCTCCGTACAGCGAATACGGAGTTAGCGTACCGACCGCGATGCGGGTCCGCCTCCGAGCCCAATAGCGATAATTAATAGCTTCCTGCTTCCAAGAACCTCCTCAGTAAGCTCTCCGCGGATCATGTCGTCCCACAAACTTCCCAATCTCCCTTCCTTACGCAGGCACCAACTCCTGTTGGAATTGTGAGTTGAAAAAATACTGTTGTCATGGAAGTGACTCGGAATTGGCGCTGATGACCACAGTGCGAGTCTGAAACATGCTCCCCCGCCAGGAGTCTACGTGAGCATCAATAGTCCTGGAGATCCTACTTTCTGGAGTGGAGTGTTGTTCGTGAGGAGTGGTAGGTTGAATTTTTGCTTTGCTATCTTTTGTTTATTGCCCAAAGCTAATGGAGTCTCTTTATAGGCCCCTATGCCTCTGCCATCCTTCGCTTTCATATCCGCTTCCCTCACAATTACCCTGATCTCCCACCGCTCGTCACTTTCACGACCGATATATTCCACCCGCTCATTGTTCCGCTGACGACCTACATTTTTACCACTGGGTCCTCGAACGAAGATCCAGTCAGCGCGACTGATGAGGAGAGGTTACCGCCAGGCGGATTCAGCCTTCGACATGGTTTCCCGCACTGGTTCGGCCGGGCACAAAGGACGGCTGCGAACTCGGTAGCCACGTCAAGAAATGTGAGTGGAAGTGCCTCTGGCGAGGCGAAAGCAGATTCAGCGGGAGCAGAGTCGCCGGATGCCGGGAGCAAGCCAGCTGGGGAGGGTGACAACACTGGAGACAATCCGCAGAATGACCCAGCCGCGCCGTCTACGCCGAAGAAGAAACCAGGAGATGATGCCAATGTCACGTCGCCATCACGAGGAGCATCGGACAACACTCAAAAAGATACCCCTTCCCGCATATCACCTGCTCCTGCCGCGGCTCCCTACCAGGAAACCCAGAAGACCGTCACGGTAGTGGAGTTGTTGAACTATATTCGGTCCACATTTGATGACGAGACCATCCTAGATTCCCTTCCCCTCGAGGCGGCTGGGAACCAGGGGGCGTGGCATGCATGGAGAGCACACAGAAGAACTGTGAAGGGGTTGAAACGCGAGTCAAAAGGGACAGATACACCGGACGGCAGCGCGAAAAAGGGAACCCCGCAGGCGCGTCCACCAGGCGAATGGAATTGGGAAGGCGTCTGGGCCAAGAGAGTGCAAAGCTGCATCGAGGCCAGTCAGTCGGATGCCATTCTATTCGGGAACGCTCGCGGTGGAGACGACTCTGTAAGTGTATTTAACTGCATCTAATTTGTAGGCAATATCTGCTGATGGCTGTCTTTCTCTAGATACGTTTTCTCGATATGGATGAGGCTAGTTTACAGAGTGTGAAGGAGAGGATTATTCGTCCAACAGAGAAGGTTCAAGAGTGATAGGAAATGTTTACCTTTTTTATTCGTCTCTTTTGCATTGCTGTTCGTTATACCCCCTACAGTTTTGCCGTATATACCTTGTGTATTAGACTGGGTTATGACAGCATATATTTCCATGGCTAGAGGACTTTGTTAAATAGTGCAGTTTTTCAACTGGTGCACCTTCCCTATGCGGCAAGTGAGCGAGTGACTGCCTCCGAGGCGGTTGCCTTCTTTATTTCCTCGCGTCGTTGAATTCATTCCTTGGCAGTAGTGACAGCCCATCCATTCTTCAGAAGTCGTCGTGAATCTTGTCCAGCCAGGACTGCATCCGATTCACTTCTTTGTCTGTTGTGATTCACGATTTTCACGTTGGACATTCTCCGCCAACTCATCGATATGTCCTTGAATTCATTCGATCTTAAAACTACAGTCCTTATTCTGTCCTTGGTTATCGTGCCCATCGTTGTTCTCATCTGTATCCTTGCTATTGCTGTGGCCTGCTCTGAATTCTGGAGTTCCAGACACTGCAACTTTCGGTTCTGGAAGAGATCAGAGAATAGCAACCATCAGAAAAGTCGTTCTGACCCTCCACGCACCTCGACGTCTACCAAAGGCACTGATTGTACAGAGAACGACCTCGAGTATCAGGACCCGGTCCAGGGGAGGGAGCATGTCTAGCTAGCTAGGCCTTGCATCGCTTGCTTTTATCATCAGTCTAGTACAGTGATGGCTGAGCGCCCAGAACCGCTTCGTATTTGCAAGAGCTCGATCTCGCCTTTTGTGACAGCTGTCGACACCAATCCCAGATTTCCGCCTCCGGTTCCCAGCAGAAGTTCGTCAATGAAAACCAACTCTAGAAATGCCTCCAATAGCTCTACATCCACAGCGATAACGCCACCCATGGATGCTGGTTGTGAACGCTTGGAGGTTCGCAAGATCCGTAGCGCCAGTGTTGGTGGCTCACGCGCAGGAACAAAGGAAACAAGCCGCGTTCATCGACCATCCGCTCCGGTATGCTACCTATCATATGACGTGATTTCATGGACTAATCGCTCAGCATGTTTTAGTTTGCAATTCACAAAGACACATCTCATGCGAATGAAGACAAGCTTGAACGCAGACAGCGCATCATATCCAAATTCTTTCGAGCCTTTGACCCCAGATCTAGAAGCCAAAGCCTAGGCGACAACCCTGGCAGAAGAGCCACTTCTTATCCTCTAACTCCAAAATCAACTCCCACTCCCCGATTAGGCAGCCAGACTTCTTCGAACGTGGGCCAATCGTTGAGACTTCCCAATTCGGCTCCGATAACTGGAGTGCAAATGGAACTGTGGCCGGTGAGATGCGAGGTCAACGATGAAAAGTCTCTGACCTGGGTCGATATCGAGATTACAGCAGATGTCGACATGGAGGGAGGAATGCTTCCCGAGTCTCTAGAACCCCTGGACATTGTCATCATTCTTGACATCATGTTAGTTGTCCCACCCTGTTTTGATTGTGTTGACTAACTTTATCATCAGGGAGGATTCGCCGATATCGATGTTGCAATACGTCGCAAACGCAGCCTACTTATTGGCTTCAGAAATGGTCAAATGCGACCAATTTGCTATTGTCTGCGTCGACAACAGCGAAGAAGGGGGCTTACGAGTTCTGCTGCCACTAGATTGGTACCCTTTAAGGGGCGTGAAAAAGGTCTTGGAGAAACTCCCAGATCATGCGTATGGCATATGGAATCGCTGTGGGCTTCAGAGAGCGATTCTTCGAGCGTCAGATATGCTTGCACAAGGACATCCGAAAGATGCTTTGTCCCATATCTTCCTTATCACTGCGGATCGTCGGGGAGCTCTAGTTCCCAAAATCCACGCGGGCGTCGGGTTTCACACCATCTCTCTTGATCCTCATATTGACCTAGGTGGTCCGGGCCCTTGCGGATGGCACATATATCCTGATAAATATCCTGATATGAAAGCGATCCTTCCGGAAAATGAGAATGCTGTTCTGATGAACAAAATACTCCGCGCCATGACGCAGCTTCGCACAGGACTAGCGCCGGGTGTCGTGAGGGATTTGGTATTGGAGCTCGCGCCTGGTATGGGGTGTTGCATCGAGTCTGTGACCGGAACAACTTATCGGTCTAGGCTCCGTCCAGGTGAGAAGTGGGCATTGTCGGTTCAAGTGAGGATGCCGGATGAGCTCGAGCTGGATGATGGAAGCCAAATCACGGATGCTTCAGATGGTGGAATGGTTGAGGACTTAATGTACCAGTTGCAGAGGATGCTGGGCACAGAGGGTGTGATCCTAAATGCATCTCTGCAGTACAGTCATTCATTGCTGCCGGTTGGAACTGTCTGCATGGGCGGGCGCTGCCGGGGGATTCAAGGCCCTCAAGTCGCCTGAATACTGTAACTAGCCTTCATCCTGCCTACCATTAAATGATCAAGAATGCCAATGGTCACATAGAGATGCTAGGTATCTTGGATGGTTTCCAGCTTTGTTATTGAATCTATGTAGGCATGGAGACGTCAATCTGAACTTCTTAGCAAATCTTATTTCGACTAGTAAATACTCTGTCAAAACTGGCGTACCATAGGAGATATGACCTAATTTTTACGTACATATCTAGTGCCCAAGAAGTACATGTGCCTAGGTATGTCTCAATGAGATGTTGATTCTGATTGGTCAATTTGATCATATGTCACGTGCAACTGATGATATCGCGTTGTCGCCATTGGATTTGGAGCTTCATACTTCTCCTCCCGTGCAACATGCACGGAGAAATAAAAATAAGTAAATATAATCAGAAATGGTTCCCAGAAGGAAAGAAACGCCAATATGGATGAGTCTGTTGTTCCCCGGAAACGCCGAAGGCTCTTTTTTGAGTCTTATTCGGGGCCGGAATCAACAAATGTCGACGGGAATACTATTACATGTGCCTCTATGAAAGAGCAGCAGCAGCAGCAGCAGAAGCTCCCACAGACGAGCAGCACGGATGAAAATAGATCTGTTGTATCCTGTGAGGAGGAGAATGGGAGACCAGAGGAAAACAAATTTGAAGAAGAAGAAGATGATGATACAGACGTGAAACTTGCCCGACTGCTGTCGCTATTCCCGGACATGAACGAAGCAGACCTGTTGGATGTTTTGGTCGCGTATGATGGGTGCGTGACAGCGGCGTCTGCTGCGTTGGAAGCAGCGTCGTCACCACGGAAGGAAAAGAAACCATTGGCCAAGACTAATTCAACTGCTGCAACGCCTGGCATTCAGACATCATTATTGTCGTCTTTTCCGATGTCATCGTCCAAGAGCATCACGAGCGCTGAGACGTCAAAATCGCTGACGAAGAAGGGCAAGACGCTGTATCTCTACGCCCCGGAGGATATTGCCCGACACACGCCCTGCACCATCATCCACAATTTCCTCCCTCCCGAAGAGGCCGACGCGCTCCTGGTCGAGCTGCTCGAGGAGTCCAAGACCTTTCAGCGGCCCACCTTTCAGCTCTTCGAGAACACGGTCCAGAGCCCGCACACGGCCAGCCTCTACGTGTCCAGCACCGAAGACCTGGTGCAGCAGACCTCGCAGTACGCCTACAACGGGTCGTACCGGAAGGACGTCCGCCAGCTCACGCCGCGGATGCGCGCCGTCTCGGAGAAGGTGCAGCGCGCCGTCAACGAGGAGATCCGGAAACGCATCCAGACGCATTACCCCGGAGGCAAGAAGCTGCGGTACCAATCCCCGAAGGAGTGGGTGCCCAATGCCGCGTTTGTCAACTGCTACACGGGGCCAAGCGAGAGCGTGGGCTACCATTCTGACCAGCTCACCTATCTCGGGCCCCGGGCGGTCATTGGCAGTTTGAGTCTGGGCGTGGCGCGCGAGTTTCGAGTGCGGAGAGTGGTTGCTAGAGATGGTGATAGTGACGATAATGATGCTGATGATGATGACGACGACGATGATGACGAGAATGATTATGATAGCAATAACGATGAGAAACGAGCAGACTCCCATTCGACGAATCCAGCTTCCTCCGTAAAGAAGAAGAAGAGGAAACCCACCACCAAGACGAAAGATTCGATAGCCGACGCCCAGGGCCAAATCTCCATCCACCTCCCGCACAACTCCCTCCTGGTGATGCACGCCGAGATGCAGGAGGAATGGAAGCACTCGATTCCGCCGGTGCAGACCATCTCGCCGCACCCGATCTCGGGCAACCGTCGCATTAACATCACCTACCGGTGGTACCGCGAGTCGCTGCATCCGCGGTACACGCCGCGCTGTCGGTGCGGGATGCCGACGGTGCTGCGGTGCGTGCAGCGCAAGAAGGAGACCCGCGGGAGATACATGTGGATGTGTCATGCGGGATATGCGCCGGGGAAGAAGGGGTGTTCGTTCTTTCAGTGGGCGGAGTTTGATGATGATGGTGAGCCGATATGGAATAATAAACAAAAATCGTGAGGAAATGTGAAAAAAAAAATAGTATTAATTATTAATGTTAGTAATGATGAAAATATTAAGCTTGGACAAGGAACATTGGTCGAGTATGGTTCTGTCATTGTTCTCAAGCTGTCTATAAATCGTTCCTCTCCATGTATATAAGCCTTATTTTAAAGATACATCTGCCCCATCTCGTGATGGATGATAGCACTAATATACCAAGAATCATCAAGCCAGGCACTAATATCATATGATATCAAGTTCAACTCCTAGCTAGGAAGATCACCTTTATATATTCGTTCAAAGAGCGACGGCTTAATATGCCTCCTTTGGATTTGATTTAATTATAACTAATATCTCATCGACTGCTTTTGGATAGGTGGTACGTAAAAAGTCATCATCAGTGATTGGCGTAAGCCCTAACAGGAGATCCCTACCTATAGTTCGCGTCCCCTGATTCGCTCACAGCGGACATTCTTTCTCGCTTGGGTACTTGCCTCTCTGGGAAGGCGCCGCGAATCCGAGCCCGAAAAGAGAAACGAAACTGTTGCATCTATCCAGATTTCGGATTCTGCTATGCTTTATTTATTTACTAAGGCTAATGAGTGGCATGACTGTTGTGCCTTGACTACCTGGATCTTCAAATAGGTTCAAAAAAAAAGAAATGCGACCAGATTCATGAGGTCTGTCCATAATTACATGTTCGCAGAGGGCAGCAATGACGACCTAGAGACCATCTCGACCGCCACTGCTGAATCAGAGAAATCCAAGATGGGCTGCCGTGATGGGTTAACGTAAGTATCGTCACCCATATCATCAGATGCAATGCTAAGCAGTCAGCGTTATGAAGTACACCCGCATATGGACTGTCGATTCAGACTGTCGAGATAGTCTGGTCTATGTACGAGCTGTCTTGGCGTGATCCAGCTCGCCAGCGACGGAGAATCGTCAAGACAGATGTCGTTGCAGCTGATGATTATTCCGCTGTGGTTCATTGACCTCGTCCTGGACATGGAGGTCAAGACTCATCTCTTCCCTTGAATATTCGACCAGCTTCATAAAACGCTGAAAGTCTCTGGTCCTGAAGCCCAGCATACACCTCCATGAGAGACGAAAGGGTCACCGTTGTCCAGCCAGGGTAGGACGAATCGGTTTCTTGTGAAAAGTCACTCAGCTCCTGCGGATACAGTGACTCGACGGCGATGATGCGACAGCCCGAAAAGTCCGACTGGTCTTCTGCAGACGCCGACGTGTCGAGAACCCGGGTGAAATCCGCCAGACACGCATCGTCCACCATCAAGCACATCCTCAATCGCACGGGCAGATTCATCCGCGGCAAGGACAGGGAAAGCTTCCAATCCCGGAAGGCTTCTCGGATGGTGTCTTGATCGGCGTCTGCGTAAAGGACGGAAGAGGTGAACACCTTCGACGCATACGTCCGCTCAAGCATGGCCCGTTGTTCCGGAGTGCCGTCGAGAATGGGCAGGCCTTTCCTGACCTCGTCGTTCAACGCCCGCAGGAACAGCGGGAAGAGACGGTCAGAGTCGGGAGCATAGGTGGTCCGGTAGACGATGGGACCCCAAGTCAGAGTGAGAAAATCGCGATCAGGCCCTGGCGGCTGCGCTGTGAGGCCTCGTTCTTCGCCGAGGCGGTAGACCTGCCGGTGGAGGAAATCATTTGCGGGGGTGGTCCAAGCAGCTGACATGGCGAGTCGTTAGTATATATATTTATCTCGAAGTTTATGACACCAGCAACAACTGCTCATAGTCATCTACGGATGGAGGTGATGTCCTGGACAACATGATGTCAATGTGACATGACTAGCTGTGTTGTCTACTCTTACACCATCTCCCTTTTTTTTTTCAGTTCAAAATGCATCTACTCTGGATGCAGCCATAAAAAAAATAATAGATATATATGCAAAAAGCAAAAAGACAATTGACAAGGGTGGGATTCGAACCCACGCCCCTTTCGAGACACGGAGATCGACTGGAGTTCGCCAAACGACCTGAACCGTGCGCCTTGGACCACTCGGCCACCTTGCCGGTTTTGGTAGAGCCGCGCCAGCGGTGTGCTTTAAGAGGCAAGTTTGATGGTTCCGCGGTACAACCTCCGGAGTAAGCCCGCCAGTCAACCTCGGCCACTGTCACGCCGGCATCACGTTCACTCACGATCAACCTCAATATTGCCGTCTGCAAAGCATTCCCAGGCAGACGATGAGCCAAAGACAGCGGATGCCGGACATGATGACATGACTTGACATGAATCGTTACCATTATCATCCTCCCTGACAATTCCCCCGTACACGCACTTGATTTTCGTCTCGTCTTCGGCACCATGCTCCAGTTCCGCACCGAGGGATTCAACGGATCCGCCGTCAAGTACTCGCCCTTCTTCGACAACCGCCTCGCCGTCGCCGCGTCGGCCAATTTTGGCCTCGTGGGAAATGGCCGTCTGTACGTGCTGGAATTGACGCCGAATGGCATTGTCCCGTTGAAATTGTATGTCCTGTCTTCCCCACTACCCCGCAGCGATATCTCAGAAGGACAGATAGATATTCTTCGCCTTTATTTGTACATGCATGTCTGACGAATCTTTCTAGCTACACCACCCAAGATGCCCTCTATGATCTCTCCTGGTCCGAAATCAACGAGAACCAGGTCCTGGTAGCCTCCGGCGACGGCAGCATCAAACTGTTCGACAGCGGGGTCGACGAGTTCCCCGTGCAGGCATGGCGCGAACACAACCGCGAGGTCTTCGCGGTGCATTGGAACCTGGTCGCCAAAGACCGCTTCTGCTCCAGCAGTTGGGACGGTACCGTGAAGGTCTGGTCGCCGCGCCGGCCGGAATCCCTCCTCACCTTGCCCACGCACAGCTGCACCTACTCGGCCGCTTTCTCTCCTCATTCTCCTGACATCCTTTCCTGCGTCACGTCCGACTCCCACGTGCGCGTCTACGACCTGCGCACCCCTGCCTCCGCCAAGAACCATCTCACCGTGCAGATCCCCATCCACGGCCCTGCATCCACGCTCGTGCCGATGAAGCCGGGCATGGCGCCGCAGCCGGCTGCCGCTCCGCCGTCTGAGTGTCTCACGCACGACTGGAACAAGTACCGGCCGTCGGTCGTCGCCACGGGGGGCGTCGACCGGACTGTGCGGACGTTTGACATCCGCGCGCCGCAGCAGGGACCGTTGTCGGTGATGCCGGGCCACGACTACGCGATCCGCAAGCTGGCCTGGTCGCCGCACCTGTCGAACCTCCTGCTCACTGCTAGCTACGACATGACGTGTCGCGTCTGGACCGACCGGTCAGATGCCCCGGGGGATGCTGACCCGATGCGCGGGGGGCCGAGTCCGATTCTGGGCGAGGAACTCGGCCGGATGGGACACCATACAGAGTTCGTCACCGGTGTGGACTGGTGTCTGTTTGGTGCGGAGGGATGGTGTGCCAGTGTGGGGTGGGACGAGCGAGTATTCGTCTGGGATGTGCGGGCGTTTATGAATCGCCCATTGTAGGCTGTCCGCTATTTTCCTACATGACCTAACTACCCAGGGTAATGTCATGCAAAAATGCATCTCCTCGATTGCCGCTTTCTGACTGAGTCCCCGCTGCTCTGCTCCCTTGCTAAAACCCTCTAGCTCACGTACTGCTCCTGTCTGCTCATGCCTGCTCGCCCTGAGCTCCTATTTCTGGCCTCTTCTCTGCTGCGGCCTCACACTTATCCTCCCCCTACTATCAATGCATCTTAGGCGCTCTATTGTGTTGATACTATCGGCTTTAAATGAGATACCTCCTGATTACTTATTCTTGACTACTAAGGCCAATTTGCACCTACACAATTAGCCATAAGATGATCGTGGTCTTATAATAGTAATGGTCACACAGCTATATAGTGATCTAGGATTTATTGTGACTTGGTGATTATCTTATTTTCTTTTTGGTATTGTTACCTATACTTATTCGTTTTAGGAGCTACTTTTTTTATATATATGTCTCTTAGCTTACCTTAGTACTATTCTATCTTTAATTGATTATACTTAGTGTCGTGTCGCGGTACAAGGACGTACCTTGACGGACCAGAGTATGGACGGTCCAACCTCGTCACATGGACGATCCATTCCCATCACGTGTAAGGATCGTCCATAATTTGTACTCCGTACGTAGCCGGAGGACCTTTTTTTTGGTTCTCCCATCAAGCTTAGCACCTTTAGTCAATGGCACCCCTAGGTATTTAGTTGCTACACTTAGTTTATATCTAGACTCTAATATTACTTTATATCTACCTAGTACGGTAATACCCTTAAAAAACAATCTTAAAGCCTTCTTTCAGTAAAAGAATTATTTAGATAAGAATTTAAAAAAAGAATTCATAGCAATAAAATCTATAATTATTTTCTTCAATAAAATAAGAGTAAGTTATTAAGATCTATTAGATGTCTAGCAAAAGTTAGTCATCTTTAGGTATCTATTATATCTTTTCAGTACTATCTCTTGTACCGATAGGGGCTAGGCTAGGTGATGGCCTGTTAGCATTCCTCTCAGGGCGACTATTTCTGCGAATGTCATCCTCCTCAATTACGAGTCACAGAACAGCAAGAATTCGCCCGCGGCCGAAAAATCAACCGACAACCATGTTCGACTCGCACTTGCATAAGTTAGTTGCCGTAATAGGCCATGTACACCGAACCCTTGTCATCTTTCCTGGAATCCTTCCACTTTACGAGTCAGCCTGTCCACTACTTCTGCATCGGTGTGCCACTCACCACAGCAGGCCCAGCGCTCGAATTCCTTCGAAAGGGTTCACGTGGGCAATGCCAACGATGTGATAGCCATTATCTCTCTCTACATAAGCGAATGTTCCCCTCCGTGGGCCATCTGCCTACCAGTGACCTTCATCTTCTCTGCTCAGAATTCTGACACCTTCGACCACCCCTGTTTTGTCGGCGCAGAAGCAACCTAGTAATCATGATTGGGGAGGCGAACCCTACAATTGAAATTGATGACAGGGTAGGCACAATGTACCCTGATTCCCCAATCGTGGGTCACTATTAAGGAATGACTTTTATCTAGGTTACTGAAAATGATTCGACCTACGGAGATGAACTGTACGCAACTTGTTCCTGGCGGCATGCTTTCTGGATGTCTGGACACTGATCCGTACCAGATCGGGTTACAGCGCCTCTCTGACCTCCTCAGTTCTCAATTTTCGAAAGGAGAACGGCAGAACATATCATGGATACCGTGATGGCGGTAAGTTTCATTATACAGAAGGAATTGATAATTACTCCTGCTGATAATATAAAGCTTACCTCCTGCCCAATGATGAGGATGAGGCAGAACGACTCGACATGTTGCATGAAATGACATTGACCATCATGGATCGGAAGCTCTTTCTTGCCCCGATTGGCGATTCCCCTCAGCGAGCCATTGACCTTGGCACTGGAACAGGAATCTGGGCCATTGATTTCGGTAAGATCGAGCAGCAGTATATACCTAGGTATGACTTCCTATTAACCATCCTACAGCTGAACAGTTCCCTTCTGCGGAGGTAGGCAGAGACTATTACCAGGTACCTGACTAAGGAAGCATTGTGCTAAATTCCTCATGTGCCTAGGTCACTGGGGTCGATCTCAGTCCTATTCAGCCATCCATGTACGGAGTAAGTCTTCTTCTTATCACAAAATCAATTGCTAATTATCCCTAGGGTTCCTCCAAACGTGAAATTTCTTGTCGACGACATCGAGGCGGACTGGGTTTATAACCAGCCTTTTGACTTTGTCCATGCCCGATTCCTTGCAGCTTCTATGAAGAACTATAAAAGGCTAATACAGCAAGCCTATAACAACACTGTCCCTGGAGGCTGGGTGGAATTCCACGACTGGGATGCTGTGCTATACTCTGAAGATGACTCTCTCAAGGATACCGCTCTCCAGCAATACTATGATGTTGTCCGCAATGCATTCATAGGGTCAGGATATGAATTAGATCCTGGCCCTAAGCTAGAGGGGTGGTTTCGTGAGGTAGGCTTCGAAAATATCCATGTTCAGAAGTATGTGGTGCCTCTGGGAATCTGGCCAAAGGATGAACATTTGGTAAGCATGATATCTGAAAATAAAGGAGAAAAATAAATATGGAAATTAACGTAATGAGCTAGAAAAAAATCGGCTTGTGGAATCTCTTCCAGGTGGAGACTGGTTTTGAAGCTTCTGCCATGGCTGTCTTAACCCGATATGCAGGATGGTCTAAAGACGAGGTCACTGTCCTAGTCGCGAAGGCAATGAATGATTCCAGGAATCCCAAGATTCACTCATTTTATCATTTGTGAGCAGATAGATAATCCTTCTAATCTGTTGCACAGAAACTCACTTGCTTACTTATTATAGCTATGCTGTATACGGCCAGAAGCCAAAGCCTAAGGGGCAAGAAAACGAAAACTAGGCTTGGAATGACGTTGTCATCTGCTTTAGTCGTTTCCAGTATTTGAAAAGTTCCGTGAAGAATTGTTGTCGCGGAAGAACTTTGAGCTCTCTCTCTCTGTCCACTTTTCCTGTTAGGAGTACATTTCGTTGCAGGAGAAATTTGCCTGTAGCAATCTTTTTGGAGGAAGCAAAGGAAAACAGCAGAATTGGAATGCGACATGATCAAAGTATCTGCGAATTATTATCTGATATTTGTTAAGAACTCATTAATAAACTCCTGCATATCACCCCCAGGCCTTCTTCCAGCAAACAACCGTCCCCTTTCCGTCCTCATCCTGGATGAAAGACATGATATGACATACATAACATACATGGCATGCGACTCCTGCCCATGCCTTGTACTCTATGACTTACTACGCTTGGTATACAACACGTCTGAGAAGAACAGGTGAATAATCTATATATGAGTAAATGCGCCTAGGTTGAGACGAGAAGAAGCGAAAAGAAGAAAGGAGATTACGCTTCTATTCATCTATCTATGTTGATCAATGCATCGGTAGATATGAAAGAAAATTTCTCGTTTCATTCGTGCCGTGCTTCTTTCTTTTCCTGCAGGCACGTTGGTGGTGTACCAAGCCATGGGGACTCAAAATCAGACAAGACCAATCCAAACCAATCAATCCAAACAAATGTTGCTGTCATTAAGTACATACAGTGTATGATGTATAGCGTGTGAGGTGGGATGAGGTTAATTAGGTAACCTGATCTGGCATGGTCCTGGTCTGTCACATAGATGCATATATAGCTTTCAGATCCCCAGAATAACATCTCCAGCAAAGATCGGGTATGGTGTAGCGGGCCATAGCTGTTTTTCACACAGCAGACCCCGTCGAGTCCCGGTACCCGAATATAAATTATTGCTTCTCTGTTCTTTTTTTTTTTTCATTTTTGCCTTTTTCGTTTATCCTTTATCCTTTTGGATAAGGAACCAATCCCAGCGTATTCGAGATCTCCAGGAGTATGGTTCAATGTCGTAGGTGATGAACCCATTTTGTCATCGTAGTCGTTCGTAGTCATCGTCTTCTTCTCCCGCCTAGATCATCATCCATATTATATCATACCAAACAGAAATTGATCGTTCCTTTTTTTTCGCTTATTTCTCCGCCAACCGCGCCTCAATCTTCTTCCTCTCCGCCTCCTTCACCCGCGCGACCTCCTCTTTCGTCGCGTCATACGCCACATGCACCTGGTTGAACGGGTTCTCGGGGCTCTTGTCGAACTCCTTCTTGCATATCTCGATGCGCTGCTGCCTGCGCAGGCCCGGGTGCTCCTTCTCGATCTCGGGCAGACGGCGAGCCTCGTACGCCGCGTAGGCGGCCTTGTACCGTCGCTCCGGGTGTCGGTCGACCTTGGTCGTGTCGGGGCTTGTCGTGAGGGAGAGCGCGTCGAGCGCGTTTTCGATACCCGAGGCGTTCAGCGTCGGGGCCTTCTTGCTGCTAGGATCACCGTCCAGCTGCGACAGGTCCAGCGTGCCGCGCGTCTTCTTCTGTGCAGTCTTTGCGCCCGCGCCTTTGGCTTTTGAGGGGAGTGAGGCTTCTTCAGCGGCGAGGAGGGCGTCTCGCTCGGCTTTCCTGCGGGCGGCTTCGGCTTTCTTTGCTGCTTCTGCTTCCCTAAAAATGACAGTGTCGTTAGTAAGGGCGAAAGGGAAAATATCTCACAGATATGATATATATACTCACTTCTTAGCATTCGACTTGGTGCCCTGCTCCCAGAGCTTGTCTTCTTCAGCTTTCCGCTTTGCCTCCTCGGCGGCCTTCTTCTGAGCTGCGGCTTCCGCTTTCTATAGCATTTCAAGTCAGTATTGTATCCAAAGGAAAAAAAAAAGATGGTATCGATAAATAGTATATGTCCATGACTACTGCGGGGGTGGGGTACTCACTCTCGCGTTTCCCGCCGCCTTCTTGGCGTTCTCTCCCATTTTCTTTCCGCCCATGGTGGTTTGGCTTAGCTATATATGCAGGACAGAAGACAAAAACAATAAGAAATAGTGGAATAAGAAATGTCAGGGAGGATAGGAGGGTGTGGTGTGGGTTTCGTGATGATTGCTCTTCCCGAGCGTAAATAATTTAAACTATCGATTGTGATAACGCCCGCGCCGCTCCGCGCCACGCCACCCGCGGAATATTAATGGATGAATGCACTGGATGACTAAGGAAGCTAACTACCTACCGATTGAGTAAACCGTCAACAACAGTCACAAGAAACAAGCTGTATTTATTTTAGCTGGTATCCCTGTTCAGCTACAGGACTTGAATCGGATAAAAATAATAAAGAGTCATTAAAAGATACAGGGTCAGCACTCGACTAGCGAAATTCTAATGCAAATCACTGGATAACCTGATATTCGAAGCTAGAGACTATGTACTGTACATAACTGCTAGGTACTCGTCATCATAATCGCTCGTTCTAAGGCCTTTCGCTGTTCCCGTCTATTTGAGCAATTCGTGTCAAGTCGATATCTCATCACGCTGATAATAATTCACCCCCACCAGAAACTCACGCTGATACCTGCCTTCAGTCCACGCACGTAATGCCACCACCCAACTGGGATATACAAACATTCGCCCTCCTTCAGTACCGTCTCGACGTATTCCGCCTTCGAAAATCCCGGCCACATCGACTCCCACTGTTCCGACTCGGCTGGCGACAGCTCGATCGCCGCGAGATCGACCTGCGACGTGTTGGACATGTCGATTAGCTGCTCTCGCTGCTCGTGATCGTTGTCGCTTGAAGGATGATCAGCGCCCGACTGTCCACCACCTGGGTTAACCGTTTCCATCCCACGCGGATGGATCTGTGACGCTGGCGTGTGTGGCGAGTATAGACGAATGTACTTGGCACCCACCACCTGCACCAGGATATTATGGTACGGGTCATGGTGGAGAGGAGATATCGTCCAAGATGGTCCGATCCAGGTATTGATTATTGGGTCTTTAGGCACACCGAGATCTGAATCCTGGTCCGACGAGTTCCCTGCATGGTTCCCCTTGGACGACAGATCTCGAAGATGATTTTGATCGTCTATACTGACATTGATCTTTTTCGACGCTCCAGATGATTTGGCCTCTCGTTCACGTTGCTTTTTCTCGTACACCGGGGTCCCAACTTCAGGACCCGGCGGATCGATGTAGCAGTAGTCTGGCACACATACATCCTTTCGCAGCGCCGGAATCTGCGAGAGGAGATTGTGCTGTGCCATATACCCCGTTTGGCCAGAATCGTCATGCGTCTTTTCTCCGTTCTTGTTGACGTCTGACTTCTCAGACCGCCAGAGATACTTTTCCACAAACTCCTTGAAGGGCATGATTCGCTGCCCCCATCCCTCATCGGTATATGACCGCCCAATCTCCACTGGCACCAGTCTCCTGCCATCAAAGGTCCGTTGAAACCAATAGTCCCGTGATGTCCATGGCCTCGTCGATAGCGCCGGCCAGTGGTCCACAGCATCCGTAATCACCAATGGCGTGCGGACAATCTGTATGTGATGCTCGATCGCGTCGAAGGAGGGAGCCGAGACCCGGGGAACAGGGTGCTTCAGTTCTGGGGCTGGAGCTGCATCCGGAGGGAATAACGGGGGAGACAACTTTCTCCGTTTCGCGGGATGGCATCTTGTCTCGCCGTCGCTCGAGTCGCGTTCTGAAGTTCGATGGTCTTTAGGCGTCGTCGTCGCCGCCTGTAGAGCGGAGAAGAGAGACTCAATGACTGATTCGCGCAGCGGAGCTCCTGTCATGATCAATGCCATGTCGAGGTAGCGAACCACGGACTCCAGCCATGGAGCCTGGGGGTCGATCGTGGGCTGTTGTCCTGTAGTACAGTCCGCCTGATTATTCCTGAGTGCTGAGCTCTCCCCAGATTGCTTCTCCTGATTGTTTCCATCCTGCTGGAGACCCTCGCGGATCAAGAGACTTGCTTTCACGAGACTCGCGTCCGTGTATAACCGACGCCAGCAATCCTTCACATCCTTGAACGGGAACTCGCGTAGTTTCGCGTCGGCCAGGCGGAGTGCAGTATCGGGGTCGTCCCGGAGGAGCGTACGAAGCTTGTCGGAGTCATGGTCGAAGCATTCTTGGATAGGATCAGTGGGGGAGGGATTGTGGATGGACTCCAGAAGAGAATCAACGAGAGCTTGCATGGCATGTGCGCCTTGAAGCGGGTGAAGGGGAAAAGACACGGACGAAAGGACAGATCATGAAGAAGAAAATTGCGAGACGAGGTCTTCTGACAAAATAAATCAAATGGCGGCACTTGGTCGAGCTTGTTGTGGGGTTCTGCTGGATTTCCAGAAGCTTTGGGAGCTGACCGCGCGCGGACGTGGTTCACGTCATCCGTCGCTAAGGGAGCGGCCCCAGAGGAAGCCTGTCACTATTTAAACCCACGATGCTGCAGGTGGCTACCAATCACGCGACAAAGGTTTTTCTTTCTCTTTGACAGATCTTATCTTATCATTAATCAATCCTACTGAACACTGCTACTCCGTGCTGATCTCTTTGTTTGCTTTGAATGATTCAATAGTCACATGTCTCAAATTATATTCTCACCAACTATTTGCAAATAGAGTCTTTCAAGAACATGTACCATAGAAGATAATAATAGTTTATAATACATCTGTCAGAAGTCAAATCGGAGAGCGCTCGACCTGGCGTGATTAGTTGAGTCATCATCTCGTATACATGTCCTATTTTCCCATGCCCTGCAAAATCCTTTGCTCTTTATAAATACAAGTAATGCTCATGCTGTAGAAGAATGGAGTTCAACTTCAATCAAGGAAGCTCATGACTAGGCGTGGGATCTTATCGACTCCCTCTGCTCTTAGAGCACTCACGGGAACCACATAGAGGCGCTCCCTATATCCATCTTGATGGCCACTAGGGTGCTCGACGACGCCATTTTGCACCTGCTGAAGGTAGTCCCGCAGAGCCAAGAAGTTCTCCTGAGTGTTCGGTAAGTCTGCCTTTGTAGCGACAACGAACCAGGGTTTGATGTAAATCGGTGGGAGCGTGAGAGGGGGCAGCGAACTTCTAGGATGGGCTATCCCTGCGTCGGTAACAGGAAACTCTGAGTCACACTCTCCCTCAATATGCATCACAGGCGGCCCATCTCCAAATGGATTCCAGGAAATGAGGTCATCCTGCGCGCCGTCGTCGGCCTTCGCATTGCGCATCCGGTCATATTCACCAAGCTCACGCCACAGCTGCTTCAGAGTCTGAACCGGATCTCCCATACTGAGATCGACCACGAAACCCAGTATCCGCGCTCGCTCAATGTGCCGAAGGAAACCTAGACCGAGACCACGATCCAAATGAGCATCTTCAACAAGACCGGGAATGTCTGCTATGGTGAAATTGGTCCGGGGTGCCTTTTTGTTTGATGATTCGACAAGGGGTCTTCCTTTGAAATTATCGATCACCACGGTACCGATATTGGGCGTCAGAGTGGTAAACTCCCAATTTCCAATTCGCGTGCGGCTGTTGGTTAACGACCGGAGCAGTGTGCTCTTCCCTGCGTTAGGATAGCCGACTAGGCCAACATCAGCGAGCAGTTTCAGCTCCAACTCCAAGTGCAACGTCAGGCCTTCTTCACCCTTCGTTGCGAATTTCGGTCGCGAGATAGAGCGCGACACAAAATGTGGGTTGCCAAAGCCTCCAACCGCACCAGCTGCGAGGAGCATTGGCTTGTCCATGTGCTTGGACAAGTCTAAATGAATGGGCGCTTTTGGTTCCATCGCGGCTAAATTGGACCTTCGGGGCGGAGGTAGCGGTGGAAAGGGCATTGTCAGGAAGTCTGACGGCTGCGACCCGGGGTAGAGCACCCAGCGGTCTCGTTGAAATGCCATCATCTCCAATGACTCCTCTTCGTCCAGTTCCCCACTCAGTCTGTTGAACTTCCGCTCTGCCTCCGCCACGGGGTCATATCTGCCCACCTCCCGGACCACGGTTCCAACAGGTACCTGTATCAAAACATCATGGCCCCGTTTCCCACCTTGACTCTTCCCTCGCCCATTCCTCCCCCGTCCGGCTCTGATGACTCCTCGACGCGCCAATTTATGCAAGCTTGTGAGACCTTCGACGGCTTGGATGTAGACGCTACCTCCGCTACCGCCATCACCGCCGTTTGGAGGGCCTTCTTCGATATACTTTTCCCGTAGAAAGGAGACACAACCGTTTCCTCCAGAGCCAGCCACCACAGTTATGGAGCATTTGTCTTTAAATAGGAAACGGGAGTAGTCGTCCGGCGACGGATTCAGGTGAGAAAGATCTGGGGAGGATTGCGCAGCTCGTTCAGATTCGTTGGATTTGACGTTGGTCGTGGTACTCTGCCATCGATAGCATCGCAAGAGTCTGCCAGCTGCTTTCTGGGTGACAGACCTCGAGTAGCTGGGCGCGCCGAGGAAAGGATAGAGAAAAGATAATATGGCCGTCTGGGGTTTTGCCATTGTGTTGTTGTATCAGTTAGCTGCCAGGCAAAACTTTGGCAGAGGGCGACAACGATGCTTAGCAATCACTAAGTATTTCATGCAAGAACTCTCATGTCGCCTCAATTATCTGCACGAATTATTTAACAACAGCTCAGCAATTGGAAGCTATGAATGGCTGGGAGTTTTGTTGCATAGGACCGTCGATTTGGACCTAAAAGTCAATCACGTGAAGTAAAGCTATAGATCACGTGACTCTGTTTTTCCTTTCTAGGGTTTATCTCTTCCTCCATTCTATCGAGGTCAACTTGTGCGTACCATAGCTAAATTGACAAAACAATGAACAGTTCTAGGTTGGGACTTGTGACTGCTAATTTCAAAGCCCTCTTATGGCATTTTATCATTCTCATACGGCCTACAGTCTAGTCCTCCACTTTTTCTGTGACTTAAATAAAAATGACATAAATACAAATACCAAACATTGATTATTATACTCAGTTCTTATGTTTTCTTTTCTTTCTAGTGCTTGGTCATACTCCTATATGCACTTTTATTTTCTAGGGTGAATGCTAAGATTTATTGCTGTATAAGTTAGTTGGGTTTGCTATTCAAAAGACTATATGTAGATCTATCTATTAAGACTACTTCACCAGCGTTTTATGTAATTGAGAGGGCGATGGCAGCAGATACATACAAGGTCTCTCTAGTAGTAGGCAAGTACGGTCTCTAGGGGCATGGTAGGCAGCATCTAAGGTCCAGAGTCCTATAATAGTTGATTACTAACCCTTGGAGAAGGTAGGTTAGGAGTTGAATCTTATGAAGAAAGCATTATTATTATTATTATTATTATTATTGCAAATCACCTGCACCATCTCGAAGCTTCTAGCTCGCTTCTAGCTCTGCAGGATTATCAGGATATGAATTGGATACTGTTCCAGTCAGACGGGCATGGATTCGCAGATTATTATCCTGATGATCTCCTTGAGGTGGAGCCCGATAGATGGTAACTATGTAGAGACTACGGAGTACTCCGTTGAGCCAGACCCATGATTCCCTCACTATTGAGTCAAATGGAGTCAACAAGTCTTTTTTTGTCGGGAATTATTTCTGCCTATCTGAGACCTCTTCACTGCTCTGTCTTGCTGCGGAGTTACCTTCCCGGCTGCTAAAGCGGTGTGCTCGACAATAATAATGCCGACGGGCCGACATCAGACGACATTCTCATCCAATATTAATTCCCCAGGTGTCTGGGTCGTGAAAATACGGAGTACGGTACAGAAAGCGCAGTTCCGGCGGGCCGGGTCCAGCTCTCATCATGTTTATGACTTGCAGAATTAAGAGGGGCCCATTATGCGTCTTCGTCGGTTCTAGAACATGACCCAGTCTGAGGGAACGAGTTCAGCAATCGTAGTCACGAAACTAGTCCAGCTGCATCGGTAGGTATGTACGTGTATGTATGTACAGTACAAATTACAAATGTCAAGTGGGTCGCAGCTTTACGCCGCACAATCAGGAAATAATATTTGTCAGATGCCTGAGAAACGTTCTTAACGGCGGGATAAGGACTCTTTACAGCTAACCCGTTACCATACTCCTTGCTGGAAAGACAACCGAAGATTCTGTCTGGGATACGTATCGTATACCTGATTGGAGCTCGTAAGTCTTGCCAAAAAAGAAAACAGCAGTCACAAGTATTAAAAATTTTTCTTTAAATGCAATTGGGGTGGAGATAAGCGCCAGGATAAGAATAATCAGGGCGCGTTTGGCAGTTCCGTAAATAATACACCTGCCACCAACCAATAATATGTCTGTACCTGAATACGTGATGAAATCCGCCTCGTTCACCGCTGGACGCAGACTTCCTTTCTACTCTGTATTCTAATCATGACTATTTCTCTTATATTTTGTTTATCCGCGGGTGGCAAACTGAGGATCGACTTCCAATTGGCCGCTTCTCAGCTTCCATTAACGGGGAGCGGTCATAAATTATAATAGTTATAATTATTAGGATTAATTCGGATTTGCGAAGGATCATCAAATGAAGCGACCTCAGGAATCCGAATTGGCGGATTGGGCCCATCCCCTGATCCGCGGAGGCCGTTTTATCTGGGCCGCGGCACCGGACTTCTGGTCCCGGAGAGTTAAAAAAACAGCATGGCCAGCAGGGATCCCTAAAAGGCGGAACGCCGGCGAGAGACCGGTCTGAGCCGGCGGGCGACTAAAGACAAAATCGAAACACTTTTCTTTCGCCTGCCAGGCGCGCGCGAAAGGCGGTCACTGCTGGTGTCCCCTGACTTTGAAGGCAACCCCACCCCCGGGACCGTTCCGGAGCGCCCAGACGGGGGGGAAAAGCCATCCGCCCGTCGTGTCGGTCCTGCACTAAAAAACAGGCTCCTCGGATGGCGGCGACAATGGGCCACGACCCTTTTTCTCGCCAGGCCTTCTCGCATGCTCATTTGTCCGGGGGAGTTGATGCCCAGTTACCGGTGACACCAGCCACAAGCTTCCCCCCCTGGGCGTTTCCTGGGACCAAAGACGGAGTCCCGGCTACACCGTACGGAGTATTAATAGACGATTTTATGGCTCTAATGCTGTACGCCAGGTTTGCACGCCAGTGCCATGACAATAATAGACCTGTCAACCTGGGCTTGTTGGTCAGCTGAAAAAAGCAGGGATCCGATCTCACTACTTTAGTACGGCTGAAGGCTACCAGTGTGTTTCGAAAGAGTCTTAGAGTACGGACTACGTGGACCAGGACGCGTCTATAGTCGTTTAAGTACGTCGAGACATAAAGTCTCACCAGTGTTCCTGTCAGCCTGGTCCCTCCACGACGTACTCCGTACCGAGGATTGGATGAGTCGGTGCACGTTGCCGTTGCCGGGTGTACAGGACAGTACTCCGGAGTATTCTATTCACAATGCCGCAAAGCTTATTGGTATACTCCGTACTTTGAAGTTTATAGACGCTGGCCAATGCGAAAACAAATAATGGTAACCCGGACAGGATACGCATGTTGTATGTAGCGCCTGAGTTAATAACGTTGCGTTTCTTTTTTCTTCTTTGTATTTCTTCTTTCGTCTCACCGAGTCACAGAGCAGCCGGCCACTGCCATGGCTGTGATCAAAGGGTTGCTGACTGAATTGGACGACACCGCCAGGATTCAATCAAGATGGATTGGTTAATTGTCTATCCGCTGTTTGACCGTGTCGTAGTAGATGTGGTCATGTGGCAACCGTTGCTGTCATTATTAACCTTGCCAATAGAGCTTGTGTAGCAGCATCGGTTGCTCGTCATGCAGTATTCTCAGGTGTACAAAATAATACTTCTTCATCCAGTCGGATGCGCAGGATATAGATTCGACAACAACAATAATCAAAACCCCTGGAAGATTTAATTAGCTGCCCATCGACTATTTGGATCATATGACCTTCAAAGTCCGAAACTTGGAGCTGCCTGATTACTACCTGGTTCCAGTAAGCTTGCGACAACCTGCAATGTGGGGGGTTACTATTCTTGCCCAATGTTTGACATATGTGTCAATATAGGACCGGGGACTCGGTGACCATGACAGCCGCCCGTGTTGAACGTGAGACAGCGGTGTATGTACGTCCGCGGTTTCGGGCAGGGGATCCGGATTGAAATCTCGGGCCAAAGGGCAAAAAAGAGTAAACAGGCAAACAGTCTATCGGTCAGTCCAACCGGGAAATTCATTGGCATTGGACGGTTCGTCAGAAGGCAACCGGACTCACGCTGTAGCAAGACGTCAGCCCAGTCCAAATTAAAACGCCGGATGCCCTGTATGACAGATTCATAGCAAAGAGGCTGAGGCGAAGTAAGTCCTACTGAGGCACGCGAGGCCCTTCTTTGTCAGGCAACCCATACTCTGTACTGCGTATCACTCCGTACATCGGAATCCATCAGTCCAACCGAGCTCGTGAGGATCTTGTTGTCTGCAGGTCTGGCAGGGATTGGTAATAGCCACACCGAATTGCGAGTCCACTGCGCGCTGATCGAGGCTGGTGGCTTGGAAGGAGCTGCTGATTCTGGCTGGGTTAGCACTTCGATGCTTCCCTGTAAGGGCGGTGCAGACTTACGGGCACGTCGTACTGTCGTACATGCTGTCTGCAAAGCTGTCGTTCTGACTTGTCCGGGTCCATGATACATCCCAGGATCAGCGCCCGGTTGCAGAAAGCGTTCCGGACTGTCGGGACCGAAATCTCACGGGATACAGAGACTAGGCATTGTGGAAGTGGCGTAGGAGTCTACTCTGTACGGAGCACTGTGGGGGAGTGGACTGATGTGCAGCAACTTACTCCGTACAGCAGGGCAATGGCAGCGTGACTTGCTCGTCGAGGACGCACCTGCCTACCAGGTCCGTCGCGTCTCTCCCATGTCGACCACCACGCAATCCCAGCCACTCCACAACACCGTCGCGTCGAACCCCTGTCGGAGATCAGAACGACACCGCTCGGTTGTTTGATGCTTGCTTTTTATTACATGTGGCGATCAGGAGGGATTCTCTGTGTTTGGTTGAGTGGGACCAGACAGGACAGCGTGGAGATAGACGCGATCACACTCCGTACATACGGGACTCGTGCTCGCAGTTGGATTGACACCTGGGTCGCCTCGCACAACTTCACCAAGGACTGGCTGACTGCCAAAACCGTTGGGAATCAGAGTGATTACGGATGACGTCTTTGATCAGCTAGTCTCGCAAAGCCCCAAATCCCAATAACGAGGACAGCTGATCCGCTTCGCCCATTTTTGCTGCCCAGCAGTGGGTCGCTGCGACTAAGAAACAAATGCGGCGCAGCAGACCCCTTCCATGAGGCTGGCGCTATTCCCCCCTGCCGGCCTATCAGGGCCCTGGACGCCCAGTTTGATATTGGGAACAACCCCATCACACGAGGCTAATCATTCCAGATCCTTGCTGACTCGCGTGGCTGTTCAAGATCTCTAGGCTTTAGCGGCGTTTTGACCTAATGCCAAAGGCTAGTCTCCACCATCGACGCTATTTGCTTAGGCTATCCAGACTGAAGGATCCCTAAGAGTTGGGCGGTTCGGGATGTGACGACTGGCAATCCCTCCAAAATGATTGCGTCCCCTTGGTGAACCTTGCCCTGGTCTACGGAGTAGCGCGACACTCTTCGGGGCTTTTTGCCCACCCTTCCAGCCAATGACGACCTGCAGACGATCTCTTCTGTCTTTTGATCCATCCCCCTTTGCTCTGTCGCAGCCTTCGCTCCGACAGTCGTCCACGCCGCTACAGTCTGGGATGTCGTTTTTGCGGTATGGACGCGGCTAAGCAACCTGTACAACGGTACGGATGTCCGGAACGTCGTCTCCGTCCGGTCCGTATGGTTCTTTTGCCTTGGTGGACCGTGGGACAGACAACAAAAACCAGATGGACTGGATCTTGCAACAATAGCGGAGTCCAAAAAAGGGCGGCATGAAAGCGTGCGATCGTCTATGCATACGTAATTAATTTCTTCTGTGCATGACAGGATCGAGAATCCCTCCTTCTTCGCATCGCAGAGATGTTCGTTGAGTACTGTATCTTTGGTGCCCAAACCCAAAATGGAAGGTCCGGAAAATAAATGACAACAATGGGGACTGCGGAGTGGTGATCATATCTGATTCTCAAATGGGCATCTGGAATGTGAGAGGGCGATTAAGCGTAACCGCCAACATCACAGGCTCACAACAATGGTATTACCCCGGTCAGGAAAACTCGTTACTCCAGCTGACGAATCGAACTCGTCTGGCTCGCCCTGCCTTGGCAGGACTTGTTTTTCTCCCAGGCCGTAAGGGGCTAACGGTCAACAGTAGCCTGGCCACGTCCTTCGGTGATTCGCGAATCGCCTGGAACCGACCTTCTGAGACGGAATCCGGCCCACTTTTCATGGTGATGACAGCTCTTCAAGTTTCAATAATTGTGTCGACCCATGTAATCGGAACACACTCACCGCATTTCTTCTTCTGTGACCAGACGTCATCAGACAGAAACTCACTACTTGCCTAGACCAGGTGCCTGTTCTTTCCTTTTGAATCTCTTGCCCTGCAGGCTCTAATTTCCGAGAACAACAAATTCATTCCATTACCGGGGAGGGGGGAGGCCAAAAAAAACGGTCTATTCCGCCTTTTCCAAAAATTCCCCGGTATGGTGGAGCACCAACGCTAGACAACAATGCCGTCTCAACTTAGATCTATCACCAAACCCGGCCTCCTGGGAAAGTCGAGGATCGCCTTACGCCACACTTAGCGCGCTTCTAGATGGCCCTAGCGAGAAGCTATCCCTGTTCCCCGGTGCCCGGGGCTCAGGTACATGGGTCTGCTGGTGGATTTGTTAGGCGTCGCTGGAACTGGGGCGGTGGGTTTCTTTGTTCATTGTTCCGACGATTCAATGAATCATCGATTACAGCGTCCTTTCGTACATACGTACGGAGTACAGAGGCAAGTCACTACTATCGTCAGACGTCACTAAGGTTTTGAGTTTTTTCTTTTCACTTCTTCGGGGTGGATTCAATGTTACTCATGCCGCCCTCTGCCGGTACCCGTGGTGCTGGCACCTTTCGCCTCCCCCTTTCTCAGCGTCCATCATCGTATTGCTCTGTTTGCAGCTTTCAGTTGGTTGAGAATTCTTCTGCAGCCTTGTTTCTTCTCCCCCACATCTCTGTAACACTGCTCAAAATGTGGGCCGCCTGATGCTTGTCCTGTACTTATTATAACTTACCTGTCACTGTCAGGCAAACAACATTAGCGTTGATCTCCAGCCTCAGTCCCATTTACAACCTGATCACATATTCCACCCGCTTTGGATGCTTCATTTAACTTTAAATCTTGCTCCCGTTCCACTTTAACTAGGACCGCAAGTCCTCGCATTTAACTTCTAGTTTTCTGGAAAGAGTCTCTTCCTTTTCAACACTACTTTCCCTGCCACGACTCTTCTTTACTACCCATATCTACGACTCTGGCTTCAGTGTTTTGTTTTTCTCTTTGGTTATCCTTATTCTCTACGAAGAAATCCAGTTGTTCGTTGACGTCCTGAATCTTTAATGACCTATACCCTACACTGAGTCAGAATAGAGCTTGCGGAGAAAAACCTCGATATCGCGCTGATTTTCCCTACCAGCTGTAGCTTCGATCTGCTTACGACAACAACTTGCATCCTCATCCGATTATATTTAAACCCTCCTAGGTCGTGGTATTTGAGAATATCGCTTTTATCACATCGAGAGCAGAATCTGCTCTACGGCAGCCTCCATCATGTTCTCATGGCGCTGGTGGCCAACCCGAGCCCTCCGAAGACTTGAAGATGACGAACCAGCATTTCCTATTCGGCAGCTCTTTGTCTTAGGTATGTTGGATCTCGTACTTTATGAAACTGGAGAGAATCCATGGTTGGCGCGTTGTCTTTCTTGTACTTTGCTTGCCAATCCTGCCCAAGAGCCGATTAGACGTTTCTCTCGTTTTCTTGGATGGATAACCGGACTCGACTGACGTTGATCAAGCTCTTGTCCGCATTTGTGAGCCGATTGCTTTCATGTCTATATTTCCATATGTCTACTACATGGTCGAGTCCTTTCACGTGACCGACAATGACCAAAAGATTGCTTTCTACGCCGGTATGATTACATCGTCCTTCACCTTTGCTGAGTTCAGCGCTGGCGTATTCTGGGGCCGAATGAGCGACAAGGTCGGACGCAAACCAGTGCTCATAATGGGTTTAATTGGCACGGCTATCAGCATGATTGTTTTCGGTTTCTCACCCAACCTGCCAACGGCGATGATTGCGCGCGCCCTTGGAGGACTGCTCAACGGAAACATCGGAGTCCTCCAGACTACTGTGGCCGAAATTGTCACCGTCAAGGAACATCAGCCACGCGCCTATTCGATCATGCCATTTGTCTGGTGTCTAGGATCAATCATTGGCCCAGCACTTGGTGGTGCTTTGGCTCAACCTTGCCAGAATTATCCCGGCCTTTGCCAGCCAGGTACCGTCTTTGATCGTTTCCCTTTCCTGCTTCCGAACCTGGTTTGCGTCGTTATCCTCATCCTTGGCATCACGATTGGCATTCTCTTCCTGGAAGAAACGCATGCAGAAAAGAAATATCGCCGCGATCCCGGCCTGGAGTTGGGTCGATGGCTGCTGAGCAAATTCTCAGCTGGTCATGAATGTTCTTCCAATGAAGAGGAAGCCGAGGCAAACCGCCAAGGAGACTACAGACCGTTAGAGGATGACTCTCCACCAGTCTATAGGAGTAGAGAGGGCACTCCTCGCCCCTCTTCGGTTGACGGCCCACGCTCTGATACGACAGGGGACGACATCGAGCAACAGTACACCCGCAAGGGTCTGAGTTTTGGCAAAGCATTCACCAGGCAGGTCATCTTCAACATCGTGGGCTATGGAATTCTAGCATAGTAAGTCTTCCCAGAATGGATCATTCTTCTCCTTCCAATCTAAACTGACTGTGGCCTCAGCCATAGCGTGTCATTTGATCAGTTGATGCCAGTCTTTCTCAGCACGCCCAAGTCTGATGATGCAGCGATTCTTCCGTTCAAGTTCACTGGAGGCTTGGCCTTGTCAACCAAGATGATCGGCTTCATGCTGGCAGTACAGGGCGTTTACTCAATGGTCGCACAACTGTGGCTTTTTCCCTTTGTCGTCCGGCATGTCGGCACCCTCCGAGCTTTCCGCTCTGTCTTGATGATTTGGCCGCCACTCTACTTTGCGGTTCCATATCTCATCCTGCTGCCCTCGAGTCTCCAGATTCCAGCTGCATACGTGGCTTTGCTGGGCAAAATTACGTTGCACGTGATTGCATTCCCTTCTAGCGCGATTCTGCTTGCCAATGCCGCTCCCTCATCGACGGTACTTGGATCGATAAATGGCGTGGCAGCTTCAACTGCCAGTTTGAGCCGAGCTTTGGGGCCGACGATCACCGGACTACTCCACTCGAAGGGGCTCGAGAGCGGTTACTCCGTTCTTGCATGGTGGGTATGCGGAGTCGTGTGCGTGATAGGCGCGATTGAGAGTTGCTTCATCGAGGAGGTGGAACCTCGGCGTCTCAATGCGACAGAGAAGCTCGACGCGGACGAACAGAAGCGAAATGGATCTCAGCGCCGGGGATCCTTGTTCACCCTCGGAGAAAGAAATACCATTCCTGAAGAGGAAGTAAGGTTGCTGTCATCTGCACGGTCGAGCTCGGATCTGGATTCCGAAATGTCTGATGTGAACTTGGCCATTGAACATGACTACGGCAAAGCCTAAAACGACAAACCTACGGGCAGGATGCGACATGTCACCCCTGCGAAACTATCGTTTCGCGCTAGTGTCTTCCTCTTGACTGTCCAATGACAAGTCGCTATTCGGTTTATTTGTTTCTTGCAACGCATCTTTTTGGGCTGTTCGGGTAACAGCTTCACGCGTGATTATTTTACGATTTGCGGCTTTCTTTTGATGGATCTCCTTGGAATACTCATTTTAATATCTATACATATCTTTCTTTTTTTTTCTATCGGCAGCCAAAACGATTCGGGAGTGTGGGTACAAGTTATAGAATGGATAAAGGGTCAAAACGCAAATTCGGGAGCATAAAGGCATATAGGGCAGATGGGTTATCAGGAATTCCTTCTGTGTTCGGCTTCTTTTTGTTTCGTGTTTGGCGCAAATCGTGTTATGCTGAGCATTCTACTTATTTGACTGTTGCATCGAACGAACAAAAATATTGGGTGGCTTTCTGATTTTTAGCGAGTTGTTTGAAAGGCTGATGCATTGTGTTTGAGTTCTACAGAAATCTCGAGTCTCACTTCTTGGACAAAGTCGATCATCAGTGGCATGGCCTACGCACCGACAATACCTAAGGAGTTCAGAACTTACTCTGTATGACTGGTTTCATTTCGATTTCTCTGTTCGGATTCTGAATATCTTTCGGTTCTTGTTTTAACTGGTTGTACATCATTTATTTAACTCAAGTTCAACTTTGCCATTAACTTGACGTGCTCTCTTCTTTTTTTATCTTTAGGTTCAGCTATCTTCTGGCAGGAACAGCTACCTTCTTGATGCCTGTTTGTTTACTAGTATGAGATTTGAGTTTTTGAAATACCAATCACTAGTCGGTTGCCCATCAGGGCTTGTTGGAATATCCCATTTTGGTGCACTTAGGCAATTCTCTCCGCTCAAAATAAATTGCAGCATTTTCCCAGATTAGCGCAGTGAGCCCATCCTAACAACATAACACTGCAACCTAAGAAGAAATAATATATTGCGAGGCGACCACTAAAACGGCGGATCAGCTGGATAGTTACTACAGTAGTATTACTGCACCATGGCTTATTTTAAATTGGGCTGGTCTTATTTCCTTTTGCCAGTGCAATGTGACGCAATGAATGCAAGAGCTGAACTATCGTTCAAGCAAAATAAATAAATAAATAAATAAATGCAGGCAAATCGAATGTATATGCAGCGTGCATGTGCCATGAAATCGACGTCTGTTATGTCGGATATTTGTCAACTGCCGCCGATCATCTTGTTCTTCTCCCCTTGTCCCTTTTATTACGGAGTATCCTTTTTTTTTCTTTTTCTGTTCACATGACCAGGTAGGTAGGTGCCTAATAATCACAACATTTTTTTTACCCCCCTGCTAAACATTTCTTGTTCGAAATAAGTAGACAAGTCTTTTTGCGAGGCTGAACTAGGGGAGTGGTGCCACGTCTGATTTTTCTTTTCTTTTTCGGTCAATGTCACCCTTTGGAGTTGGAAGTGGTCATGTGCCCAAGCGGGTCCGGATACTTACAATATACTATTACTTGGTGTCGTTTCAGGCAGCGTCACTGTCACACAGACAGGTTGCCTTTATTCAATACTAACAATGTATTGTATTGTATTGCAATAATTATTGCATCATAATGCAGACAGACAGACAAGAGGGGCAAAAAAGGCCCCTCCTTCTCTTCCTTTCACCGCCGTTACAGTTTATACAATCCATCTCGCAGGGTTTCTCTATGGAATGTATGTACTTAGGTACTACACAACAAATGACTGACTGCCTGACTGAGATGTGCAAATCAGATTTAATCCTTTTCTGCGCCATTTTTTTGCTGTCTTTTGTTGATGATCTTTATCCCCATATTGACTTTATGACACCTCTCATTTAATTGTGACATACGGTATTGGAACGAGTCATGACACATGCCATACTCCTGACAGGGCAGCATTTAGGCTTGAATAGAACTTTATTTGGTCATTAGTTTCAAGAAAGCACGAGCAGCAGCAGCGCTAACTGTGACGTCGGAAAGAACAAGGCTGGATGTTGTTTTGGATCTTTGACGGTACTGCATACCTTAGGCACCTAGGCACCTACATGGCTAGGCATGTAGTGCTACAGCATGAGAGGGGAGGTTTGAGCTTCTGTAGAGAGAGGTGATTGATCCGCCATTGTCTTTTTCTTTAGTTTGATTCTGACTTCTCCAGATCGTTCCATATACGTATTTTATTTCCAAAGGACTCTGAAAATGGTTAGATCGTTATAGAGATTTGATGCGATCGAGATCCGATTCGTTCCTCTTCCTAAAGAGAGGGAAAAAGATCTTAGTAATAAATAATAGGATAAGTAATGGTGAGTGACCTGTTCACTCTCTAGAACAACGTCAATTTCTCTCTATAATCACTCTATACAGGGGTTGATATAGACATCCTCCTTTCCATTTTTCTTTCTTTCCGTTCTCCGAAAGAGTAAACCGAAAAGGGGCAATGCAGAATTCCTCAAATCTTCACCAGCTCACCGAGTCCAGGTGTGCAGACTTTCATACGGAGTAGCGAACAGTAAGCATCCATCGCGTCTTTTGGTGTGGGGGTACCGTGCAATAATATCTCGATTCTGTTACAAACCTATACATAGTGTTGTCCAACTTGAACGAGGGCTTCGTCAACAAGAAAAACAAGTGAGATAAAGAGAGGAAAATACAAAACAAGTCCACGAGGCCGATCTGAAGTCAAGCTCAGCTTAGTTTGTCCATCGACGGTCGCCAAGCTGTCAACAGTCTTGACAGATGTTCCTGAGGACTGCTACGGTGTTCGAATGAAGATTGTTTCGAGGCTAAAAATGCCCCCAAGCTCTTATCTGCATCCAATCGCAGACCGCCAGCGATCGGGCCGAGATGGCTCCGAGCAGTGCTGGGTTCGCATCTCATTTCCCCCCGTTACCCGCGGCAATTCCGGTCGGCGAACCGCTCGCACGAGCTGCAACTTCGCTCGATCAGTTTGCTCTGGAGATCAATGGTGATGTCCCATTTCGATTATCTACTATTTTTTGAATCCAAAAGTTCAATTGCTCGTACCGTCTGAGTCCATGTTCGGCATTGCCCCTCACCTACTAGTAGTCTCGACCTAGATCACCAAGACCGGTCTCCACCGCCTATCGCCGGCGACAACCCCACAGCGAGCCCTATCGCTCATTGCTCGATCGCCGCTGGTCCGCCTGGTGTCCGCAGTCGTCCCTCGCCTTCAGAGTCAGTAATAGTGCGCACGAAATTGGAACATCTTCAGACGCTTCGCACATGGTAAGTTGTCTCACTCTCTGCATCTCTGTGGTGTTGGAGATCCTCTGGCGCTGACTTGCATGTTTTGCCAGTGATCCAGCTGGCGTATCGACAGATTTGATAGCTACTTGTAGCTGTCGTCTGACTCGTCCTGTTGCGTCCTCTGAAGCCTCGTCCTTTTAGACAAACACAGATCGCGCCCCGTTGAGAAATGCGCCGCTGATTTTGCCATCCGTTTTGATCGCCGCGAGCAGCCAAAGCGCATTTTACACGAACATGAGGGCCTGCATCGCCCAAGACTCTCCTAACCACACCGTACAGTTTTCGCGCGCGGCCTCGCCAGAGAGAGATGGTCCAACGGCTTCAATCTGCATCCCGAATACATAATGCTGAATTCTGCTCCTCCGCCTCCCTCGTCTCCTGGCTCCCTGGGAGTCAAGAGATCACATTCGCCTGACGAGTCCGTTTCCGTTCAATCCCATCCGTTGTTACCGTCTCTGCAGCCATCGTCCTCTGATGCGCCCGCAGCACAGCAGCACCAGGCTCAGACCAACGCCTTGCATTCCACGATGACCACGTTCTCCCCCCCGGCAACGGCTGCTGGCAACCTTCCCTCTGGCGGCACGGCTGCTTCCTCGTTTCGCAATGTTTCTGCCTGCAATCGTTGTCGCCTGCGCAAAAACCGTTGTGACCAGCGTCTGCCCCGTTGCCAGTCCTGCGAAAAGGCTGGCGTCCGCTGTGTTGGCTATGACCCCATTACCAAGCGAGAGATACCCCGGAGTTATGTCTATTTTCTAGAGTCTCGTGTCGCATACTTGGAGAAGCTGTTGACGGATAATGGCATTGAATTCAAACCGGCGACAGCTTTTGATGATGGAGATCAAGTCGAGGGAGGGGTCACGGAGAGCGCAAGGGCTCTAGTGACTATGTCGGGAGGTTCTGCTGGTAACGAGCCGTCAACCTCGAATGAGAGGCTTTCCAAGGCCGTGGCGGAGAGAGGGAAGGGCGATAATACAGCAGAGCAGCCGCTTTCCAGAGACGGTGGCGAGCGAGATGCGAACTCAAATGCGGACAGTGAGAGAAGCGATGAAGAACGACTAGATAAATTAGTGTCGAACATTGGCATGGTCTCCGTCCAGGGAACTTCTGATCCCAGATATCTGGGATCCACGTCGGGAATTTCTTTTGCCCGGTTGGTATTTGCGGCAGTAAAGAGTTCTGTTAATGGCAGTGGCTCTGACCGCAGCACTGTCCGCCCGAGTGAGCGTCAACCCCCAAACTCAGGTGGAAGCACCATGCGAGATTCGTTTTTCGGGCTCCAATCTCGGCCTTTGATGAAACAGGCAGCATTCCCAGATAGGGAACTTGCTGAGAGACTTGTCGAACTCTATTTTGAACATGCCAACCCCCAGATGCCGATTCTGCATCGGGGAGAGTTTATGGAGCTTCTTGACAGGACATATGCGACAGATGAGTCGAACCGATCTCCTCGAGATCTGTACCTTCTCAATATCGTTTTTGCTATCGGTGCTGGTATTATTTTTGAAGGAAAAAGCTCTGCAAAAGATGAACAAGAGCGCAAAGCACAAGAAAGTTTATTGTCAGAACCTTCGTCCAAGAAACAAAAACTGTCAAGTCATCAGTATCAGCCAGAGGAGTACCACGCATCTGCCGTAGTCCATCTAGAGGCTTTCCTAGGTTCTGCCCCGTCCAACGAAGGCTTTGGCGGTGGTCTAGAGGAATTGCAGGCGGTGCTCTTGCTGGCAAGTTTTGCTCTGCTTCGGCCGGTTGCTCCAGGTTTGTGGTATATTGTCGGTGTCGCCGTGCGGCTCGCGGTCGACTTGGGCCTTCACTACGAAGACGGAACTGGCATCGACTCTATTGGAGAAGAAGGCACCCTGGCGCATCTCAGAGCCGACGAGCAAGGCAAACCGAAGATTGATTCTCGCGAGCGTGGTCGTAGGGAATGGATTCGTGATCTCCGCAGACGTCTGTGGTGGTGCGTTTACAGCTTCGATCGTCTGGTCAGCACCTGCGTTGGTCGTCCGTTTGGGATCACGGATCAGGTCATCACGACGGAATTTCCATCCATGTTGGATGATCGATATATCACAAAAGCTGGCTTTCGGCCACCACCGAGGGAAGAACCCAGCTACAAACGAGTTTCTCACCACTATTTCAAGCTGCGGCTTTTGCAGTCGGAAATCCAACAAGTCCTTCAATATCAGCAGGCTCGCTTTGCACGACGGTTAGGGAAGAATAGCAAGAATTCATTTATGCACACCAAGCTGCCGTCTCCTTTCCTCTATCGATTCGACTCCTTTCGTTCGTGGCGAGAAGACGTTCATCGCAGACTGGTGGAGTGGAAAGACTCTGCTCCCACTCGCCAAGAAACGGGAGTGCAGTTTTCAGTAGAGTTTCTTGAGCTCAATTACTGGCAGGCTTTAATTATGCTATATCGGCAGAGCTTGACAGTCCCAGCTGCTCTGGCTGGGGAGCTGACTGCTACGGAGGACGTATCCAGTCCTCCGTTCTTCAATGTTGAAGAAAGCGAAGATGAAGACGAGATCTATCTTAAGCTCGCTGAAGCAGGCCAGAAAGTACTTAGAATCTATCGTCAGCTGCACCGCGTTCGACTAGTGAACTATACTTACTTGGCTACACATCATTTGTTCATGGCTGGTGAGAAATTCCGTGACTCGCTTAGGTTCTATACTGATTGGATTAGGGATATCGTTCCTGTATGCAATATGGCATTCTCCTGTTGTCCGAAGTCGATTAGTAAGTTGATGTGTCCAGATCGGGAAAAAGGACCAATCCCCGTGGCTGACCAGCCCCAGACGCTCGATGACGTGGATTTTACTGTTCTTGCTGCAACTTCGGTCCTAGGAGATTTGATGGAGAAGTGTCCTCCGGCGGAAGCTTGTCGAGACGCATTTGAGCGGATGAGTAGAGCCACCGTCCAAATGTGTCTATCGACAACAGGCTTTGGCTCTCAGGCCGATGCTGCTGGACCACGCCTTGGTGCGCCCCTTCGACTTTGGCCACCGGTGTCGCACTCAGGAAACTCGAAAGCCCAGAGAACGAGTCGGACGGAAAATCGGTCAAGTCAAATGTCCGTTGCGCAACGGCAGCACTCTCAACCACGTCACGCGCGGCCGCCTCCAAAGTTCGACATGAACCTTGAGGGCTTATTCACCGACCAGACACCTACGAGTCAGGATCTCCCAGCCGGCGGCAGGCGGCGATCGAACCGGAGTGAACAGTCTTCGTACCCAGTGCAACAAGCCGTGAGTCTTCAGCCCGAGCAGCCGCATGAGCAGTACGCATCGAATGTTCCATACATGCAACCGTACGGTGGTTATGACAGGTCTCCGCCCCAGCAGCAACAGTTTCTTTACGCAAACTCACCCCAGAGTATATCTTCAGGCGGTGCGCCCCAAGGCTACACCCCTCCACAAAACCCTGAGCAGGAGTCTCTCGCCCCTATCAGCCTGGATTTCCTCGACTTTGGCACAGGTTCTGGCCAAAATGCGGAGACCAGCTCCGATGGCAATCCTACTTTCAACTCCATGTCCATGCCTTCGTTTGGACAAGGCACTCAGGGCACTGGTCTCAACTTGGGGTTCGGTATGGAAGTCGATTACCAACATGACTGGAGCGAAGGAGGAGGCTATGACCTTTTCGACGGCTTTTTCTTTGGCGGATCTGGGTCCGGTGCCAATACCGGTGTCTAGTGTTTCCTTTAATATCCTCCCTAGTTTGGCCGGCTCTTTGCATCTTGGGTGAAGCTTTTTTTTTTGTCATTTTTGTATATATATAATGGTGGAGTATCCTGATATTTGAGCGAACCCGAAAAAAAAGTGCTTTTGTGTTCCTGGCATAATTGGATCCATTGATGATGACTTGAGATTACAGACATTGGATTCTTGGCTTTGGGAGTATTAATTATCCGGCATACTCCCCAGTGCACATGGACAGTTTCCGTCTGTATATACTGTGTTATATGAGAGTTGATGCCGAATCACTGTTTCTTTATGCTTTCTCCTGAACGGTTTCTGTCATGCTTTGATCCACATGAAGACCCTAGCCAACGATAAGAGATATTCTATATTTATTCCTAGAGAAAAATCAATACCCGCCGCGAAGAGGGTAGAATCTCCCTCAAATTCTTCCTGGATTTAAATCCACACTCATTCAGTGCTGTCTTTCATTCCCAATTCTGGAACTATGGCCGATTTGCATCCATACACGAAGCATTTGGTGATGAAGGGTTCGAGCTTGACTAATGCAGAATCCCGTCCAGTCCCCGTCTACCACGTCCTAAAACCGCTTACCCTACTTGCTTACCTACTGCATTAAGAAGCTTTATCGTCGTGTTTGAGCAAGCCTACGCAAAGCTTGCAGATAATTATGCCGGTTGTTGCGATTTGCGTTAAATGGACCAACCACATGCGGCCTGTGTACGTGCTGATTCCTCCGGAGTTCTCTTATCTCAAACCACCCCAGACGGATCAGATCCGGTTGTAGATCCGTGCTTCGTATCACTACTTCAGCGGCGTTCTTCAGTGTGTTTTTTTTACTATTTGCCCTGCTAATTGGGGAGTTGGTTGGGCATCAACGTGCAAGACACAGTAGTGCATAAGTAACTGCATCAAAACTTAAACATTGCGGAGCAAGACAAAGTATGCTAGTAATAGGAAAATAAATATCTAGTACTTGCGGGCTGGAGAATACACCGAGAGAGGTGGGCTTGGGCCAAGGAGAGCTGGAGATGCAGTTGTCAAGGCAGTGCAAACAATCCGGGGAGAGACTGCTGCTGTTTGCTTTGTTTTGACTGTTTTCTCGCCGAGGGCAGTTGAGCACATGAAAAGAGCGGAAAACGAATAAACACCGTATTGTCGGTGATCAGCGCCATCTTCAGATCGAAGAACCACTCTGCTTGTCTATTCAGGGCAAAGACCCAAGCTATCGCTCCCCCATCTTCTGATGTTGTCGTAGGACTCGTAGCTAGCCACAAATCACTACCGCGCGGACAACTCAGCTGCCTGCGCTACGGAGCTATCCACCACTCCCTTGTCCAACAGCGCCCCGCCGTCAGCTGCATCGTTGCCCTCCTTAGGCATCTGCCTCGGACACCTTTGACGGTTCTCTTCGTTCTGGAATCCGACAGGACACACGATTCACTGTCCAGAACCAAAGCTCCGCTTCGCTGCCTTTTTGTGGGCTTTCCTGACAAGTCGTGTTATCGCGGTCCGCTTTCCGCCTACCTTGCGCTGTCCCGTTCCCTTCGAACAGACCATGCCAGCGGGACGATCTGCTCTGCGTGCTGTACCTGCTTAGGGAATAGCTCTCTCTCGTGGCTCTGTGCTGGTCACTCTGAGGTGGAAGAAGCTACTTCGAGTGCAATACTGGTGAGCGTTGTTGATTGCTGGCTGCTCTCTTTTTCACCTCCGCTTCGGGCTTGTTACCGCACACCGGTCTCCTCGACCCTTGCATTCTACGCCTCACTTTGGTCTCTCCTCTGATACGTTTCTGTTTCCTCGTCGTTATCTGTAAGTAGAAGGGTGCCATTTCCCTTGAGCTCACCCTGTCCGCCTTGTCTTCCATCCATGAAGATGCTTTCAGCATGCCAGAAAGTGACCAGTTACTGACAACAATGTACCCATGAGCAGCAGCTGAGAGGAGTTACACCGCCCCAGATCCCCTGGAACAAGCAAGTCGTACCGGTATTCCTTCCACCGGTTTCTGAACTCCGCCCCGTTTCGAGGACGAATATTTCCGAGGAAACGACCAAGCAGATTTTTTTTTTGCCAGTTTTCTCGACCCGCAGGCTCACCATTTCGGAACATACTCCACACGCGACCGCCAGAGCTTCTCTTTCGAGTGAACAAGTGCTATGCCTGGTGGGAATTGTGCATGTTGAGCTGTACGCCCTTCCCTGCAGTGTTCGAAGGACGCTCCTAGAGCGCCCCCTTCGCTGTGAGGATGGTGAAAGCAGACGTGCGGAGAGACTATTATGCTGATCTGGGCGTCAGTCCCAGCGCAGATACAGATGAGATTAAGAAGCAGTTTCGGAAGTTAGGTGAGCTTGATTGGGTTGCCTGATGCTCTTTCTATTTCTTATATTGTCTCCAACCTCTGAATTTGGCGACAATGACTGATTGGTGATTACTTCGTCCCAGCTTTGAAGTATCATCCTGACCGAAACCCCGGACGGGAAGCCGAGTTCAACGCCAAGTTTCAGGCAATTCAGGCCGCGCATGAAATACTTAGTGATCCTCAGCAGCGATTGAAGTATGATACCGAGAGGCTCCGTGCTGGATATGGAAAGCTCTATGGTCCTCCCCAAAGCAATCAAAGCAATGGCACGCGACGAACGAACACTTCAAGCTATCCTTCTGCAGCTTCGGGGAAGGCCCCAACTGCAAAAGCAGCGTTTCCTCAACGTTCTTCGTACCAGGCGCCTCCTTCGACGGGCGCTCAAAGATATGCAAGCTATACAAAGACTGCTCCCCAACAACCATGGGAGAAGGTGTATGAGGCACAGACAAGAGCTGATGCGTTTCGCGGATTTCAGGAAATGAAGTCGGGCGCCAATGCTTCAGGCTGGTCTAAGTTTGATCCTCGGACTGGGAAACCTACTCAGCAACAAACTGGTAGAAGTACACCAACTGCCATGCCTGCGGGTAATGCGTCACGGATGAAGTCTGCGTATGAGCATGTCAACTCTAAACAGGCATCCCCTGGACCTTCACGCTCTCAGTCAGCCAAGAAAAACAGGGCTTTGCTCCAAGTAATCCAGGTGGCGATGAACCCATGGCACGAAATGTCTCTTCATATTCGAGTACGCCTCGAGCCGATAGGACTTCTGCATTTTTTGACAGCGTACCGTCGAAGAAGAGTCCAGTAGAGTCATCTCGGCCAGCCTCTCCTCAGGAGGACTATGCCATTCCGGAGTTTGAGAGAACAAGCACTCGCTACGCGACGACTGGTGGAGAAAAGACTTATTTTTCCAGCGCAGGGCTTGGCCGTTCCACTAGCATGCGTGACTCCTCTGGCAGTTCCAGAACTCGCCCCCGTACCAATCCTCCCAGTCCTACTTCTCCCCTGTCAGGTAGACACCACAGCGCCAGCCCCAAGCTGAAAACACACCGGGACCGGACATTTTCCTCCTCGACTAGTTCCAGCGATGTGGATGAGGACGAACGACCGCAGTCCAAGCCAAAGGCGATTCCTAAGAGTCGATTACGGCCAAACCAAAAGATCTCGGATTTCTACTCTCCAAAGGATTGGAACCCTGGATTCGGTGAGGACTCCTCAGGCAGAATGAACGCCCCTCAATTCCGGGACTACTTTCGTTCGTGGAATAGCTTTGGTTCATCCAGGCCGCACAGCTACGATGACTATGTGGACCGCAATTATACTGACAGTGAATGCCACAAAGGTTTTACGTACCGATCAGAGCATCCATTTCCTACCGCGGAGGCTGCCAAGTATGAGTTCCAGGAAAAGTCTGCACAAGACAAGGGAGAGAAGAAAACGTTTAACTTGTATGGCCCACCCCCCAAAACCGATACCCCTGTTTCACGACATAAATGGAGGCACCCTACCCCCAGGGCTGTTTCGGGTGACTTGCACCGTAACACAGGATCTGACCCCTCTTCCCTGGGCGTCAAGTCCCTGGCCACTTTACCAGTCACTAAGCGACTAAAAGTGTGCCATGATGTGGAATGTGCAGTCCCCGATTCGGAAGGGATCCTTGCTTCCATGAACCGAATCTATGTCCCTGCATTATCTTGCATATCTACATCTGGAGACCAGAAAGCTGACTCTGTCAACCGTCACAGCTTTGGAGAACCGGCGACGGACAAGACATTTGCTAATGGCGGCCCTAAAAGCAAGAGCCACGAACACCTGAACAAACGCTTCTCCGCCAGCGAATGGAATGGTGTCTTCCAAGGAGGTGACTTTTTCTCACCAACTACGTCAAGCAACGGCAAACGCAGCGGATCAAGCACGTCTCCGACGCGTGATCAGAGCACTACAAGACAGGATTCAGCTTCGCAACCCAATGCCACATCATTGAACGAAGATTCTTCAAAACAGCAAAAGCCAGCGCCGTTTGCACCAGGGAAGTTCTCTGCGGACGCGTGGGCCCAACAACTACAAAATAATACATGGGCAGTTCCACATACAGAGATTGGCAAACAGCAAACGAATCCTCGCTCTACGAGAAGCCCTAGAAAGCAGTCAAGATCTACAGCTAAACCAGCGACGCGCCCCCAGCAAGCCACTGTATCTTCTGAAGCGGAAGAAGAAGAGGCGACTATCTTCGAGACAAATAACCGTGGGTCTGCTGAAGCGACCGTTGGGACACCGGAAGCGATGGAGATCGATGAGGAGCCTCCGAATAAAGCACAAGCTCCGCCGGTCGATGGTGCTGCTGAGCCAGTAACGGCACGGGCAGAGTCCAATAAGTCAGCGTCGCAACCCAATGGGGCGAATAAGACAGGGTCCGGAGAAGCTACCGGCAACGGTGGAAAGGCCAATGGAGCAAAGAATGACTTGTTCAACTTGAAGAACCTAAACGACGTGTCTCCCTTTACTAGCACGAATAGTGCTGGCATCGATGACCTGAAAGACATTCAAGCCAACTTGCCCTTCGAGTCCCGCCCTAACAACCCGAATGTTGGCCGTCGCGTTGTCCGACCACGTGAGCTGAATCTTCCCAACCCGCCTAAGCGACCTCGTCGACCTGCAGTGGTTCCTGCTGGTAACGATCCGAGACAGATGGTGCTCCCACGGAAGGCATGGGAGCGCTATGTGGCAGAGATGAGTGCTTACATGCGGGAGTGGAATGAGTTCAATCGGTTGATGCTCAGGCATTTCAATGCCCGGCAGGAAGCGGTCGAGACTGGGCTTTCCCCTCAGTGGATCAGTGCGGTTGGGGATTCTACCCGACTGAACGTCAACGCAGAAGATGGCTCACGGGATGCAGATGCGGGAGAGGTGGACGACACTGACGACAACCTCGTTCCCGGAAAGCCCACCGGTGGATTTAACGCGTACCTCCGTGGTATTGAGGAGGATTTCAAGGTCCGTCAACATTGGGAGGTGTCATGGGAGCGGCATCGGGCTTGTATCTTGGAACTAGGCGAGCTGCGCGACTGGATCCGGAATGGTGGGAAGGTGGTCGCATGAGAAGTATCGTGACAGGCGGATAGACAGATGTTGCGGTTGCAGCATGGCAATGGAGTCAGGCGCATAGACGGATCAGAGGGGACATGTCTGTTGATATGTGACTTGATTCTGGACGGGCAGTTCTTGCATTTTTCTGGAGGTATTTTGCATACAGTTCTTGAGCCTGGTCTGTACTATAATACTACCTAGTGTGTATCTCATAATAATACCCCATTTCTTCTTGCTCATTTTATTCAATAGTATTTGTAGAATTTCCTTCGCAAGACCATGATTTATTTGATGCGATTCGGTATGTATGTCTTTTTCCGTTTTCTACCGCGGTCGGCCCTAGCCCTCGGCCCAAACCCTGAGCCCTGAAGGCATTCCGAAAACGGACAGAAGCCCTGGAAACCAACCCCGCGGCCGCCGAACCCCGCCGCGTCACGGAATGCGTAAAGACTTCCCTCCTGAATCGGAGCCCCGTCGACCGCTGCGTCACTTTTTTCTTTTTTTGGCTTGCCTCGCCAATTGACTCACATCGCCACCAGGGTTTGCGTGCGTGCAGGTCTGCGGAGTTAAGTCTCTGCATATCCTGGCATTGGTAGTGACTTTTTCTTGACTTTCTTTTTTCCTTTGGGTGATTATTATTACAACACATCCTTTTATCCGGAAACTACGGACGACGCGGCCAATTGGACGCGAAGCCGCATAGGACTTGATCTTTTCGCGGAAACGAGAACGACGTCGACGAAATCTGTCACAACAGAACTGGAGTGATTGGGACTGCGCGAAATATTTTTTTTCCCTTTGAACGCGAGATGGTAACCATAGTATTGGGCAGTCAATGGGGGGATGAAGGTACGGAAGAATCACGACAGACCTTTTTGCATGATGCTGTCGCTCTGTTTTTGGAACCTGTCGCGACTAATGGGTTTGTTTTCGCTGCTTCTACAGGCAAGGGGAAAATCACGGATCTACTCTCGCAGAATGCGACACTGTGCTGTCGCTCTGCTGGCGGCCATAGTGAATCACCCTGAGTATTCCCTCTTGATCGTTGCGCACGGACGGGACACAAGCGCTGACTTTCTCTCTTTTTTTCTGCCTATCGCAAGATGCCGGCCACACCATTGTTCATGACTCTGTGACCTACGATTTCCACATCCTTCCTTCGGGTCTCGTTTCCCCGACCTGTATCAATCTCATTGGCGCCGGCACGGTCGTCCACATTCCCAGCTTCTTCAAGGAATTGGCCGCGTTGGAGGAGAAGGGCCTCAAGGATGTGAGTAAGCGCGTTTTCATCTCCGACCGCGCACACGTCTGCTTCGATCTTCACTCCGTGGTCGACGGGCTTGAGGAGGCCAAACGTGGCGGGCGCAAGGTTGGGACGACAGGCAAGGGAATCGGCCCCTGCTACAGCGACAAGGCTGCCAGGAGAGGTGTTCGTGTGGGAGAGATTCTGGACGAAGAGCTCTTCGAGAGGAAGCTGAGGAACCTGGAGTCGATATACAAGAACCGCTTTGGAGAGCTGGCGTACGATGTCGAAGAGGAAATTGCGCGATTCAAGGTAGCTCACGGCTGAACTAATTAACCCTTGTCGCCTATTTTGTCTTGAGTGTCCTGCTAATTGCGTGATCTATAGGAATACCGCAAGATCTTGAAACCATTCATTGTCGACCAGCTTCCTTTCCTTCAGAAATACCAGCATGCCGCTGACACGATGCTCGTCGAGGGCGCCAACGCCCTCATGCTGGACCTGGATCATGGCACCTACCCGTTCGTTACGTCTTCCGCGACCGGTGTCGGCGGTGCCATCCAGGGCCTGTCGCTGAACCCGATGAGCATCAAGTCGATCATCGGGGTCGTCAAGGCCTACACCACTCGCGTCGGCTCCGGTCCGTTCCCGACCGAGCAGGAGAACGACATCGGCGACAAGCTGCAGTCTATTGGTAACGAATTCGGAGTCACGACTGGCCGTCGCCGACGCTGCGGGTGGCTCGACCTCGTCCTGCTGCGGTACTCGCACGCCATCAACCACTACACGGCTCTCAACCTGACCAAGCTGGACGTGCTGGACAGCTTTGACGAGATCAAGGTGGCCGTGGCCTACAAGCTGCCTGACGGGACGCGCGTGGAGAGCTCGTACCCGGGCGACGCCAACGTCCTCGAGAAAGTCGAAGTGGAGTACGTGACTCTGCCAGGCTGGAAGAGCAGCACGATGGGCGCCACGAAGTTCGAGGATCTCCCGGCCAACGCGCGCGCCTACGTCGAGTTCATCGAGCGGGAGATGGGCGTCCCGATCAAATGGATCGGCACTGGGCCGGCAAGAAGCCACATGATCATTCGGTCTTAGACTGACCAGCTATTTATTAGCAACTAGCCCAACCTCGCAACTTCTTCTTCTTATTTTACTACTCGCAAACCTCTCCGTCTGCCCGGCAGATCGATGGTCAGGTTAGGTAGATGAAAGAAAGAAAGAAAGAAAGACAGATAGACCAGAAGAAGAAAAAAAAAAGAGAGAGAGAGAGAGAAGGAAAGACAGGTCAGATCATAGACGCGGTGCGGTAGGTTTCAGTCAGACACGGGTTGGCTTATTTTGTTTTATTTATTTTCGGTTCTCTCTCAATTCAATTCAGTCACACATAAATCACAGTTTGCATACAAATGCATATCGTTGTCATTATGATATGTATCGTCGTCGTTGTCGTCGTCATGGAAATGGAATGAACAAACAAGCGAACAAATATGATTTACTCGAACCATCGAACTTGGTATAGATTGTCTAGACTGATAGAGAGTAGAATAGTAGGTACCTTCCTGGATCAGTATGAATAAAGAAAGGGGAGATAGTATTATCGATCGATCTATTATTTATCCAGACAAACAAAAGAAAGAAAGAAAATACAAAGAAACACGAGGGGGAAAAAGGAAAAAAAACAATCCCTTTCATCCATCATTGCCATCATCCCTTTTAAAACCCTTCCTTTTTCCCGTACACTTTTTTTTTTCACTTTTTGCCCTTGATTTGATTTTTGACTTGAGCTGCCCTGATAGGATGGAGATATTTGCTCATAATAATACATGTTTTCTTTTTTTCCTCTTCCGAAAGTAAAATCAAAAACATATCAAGGGCGCCCTCACCCCCAAGATAGACACACACAGAGTCATGATGCCCGCAGTCTATTCTACAGTACAGACAAGAAGATCCCACACAGACACAAAAAATATAGATAATACAACAATATTATCATATCCTGTCATGGCAGGGGATGATCATGAATGTTCGTTCTATCCACTGGTTTCCAGATGGACAAACAATAGATAGATAGGGTTATGAAAACAAAAGGTTGGTGTCTGTGTGATCCCAGAGACTACCGTATAGCGCAGAAACAGATAAAAAAAAGATCAAGGTAGTAACGACAAGGTCGAATGGGACAGTATCGGTATCAGTATCAGTAGCGACTCATCGAATGCAAAAAAGGGTGGAAGAAAAATCCATAATCAGATCCTCACGAAGAACGCCGGCCCATGGATGATGATGGTGATGGTGACATGACCGCAAGAGATCAGCATCAATTCGTTGAGATTCCAAATACCAGAACGGATTTTGGTTGATTATCAGGTTCCGCCCAGAGACGCGTCGGTCCGGATGGTCATTCTATTGATAGTCATATCGTACTAATGGTGCTCGGAACGGGCATTGCGATCTGACTCGTAATTGCCATCGAGATTGAATCCGTAACGGCCAGTGCCATCGAACTGCTGGCGGTCGTTGTTATCGTTGCGGTCGTTGAATCTATGACGGCGCGTGAAATCATCGGAGTTGTAACGCCGCCGCTCTCTAATCTTTTTCATCCACTTGGGCGGTAGTACGTTCAAGCCTTCTATATTGTGAATACCTCTTCTCTTGGCCCAATTGGGATCGACCGCCGGCGGTCTAGACAAGCCCCATCCATTGATAGCCAGGTTGTTGAGAGTGCGGATTATGTCTCTCTTGCTATCAAAGGTTTGTCTCAACACGCTAATCTGGCCCTTGTAGGACTCCGCCTTGAAGTCGTACGGGACCCGCTTCATGGCTGCCTTAAGTTGTGAGAATATTTCGGCGACCGGGGCAGGCAGCTCTTTGTTCTCTCCGGCCATGTTGACAGTGGCGGTTTGGAGGGACGTCATATCTTTGGAAATAGGTAGATCGTGGGTTTTGCTGCTGAAGTGATCGTACTCAAGATCGTGCAGAAGGACCCAGCCTTCGCCTTTCTTGTTCGCTCGTGCAGTCCGTCCGAGACGATGGATGTACGCCTCCCTCGTCAGGGGAGCCCCAATCTGAATGACATGGGTGACCTCTGGGAAGTCCATACCTCGGGCGGTGACGTCGGAAGAGAACAGGATGGCAGAGCGGGCCCAGCGGAAAGACTGCGAGCTCCTTTTCCTCCGGGATTGGGTCAGTTTGGAATGAATTTGATAGATCTCAGTGTCCTCCAGAGGGTGAGGACTGCTGTACTCCGTCGGATCCAAGCACAACGCCCGGAAGGCCTCGTACCAGAATTCGACATCGGCCGTGGAGTTGAGGTAGACGATAGCTTTGAAAGGTCGCAGGCTAGAATCCTGCTGCGCCTGACGTTTGTAGTTCTTCACAAGTTCAAGCACGGCGGGCAGAGCATTTTCCAACCCGCGAAGAAAGACAGCCTTCTGGGGAACAGTAAGATGGGTGGGCACTTCGTCCTCCTGGATCGTTTTGATAAATTTGAAATCTGGTTTCATGGTTCTGCGGACCATGCCCATCACCTCCGCGGGAACAGTAGCAGAGAACATGAGAGTCTGTCGGTCCACCTTCATGGGATCCGGGAGGTAACGCTGGAGCTCCTCGATATCAGGTGCGAATCCCTGGTCCAGCAGGCGATCGGCTTCGTCTAGCACCAATGCACTCAGCCTGGGGGCGCTGACGCCGCTGTTTGGGTCGGAGAGGATATCCTTCAGGCGACCGGGGGTTCCGACAAGGAGGTGACAGCCCTGCTGTTGGATCCGTAGTAATCCTTCTTTTTTCTTCGTACCACCCACTGCGGTTTGGACAACCACTCCTGTCGACGACGCAACCTTGACGGCCTCAACAGCGATCTGTTCGGCAAGTTCCCGAGTCGGCGAGACGATAATGGCACGGATATCCGAGGCATGAGCCTGGAGTCCACCACCCCTACGCTTCTGCAGGCTGCTGTCGCGAAGGATATTCTGCAGGACAGGGACTAAGAAGGCAAGAGTCTTGCCGGTACCGGTTTTGGCCTGGGCCAAGCTACAAGACAGTTTACAGGATTAGCTCATGATCAATGGGTTGAACGACATATCAGTTTCGTGCAATACGGCTGGCCTTAGAAGGCCGATGTGGGAGAAGGTCAGGGGGCTTACACGTCGACCCCCTTGAGCGTCTCAGTGATGCTCATGCTCTGAACATCGGTCATGGTCGTGATGTTCATTTTCTGCGTAATGGAATAGATGATTCTCTCGTTGACAAGGCCCCTGTCTGCCAACTCCTGAAATTGAGTGATCCGTTGCTCGCTGGCGTCCGCGCCAGCGGCCTCTTGGACGGGCTGCGCGGCGGCCGACCCGGCATTTCTCAAGTATGGAGAGAAACAAAAGGACCGCACTTGGAGGGGCGTAGAGATGGAAGCAGACGGCCGTTGCCATCTCGCCAGCAGAGAAGTCGTTTTGAACGGCTGGATCGAGCGAGGCGTGCAGACTCGCAGAGCCTGCGCGACGGCAGGTCCTCGACGGACGGCGCTCAACATCTTGACAAGACAGAGGCTATTGGGGCTTCAAGGGGAACCGGGTGCAGCACAAGTAATTGAGAAGAAAGACCCGGGCCACTCGAAGCACAAGAACCTCAGGAGAAAGAAAAGATGGGGACAAAGAGTTGGAGGAAGCAGCAGTGATGGGAAAAGTTCAGGGTTTTCAAAGCTAGCGGACGGGCCGGCGGAACTCTCACAACTAAAAGGGGCTAAGCCAGAGAATCACGGGCCCGCCTGATCGTTATCGTTATCGCTCCATCTCCAGGATTAATTCTACGAGAAATATGGCACGCGTCAGGCTGATCTTGTCGAACATTTCCCCTTTCCTGTTGGCATGAAGAATTCTCGCAATTATTGCCTGAATTTCGAGTAGTGACATTGCTACCCACACAATTACAGACCGTATGTCAATGTTAGCAATTTGTCTGTCCAGCAGATAATTACGCGAGCAAGCACTGTCATCACCCTTCCCAATCACTCCAAATACTTCCCGTTCGTCTCTTCGTGGATGACGTCGAATAGTGGCTTTGCGCTGAACCAGCCTGCAAAAGGCGTGCCGACTGCCTTGTACGTATACTGCGCGTCCTCGTCACTGATCTTGATCGTCTGTCCGTCACGGCCGGCTGCTGCCGCATCGGCCATCAACTGCGCATGGCAGCATTTCTCCAGGCTAACAAACCAGAAAATGGTCTCCTCAATCGTACGACCCACCGTCAGCAGGCCATGATTCTGCAAGAGGGCCGCTTTCTTGTCTCCCAGCGCTGCGGCGATATTCTTTCCTTCCTCCTTCGCAAGAACGATGCCATTGAACTGCTTGTAGACGACATGGTCCTGGAGGATTGAGACAGGCCTCTTAGCATGCGCATCCCTCATAACAGATTGGCAGGCAGCCGGCAGACTTGGGTGCTACTCACATTGTAGAATGCACAGGCATCCTGCGAAATGATGTCCAGCGGTCTCCCCAGCGAACAGAAGGCACGGCCATAGATACTGTGACTGTGTGCGGCACAGTTGATTTCGGGTCGCGCGCTATGGATCGCTGAATGAATCATGTAGGCGGCACTGTTGAGCAGCCGCACAGGACCACCCCCGATGATATTGCCCTCATGGTCGACCTGAATCAGGTCCGACCGCTTGATCTGGGAGAAGGCCACACCGAACGGATTGACCCAGAACGTCGACGGATCCACTGGATCCCTAACTGTGATATGTCCCGCAACGCCTTCGTCGAAGCCATATTTGCCGAAGATCCTGAATGCAGCGGCAAGTCTGCCCTTTAGATACTCTCGTTCCTCATACTTGTCCTCAAAGACAGGCGGTTTAGGGAACGCCTGGGTGTGGAGACTCTTCTCCGGATCAGAGGTGTGAGTGACGCTGGTTTTTGCAGGCGTTGCAGTAGGTAGAGTTGCCGTCTCTGTAGCTGCAGGGGGAGACATGTTGAATTACAACGTTGATGGGATGGATATCTGAAGGAAATGCAGTCAGAGCACGTCAATGCAATAAGGTGAAAAGTTACTTGCAGTTAACTGACAGACCTCCTCCTACCTATATACTCACATGCCCCACATCTGTCCAACATTGATGATCATCCATCGCGTGGCTGGTTGCTTTGTTGTCCTGAGCTTCCTCGTGCGGGGATCCATGGCAAGGAGGGGCGGAGACCTATGGGAACGAACCGAGGCATGACAGAGTTCGCAATCCAACATGGGTGCATGTAGCCAGGTAATACATGCCTACAGCTGCATTGGTGTTGCTAAGATCCTGTCCACTATTCATCCATCCATGGAATGATCCTGTCATGCATACGGGACTGTGAGTTCTGTCCTGCTGGATTTCTGTTCAAATCAGTCAGTTTAGTCTATCTAGGAAGTTTGACTGGAATTACATTAGTATCGATTTCTTAAGACATGGCGCCATTGCTGCATTTGTGACACGTTATCAGCTGCCGAGTATTATTACGCGTTGCACCATGTCATCTGCAAGGCGGAGTCGAAGCAGGATCGATTTTTTGCCGAACTGCAGACGCCGCATGGGCACGGACGATAGCTAGACTCAGTTGATGCGATAGAATTAATATTAATGCTCTTAGCTGGAGTGTCCGCCGATGTTGGGTGGCTTGACACCACCAATGACAATTGGCCAAACTGTTAGCTCCTGTCCAATAAATGGAAATTTAACCAGACTACATCTACAATATGATCTTTATTGGGTTAAACTGGGCCATAGATATTGCCAGAAAATAGAATAGTATAACCAGCTTTTAATGACCTAGATATCTAAGTAAACAGCTATCTATGGACCAAGCTGATGGCCAGTAATATGGATATATCCTAAGTATCAGATTTGCCGTTAATGGTCACCCAATTCTATTGAATGCCTAGTTCAGCCAACGCATTATTATTGACCTAATTTAGCCCCCAAGAGATATAGCCTTAAAACAGTGGGTTATTAATAGGTCCTCCGTGACCCTTAATGATTGATGCCGGTGGTTTCTATTCCATAGTCTTCGTTTGGATATCAATTTGACGATACTATACCAACTGAGGTCCAACGGCTGGACAGAAAGTCAGATTGCCAAAGTTCAATCGACCACCAGGGGAATTATGTCTCCATTCCTCCCTAATTTTGATGTGTTGTCACCATCCGTCTACCTACAAAGGTCTTCTTCGCAGCAGTCGAGTTCAAATGATCCCGACTATATTGTCCTCCTCACATGGATGCATGCGAAAGCTGAGCATATTCTGAAATATGTGCAGGGCTACTCCAGATTGTTCCCGACCGCCAGGATCATGATCATTACGACTACCGCGTCCGATATGATTGTGGTGTCCTTCAGCACTCTACAGCGACGTCTCGAGCCAGCGATCCAGGTTCTGGCCAGCAGGCCCGAGGCAAAGGTGCTGATCCATCTATTTTCGAACGGCGGTGCCCACATGACGGCCCAGCTAGCTCTTACATATTCCCAGCGTTTTCACAAACCGTTGCCTGTTCAGGCCATGGTCTTTGACAGTAGCCCTGGACAAGCAACCTGGCAACGTTCCGCCAGGGCACTGATCGCAGGCTTCCCCAAGCAGCCACTGGCGCGCATTCTCGGTACGCTCGTCGTCCATCTCGCACTGGCGCTGATTTGGATCTCCCTGGTCGTCTTCCCGCGAGAGAATGTCGTCACGATAAGCACGGGACGTTCTCAACAATCCGGACTTAGTTCGCCAGGAGGCCCGTCGATGCTACCTCTATTCGGAAGTGGATGAGGTGGTGTGGTGGAAAGACGTGGAGGAGCATGCTATGCAGGCGGAGCAGAAAGGATGGGCAATCCGTCGCGAGAAGTTTCACCGAAGCCCCCATGTCAGTCATCTAAAGGAGGATGCAGGAAGGTATTGGAGTATTGTCACGGCTGTTTGGGAAGCAGGCTATCAAGCCTCTGTTGGGGCTGACCATAATGGGAGCGAGCAACGAGGGAAAGCAAGGCTATGATAATGTCAAGATGTCTCTTGTATTGTCTAGTTGTAAGAACTAAATGCAGGGGGAATCTGTGGTGTAGTAATGGCGTAGTAGTAGTCCATGCAGGATACACGTGACAGAATGCTGCCGCTAAAATTAGACTATCCTCAGTCCACATGTTTTTTTTCTTTTAGGTTGTTTTTAATTATAAGAATGTAGAAAATATAGTGTACAATATGTAAGAAACAAAGGGGTTCATATATAGGAGTAAAGGGGCGATCAAGGCCTATGTGATCTTTGTTTTCTATTGCGTCTTACATCTCGCGTAGATACTGCCGAATATATTAGCTATGGAACAGTGTGCTTCACTGACCAAAACATTGAACAGAGGCATACTCGAATTTGTATAACAACACGTTCATTCGAGCTGGTCTGGTGAATCTTATCAGATAACTAACTAGTTAACTAACTAACGTATTTCCCGGCTGTTTCGATCACCCGGTTGCTCCGATCACTAGAATACCCATACAAAATGCGTTTTTTTGTACGCTCATACCACAATGTCTATATTATATCCTGGCCTTTAATTTTAAAATCAGATTATATATAGGTATAACTACTTGTAAGAGAAATATAAGGTTAATATTATATATATTGCTTTTTAGATACCTATTTTTTAATTTTACATAAAAATTACACTGTATTTTATGTTATTCCAGTAAATAATAGAGTAGACTACTTCTAATTAATGCTGTATGCTGTAAATACTTTATAATTATAGTATATAAAATATCTCTTTAATATCTTTAAAGCTTGTTGAGGTATGAGCGTACAAAAAGACGCATTTTGTATGGGTATTCTAGTGATCGGAGCAACCGGGTGATCGAAACAGCCGGGAAATACGTTACAGCGCCATTATTATGTAAGCAAACTATCTCGGGCCGACGGTTGTTCCGCTTCCCCTCCGATGCTTTGAGCTCCAGAAAAACTGAAAGCGGGCAGGGACCACTGGCCGGACAAGAATTCGCTGAATTGCATTCAACAGAGACTCACAATGGGAAAGCGCGGCAAGAAGGTATGTGTATAAGCCCCATGTCAACTTGCAAATGTCAACTTGCAAGCAACCTAGCTGCTGCAGTTGTTGCTAAGCCGAATTCCCCTTCAGCACGGAAAAGGTGGCGGCGGTGGCCAGCGCGGGGAGCGACAAACCTGGCAAGAAATCGAGAAGACGAACGAGAAATTTGAAAGATATTACAATGAGCTCGGGATCGTTCCAGAGGAGGAGAAAGAGGCCTTTTGGGCTGCGTTGAGGAGGGACCTTCCCAACAGCTTTCGCTTTACGGGGTCACGAGGGTACGTCATAGTTTCTCATCTCGCGATGGAGATTTATCGAACTGCTCAATTCAGAATTCGCTAACAGGGGAATTTCTTTGCTTGAACTACAGGCATGCTCTCGCCGTTCAGCAACGTCTCAAGGACTACTACATCCCAGAAATCACCTCCATCACATATGAGGGAAACTTCGTCGAGCCGCCACGGCCGATATCCTGGTATCCCGACCAGCTCGCATGGTCTATGACAACCCCGAAAAATGTCATCAGGCGATTTGCACCCTTTGCGTCGTTCCAGAAGTTCTTGGTCTCAGAGACCGAGGTGGGCAATATCAGTCGCCAGGAGGTCGTCAGCATGATCCCCCCTCTTCTGCTGGATGTCAGACCGGGGATGACAGTCTTGGATATGTGTGCCGCGCCGGGTAGCAAGTCTGCACAATTGATGGAGATGCTCCATGCTGGAGAAGAAGAAAGAATGAAGGCAGTCGCCGAGAGGGTAAAGAATGGTGCTGATCCATCGGATCTGCTGGCAGACGGTTTCGAGGACGATGGGAGGTCTACAGGCCTTCTCATCGCCAATGACAGCGACTATAAGCGAGCCCACATGCTTGTCCACCAGATGAAGCGATTGAACTCGCCTAATCTTATTGTTACGAATCACGATGCGACCATGTATCCCTCTATCAAGCTGCCCTCCCCACCTCCACCGCCTGGGAAGCCCCCGAAGTATCAGTATCTGAAATTTGACCGCATCCTCGCCGACGTGCCATGCTCGGGTGATGGGACAGCCCGGAAGAACCGCAATGTCTGGTCAGACTGGGTGCCGGGTAATGCGCTCGGATTGCATGCCACTCAGGCGCGGATTCTTGTCCGTGCCCTGCAGATGCTGAAAGTCGGTGGACGGGTTGTCTACTCGACCTGCAGTATGAATCCGATTGAAAACGAAGCAGTGGTTGCCAGTGCCATCGATCGCTGTGGAGGTTTGAGCAACGTCGAGATAGTCGATTGCAGTGGCGAGCTGCCCGGTTTGAAACGAGTCCCGGGATTGCGCTCATGGAAGGTTATGGACCGGGAAGGTCGCATGTGGAATAGCTGGAAGGAGGTGGAAGAGTACCGGCAAAATAATGGCATTGAAGGCCTTGGCAGGCTCACGGAGGGTATGTTTACTCCTGACGCGGATCTACCGCTTGAGCGGTGCATGCGCATCTACCCTCATCTGCAAGATACGGGTGGATTCTTCATCGCGGTTCTCGAGAAGAAATCGGAAATTCGAGCAAAGCCGGAAGACTCGAGCAAAACCATCCCCAAGGCGTCGGTTGCCGCTGTGGTAGAGGAGCTCAATGACAAACAACACAACGGGACCGGGGCGCCCTTGGAGAAGATCGACGCCCTGGACAGCATGGTGGAGGGGGTGAAAGACGATGGGAAGAACGAAACGGTGGCGGAGAGCACGCATCGGCCTCCGTATGCTAGGACGCTGAATACCGAACCGTCGTCTGCTGGGAAGCGGTCTCCCGACCACCTCGAGGATGAACAGCCCGCCAAGCGGACCAAGGTCGAGGATGGGACCGAGGCCGTCGTTGGAGATAGGCCTGCCCATGATCCTCCACCTCCGCTCAAGACTGAAGGCGTTGACGAGACCACTGGGGAATCTCAACCAGAGAAGCCGCAGCCTCCTGCAACGCAGCCACAGCCTCCGCAGAAGAAGAAGCCAGGCCAACCCATTGAAGAGCCATTCAAGTTCATCGATCCTAACTTGGAGGAGCTTCAGCAAATCTTTTCTTTCTACAACATCTCGGATCGGTTTCCACGAGACCGGTTCATGGTTCGGAATGCACAAGGTTATCTGAGTAAGACCATCTACTACACCACCGCTTTGGCGCGGGATATCCTGGTCGAGAACGAGGGACGGGGCATCAAGTTCGTGCACAGCGGCGTGAAGATGTTCGTGAAGCAAGATGCACAGCGGCCCAACGTGTGCAGGTGGCGCATCCAAACGGATGGGCTACAGATTATCGAGTCCTGGGTGGGGCCGGAGCGCACCATCACTCTCTACAAGAAAGATACATTGCGGAAATTGCTGGTCGAGATGTTTGCCAAGGCGGATGGCGAAGGTTGGAAGCAGCTGGGGGAGATTGGGGAGCGTGCACGAGATATGTCGATGGGATGCTGCGTTTTGAGGATCGAACCTAGCGATGCCGAGGATGGGTTCCGGTATGCACTTTTGCCCAACAGATAGCATATTGGAACAGAACTGACAAACGTCCACAGGGAACGGATGGTTCTTCCGCTCTGGCGGTCCCTGCACTCTATCAACCTCATGCTGCCAAAGGAAGACCGTCGTGCTCTGCTCCTTCGTCTGTACAACGATGAGACACCACTCGCCAATACCACTCAGAAGCGAGAGAATGCTGCCAATGCCTCGACCCCGGAGGCCTCGGCGGACGTGACGACCCCTCCGGCCAATGAAGATGCTGACGTTGACCCTGACGTCCCGTCTGCGGAAGTGGAGAGGGAGGTTCCCCCTCCGGCCGCTAAGACGGAGGAGGATCTCATCAAGGATGAGAATCTTGCGCTGGGTCAGAAGGAGCAGGACCGGACGGCTAATCGGGAGACGTGGCAACGGGCAGGCGACGAGGAGGATCGATTTAACACTACGTTATAAACGGTTAATCCAAAAAAAAAGCATGAGTCTTGACTTTCAACTAAAAGCACTGTACAGTAGTATAGAAAGTGCATATTCTTTTTTCCTGATACAATACAATACAATGACGATCAATGAATCCAGAACAAATCTAATCTGCATGATACAGATAGCTACAGTTTGTAATTGGTATAGAAGGCCAGAAAAGTAAGGCCGCTAATGTCGTCCATCACCAATAGCAACTGGTTATCCCGAGTTAAAATAGTTGACTCCATTGCGGGGACGAGTTTTGCGAGGAGCACGCTAGCAAATGCGAAATGCGGACGAGTTTAGCGGGCACGAACCGCAAACAGCGACACTCTCGCACCAATAGATCTGGAAAGATCCTCCATCTCATCCCATGGCTGCTTGCCACTGTTTTGCTTACTATGTAGGGCTTCTATCACATTGAAGAATGGTTTTGCGAGTTTTGCGTCGCCTTGTTGACACAGGATGAGTCCTGTGGACGTTCCTTTGCCTATATAATCACCCTGTTTGTTCCTCATCTCAGCGTCTTTTTGAACATCACCAGACAGAAGAACATCTACTAAATGACTGAACTGTGACGCGCACTCCTATGTTACCATTTCCAAGATGAACGGCTGCCAAACCGGACATGTTGCTGCCCAAGCTGGCGGGAGGCTCCCCAGCCATCCCGTCTCGATCCGCCCATCCAAGTCCGAGCTCGAACGCTCGCAGTTGTCCCCTCAGAACCTAGAGGTTGCAATGCGCAGCCTCCATCGGGACGGATTGGTGGTGATCGAAGATCTGATCCGACATGATGTCCTCGACCGACTGAACGAGAAGATGGTCCAGGATGCCTTCATCCTGCAGGCGAGGAAGGAGGACAGTCCGTACAATTACAACCGGGGGAACATCCAGCAGGATCCTCCGCCTGTGAAGGAGTACTTTGACACGAGCATCTTCCTAAGTGAGTTCCTTCCTTGCCTAGGAAGGAGGATGTCTGAAAGCAGTTAATAATAAACCTTCTGGGAGAATGATAAAGACCCCATTGTCACGCAGGTTACTTCGACCATGCTAGGTCCACGACCCAAGTGGACCTTTTGCTCAGGAAACACGGCGATGCCACCCACGGAAGAGACGCCGCCTACGTCGCAACCGGTCCATTCTGACGCCGACTTTGACCACCCGACACACCCGTTCGCTCTCGTGGTGAATGTCCCTCTCATCACGATGACGCCGGAGAATGGCTCCACGGAGCTGTGGCTAGGAACCCATATTGACAGTGGACCCCACGTGCAGGACGGGCTGCACGGCGAGCGAGCCAGCGGACGGATCAAGCCTGCTGAGCTGGAGAAACGGCGAGCGATTCGTCCGCCATGCCAGCCGGTTGTGCCGAAGGGATCAGTGGTGATCAGAGATCTGAGACTGTGGCACGCAGGGATGGGAAATCGCAGCAACGAAGTGCGGGTCATGTTAGCCATGAGTGAGCAATCCAGCCGTCTATAATTCTTTTGGAATCAAACAGCACAGCACTGACCACTTCTGTGTTCTACTAAGTCCATTTCGCCCCCTGGTACCGGAATCAAATGAAACTCGAGCTCGCGGAAGAGCTGAAGCCCGTCATCGAGAAGCAAGCCGATCTCGAGATCCCAGTCAACTGGGTGTCGGAGCAGGAGGCCTTGTCGCGGTACTTGAATCGTGGATATGGCAACTCGTACGATTTTGGGCAGCTGCCGTGAGGGAGTAGCAATTCGTCTATCTTCTTTTTTTTGATCTGCATAGCATTCTCTTCAAAATGACATTCATTTTATCTGGCGTAATGGTTACTTTGGTTACTTCTAGAAACAGTCCAATGCCGGTGGAGTATAGTATAGCGAGTGCCCATGTGCTTTGTACAGAGTATGACGAACCCTGCCTTCACGTGGCGCACCGGACGGAATAACTCCGCACTGAACCCGGAGAAAAATGCGGGTGGAAGTCGAACCCCACAGGAGATGCTCCGCACTACATAACCACAGTTGCATCGCATGCAACCTCCAAAAAGAAATGAAAAGATAAAGTTAGCATTAATACTGCAGGATACCTACTACTCTGTACTTGCCTAGGGAGATTCCTGAAAACTTTAACAATATCCACATGGAAATTGGCATTGAGATGCTCTGTACAGCGCATCCAGATCTGTCGTCGAGACGGGGAGTGATCGACAGTGAACCAAAGCCCTCCATCCGTAGCTTCCGGCTAGCTCGAGGCTTGGCGCTGGCTCAACCTTGTTTGCGATTAGCGTCGCCCGCTGCAAACCGTCATATGTGGAAAAACTCCAGGGTTGTTTTCCCGACAGTGCCTGCCGACCTGAATTTGTCCGTATCCTCCTTCCCATTTGTGCCATTGCATCATGCCACCACACGTTGCATTCCGTATAGCTTCGTCTCCACTCCATATCCAACTCTCAATTCACCAGATCCTGGCCCCTAGGCCCCTGCAGGGGCAGAGAGGTTAGACCTGCCAGACCTCGCGACATGACGATCGATCTGGATCCGCTGCCTGTATTTAAGGCAGCTTTTTTCCACCCCGCATTCCTCCTGATGACTTGATCAGGACCGCTTGGTCGTTTGTCCGTCGTTGATCGTCTGAGAGAGAGGGGGTCTTGCGATCGATAATGAAGCTTCTCTCCTCGTTTGCCGCCGCTTATCTGGCGGTTCAGGCGGCGGGTGCAGCTGTCTCCCCCAGGCCCAATGGCTATACCATCACAGAGCACCCCGATCTCGAGCAGCGGGCCCAGCTGCAAAATATCGTAAGTGCATCTCTGGCGTGGAAAGGAACCATTGCAAGAGCAGGGACTTATAGTGCATTGAGTCGCAGATCACTTGGGACAACCAATCGCTCTACATAAATGGAGAACGGATTATGATTCTGAGCGGCGAGATGCACCCGTACAGGTACGTGATCGACAGTCGACCTCTGGGAAGACGTGTCTAATGAAGTGGTGGCTAGACTTCCCGTCTCGTCATTGTATCTCGATCTGTTCCAGAAGGTCAAGGCCCTGGGTTTCAACTGCGTCTCCTTCTACGTCGACTGGGCCCTGCTGGAAGGAAAACCCGGAACCTACCGCGCTGACGGCATCTTTGGCCTGGAACCATGGTTCGACGCAGCTTCCAAGGCCGGAGTTTACCTTCTTGCTCGTCCTGGACCGTACATCAACGCTGAATCCTCTGGCGGTGGATTCCCCGGATGGCTGCAGAGGATTACCGGTACACTTCGTACCAGAGCGCCTGACTATATGAATGCCACGAAGAAGTAAGAACCATCCCAATCCTTCTACTAGATGAAAGCAAGAATTGCCGCTAATTGCCATTGATATATTACAGCTATGCTACCAACGTTGCAGCTACCCTTGCCAAAGCCCAGATCACCAATGGCGGTCCCGTCATCTTGTATCAGCCCGAGAACGAATACACCGGTTTCACCAATGGCCAGCAGTTCGACCCCCAGTACATGCAAGATGTGATGGACACGGCTAGAGCGGCTGGTATTGTCGTGCCGTTTATCAACAATGATGCTGCACCGGATGGCCATGATGCACCGGGATCTGGTGTGGGAGCAGTGGACATTTACGGTCATGACTCATATCCGTAAGATGCCTGTTTTGTTCTTTATAAAAGGAAAACTTACTAACTGGAGAACTGGCATATAGGCTAGGATTTGACTGCGTAAGTGCGGATCTTTTTCTGCCAAGTTTTGCATTCTGACTGGAAAAAAGGCGAATCCAACCTCATGGCCAAGCAATGGCTTGCCCACGAATTTCCGCCAGCTTCATCTCGAACAGAGCCCGTCGACGCCGTATTCCCTTGTCGAGGTACGCACTTGATTAGCGTCATTAGGATTGGCGATATCAATCTAACATCGTATAGTTCCAAGGCGGTGCATTCGATCCATGGGGAGGATCCGGGTACGACAAATGCACGGCGCTGCTCAACCAGGAGTTTGAAAGGGTGTTCTACAAGAACAATTTGGCCGCCGGCGTTGCGATCATGAACTTCTATATGGTAAGGTTTCCTTTTCTGCTCTGAAGCGGATGTAGTCTCTGGTAAAATGAGTTAGAGCCAAGGCCTAGGTCTCAGGGCCTGGGTTCAGGTCTTTCTAGCTCGCTTGCCATCTCCAACTCCTTCTAGAGTCTAAATTCTTCTTCCTCACCTACATAACACTGAGCTGATAAATATCGGTAGATCTTCGGTGGCACCAACTGGGGCAACATCCCGTATCCCGGAGTATACACCTCTTACGACTATGGCAGTGCCATCTCGGAATCTCGCAATGTTACTCGCGAGAAGTACAGCGAGCTGAAGCTCTTCGCTAACTTTATCCGAGCTTCTCCCTCCTATCTGGACACTGTACCACAAAACGCCAGTACCGGAGTGTACACCGATACGACCGATCTGACGGTTACGCCGCTTGTTGGAAGAAGCTCTGCCTCGTCCTTCTACGTGGTGAGACATACCGACTACACCAGTGAAGCGTCGACTAGCTACAAGTTGAAACTCCCGACCAGCGCTGGCCAATTGACCATCCCTCAGCTTGGGGGTTCTCTGACCCTTAATGGACGCGATTCCAAGATTCACGTCACGGATTATGATGTTGCCGGAACCAACATTCTCTACTCCACGGCCGAGGTCTTCACCTGGAAGAACTTTACCGATTACAAGGTTCTTCTTGTCTACGGAGGCCCGAATGAGCATCATGAGCTTGCCATCTCCTCGAAGGCAAACGTTTCCGTTGTTGAGGGATCGTCGTCCGGTGTCACGATCAAGTCACTAGACGGTACGGCCGTGATTGGATGGGATGTGTCTTCCACTCGTCGCATCCTGAAGGTGGACAATCTTCTGGTATTTTTGCTCGGTAAGTCTGCTAGCCATATTGCTAATGGTCATTACCAACAATGTTTACTGTAGATCGCAACTCTGCCTACAATTACTGGGTTCCTGAGCTTTCGACCAATGGCCCGACACCCGGCTTTAGCTCCCCGGAGACAACTGCGAACTCAATTGTCGTCAAGGCTGGATACCTCGTGCGCACCGTGTATCTCCAGGGTAGTGAGCTGCACCTCACGGCGGACTTCAACTCGACCACGCCGGTGGAAGTCATCGGAGTACCCAAGACCGCCAAGAGTCTCTACATCAACGGTGCCCAGTACAAGCCAACCGTCAACGCGAACGGATTCTGGAGCACCACCGTCACATATGACAGTCCAGACATCAAGCTTCCAAGCCTGAAGGACTTGGAGTGGAGATATGTCGATTCCCTGCCGGAAATCCAGCCGTCCTACGATGACTCCGCCTGGGTGGCAGCGGACCACAAGACGACCAACAACAGCGTCGCTCCTCTGAAGACCCCCACGTCGCTGTACGCGTCTGATTACGGGTTCCACACGGGGTCTCTTATCTATCGAGGCCACTTTGTGGCGACGGGCAACGAGACCACCTTTACCGTGCACACCCAGGGTGGCAGTGCCTTTGGCAGTTCGGTGTGGTTGAACCAGACGTACCTGGGCTCGTGGACTGGTGACTCGGCCTCCAGCGACAACAACTCTACGTACAAACTTCCGAAACTCAGTGCGGGCAAGCCCTACGTGCTGACTGTTGTGGTTGACAACATGGGTCTTGAGGAGGACTGGACAGTCGGCAGCGAGCAGATGAAGGAGCCTCGCGGCATCCTCGACTATCAGCTCAGTGGACGCAGCCAGAGCGCCATCAGCTGGAAGTTGACTGGCAACCTGGGCGGCGAAGACTACCAGGATCTCGTGCGGGGACCTCTCAACGAGGGCGGACTGTACGCGGAGCGTCAGGGCTGGCACCAGCCGGAACCTCCCAGCCAGCAGTGGAAGTCGTCCAGCCCGCTGGAGGGCATCTCGCAGGCCGGCGTGGGATTCTACAGTGCGTCATTCGACCTGAACATCCCGAGCGGGTGGGACGTGCCGCTGTACTTCACCTTTGGCAACACGACGACGCCGCCGGAGGCATACCGGGCGCAGCTCTACGTGAACGGGTACCAGTTCGGCAAGTACGTCAACAACGTCGGTCCGCAGACGGCGTTCCCGGTGCCGCAGGGAATTCTGAACTACCAGGGAACGAACTGGGTCGCGGTAACGCTGTGGGCGCAGCAGTCCGAGGGGGCGAAGTTGGACAATTTCGAGTTGGTGGCAGAAACGCCTGTGCTGACGGCGTTGACGGGGATCACATCGTCGCCGCAGCCAAAGTATACGAAGCGTGAGGGGGCGTACTAGCCGTGTGTATACACAGGACAATGTATATAAGGGACAAGCCTGACTTTCTACTATATAGCTTTATTATCTACTTTCTATGCGGGATCACAGCCACATTATTTGCCATATATTTCTTGTATTAGGTGTATTTATCATCTTTGTACCGGGGTTTCCCAGCTATATTCCTTTGCTTTAACCATAGGCCATAATTCTCGCCATATTAAACTGATGTGATCCACAAAATGTAAACTGTAGTAAGGATGATAGCCCATACTCAGATCGTACAATTGAGATCGAAATAAGTAACTTCCTACATAAGTGCAGTATATTTGAGGGCATAAGGATGGATTTGTTGATACGACGCTGTTGGATTGGTGATTATCGCTGCTCCACTTTCCCAGCCACGCGGCGTGTGCTTTTCTGCTTGTTGTTTACAGCAACCAAACACCCAATGGCAGCCGCCAGTTCGTCAGTAATTATTTTAGTTGCAGCTGCAACCATGCACCTCACTGGCAGCAAATAATAATTAGTGCGAGTGGATTGCCTGGGTAATCGTCGTCCCTGTCTGAGCCTCACTCTTTCTTCCTCCATCCCTGACGAGCCGACTCGACTGTCCGACCACGACTGATGCCGCTCGTTTGATGTCGATTGCTTGCTCCTTCGACTATCAACAAATCTCGCCGAGGCTATCGTTCGATTCGACCCCACAATGCCGGGCTGATCAATCCGCGCGTGTGATCGATTCTTATCTTCGATCTGGTTGAATTATACACTCTTTATCCGTACCCATCGAAGCGGACTTGGACATTTCTTTCCACCGCACCCCCGCTCTCCCCCTCCCCTCGTCAACTTGACAATGGCTCCGATCGCGTCGCCATTCGCACGCCTGATGCGAGATCTCGCCCATGCATACGCCGCTGTCGCTGCCAGTTTACCACTTCGGACGACTACGACAGAAGATGCGAATAGTCTATCGTCGTCGTCATCCTCTGCTACATTCCTCCCCCGCCAGAACACGAACCTGATCCTCTCCATCCCAGCCACATACGGCGGGTTAGACTCTGGGCCTCCGCCCGGCACAGTCGCAGGCATCGTGCTGGGCACTGTGGGCGGCGTTGTGCTCGTCCTGTGGGTTCTGTACACAGCGCTGTCATCCCGCCGACGCAGCGGCGGCGGCGGTAGCATCAGCGACTACAGCTCGACGGTGGTCTCCGAGGTCATGACGCGGCGCCGGCGGGCGTCGCGATCGCCGCGCCGCAACAGCAGTCGCCGGCGGCGGACCACGGAGGAAGTCATCGAGGTCGGCTCGTCGCGTCCCCAGCGGCCGCGATCGTCACGGCGCGACAACACCGTCATCGTCGAGGAGTCGGCGACCTCCCCGTCGACGGGCGACGACGTCGTCGAGGTGTTTGAGGAGGAGTCTACGGACTACACGCCGCCGCCGCGGCGCATGCACAGTCAGCGGTCGTATCGTCGTGCGGGGTCGTATGATTATGATGAGGAGTATCGGCGGTGACGATAACAACACGATGTGGTCCAAAAAAAAAAGGTGACCATTCGATTGAGTGGATTGAGGCATATTTATTTTATTACTGGATGGCATGCCTGAAGTCTGGAGTCTGCTCGACAACCTGTCTGACAAGACTGCGTTGGCAGCCAGCAGAGAGTCAACCAGGCATCATACGCGATTCTGCGCCTTTATTTCGACGACGCCTCATCACTATCACGATTCCGTAGGAAGAACGCATGCCTCGGAATGACTGACTGACTGATTAACTAACTGACTGGGTAACGAAATGAATGACTGGATGAATGATGAAAACGACACCACACTCCTGCAGAGGGAGCAAGCAGGCCATCAATCAATCAATCAGCCGTAGCCAGCAAGCATCCGTCTCTCAATCCTACCTACCTACCAGCAAACCTCACCATCATAACCGCAATCTCGCGCTATATGAAATCCAAGGAGGGGAAAAAAAACTACAACAAGAATCTGGGACAAAAAAAAAAAGTGCGACACATATGCATATGCATATGCACATGTACCCCTTCAGCATCTATGGTCTTATCTGCTATTTATTCTCATTATGTGTGTTGTATGTATGTGTGTTTATGATGATACCATCTTTGTTGTTGTTGTTATTGTTGCTGTTATTGCTATTGTTTCTCATCTTTACTTAGTTATGTCATGGATAGATACCTATGTGCATATGGTATATGATACGGAATGGAATGGAATGAATGAATGGCTATGGAATGGAATGGATATGGGATATCTAATGGATGGATGAATAGGGATGGATCAATGGATCAATTATTACGAAATGCATGTATATACTGTACACATATAAAATCATATAACATACACCAACTACTCACTCACTCACTCACTCATGTACACACTTAGATGAACAAAGATAGATTGATGATAGGTAGGTACAGTACAAACAACCCGAACCTGACATGCTAGCTAGGCAAATAAACACTATAGACAAGACAAGACAAGAAAAGACAAGAGTCCAAACAGATACTAGCCTTACCAAATACAACAGACCAGAAAGAATAAAAAAAGCAGAGCGCCTCGCCTGACCCTTGCCGAAAGCATTGCCAAGGTAAATCTGGATAAAAGGGATGTCATATCATCATGAAATGTTCGTACTGAGCTGGAAGAAGAAAAAAGAAAGAAAGAAGAGAGTCGTAGCAGTCAAGGTCTCATAAAAAACGTGTCTAAAACCAGAACAGCGCGTCCAAGCAACAGCAGCAAGCCAGCGCGCCAAGGATACCCGCACAGATCCCGCCTGCATCGAAGCCGTCTCTGCGGTGATCATTGTTGTAGAAATACCCCTGCGGCGGCGGCGGTCCCTGCTGGTAATACATCGGCTGGCCCGGAGGCGCGTAGTACCCGTTTTGAGGAGGGTACGGTCCTCCTCCTGGATGATAGGACTGTCCTTGCTGCTGCTGGCCTCCGTAGTAGCCGTTGTTGTAGTTGTTGTTGGGGTGGGGAGGAACTGGAGGCGGAGGGGATTGCACGTTTGGAGGAGCTCCCGGAGGCGGGTAGTAAGGACCGGCGTCCTGGTGGACAGGAGCAGGGTAGGCCGGGGGAGGGGATTTCGGAGGTTCCTAGAAGACGATCAATTAGTCGATTGATCTAATATGTGCAATGGAAATTGATAAAGTGATAGGCAATGACTTACAGTTTTGCCAGACATTGTTGTTGTTGTTATTGCAGGAAGATCTCAAGACGATGCGATGGAGTACGAAGGGAATAGATGGTCCACAATGGATGGAGTGACAATGCTCAGTCGAGGAAGCTGGATAATGGTATCTCTCTGGTACTCGTCTTTTCTTCCCAGTGCAGGTAGGTACGTAGGTATCCGCCAGTTCGCCAACACCACTGCGCTCGAGAAAGCAATCGCTTCAATCTGTATAGAAGTTGACTGGGCTAGACCAGACCGTTAGTTACCTAGGTAGTTGCACCATGCGTACGTACCTACTCCAGGCAGCCGCGAATTGATTGAAGTAGAGGCCCCTCACTTCTCACTCAATCTCGGAAGGCAGCGACTACCGGTGCAGCTATCGGAACTGACACAGCAGCACGGAGCAAAAACGGAAGGAAGGATCAAAATATCGGCAATATGAAGGTTGCAGAAAGCAGATCTGCAATGAAGAAAAATGAAACTGAAATGAAACAGACAAGTCTTATCGTCACTAGTTAATGTACTGTACCAATCGCAAAATGCCGCGCCACTCCGGCTGTACTCCGTATGAGTACGACAGAACGGCTGCTGCGCCTCGTAATGGCTGTGCTTGGCTGATCCACCGCGTCCGTGCACAGGCCAGTTAGATCCCGTGGAATCATCATTATTAATAGGACTCGTCATATGACTATTCCGCTTGTGGCACCAAAGTCACCTGCCGTCAACCTTATTCGGCCAGCACCCCGCCAGAGAGTAGCAGCCAATCAGAAATAGAAATGAATATTCTTCTGCATCCAACGGGCAGTCAACTGCGTAAGTAATAATGCTTGCAGCAAAAAAAAAAGGGAAAGTGATATAGAGATTGTGCTGCTGCAGCTTTTCCTTGCTTAATCTCTGGAGTTCTGTCTGTCATGTCATAAATAATCAGGCTTATGTTCACCTCTGCTATACATATGTAATCCCTGTTTCCATAATATCTCCATATTCTAATTATTCTTTAATAATAAATTTATTCTTCGAAGCAACATCTGCACTATATATTTTACCATATCGTGTTCAATGCATCACTTTCCTTTTTTCCTAAACTTAGCCTAATTTATCACGTATATATCAATATATCAATATTTCAATATCAGCCACTTCGACCAAGATGCTTATCTCCCAGAAACTGAACTATATCATCCAGCTGCTTTGGCTCCTTTAGCCATTGGCGGCGATGCCCATGACTGTCGTGGATTCCACCCGGATAGGTCTTCCAGGACAGCTCGCTGAATCCCAGACGCTGCAGTGTGTCGTGTGCCGTCTTTCCCAATCCGATATCTACCAATCGGTTGTCTTCGTCATGGCTCAGAAAAACTGGCGTCTCTTTGACGTGGAGGGGCCCCGAAATTGCCTTTCCTGAATAGACGTCTAGTGACGGTGGAGGTTGCGGTTGAGGTTGAGACGGCAATGGCAGGATTGACAGTTGTTGCCCTGGTGCTTGTTGCTGCTGCTGCTGCTGCTGACCGAAAGTGATTGTTTTCAAAACCACCCCCGCTTGGTCCATTTCCCCCTTCTCGAGAAGCGAACTCAGAGTCCCCGCGAAAGGGATCCAGCCCTTCGCGCCTACGAATCCCCCCAGTTTCCGCTGGGCACAGATCAGGGCGACCAACCCCACCGCCATGCCCTGCCCGACCCCTCCAATAAACACCCTATCCGCATTGCCTTCCAATCGGCGGACTTCCTCGTCCACGATGCGGAGGATGTAGCTAACGCTGTCCTGCAGGCCGGGAATCGGCTGATGAGGGTAGTCGGCAGACTCCAGCTCAAACCACTCGGGCAGGTTGTCCTCGCCCCGGAACTGCTGCTCCTGCGACCAATAGTAGTGACGGGCCCGGGCAGACGGGAACACCCACCGCGTGGAGGGGAAATGGTCGAAGATGGTCTTGCCCGCGGAGGAGTACGACGTGGCCAGCTCAAAGGCCAGGTCGGGACCGTTGCTGCCGCGGGCATGGAGGAGGATCACGGTCGACGTGTGTTTGGGGGTAGAGGGGAAGTAAACATGACGTGGGGGGAAGAGATAGACCATGACAGATGACAGATGAACCACGCAGTTCAGATAGCAAAACCAACAAAAGGGTGTTGAAATAAATTTTAATCACAGAAGAAAGTATGATATCCAAAAATATGTCTATGCAATGAGTCAGTGACTGCTAGAAGAAGCGGATAAGGCTAGGTAAACAGATGGTGATTACAGACCGACGTTCTCGAGTCGCGGCTGTGATTGGCCAGTTGAAGTAGCAAATGCAAGTAGCAAATGCAACGATTGATGCGACCGTCACAAGAGAGAGACAGGAAGAAGGAAAACAAAACTGTAAAGACGTTATTTTGAAAAATGCTCAGATATGTTCCATTTGACACAATTGAAATGTAGGTGCAGTCCTTTTGGAGGGGTTAGCTATATATATTGCCACACCCTGCGAGGCTGCGCTTCAGCCTTGTGTGCCCTGCGGTTAAATAAGCTAATAATAGACAAGGAAGCGAATTAAGTTACCAGATGAAAATTTGCTACAGTGAGGCGACATTGCTGCTTATGTACACATACTGTGAATCCTGAAGCCCAAGATGAGGCGAGAATAAGAGATTTCTTAGTGGATTGTTTTTGGATCTTATATATATCCTGTTTTCTTGTTTCTTATAGCTAGTAGTGTCCTAGGCCTCATCTAGTATTCATGGCTGTAGACACGTTGAGAAGATGCAGTACGGCTACCTACAATTACCCCTCTGATTTGATTACCGCTGCTAACTGACCACACACATCTACCTCAACAGGCTCGACAGCCTTCCTTGTCTTAGATGACCGTTTTCTTCGTCGGTGAGGTAGATCGCTTTATTATTGCCGTCCTTGATCTTTGGCTCCTGTGGCGCAAGTTTCCGCATGAGATCGTTAAAGCGCTCTAGCTCCTGCCAATACTTATATTCTTCCATCAACGATTCGTCGATCTGTCCGTCAGAGTTCACAAAGAACTCCTCTCCCACAATCTTGGGTTGTTGTCGGTAATTTGAGCGTGAGTTCCAGAATGGCATTTTAAGCTGCTGCTGCCGAATCAAGGCACCATATCCCTCTTTTACGGCACGGCATCGCTGAAAATGTCTAGGGATCTCCCGTAGGAGGTAAGCTCGATGATAATTCTGGAAGGCCTCATCGTCTGAAAAATAAAAAGAGTCTGGTGCAAGAACGCATGCGCTGCAGTATACCCCTTCTTCCAGGCTCTGTCGGGGGATGTCCCAGAAAGGGAATATCATAGCACCCAAGGGGGCAGCAGTTGAGAGATATCGCGGAGCGAGGGGGTTCGCTCGCAATACATGGGGTTTGGTGGGCTCTCTTTGCTTATTATACGATTTGCCGTTGAAAGCTCGCTGTGTTTCCCATTGCACCATGGCCTCATCATAGAGTCGATCAGCTGCCAAGTGCGCAGCGTCCAGACTCCCGTAAATCTCAATCGCAAACTTCTGGGCAGCTGGAATGCTAACAAGATTATACCTCCCCGTAGAAGTGGTGGTACAGACCCACAGCCTGCATGTCGGAAGACTGTATATTTGATCAAGCTGATCTAGCAATTCCTTGGGAATAGCATATGCCACTTCCACATTAGATGGTAATCCCAGATGATATTCTGACCTTGTCAGAAGGCAATTGAAGCAGCATCGATGGCAACCGAGTAGATATAGATAGGGGCCAAAATCACTGCAGGTGTAGCACCGAGGAGGAGAACGGGTGAATTCAGCAAAGAGGTCCTTCAGCGAGATGAATGAACTCGACTTTGTCGCATTCATCACTTTAAATGTCTCTGGAGCATGAGATTGGATTAGATGGTATTCAGACATTCCATCGACGATGTAACAGTAGAAGTTGTTGATCCGTCGAACAGTCAGAACGGTTCGAACATCCAAGAAGCGCAAAATGGCATGAAGGACTTCTGTAGGCAGCCGTCCAAGAGTTCCGCGTGATGGTCGTCCCTGAGACTGGAAAACTCGCTGTTTGGAAGATCCAGGACGGCGACGCATGTGTCCATCACTCCAGTCATCGATCGATCTTACATGCTCAGGAAGGGTCATGGTGTACCCCTGCAGCTCATTCCGACGAAATGCAAGGCCTGACGCCATGTCGGAGGGATTTGGAATAGTGATCGATAGTAGGAAAGGCGAACCAAGTAAGATATATGTATGGTGTGAAGGAGTCATCATTTAGTCATTATCTTATCGGTCGATGACGACTGCCGTCAACAGTTTCAGACCGCGTCGAGGACTTCCCAGGCAATAACATCTGGTGCCTGAACTCGCCTTCAGCTATGTATGACATCGTATAGAAGAATTCTCGAGCAACATTGTAATTCACTCCAATGGTGTGTGCGAACAGATCATGTTGGAGTCGTACCGATCTTCTCGACTTGCAGCGCGCTTCGACTCTACGTGATAGCATACTGTATGGACTGTTGAGAGGCGTGACGACGCTCACGTGCCATCAGAGCGTGCTTTCCAGTCACCCGAAAGGAAATCTTCAGAGCAGGCGGGAACGATCCAAGTTGCTGCCTTGCTGCGATTCTTCAGCGGATGACTCTACAAATTTTCCTCCACGGTCATTGTTTGCTCTTCACCAACATTTCCTCACAATCCTCAGCACTGCTGGGTGCAGTATCGCACCTCACATTGGGCCGTCCTTGAATGCTCATTAGCTCTGCTAAACTATTAACATAGCCTCAACGACTCCACATCTAATTCCGATCAAAGACTCACCCAGTGGTGTGCTGACCTCTTAGCAAACTTGCCATGGACAGAATCTACATGATTCTGGCCCATTGAAGAAGATATTTCTCCGAATTTACCGGCGCAGGAGGTACTCACCGGTCAGCGAAGAAGACCAACTGTTGGTTCTGCGGGGATCGGTATATATCCTGGACGAGCACGTGGGCCGCTTGTCCCACTATATCAATAATATCTATCTTGGCACGGCATGGATGGTTGGCGCTCTGCAAGCATTGGGACTGGGGATCCAATCCCGGAGTGTATGGAAAGCGCTACAAGGTCCATTCTCAATGTTGTCGAAAGACAGCGTTAAGAACAGGCTTGCTGTCGGAAGTGCATTCGACGGAACGCAGCCTAGCATTTACGATGACAATGACAGCTTTCCCACGACAGGAAGCAGTATTCTGGACCTGGACTGAACCAGGACGGTACCTAGCACTTGTCTCTACTACCTTCTCGAAGATGGAAATGCATATCGATATTACTACAAAGTGGTCTACAGCGGAGCTTTACTTCGAAGCAATTTGCCGTCTGACTCAGATTGTTGCCATAAAGACGCATGGTCAATTACAAAATTAATCTAAATGTTGGACGAGCCTTGAAGGTATTTCCGTATAAGGCAGGTGCTATTGAGTGTGAACCAATTCCAACTATAATCAGTTAGCAGCAGTCCGGCAATGCCAAGATCGATGGTTAATACACAAGAGTTCTGATATTGCACTCTGTGAGAGATCTGATGACAGCACGGAATTGACTCGGAACAGGAGGATATCTAGGAAATTGCAAATGTCGTTGGCGTCAAAGCTACCACCATTCAGGTAGGTCCTCCCAAGGTCCAGAGGTTAGGGTTACCGGCCGTGGTACAGCCGCTCAGCGTCATTGGAAGCATATCTCCTCAACCACGCGGCTAAGACGGATATTCTCTGCGGAGTCTGGATAATATTTCATGTCATCATAATCAGGAGTCGACAGCGATTGCTGAGAATTCTCGGCATGGCCGGCAGCGTTATTGATCTATCTGCGATGACAGCACGTTCTGGCGGACGAATCAAATGCGGGAACTGCAACACGCATCGCAGCTAGACTTCAACGCCCGTTCTTGGCAGGAACGATCCGGACGACGGGGCGGGCCTGCATCGCGCTTGCCGAAATCAGGCAATTGCCCTGTCGATTCCCGACCAATCGAAATAAGCATAATCAGCATTGATACTCCCGCCCCGCCATTCGCCAGCCCACGTGCGCGGGAAACACGAGAGACGACATCCAACTCCCGCATCTTCATCCCGTTTTCCACAGCTACAGATCGATCGGAATCGCCTCCATGGTCCTGCTAATCCTCCTCCGGCAGGTCCTTTCCTTCCCGAGCACGTGGGTGCGTTGTGACCGTTCAGTTGGGATGCCTAGTGAGTGCCTTCAGATATAAAACCCGCGACCATGGCATCCTGGGACCCGGTCAGAGGTCTGCCAAACGCCCTCATCAGCTCGCAAGATGAAGCCCGACATTGCCCTTACCGGTCTGCTCACGGTTCTGGCCGCAGCCTCCGCGGCTGCCCAGCCCGTCAACAACAATAACAATAACAAAAACGCTCCCTTTGGATACAAGTCCGGTTCACCCGAGTCGATCAAGAACCTGAAGGACAAGATCCAGAACGTCGTCTGGATCCTCCTGGAGAACCGTTCGTTCGACAACATTCTTGGTGGTTTCAAGCGTCCGGGCTTTGACAACCCCGCCAACAATGGCCCCTTCTGCATCCCCCAGAACGTGAGCAACCCCAACAGCCCGAAATGGTGCACCAAGGCCAAGGACTTTGACTCGGTCCTGAACGACCCCAGCCACTCTGTGACCGGCAACAACATGGAGTTCTACGGCACCTTCTCGCCGGACAACGCGGCCATCGCGTCCGGCAAACTGCAGCCTTCCCAGCAGGGTTTCGTCGACATGCAGCTCGTCTCGTACCCTAAGCTGGACCCCCAGGTTGCGGCTGAGCAGGTGATGGGCTACTACACGGAAGACGAGATCCCCACCATTGCCAACCTGGTCGATGAGTTCACCGTCTTCAACCGCTGGTTCTCCTGCGTGCCTGGACCGACAAACCCAAACCGACTGTGCGCGTTGGCCGGAACCGCTGCCGGCCACGGTACCAACGACAACAGCTTCGATGTCTCTGGCATTGACATCAAGGGCATCTTCCAAGTGGCCGACGAGAAAGGCGTGTCGTGGAAAAACTACGACGGCACCAACGGCGCCTTCCTTCCGGATGCCCTGTTCTTCAACTACACGGCCAAGTACAAGAAGCAGAACGTTGTGCCGTTGGAGAACTTCTTCCAGGATGCCTATCTGGGCTTGCTGCCCCAGCTGTCGTACATCAACCCGTCGTGCTGCGGGCTGGACACCAACTCGATGCACCCGACGGGCAACGTCTCCTTCGGCCAGGTCTTTGTGAAGCAGATTTACGAGGCGGTGCGCAATGGCCCCCAGTGGGACAAGACCCTGATCCTGCTCACGTACGACGAGACTGGTGGTTTCTACGACCACGTGCCCCCGCCGCTGGCCGTTCGCCCGGACAACCTGACCTACACGGAGAAGGCCCCCGACGGCAGCACCTACACGCTCACGTACAACCGGTTGGGAGGACGGATGCCGACGTTCCTGATTTCGCCGTACGCGCCGAAGGGTTATGTTGAGCAGGAAGGCATTGACCCTGCCACTGGCAACTCTTCAGTCTACAGTGCCACGTCCGTCCTGAAGACTCTTGGCTACCTGTGGGACCTTGAAGACCTTACGCCTCGCGTGTCGCACTCGCCGGCGTTTGACCACCTGATCGGACCGCAGCTGCGCAGCGACACTCCTACGACTCTGACCACTCCTCACACCTTCCCGACGGATGTGTAAACAGTCGTTCCGAGATTTCATTTGTAATAAGACTACAGACAGACATGTATTCTACTACACTTGTTATCCTATAGTTCATATGTATGTACTGTACAATAGAATGGAATACAATTAAGGTAGTCTTATAAACATGAACAAAAGTGACCTTAGAATTTGTAGTTTGTAGCTATGGTAATTTCTGCAGCACGGGTAGTGTTTGCTACGTCAGGTTTCCTTCTCGCTGTAACATGAGCTTGGTTGAAGTTGGTTTTTAATTTCAATTTCAGTTTATTCAGCTCTTTTCTAAGAATGTCCCTACCCTAACAGAGGCATCATAGTAGACAATTGACAATCTGACCAGTCTGCCTGACAATGGCGCCGTTAGTCAGTCACAGCAGAGGGCTTTTTTCTTTTCCAGAAGAAATCTGATTCTAAGAACTTGCGGTGAGAACTACTTGTGTAACATACATCCATAAATAAAAGTAAATAAAAGAAATGAGCCCCCAAAAAACAGAAAAATGGCCCCTTCCTGTGTCTAAAAACAGGAGGTAGTTGGTGCATGTATCATATAGGTAATGCACTGTGTAACACTGTGTTTCCATTCTTGGGGGCTCTTCGGTGCATCTAACATAGGTACTGTACATATAAGCGAACGAGCCAAACGGATTTTTTTTTTAAAAAAAATGAAAGAAAAGGGGCTGGAAAAAAAAATCCCCAAGTCAATGATAATGCGGATACGGAGTATATGTTATGTTAGGTGGTATAAGGCGTCCCATGCAGTTAGTGAGTGAGTGAGCACTAGCAGGGTATGTATGCACCTATGCAGGGAAGCAAGATTGATCAGAAACATTCTTTTTTAAAAAAAAAATAAAATAAAACAGGATGGATAAGTTATAAAAGGCATTGGAGAACCTGTCTGAAGAAAGAAAGAGTTCTTTCCTCATCGACAGACAGCAACGCATCGTTTATACATATATACCTGTATAGATAATAAGACGATATCATTCAATACAACTTTCTCTCTTGCTTTATTTATTTTGCAAAAAGCACAATGAAATCCTTCACCATCGCCACCACCACCACAATCATCCTCGCCATAGGAGCCATGGCCAGGAACTGCACGCCGGGACTGAACTACTGTGGAAGCACCTTACTGGACATTGGTAAGGAGAACACCACCGCCAGCAGATGACATGCATGAAAACAGCAGAGCTAACTAATTTTTTTCAAGGCCACTACCAATCCCAAATCGACCAGGCCATCGCCGACGCAGGCGTGCCGGAGGTGGACAACGGCCGCGAGTCGCTCTTCCATTGCATCGGTGGTGATAACGGCGTCATTAAATACCTGGGGGACTGCCCCAATGGGTGCCATGATGCCGGGGCGGGGAACAGTGATTATTGTGTTGGACAAGAGTGAACTAGATATTACTCAGACTCAGAGATGGGGTTAGAGTTGAGGGAGAAGTAAGATGAGAGGGAAGTTATGAAAAGGGCAGGTAAAAAAAAACACATGTACTGAAAAAGCTTTTGATTTGATTTGATATGTTACATTTTTAGATAGATTATAGGTAGAACATCAGACACTCGTTTTTTTTTCTCGAAAATTTTGCTTTTTTTTCACAGTATGTAATGTGCTTGCCACTATAATGTAGTAATAGTAGGTGACTTTTTCCCAGTCTAACTCCTCTATACCTCCAAAGTTGAGGATTCGTGTCCTGTACAGAGTCGAAAGAAAGAGAGTTCAGAATGAGAATCTCACTTCATTAGCTCCAAGTTCTGATAAGGTTCAATGTAAAAGATATCCACCCATCAGACAAGGATCAAAAGAGAAGAAAGGAAGGAAGGGGTCTGTAGGTGATGCAGTATGCCTCCTTAAATTAGTTCTCTAATGTAATGGCAGTATTTTGTTTATATGACAGCAATTCTGTTGTTTAAGGAGGTGAACAGTCCAAACGAAAAAACAAAAGAGAGAGAAAGGGAAACAGAAAGCAGAGGCCCATAAAGTTGCAGAGGCTATCTTAATATCTACGAGTTTCCATGCAGTACGTCAAGTGCAAGAACTCGACGCCAACACTGCCTGCATCAGAAAGTCGTCGTAAGCGAGCTCCCCGGCAGCTGATCTCTCATCGAGCATCCAGCGCAATATCTCCCGCAGGAAGCTTAGAAAAGGAGTATTGTTTTCTCCAGAAAGACTAATATAAGGACCACGAATAGTTAATTAATGCAAGCTAGTACCTTATGTCACCCATTTCTAGCTAGCAACCAGGTAATATGTTCTGTGCCATCATCATTTTCGTTGTGTCTGGGTAAAGTTGAGCGCTCAAAGCAAGCTTACCTACCTACCTACCTACGTAACACTTTTGACCGGTAGTTCTAATGCTAATAGTGTTACTGTACTGTGCTGTACTGTGCCCTACTTATCTATCCAGGTGCCTAGACAGTATTCATTCATTCTTTCCTCCCGTCCTTCTATTTGAACTTTTGAACTTCACGTCGATTCGATTCGGTCGTGTCAAATACAACAGGAGAAAAGAAAACAGAAAGGAGAAAACAAAGGGGGTAAAAAAAGGCAAAAGGGGGGGGGAAAAAAAACAGCCAAACTAAAAAAAGAAGATGCAGGTTGAATCGGAGATAAACCCACAAGGAAATTGAGAAATGAGAAACAGCAAGCGACACCAACCACCAACGAAGTCGAGTCAGTCAGTCAGTCGTGCTTTTTCTTGTGCATAACAGACAGATAGAAAAAAGCAAGCAAGGTAAACAAAACATCGACGTTTCTCGCTTGCGTTTTTTTTTTCCCGTCTTCATTGAACACGAACCGGAGAGATGAGATGCCGGGGGATGAGATGCGATGCGAATGAGATGAGATGGGAGATGGAAAGTTTGCAAGCAAGGGTGCATGCAGGGGGTAAAATGCAAGAAAAATGCCCAGATATCACGACTAACGTGGGTGCAACGAAAGCACAGCGTGACATGCATATATATATAGGATCTAGGCCGTAGAAAGTGGTGTATGAGTAATGAAGGGAGAGGGGATAGAAGAAGCAAGAAGACAGCCGATTACGCCTTGTCCTCCAGAGAAGCCTTCTGCAGCTCCTCCGATGCCTCAGCAACAGCGTCCTTCTCCTGCTTCGCCTCAGCGTGGCCGTTCACCTTGGCGTTCTTCTTTGCCTCGGCCGCCCGCTGCGCTTCCTCTTCCAGACGGGCAATCTCTTCCTTGGCCTTCTTGATGTTCTGCAGGACAGCTTGTTAGTATCCAGGTAATCTGTAGACTGGGAAAACACCAGCTGCTTGGCTTCAACTAACTCACCTCCTCGGTTTTCGCGGCCTGGTTCTTCTTCCACTCGGTGATCTTGGCAGCCAGCTTCTCAATCACGCCCGGCACATCGGCCTGACTCATCGGCGGGTCGACCTTGACCTTGGCGAAGTCCTCAATAACACCGAAGCTGAGGTTGAACTTGCCACCCTCCGTAGGGGTGCCAGGGGCCGCGGAGCCGTTGGCGCTGCCCTTCTTCCCCTTCTTGCCCTTCTTGCCGCCCGTGCCGACAAAGTAGTCTTCCTCCCGTTCATCCTTCTTGACAATCTTAACGCCCTTGATGTTCGAGTCGTCCACAGTACGGCCGACCTCCGCACGGAGGGCGCCCGTCTGGACCTTCTTGCCGTCGTCCAGACCCAACGTCGAGAAGTCGTAGGACGGGTCGAAGTGACGGATAAGACCCTGAGCGGTGAGGATCTCATCCGTGTAGGCCGGCCGAGAAGCCTCCTCCAGCTTCTTGTCGGCGATCTTCTTCCTCCTCTCACGCTCCTGAGCCTCCCGCTCGGCCTTCTGGCGCTCCCGACGGATCCTCCACATCTCGTCCTCGTACTCCTTCCAGGCCTTGCGCTGCTTGTAGTAGTTGTCCTTGAGCTCGCGGATGGCCGTGAATTTCTTCTGCTGCTCCTCGTGCAGTCTCGTGCGCTCGTCCCGCAGGGAATTGAGGTTCTTGAAAGCGTTGTCCTGCTCCGCCTTGATCGCGTCAAGCTCCTTCTGGATCTCGGCGTACTTGTCGCTGAGCGCCTTGGCTTCCGGGTTGTCGAGGGACTTCTTCAGAGCGGCGATCTGCGCCTTCAAGTCATTGATGACCTTCTGCCCATCGTCCAAGCCGGCGAAGTTCTTCCGCTGCTTGCGCAAGTTCGAGATATCCGCCAGGGCCTTCTTCTCATCCACCAGACGCATGTTGCCCGAGTCGACCTGCTTCTCCAGACGAGCGATCTCCCGGTCGATCTCCTCGACGCTCTTGAAGGCAATCTTGCTGCGGGAGTTGTTCTGCTCCGCCACGCGGGCCTTGAGGCTGGCGTCGAGCGCATTGATCTTCTCCTGGGTGCTGGTCCGTGAGGCCTTGAAGCTCTGCTGCTTCTGACGGATGGCAGCGAGTTCGGCGCGCAGCTCCTTCTGTCTCTTGGCGGCAGGCGAGTCCTGGTTGTTGGGCTTTGCGCTCTCGATCTTGGCTTTGATTTGGTTCTGTAATGATGCAGGACGCGTTAGGATTGTAGAGAAAAGGCAAAGGATAGACATTGGACACGAACCAATTTTTCCTGAACGGCAGCATGCTCCTTCTCGGCCTTGGCCAAGTTGGCCTTGAAAGCCTCCTCATCGGGCTTCTGGGGCTTGACCTTGTGGCCAGGAGCAGCTGGAGCCTCTGCAGCCACAGCAGCCATTGTGTCGGGAGTTCACAGACAGACGATGCGATGCGACGCGATGCAGAGCGGTGCTGTGGTGTGCGTGCAGTCGTGTGAGTGACGAGTGACTTTCTGCGGGAATTGTATACACAATGCAGCACAATGGGCGAGAAGAATGAGGCGTACCTGTGACACGGCCCTGGACCGATCGACAGAGACGGGGATCAGACAGACAGACCGGAAAGCAGAGAGACAGGGTGTGTCTCGACTGATAGGACTGGTCGCACAGTCTGTGCTTCTGAGCTGTCTTTTTTGGCGATTTTTCTCGGTTCTGGCCTGTTCGGTTGCCAATGACCACCCGCCAAGCCCTGCCGGCGCGCTTAAATTTTAGTGCCAAATCGCGGGCGCCAAAAATGGATGGCCCAACCTCAATGGATTCGATTTTTCCAGAACGCCTCTGCCTTTCATCTCACCAGACAAACCCAGCACAACCCAGCTTCTCATCCCAGACACCCTTGCGGCGCAGCTGGTTGTGCTTCCGTCATCTTTGTCTGGGCCTGCTGCCAGCCTTCCTGAGCGCAGGGACCTTTTTCGACCTCGTTGCACGCATCGAGAGCGCCTCGCGCGCCGACCATCGCAGCCATGGATGAAGACTACTCGTCGGGCTCCCAAGAGGCGGAGCGTGAAATGTCCAGGCTGTGGCGCACCTGGAGGACGGTCTTCGAGATGCTCCTGGACCGGGTATGGCAATGAGTTCTGCTTTGGCGCGAGAGCAAAATCCGCTCTGAACTTATCACTAACTTCTCTTCTCTCTTTCTACAGGGCTACGAGGTGACGGAGGATGAAGTCCAGATTCCATTCGAGGAGTTCAAACAGAGATTCTCCGACCCCCTTGGATACCCTGAGTACGTTTTTCTTTTCTTGACACATCTAGCCTGTTCTTGGCTGGTTCTAACGGACGGTCTACTGTACTGTACAGCCGCAGCAAGATGAAAATCACCGCCCGTCCCACCGAAGCGATGATTAAAAAATACACTCCCTTACCAACCAAGTCGAATCCCAACCCCCAGCCCGAGTGCGGCACCATCTACGTGGAATTCTGTCCGGACGCCACCGGCGTAGGCACCAAGCAGGTTCGCGCATTCAACCACCTGATCGACGAGCAAAACTTCCACTCCGGCATCTTCATCACGCAGACCCCGATCTCGCCTTCTGCTGTCCGTCTGCTCAGCGGCATTCCCGGCCGGTTCTGCGAGCATTTCCAGGAGCAGGATCTCCTGGTGAATATCACCCGCCACGAGCTTGTCCCGAAACACGTCCTGTTGAGCGCTGAGGAAAAGGCCCGGTTACTAGAGCGGTACCGCCTGAAGGAGTCGCAGCTGCCTCGAATCCAGGTATCGGACCCGGTGGCACGGTATCTGGGTCTGAGAAGAGGTCAGGTGGTGAAGATCATCCGGAAGAGTGAAACGGCCGGTCGATACGCCAGTTACCGATGGGTGATATAATGGCAGTCGATTTATGGAGATCAATCTTCGACCGACTATGGCATAACGTTTAAAAGAAAAGAAAAGAAAAGAAAAAGACTGAGATAGCATGGCGTACGGCGTTGACATGTAACGGATTACTTGGGGTGGGCTTCTGTACTGATTAGATGTTTGCATGTTTCGTTGGGTTTTTTTTACGTTTGCATTCCCTTCGTCCATAGCTATAACACTAACATGAAAATTACTGTTAATATTTTTGCTTCTGAGAAAACTGGGTTGAATGAAGACGATCCGCTATCAGGGAATGATTGATTTGCAGGACGAAATCAGACGCATTTGACTCCAGAAAATAACAGCTTTTAGGGAGAAGATTAAATACAATCCTTTTCCTTTGTCCAAAAGTAGACGTAAGTGGTGGGTTTTAGACCATCTTTCAGTACAAGCGGTATCGTCGCAAAGAGAAAGAAAATGAAAGGAAGATATCAGCAAGTGCGATACAACGAAAAGAGTTAGTTGTCCCTTGTAAAGATTATAAACTGTGCCCATATCCCTCCTACATACCGCTAGAAAAAACATGTACAATAAATTGCCCAGCGCCAGCGCTAAATTCCATTATATTAAAACAAAAGAACGACTTAATTCCAAATCAAAGAAAGAAAGGTCACCTTCCCAGATCCCTGCGAGGTTCTTGAGATAACAGACCACCTGCATCCTGCAGTTCGACGTGATGGTCTTCCATAACATGTGCTTGAACGTCACGTCCATGGCGATATGGAGAGGTCGAGGGCCCGGCTTGTGACGTACTCTCTCGCCTCTCCCCTCCATCGTGGGATGGAGTGACGCCAGAAGAATCACGCGGTGGGAAGAGAAGGCCACCGACATCTTGTAAGAGAGCCATACTACCACGACGATATGGTGGGTATCGTGGCATCTCCGGGCTAAGTGGGGGTTCAGGGGAAAAAGTTGGACGGTAACGACTACCTGGCTGGGTGGTGGCAGTGCCAATGGCCGGTGTCGTTGGTGACGGAGGATCAAGGAGGCCGCCCACATCAGAAAACGACACATTGCGGTGAGAGGCCCGAGGGTTACCGGACGTTGACTCCCAGCGATCCCAATCATTCAGCGGGATATATTCATGAGGGTCAACCCTTGCTCCCATGCTGTCAGAGGCCGAGGCTAGGTCGTCGGTGCCCGTTGATAGACGGCTAGGAAACGTCCAACCAGGGTCGACGGTTCCGGTTCGCGCAGAGAAATCGTGACTGGAAAGAGCTACGGGGGCCGGGCGGACCACCTTTGTATCCGTCGTCTGTAGCTCTGGTCCAAGTCCGATGCCTAAGCTCTCGACCAGGTCGGCGTCGCTGCCCCATCGACGAGTAGTGATCGTTGCACGTCGCGCAGAGCTGTGATCGAGACTCTCGCTCCCCGATGAACCATATGCCCTCTTGAACTTGGGCTTCTTGACCCCCTTGTCCCGGACGAAGGAGCCAATGACGACAGCATTGGAGACGGCCGTGGCCGCCAAAATCTCCAGTGAGGCTAACAGAGACCGGTAACTTTGAAGCCCATTTCGCTGGATTACCATCGGTACACGGTAGCAGGTAATCGCAACCAGAATCATAGACAGAGCGAAGAGCGACACGAGAGAGAGCTTGCGTTTTACTGGTAAGGTGGACATCAATGCGAGGGGGATCGGAAAGACGACCAGCAAGAGGTCGGTTATCACGTCGCAGACACCCATCGTCAGCAGATTGGCATAGCCCAGCCGACACTTGGGGCCCGGATCCGGGACTACCTGCCAGTAGTGATCGAAGGGTTGACATTCGGCTAGCGTGGCAATAACGACTGCCAGGAACGTCGACGCCAGGAAGTATCGAATGAATCGGAGAGTGAGTCGGAAGAATTTGGTCCAGACCGTGCCTGTTAGTCGTCTCAAGAACTCGCAGACCGTGTATTTTCCCATCCATATGCTGAGGGCAAATTTGGTCAGCATCTTGATAACCGTTATGTGCATGACGAATGAGTGCGTAGAAGAGCTTACAAGGCAGCGTAAAAGACCCTTGCTGCTAACACGAGCCTGCTTCCGATCTCCCGATGCTGGATGTCCAGTTCGGACAGCCCGGCCGTCTTCGTATTGTTGGTGCCCCAAATCAAGACAACGTGAGCAAAGGCCATCCGGATCAGGAGCGGCACGATGCTTGCCAACATTATTTTATCTTCGCGGAACAGACGCTCCGTGCGGACATAGCGGCCGATAACTCGAACGAGGATGATGACCAGGGAAAAGCCAGTACACCACCAGCTCGTCAGCAGCGTAGGATTGTCCTCGAATTTAGTCCGCGGATCGGGCGGGACGTCCTGGTACAGCCCGCGAGCTGCCAGCAGCGAGAAGAAAGGCGCCATTAACCTCTGAACCACCTCCCGGCGGAGGGGTCAGGGTGGACGAGCAGTCTTCAGTGTGCAATTTTATTTCACAGAAGGGGGGAAAAAGCTGTTGACTTTATGATCGGTCAATGATCGACCGGTGGTACGGTTGTCCCGTTGACATAGATCGCTATCGGGCGTGGTCGGTTTTAGGGTCTGCGACCAGAGCGCAGACCTCGGCTGGCACCGCACGCAGGTGAAGGGGCTTCTTGACTGCGTCACCAGTCTCTTTCTGACAGAGGCGACATGTAAAGAGTGGGATCTGACATTGGAAGAAAGTGATGAATTCGTGATGGGTTCTTGCTATGCCTTCCAGGTCGTCAATGCAACCGCAGCAGGGCATGGGGGGAGTAAAAGTATCCCGCCCGAAGTAAACCGCTCATTGTCCCAGAGATAAGAGAACCGTGGTAGTGGCATTTCCCCAGCTTTTCCAACAGAGCAACGGCTTAAGCAACATTATGGCTCGGGTCGACGAAAGCTGGCGCACAACGCGCGTGGCGTGGACGAGGCCCAGAGGTCAGGTTACCGATAGCGACTGGTGAGGGGAAGTGGAGGATAGCCGTGGCTCAAACCAAGGACACGGACTCGATTCACAAATGACAGGCCATACGCCATGGTTAGAAGTTAAATGGAGGTGTGTCTCTAGGAACGGGAATGGTAAAGTTAGCCGGGGCGTCCAGAGAGTTCTTCCGCCACACCAGAATTACCTGGGCACAGACAGCTGCCTAGCTGTCCCAGACTCCAGAGCCAACCCCAAGATGAGACGAGGCCGTCATCCAATACGAGTGCCAGGTCTGGTGCCGGCGGTGACGAGGGAGAGGAACAGAGAGCGCTTGCATGGAGGTGAGCTTAAGCAGTGAACAATCCATTTCGCTAATCAGCGTCAGTTCCCTAGGCTGTCGCCATAGACAGCCATCGTTGGCAAAGAACTTGGTAGTTAGCTATTAGAGAGTTGGGGATGACGGGTGGGTCCGTGATAAGGAAGGAGCAAGTCACGCGAGGAAACCGCGAGGCTGGCGATGACCTCACTGCGATCTGGGACTGAGATTGGCAGGCGCCAACGTGCTCCTCGATCGGCCCAACGCCCCGCCATCGCCCGTTCTTGCCAGGATTGATAATAAGGTTGCACGGACTCGCTCTTTCCTTTACACGACTTGTCACCCTCTTGGCTGCCTCTCCTTGCGAGTTCTGATTTGCTGCAGGAGAACCAATCACGAAACGGCAGCCAATCAGCAAAAGCCGGAGTATCGATAAGCATGATAAGCCTTGCAAGTGAAAATGCCCCGGCGATGCCAGGGACATTGGCCCCTGACATCCCTGCTTATAATGCGGTTATTATCATCGTGCAACTTTTCTAGATAATACCCCTGAGCGTGGGGTGGGAAAGGGCTACAATGCCCCTGTTCTGGAGATTGCACAGCAGAAAACAATTGAGTAGCTAACAGTGTACTCCGTATTGTGCCTCAATCGATAGATTTGTGCTACCTGGTAATTTATTCTACGTCCCATATTCTATGGAGTATGTCCCATATAGAGTGCCAAGGCCATTTCTCCTCTCTTTAATTCAAGTGTTTAGAGGGAGCCGACTAACCTTGGAACACCAAGAGACCTTGGATTTGACTAAACCTAGAAACCAGAGCCGTCTGTTTCCTCTAAACTAACTGCGAAGTTTAATTTCACTAGGCCGACTTAACATCCTTGGATCCATTAAATGCAAGAGGAGAAAAGAAATTACCTCGTCTTGATCTTGCTTTCCTGCAGCTAGTTCCCCTGCTCCGCCTGACTCTTCCTCGTCACCGGGTCCAATATATTGCTATCAGACAGCATGGCCACAGAGACAAATAAATAGGAGTCCTCGTACAATGGCACTACTGATGCTGCCATTCCTTTTCCAGATTGATTGCTGTCTTTCGGCCCCCGGCAGTGCACAACTTGGGGGCCTTAATGGGCAGAACTTCAGTAGAAGACAGTCGAAGCAAGACATCAAACCATAAGGCCCTGCTATATCTAATCGCCAGTGTCACCGTCATGCTCCTATATAAAAATCTGTCAGGGTGGGACAACTGGAAGCCTCATTCGACTTTGTTTGGTACGTATTTTTTAGCAATGCGGAGACAATGTTCTCTCACTCTTGCCAGTCTAGTGAGGCGTTCCAATTTTCCTTCATATATTTGTGTGTATGTCACTCTATGTGATGATATCTTCAAAGCTGTGTCTTGCAATTATAGGAAATGGAACATGTTTGATGCTGCTGCCTTTTAATGTCGAAGGAAGAAGAAGAGACAGCGTCTAGATGGCAAGTGCATGCTGTATTGGACGCTGACTACCAGCCATACTCCAGCACAAAGCATCAAGAACAAGACGAAGAAACAGACCATGACTCAACCCTCCCTCCATGCGCCATATAAGGCATTTTCAAGTGATCCTACTAACCAGAACCTGGGGCGTATAGCCTATACAGTTACCACACTGGCATTGGCACATGCACATCCCAGGTTTGAGTCCCCTTCCTGACAGAAAAGAAGTAAAAAAAAAAACTATTTCTCCTGGAGGACGGATTGGGAAGTAGAACCCCTGATCTACCAAAAACAATGGTAGTGGGGGGTTTTCGTAGCACCTCTCCTAACAGCCCAAAAGGCTGGGGGGTGTGAGCTCTTTTATTTTTCATAGAAAATAAGAAGTATATCTCAAGAACGTCGATACTGAAGCAATATTATATTATTTTTTTTTACTGTTTTTTTAGTCTATCGTACTTGTTCTTCTTGTCTTTCTTCTGACCGACGTTTGGAAATAGACAAGGGTTGATATCGCAAGTGCAAAAAAGGTTCGCCTTATTTTCACTACACAATTGAATGTATACCAAATGATCAAGAGAGAATATCTAGATAATCATTGTCAAGGTAGAGTCCATGTAGCTCAATTGTCGAGCAAGAGAAACAACCAGCACTGGTGTAGATGCAATTACCCAAAATGGCGATAGACTAAACTCCGTTATAGCCGATTGAGTCTTCCCGGTCCCGGCACCATGTCGATCGCGACTAGGTACAACTATGGATGTATTTAAACAAACACTCTCGACCATAATTTCAGATTTTTAAATCCTCCATCAATCCACCTTTTTGTTTTGTTTTGTTTTGCTTTGAATTTCTGAAAATGCGGAAAAGCAAAAGCGTCGAGACGGCACTGTCTCTGATCCAAAATGACCCGTCCAAGATCCTGCAATTGACCGTCAACGGGAAAAAGGTCTCGCCGGGAGATCACATCCCAAAGCGAGTACGTACTGCAAGACAGGTACTTTAGTTGAGGTCTCGTCTTGCTGATGAGATTCTGTACAGACGCCCAATCGCCCCCCGAGCTCGCATTCAACGTCCCGTCCGACAAGACCTACCTCGTCATCAGCCTGGATCTCGACGCGCCCTTTCAGTCCTGGACCGTCCTGGGCCCTATCCTGCATTGGATCCAGCCCTGTCTGAAGCCCGAGTCTTCTGAGACCGCGGCTGACGGCGTCGCTAAATTGACGTGGTCGGACACGCCCTTCATCGCCAATTACATCGGGCCCGCACCGCCGCCAGGCAGTGGCCCGCATCGATACGTGTTCTTCCTCTGCGAGCAACCGGACGACTTTGACGGCGCAAAATGGGCGCCGCCGGGCGGGAAGAAGCTGGGCAACAGGCCGCGGATGCGCTACGACCTGGACGCGTTTGAGAAAGAGGCCAAGCTGGGGCCGGTCATTGCGGTGAATTACTTCGTTAGCAATTAGTCGGTCGGCTCGTCGAGCAGTTGACGATTGATGAGCGTTCCGGAATCTTGGAGGAGCGGAAGTTGTCTCGAATTTCAGGACATTGGTGATATCAGTGTTCTACTTTGAGGATAAATACCCTGTGTAGTATATATTATACCATGCACGTCGCATATGTCGTGTTTGTTAGAATAATAATACGCTAATGTAATTTCAATTTCATGATGCAAATCCATTCTACAATCAACGCATGTGATAGACAATTTTTCTGTATAGTCTTAATCTCCATGTTATTTTTTTTGCCTGGGTGGATTCTCCACGCCGGTTCCGCTCATGCCCCGTCACATGCTAACGGCAGAAAGCCGGTACCGGCACAGGCCATGGAAATAAAAATAAAAATTCCGGAGAAAGTATTGATATATGAATTTGCTATCTACAAATTTATTAAAAGCATAGAGTATAAGACCGAGTATTTTTATTCTAATTTTTTTTCCCAAGCAGCTGCATATGCTAATACCAAGAGCCTAGGTAAAGGCTGGAAAGTATAGGAAACGTCAAGTTCATACAGAGCATCAGACAAAAGAGAAGATTTCAGACAAGGGATTATCTAGATCAGCATCTGCATATGCACTTCTAACCGAATACAATACATAATATTGAAGGGGACCAAGATGAAAAATCAACAAGCACTGCAAAACGCCACTCCTGCTGGTCTCAATAATCCACATTCCAGGATCAGTCCGCTATCTCTTCCCATCAACAGAAGGTGTATACGGTGGTAAAAAGTCGGACTGGTTGTAGGGGTATCCATATCCCTGCTGCTGCTGCTGCTGAGGATATCCTCTCTTTTCTTGGTCTTGATCGTATTTCTCCGGTCGCGAAGGGAGAGGAGGAGGAGAGGAGTGTTGTCGTTGGTGTTGCTGTTGACATTGATATTCCTGCTGCTGCTTGTTTGGAGGATAGTCGTAGCCGTATCCCTGGCCATGGCTATATCTATAGTCCTGAGGGTAGTAGTCGTTGGATCGTGAACCAGGAGGAGGAGGATGAGGATGAGATCCGTTCGGGTGCTGGCATTCGTGTTTGTGTCTGCACAATGACACCTAGTTAATGGTCACGTATACGGAATGAATGGATGAATGAATGAAATCTAGGGATAGACTAACTTCTTTATGGCTTTGATGATGTAGTACCCGCATGCCAGCATTAACCCGGCTTTGATGAGGCCCATGATGATATATATGTTGATGTGAAGATAAACCCTTTTATCTAACTCTAAGGATAGGAGGGATGGATAGCAATGGGGGAAATGATATTTATTTTTCGAATTATTAACTTCTGGCTACTAAGCAGGGAGGTCTGGTATTTATGCCTGGGTTTAAGATTTGACTCGGTATATAGAAAAGTTGCAGCCTAGCATCACCGTTCGGAACGTACTGCCCATACCTCTTCCTACACAGCCCATCGACAATACAGCAGCTGAACTGCCAAACGGCAATCAATGATAATCTTCTGTGGGGCGGATCCTCGTAAATCCCATTGAGCTGGTATGTACCTCGGCGTTTCTACTTGATTGTTGCGTAAGAATTATATACGAATTCCGACTCCGCCACGATAGATGCATCACTACAACTACATGTAGTGGGCAGAGACGGATTTGTTTTAAGTCAGCTAGAGATCGTCATCTAGTGTATTCTGTTTTCTTTTTTTTTATTATTTTTTCCCTCCAAATATCCTCGTATTTAGGGCTAATGGCATGTCAAGCCAAGCTAATTGCCTGATTGAGTGCCTGCACCTGCCAGATCGCTGCTAAATGAATTCAGCAGACAGCAGTCACTGCAGACTGTCCAATTCAATTCACTAATACCTCGAGATGGTCGGCATTCACCGGGAGTTTGCGATCTGGCTGTGTAACACGGAACTATCCGTAACAAAGAAGGTGACTGGAACCCGTCTAAGATGGGGTTTCGGGTTATAATAAGCCTATCCTTCTGTCTTTATTCATCTTTTTTTATCCTTATTAGACTAGTCGCTGGTCAGACTGGAATTAACAAAGCAGAGATTTCTTCACTTGGATAGGACTCCTCAGTGAATAGACCCCAGCATGCATTATATAAAGACTACTTCCCCTTCGAGCTGAGCCAAACCGACTTGACCATATACACTCTTCATATATATACCTACTGTCATCTTGACTCATTACTTCTATCCTCAACTCAAAGTCCCCTGGACACAGTATGAGCATGACATAGCAATCGCTGCAGACGACCTTACTGCCCACAGGCAATCTGGAAAACTGATATCGCTTGCATGTTTCCTCCTGCTCTGCCGATGCTGTTACCAGACACTCCCCCACAAAAATACTCAATCCGTCAAAATGAAACGGTCTTCCTTGGAAACTCGCCCGGAACTCCAATACTGCAAGAAGAGGTACGCCTTTCCTTCCAACGCCTGGAGGTCTAGATATTTAAAGTTGACATCTGACAAACAAGCCCGATATAGCATCTCCCGCGTTCCTGCGGATATTGTTGATCATGTCCCAGAGGAGCTGCTCATCACTCCAGATACTTTGCTCCTACTTCTCTACGAATCGATGAAGACTGGACAGCCCGTTCGATATTCAAACGTTGGAGTCGATTTGGCTCCAGGCATTGGGACGAATCCATCGTCTCGGACAAACAGAGATTGTCAAGTTCTATGATTATCCTCTGGAGAAGTCTTTTAATGCGCGCCAACTCTCGAACAACCTCTCGAAGGTTCTTCCGTCGCTTGCCCTAGAGCTTAACAAGCAGGAATTGGTTGCAAACTTGAATCAAGAGACCAAAGAAGTGGATTTAGGGCACTGGATACGCAATAGAATACAGACATCACGATAACAAAAACCCAAACGATACGTTCTATCCCTTGGACTGAGCCTTCAGCAAATCAACACAAAAAACACCCAACCGATGGGACGCACCCTACAAAAATGGCCCTGCCCATGCTGCGCTGTTCAGCATGGGCCTTGTTATTTATACCTGGTATCGAACTGCGCCCTCTGTATATCGATCCCTGGGAACAAAGGCCGGTGTCGGAGATTCAAAGGCCTGCACAGACGCCGACTTTGAAGGAGTCGCAGACGTTGTCTGTCTAAATTCAAGGGCGGCACTGTTTGTTGGTGAGATGAAGACGCCATGGAAGCATAAACTTGCACTCGCCTCCTTGGGGAACCTGAATCCAGGGTAAGCACGAGATATACTGAGTATATCAGAACAGAAGAAAGCTAATGTTTGGCAGACGCGGACCTGTTAATGGGCCAATCGACAAATATGCCACCGCATGTGAGCGAATTGTGTAAGTTCTGCATATCCTCTATTACATGTTCTCTGCTGATTCTCCCTAGGCGCGAAGATCCGAGTTTTGCACAGAAGTTTGGAACCCGTTTCCACCGCGATGTAAGTTCAATATATTCAGAGGAATGTTTATATATGCTGCCATTTATCTTGAATATATATACTCATTTTGGTCAAAATTACGTTCAGCTTTTTAGGATCGTCGAGGATGTTGAACTGGCTCTGAAACAGTATGGACCATTGGAAGTCTCATGACAATGAAGAAACCAGGTCTCATTTCCTGGCATCAGTAGGTGGAAAATTAGCCATGTTAACCTTTTTCAAAGCTGAGATTGCTAATGGTAACTAGTTGTTCAATAGAACCATCGGTCTTTTTGAAAGCATCATAATAAATAAGCCCGAAGGCTTGCTCGAAAGCGAGTTCAGTAAAGAAGGCAGGATTGATTACAAGGTCATTATACGGCAAAAACGAATCGAAGATCTCGTCGCAGTCGAATCCTTAATATCAGAGATCTTGGACGGAAAACACAAACTTATCAAAATGGGTTGGATATTAGCCCAAGGTACACCAGTATCGGGTCTAAAAACGTCCTGATGACCACAGCTCCTCTTATCTCATCGTGTAGTGGACGCTGAATTTCACGAGCAATAGCTCCGCTCATCCAAAGAAATCGCCAAGAACCGTCATGCCATTGGAAAAAGCTACCTTACCCAAGAAGAGAAAGATCCCTTGGAAATGCCAATCAGGTTCTTGCTGGCAACAAAGACAGCGATGCTAGTCTGTGCAAGCATATCACCCTTCCTATCTTTGAACCTTTCGACAAGGACAAATGTCATGGAAGGATACTATAACAAAGAATATGGCAATTCCGGGTAATATTCCAAGATCGTTAAGAAGACGATGACACTGTGGCTCCGGATCGAGATGAATGTCAACCCTCTTTACCACTAGGGCCCTCAAAGTCCTGCCGTTGAACTTGGGCCCGAATGCCACACCCTCCGAGGTAGCAAACAACATGACGAATTTCAGATTTGTTTTCAATGGACGGGGGTACATGGGATGTCGAGACTTCATGAGTATGTTTCTTAACCATGAGCTATCCAGCAGGATTTCCAGCAGAGCATGGTTGCTATCGAGGAGGACATACAGCGACTGGGCGCAGACACAACAGATGATGAATTTCGCGAGTTCCAATACCGCTTCCACATACGCTTCCAGGCACTTTCTGATCGTGTTGACGATCTTGAACAGGCAATGGAAGACATGGAGAATCGCGTGCAACGGACAGAAGATTATCTTCCAGGATCACCTTAGTCATGTACTTGATGTGGTCGAGGATGCAGAAAAGGCGGGACCGAACTTATGCCGCTGGCTCGAGATTAACGACTGGTTCGACATCATGTGGCCGCGAATACTTTGCCTAAGGAACAATGGATACGAAACTGAAAGAGTCCATGTCTCAACGCAAGAACTCAACCAGATTGTCAAGCTTGCCGTCCCCCGCCTGGGCTTACAGGTCAGAAAGAGGATCGCAGCGATGCAGCAGCAGCCCTGGCACAAAGCTCACTCCCACCAATTAATTATGTAGCAAGAAGCGGCTGAGGAGACGACCGGATGCGAGGGGTATACTACCTAGGACTACATGTCCAGACCAGAGATCTGTGGTTTCCTTCTAACTCTCTTCATCGCATTCATTCAGAAAACTCATCATTATCAACAAGGAAAAGCTGCACGGAGTCCCTTTGTAACAGAAAATGAATATGACTATTGCCATGTGGTCATTGAGTAGTTACTAGAGTCCTTTTCCTCTGGAAGTTTGGTACTTTTTGTAAGTCTATTATCTAATTGTATAGTATATATACTCTGTTAGAGTATCAGATTCCTGCATAAAGCTACCTCACCGATAGTATGTAGGTATCCTTTTGTCTAGCCAAGAATCCATCTAATTTTGATATTCCGTCCGTACAAAGGGAGAAAAAATATCGAAATTTATGTAGTTGCAGTTCTTCATGCAACAACCGCACTGGCCTCCTTCTCCTTTTTGTCCTCCACCTTCGACGACTCGATCTTGATGCCCGCGTGCAGACTCTGCAGCACCACGCGCAGCTCCTCCAGGAACTTGGTAACCTCGTCCTCTGTGCCGACCGTCACCCGCAGACAGCCCTCGCAGCCGTATTCCTTCCCCCGGAATCGGACCACGACACCCTTCTTCTCGGCCAGGGCCTCGTACGTCGCCAGCGCGGTGACGTTGCTCGGTTTCCCGCCCTCGCTCGCCGGCTTGTCCAGGATCTCGACGAGGAGGAAGTTCGCATCCTGCCCGCCCAGGAACCGGCCTACGCCGGGGATGTTCGGCAGCTCTCTCAGCATTCGCTCGCGCTGGGCAATGATCTTGTCTCGCTTCTGGCGCATGACGGCCAGGTTCTTCGGCGAGAGCGCCGCCTTGGCAAGCGCGCTCGTCGGGCTGGAGATGTTGTACGGCGCTTTCATGTTGTTCAGGAGACTGGCGATCTCAGGACTCGAGAAAGCAGCTCCCAGTCGGATGCCGGCCAGACCGAATGCCTTGCTCAGCGTCTGCATCACGACCAGGTTCGGCCACTCCGTCACCCACTCCGCCAGACTAGATCCCTCCGGCGCAAAGTCAATGTAGGCTTCGTCGACCACGACGACGCCGTTCCACGTCGGGTGTTCCAGCACCTTCTGGATGTCGTCCTTCCGGATGAGGTTCGCCGTCGGGTTCCCTGGCGAGCAGATGTAGACGAGCTTGATCCGCTCGTCCGCGGCAAGAGCCTCGTTGATCTTGTCCGGCTGCAGCTGGAACCCATTCTCCACGTCGAGCGGCACCTTGACGATCTCGACGTCGTTGACATCGGCGCTGACGCCGTACATACCGTACGTGGGCGGACACGTCAGGATCTTATCCCGTCCGGGGGCGCAGAAGCATCGCAGAAGCGCATCGATCGCCTCGTCTGACCCGACGCCGACGAAGACGTTTTCCGGCCTCAATTCCTTCTGTGTGTGGACGCGCGTGTTCCGGAGCCGACATAGTAATTCCTTGAGTTCGATCTGATGCCTTTTGCACCTCGCAATCAGCATAACCGCCTCGTTATGACTCAGATCATTTGCTTCCAGCAAACGCAAAGCAGTCTAGTCGACATCAAGACGAATGTACTACTACTCACGGATCAGGATATCGGTTCAGCCCCAAAAAGTCAACCTCCGGCTGCGACGACTCCTCCAGTTTGCCGCGCTCGTTCAGCGCCAGCCCGGGGCCGTACGCATTCTCGTTGGCGTCCAGCAGCACGTTCGTCCCATCGTCTTTGTAGTCACTTGATTCGTTGTCAACTAGTTAGCCGGACAATATTTAAGACGAACTCGCTCAATTGACTTGAATTGAATGGATTGGCTGAAGTACATACTCTCTCGCGCACCGATATGGCTGCAACTTGAGAATGTTCGGCCGTGCGCATTTCGACAGGTCGAACGGCGACTTTCGAGCCATGGCACTGCTGCTTCTCCTGCTTGCTCCGTGAATGATACTTTCTTTTTGGTCAGTCTGCAGGAGCTTTTCTTTCTTTTTTTTCTTTTCCCCCTTCTCTGACTTTTTCTTTTCTTCCCTCAGGTGGGGTGGTGGCGGGGAACGAATTAATTATCGACGATGACGGATGCGGTGCTCCGGAGGGAAGTCTGCCGCAGAGCTTTGACTCAGCGATCTCCACAACTGCCGGACTTAACGGTAATTAAATATCAGAAATAGGAACAAGACAGGTGCTCTGTGAAGACAGTGACTCATACAGCTGAAAGTCATTCCCCTCAAAGAAGTCAGAAACTCACTTAAATTTGTTTGAAATTGACGCATTGAAAATGCATTGGCTGCTGATAGGTCGTTCCGAAATCGGACAGGCACCGGCAGATATGCACCCTTACATCAATCTAATATCTAATTAATCTACTCGATGGTAAGCTATCCTTTTTATATGATACTTGCTTGCATTTTGGCGAGTTGTCCTGAGAACAAGGGCAGTGTTTACCGGTGAATCGATTATTGGCTTCGAAACTTCGATTTATCTCTTACACTATAATACAGCCTTTTTTTTTTGACACGCATATTAAATCTTATACAGTGGTCTCTGCAGACCATCGTCGATAATATACATGTATATACAAGATTGCTGGCCGCCCGGTACATGATGACCTCCTAACGCCTCAGATGCTTTTCATGTCTATGACATACCCGATCCTTCTTGAGTTTTGCAAAATGAAAGAAAACAAACAAAAGAAACCAAAGGAAGGAATGCAGTCAGATGATAACAAGATCCCGTCACGATAAAATTAATTCTCTTTTGACTTGCTTGTCTCGGAAGAGTGGGGAGATTCAGCGTCTGGCTTTGAAGAGCTGGTGTATTTCTCGCGCTTCTCGCGAAGGTAACGCCACGTCCGTCCAAAACCGGCGGTGAACAGCCCCTTGACGCTCTGCACTGTACTGGGCCAGCGGATCGTCTTTGTGATTGTCTGCTGAAGTTCTTGCTTCAGATGATCGTCCGCAGCGATCCTTTGCTCAAACGGACCACCTTGTCGCCGATGAATTCTTTCCGGGTCTTCATCACTGGTCTGTTCCATCATCTTCAAGAACTCCGCGCGCGGGATCTGATATCGCGCCTGGTACTGGAAATATAGCTTTTCACGGAATGCCTTGGGTAGTCGACGCACCATGTTCCCTCGCTTCACCGGGTCCATGTCCTGATTCAGCTTCACGTTCGCTTCCGGATCATCGATCCAGTCCGAGTCGGAGCAGCGATAATCGTTGAACGTGCAGTTGGGCAGATTCTCAATCAGCGGGGCATATAGCCGCCGGAAATAATCCATCTGCCCCTTAACGATGTTCTTGACTTTGCCAGGATCTTCGGCCGGTAGGGACATGCGGAGATCGCCCATATAGCTGATCCCGGCAATAGTGGTGTACAACTCGAACTCGGTAAATTCCTCGGGCAGCAGTAGAAGAGCTACCCGCAACGCGGACAGGAGGTTGACCTGGTTCGCCAGGCGCACTCTTGGATGATCACGGAGGATCTTCACCGGTTTGTGCAGACGGCCCGCGAGGTAGAGTGTGTCCCACTCGCTAAGATCTCTACATAAGGTATCGATGCTGACCACGCCGTACTTGATCAGTGTCCCATTCACGGTGACATAAGGGTTGAAATAGACGCCCGCACCCCATCTGTCCTGCATCTGCGAGACAACGTAGGAACCCAGCGACCCGAGTCCCGAATAATGGTCACGATGTTCGTTGAGGTTGAGCGAGTGCCAATGCTGACTGTGAGAAACCCCAAATATGAAGTCGATCATCTTTCCCTTCCCCTGCTGAACCGCCTGGATTGCCGAGGGGGGTGACGAGTGGCCTTGGCTAGATGCTGGTGCGTCGGACGTCTGCGTGAAGACCCCGGATCCATAGGCGAACGCGTATCTGATTGGAGCTCGAAATCTCCAAAGTATTTGGCGGAGAGCCTCCTTAAATTCCGCATCGATGACCAGATGCTGGTTCACACCAAAATTCTTCGAAGGCAGTTCCGAGAAATTGGAGATGGACAGATTCGGGTTTTCGTCCCAGTCCGGGAGAGTGTCGAGAGACGCGGTAGTAGAGAACGATGCTGTCGAAGACACAGAGCCGGGCCGACTAGGCGAGTCATTCCAGGGATTATAGATTCCTTGATCGGCTGTCGCATGAAGATTGGTGGAGGGGGTTCTGCGGGGAGGATGACGAGAGGCGGTGGAAAGAGGGCGGCATCTGGGACCTGCAGACCGCGCAGATCGTGAAATCGAGCACGCAGGGCATTTTGGCTGGACAGGAAGTTTCGGTCTAGGATTCGAAAGGAGAGGCTGGAGACATTAGCGATCATTGGCATGGCAATGGGCCTGATAATGGCTGGTGCAAGACGATGTACGATTTCTTACCGGGAGCTGTCGCATCGTTGCAAGGGAGGAATGAAAGACTGGACGGCACAGCGCAGGCTGCAGTTGGAGGAAGGAACCGTGGGATTTGGAGACGGACACGATCGATGGCTATATCATGGCGCTTGGAGCATTTGAAGCAAAGCGAAAGGCATGGAAGAGCGAGCCTGCGCCTGTCTCTCCACAGCTGGAACAACTGACGTACTATACCCGCCGGCGCCCACCGCGCCGTCCCGGCCGGACTTCGGTCTTCGGAGTTTGCGTCAGGTGACAATCACGTGACAGCGTCTCTCGCTCGCGTTCCCGGTGCCGCGCGCATCACGGCCGCACTCCGCCCAAACAACGGTGTAAACAGTGTATCTAGGGGCATCGTACTCGACAGCCACCACTCTGCGAGCCGCTGCTTCCACAAGAACAGCCACAGTCAGAGCCTCCTTTTCATGTAGTCTCGTGTGTGAGATGCCTCAATAACAATGGCCCACGGAATGCAGACGTTTGCCGCTCGCTTGGCGAGCTTCGATCTCGCGCTTTGGCCGGCCAAGCACAGAGCGTCGAGCGCCAAAGGCGTGAAGCCGATAACATGGCCACATAAAAGGCCGTCTCCGGCGGAGGTACCATTGCATTGTGTTGCTCTCTCCCTGAGTCTATCCACTGACAATCGTTTCACAGTTGGCGCACGCCGGTTTTTATTACAAGCCCTATGAAACCAACCCGGATAACACGATGTGTTTTCTTTGCGAAAGAGCTCTGGATGGATGGGAAGAGGACGACAACCCGATCGCGGAACACCTCAAGCACTCTCGCGACTGTGGATGGGCAATCATGATGAACATCCAGCAACACAGTTCCAACCCCGCCGAGATCGAGGACCCGACAAGCCCGGCAATTGTGGAGGCAAGGAGAGCGACCTTTGGCTCGTCCTGGCCTCATGACGGGAAGCCAGGCTGGCTCTGTCAGTCAGACAAGGTATTTTCCGATCTTTTTGCACGATATGAGGTTGTCAGTATTCTGGCTAACTTCTGTTGTAGATGGTGGCAGCCGGGTGGTATTTCTGTCCCACCGAAGAAAGTGCAGATTTGGCCAGTTGCGCATACTGTAAGCTGTCGCTTGATGGCTGGGAGCCCCAAGATGATCCTTTGTAAGAGCCGTTCGCTCTTTCCACATGTGAGAGAGATACTAACCGTCGCAGTGATGAGCATTATCGTCGGTCGTCGGATTGTTCCTTCTTCGTTTTCGCACTGCCGCAGGGGAAGAACGCGAAGAAGTCTTCTCGCTCGAAGAAGCCTCGTACTTCAAAGGCATCCCGCCTATCCACCCAGTCAACCATCACAGTGGCTTCTGAAGCTCCCTCAGTAGCTGATGATGCCATGGATCAAAGCATACTCTCTCAGTCGACAGTGAAGACCACGAAGAGTACCAAGAAAGCAACCAAGTCGAAGACTAAGAGAACAAAGAAGGACGATCCTGCGGAGGTCGGTAGTCAGATGGACGTGGACAGTATCGATGAGAAACAACCGGAGATCTCAAAACCGAAACGGGCGACAAGAGGCAAGAAAAGAGCTAGTGAAGAAATCAGCCAAGATCTGCAGAACGGGGAGGATGAGGAAACCTTCCATGCTCCAGAGCCGCCGGCAAAGAGAAGGGCTACCCAAGTTCGAAACAGCATGTCAGAACAACCTACAGATGGTTCAACTGAACAAAGCGTCTCAGAACAGAATGTCGCTGAGGAAGCGACTTCGCCAGTGGTGCCCAAGAAAGGTCGCAAGAATTCTAAGAAGAGTACATCGTCCAGGAACCGAAAAACTTCGGCCGCTTCGACCGCGACCAAAGCCTCTCTGAGAAGTCGCGTCCCCGACGACTCAGAACTCGAAGCGGCGATTGAAGCAGATTTTGACCGTGATGTATATGATGATAAGGGTGATTCTGCGCATCTCAAGGATGAGCCAGCGGATCAACACACTTCGAAACCTGCCAGGCAGTCTACTGCAGCTTCAGTCGCACCCATACGGGCGTCACAACAGGTTAATGAAGGCGCCCATTTGGAGCAATTAGATGGACATTATGGTGAAGAACCTGGTTCAGACGCTGTGGAAGTCCCTGCTACGAAGGCCAAGACGCAGAAGCCTGGGAAGCGGAAAACGACAACTAAGAAGTCGAAGAAAGAGGCTATATCCAGCCAAGATATACCTGAGGCTCCAATACCTACGAGCTCTGATGCCGTCGAGGAAAAACCCGAGAGCTTCGAAAACTTCCAGCCACATGATTCACTGGTGTCAGTAGAGATTCAGGTCAGACACCCAGACGCAGAATCTGACTTGGGGACGGAAAACAAACCAGCCCCGAGGAAGGCCAGCAAAAAGCCTGCCAAAGGCAAGAAGACGGCAAACACGAGCAAGGCGGACATGGAGTCTATGGCATCTGAAAACCAAGAAGAACCTACTGCCCGTGAAGAGACCAAGTCGCGCACCAGCGTGACTAAACGCGAGTCCATAGAGGTTGATGGACACGGTGATGAAGTCAGGAGCCAGAACGAGCGAGACCAGCAAGAGGCGCGCCAGTCGCAAGTGCGCAGATCGTCAAAAGTCCCCCCGAAGACTACTGAGAGATACAGCGATATTCCTCAAGAGCAACATCGTACTCAGAGTCTTTTGGGATCCCTGGCCCGTCAGAGCGATGCTCAGAAGAAGCAGGCTGAGACAGCGACACGTGCCTCGTCTGGAGATAAGTCGCAGTCAGGCCCAGTTCAGGAGAGTACACCATCTCCGTCGCCACAGTCCTCGGACGCTGAGAACCGGCCGCCCTCCACGAGGCCCTCCGCATTGAGACCTCCCGTACTATCACCGTCAAAGACACAGACGATCCGTGTTCCCATTGCAACGAGTACGCCATTATCACAGTCCAAGCGACATGCAAATACAGGATACTTGACCTCATCCTATCCATGGACTCCAGTGGACATTGAGGAGATCATTTTTGGTGCAACGGACGACAAAGAAAACAGAGATCTCCTCAGCATAAAAGAGACTCTGACGAGCCCAGAGAAAAAGATGACTGTCGAGGAGTGGATCTTATGGAACGCGAAGAATGGAGAGGAGAAGCTTAAACGAGAATGTGAAAGGCTAGTGAGCTTGTTTGAAAGGGAAGGGGGCGAGCGATGAGAGTGCTTGAGGGCATTGAATGTATAGATTGATTTGGTTTCGGTGGGTTTTTTTTTAACCTGGTGAACGGCGTTTTCTGGTTTGGGGGCTGTACATTTTGGGAGTTACAATCTTTGGATATGGTTTTTTTGGAGGTCTTTCCCTCCTTTGAAGGCATTTTAATAGGAATGGGAAACCATTGCCGTCTATTCTCCGGAGCAAAATTACCAAAACGCCATGGGTATACCGTAACAAAAGCCATCATGAATAGACACCCAATAGACACCCAGTCAAGTCCCATGCATGCAAAGAACACACAACACACCCAACCCGTCAAGATATGATACCCAACCTTCCTTCCCAACTTTCGTCTTCTTCTTTTTTGATCTCTTTCCGTCTTTCTTTTCGCTTCCGCCTCCTCTCTTCTCGTTCTCTGGCTTCCTGCTCCTCCCTCTCCTTCAACCTTGCCCCTAGATCGAGCTGCCACGCCTTCCGATTCTCCTCCTCCTCTTGTCGTTTCTTGTGTGCCAACCATCGCAGCCGTGTGCGGACATCCTCAAGAGTGGCACGAACCACCTCGCCGCTCTGGCCTGTAGCGATCAAATGCTGCTTGCTGTTCAGATGCTCCACCAGTTGCACGTTGTCCTTGAAGGTAAGGTCGCAATCCGGACAATAGAATCCCGCTCCTCGACCCTTTTTACCGACCGCCGCACCCGCAGGCACGATTGTCGTCTTCCCTACCATCGACGCGACATCGAGCCGCTGCGACCGCGACGTGGTCGCCTCCAGACTGCTGTAGTCGACGGGCGGGTGCCATTTCTTGCCGGCGAGCTTGGCCTCATATCGTGCCTTGGCTTCCGCTTTCGCTTTCGCCTCTTCTTCTGCTGCCTTTTTGGCGTATTCTTCGCGGTCCCATTTCTTGCGGAAATCAGTGTCGGATGATGCGGTGCCGTAGGCAGAGGTCCTTGGTTTGTCGGACATTTTGACGGTGGTTTCGGAGGGAGGTTCTAATTCGAACCCCGACTGCGGGAGTGATACGGGGGGAGTTTCAAAAGTAGTGGGCTCAAAAGACTTTCTAAGACAAAAAAGTCCAGGAGAGCCCAGCTATGTGTATTTGTGTTGGTTAAGGCTCAGCAGATCGATAGGACATATTTCGTGATGATTAGAGCTTGGACGTAAGGCAAGACGGAGCTTTGCTGCGTGGAGTGGCGGTGGCCCGTGCTCCGACGGCCCGCCAACCACATGCGGCGAGGCAAGTTGCTATTTAGGTAACTGCTAGATATCCTGGAGATGTCTCACTACGGATGCTTTTGGCCCTGTCCTTCTGTCAAAAGGGGCGATCTCGAGCAGTAATAGCTGCAGCCTCTTCTGACTCTCTATTCTTAGTGTTGTAGCCTGAAACATTTCTGTTTCTGATACTCCTCTGCATCTGAGTGGCTGACCTGTATCCCGCACTTTGTTTTAGCATCACTCCAACAAAGGTGTATTTATAGGCAACAGTATTTTCATCGCCTTATATATAATCCATCACGATCCCAATATCCCAAGACAGACTCTCAGTAACGGAGAGCTTCGATGATGTGTTTTGGATAACATGTCCGATACTCAAGCTCCCAAGGAAAATGGCATCGCACCAGGCGTCGCGGTAGACAGTCTGATGCGGCTGCCCACGGAGCTCCATCTGCATATTGCCTCGTATCTTCCATACCCAGACGCATTGGCTCTGAAGCACACCTGCCGCCACTTCTACTCCCTCGTCTATACGGGCGTGCATCTCAAGGTGGACTGGCTGGTAGAGCGATATGAGAAGAAGCTCGAATGTCCGATGGAGAAGTGCTCGTTCCGCACCGACGAAGCGTTCTGCAACTGGCGGATCAGGAGGATCATGGAGCGGCGCAGACGGCATTTAGAGTGTCGCCCAGGCAGGGGTGGTTGTCTGGTCATAGAAGGTAGAAGCTGCCATCGAGGCATGGTGCCGGTCTGGCTGAAGAGAGAGGGTCGAATCAAACTCTTGGGGAGCTGGGCTTTTTGGAGACATGAAGGTGAGTTCCTGATTCTCACTTCATGCACGAAAGGGAACCCTTGTGTCTGCTTTCAGGCTCCCATATAATTGGAGAGAGCGCGTCCTATCATGTGACTGACTCTCACATTTGCCTTAGTGCTGGTCATAGGCCTGCTTTTTCTCTTCTACACGCTGCTCTGGAACCTTCTTGTCAGGTACGTGGACACGGTATGTCCCGGACTGTCAACGCGTGACTGAACGCCTGCTCTTTCAGGTATTTGTTTACAACGCGACCTGACTTCAGAATCTTCCTACCTTCCTCACGCTATTCCATCCTATGGTGATGAGACTTCTTCCCCCATCTAAAGGATAACTTTCTCTTATCGAATCTTCTTCTGCTATGACAGAAGATTTTTCCAAGTGTCACTTCACTTGCTCATATCAAAACTAGTCCCGGCCATTCGTCATGCAGACCGTTAAGATGAACGACCTTCTCTCGTAAGTTTTTATGACACCAGAAACCTCAATGTTTCTGACAGCCGTGCCTCTAGCTACTTTGAAGGCCCAATAGTGACCTTCGTTGTCGGTGATGGCGACTCACGGCGTTTCTGCATCCATAGACGATTAGTTTCCTCCTCGTCAGTTATTTTCGAGGATCTGGTCAATTCAGTCAGTTTCGAGGATTTGGTCAAGGACTTCAGACCAAATTATTCCCCAGAAATAAGATTACGAGACGTCTGTCCCAGTGTATTCGCAATTTTCGCCCATTGGCTGTACAAAGGACAATTCCCAGACGTGGAGGAAGATGCATCCACCCCGTCGCTTCTTAGTCTCTACCTTCAAGCCTTTGTGTTTGGCGATGCGTACTCTGTCCTGCCTTTCAAGCAGTGGAGCTCTGACAAGATCAAGAAACAACTTTCCAATCCTGGTTTGCCAGCAAAGAAATTTGTGAGAGAACTTTTCTCCTACGGGGAGGTGACGAAACCACTCCAGGAAGTACTCGTGGAAGCTGTTACTCTGCAGATACACGATCGTACAATTCCCCAGGAATCCGACGCTGTGGAGTGGCTGAAGAACACTCGTCACGAGATCCCCAAATTCTCTATGGACGTGGCCGAGTCTTTGACCCGCAGGATCCTTGGATCGCCGTCTGCCGTGAATGCACAGGATAATGGGTCCAACTCTGGACTTTTGACGCTGTGCAGCGAAGATACTGTTAGCGAACAGACTGTCTCTACATCTACGGTTGACGTTCCAATGGCCAAACGGGGCACAAAGAGGACTGCTGTGAGTCAGAGCATAAACCGTGTTAGCTGCTTATTGAAACTAACACCTTTATTACTCAGGATGATATGGAATCCGGCAGCTCGAGTGGAACTAAGGTTAAGAAGGAGAAATGCCTCGACCAAAGCGACAGTGAATCGGAGAAGAAATGATGGGTAGCCGATGATTGAGCAAATACCACACCAAAGTCATCATATCTTGCAAGGAAATTACAGGAGGGGTACAACTGGAGAAGGAATGGGATGTCAAGAGTCATTTAGGAACCTACACTAGGGAGCATAATTGATCGATTTAGCAGTGAAGCCGTGGATGGAACGTCCTGTTGAGCAACATAGTTGGACAAAATAAGAAATTCTAAGTCGAAAATACTTTCTTCTGTGCCTTCGCGGCTGTCTCTTCACGAATATGGGATCTGCATAGAGCTCTTACCTGGGTCGCAATGGCAAATGATCCTCGGACAAGACACCTCGAACAAGTCGAATCTGTAGCTTCCTTTTTTTTTTATTCTTTCTCTTTTTCTTCTCTCTCTCTATCCCTCTGTCTCTAGAAACAGCTGCTGTGAAGCAGGTTGAATTCACGAATTACAGAAAGCTGATCGCCCAGTGAGTTCTGCACTATTGACAAGTGAAGCTTCTCAGTGCTTGTTATGTTACTACTCTTTTGGGAAAGCAAACATATCCAATATGCGTAGGTCTTGGGTGAACCCCTATTAACATTGTCGAGAAGTACACGGAGAGTGACTGGACCTTCCTTATTCATCCTAACTCCAGTGACAGGATTTCTTCTCGTTCACCTCTTCACCTCTTCCCTATCTACACGCGAGTTTTCTTTATTCCTGTCACTACTTCAGAAGCCAAGCCTGTTGATAGAACTGCTTCTCCGCCCTCACTTCTCTCCAACTAAGGACATTTTATACGGAGCATTCGTCCTGTGCTCTCATCAACTTTCGTCTCTACCACGCAGATATCCTGGACCAATTCTTTTGCATCTTGAAACCAGTCTGTCTAGGAGACAGTATTCCTGCATCGATATTTCCGCTCACTAACACGAGAAAAAAAAAACTCAGCAGCCATGAAGTTGAAAGCTATCGAAAATTCAATCGTCAGGTAAGCTTTTACGCTCTATATGCGGAACTTTCGTTTTGATACTGATATATATAAACTCTTAGCAATTTCAAAGATGGCACCGTTACCGTGATCGTTGGGACAGGCGTTGAGAGAGAATCTTACAACATTCACCGGAGCCTACTTCGCTCGTCGTCTCCCGTTTTTGAGGCGATGATAAATGGCCCTTTTAGAGAGGGCAAGCAAAATGTGATCAGACTTCCCGATGATTCTTCAAACGCCTTCGCAGTCTTTGCTCACTGGCTGTACAGTGGAGAGTTGCCGGAGGAAAGTGAAGATGACTCGGGAGCGTCGCTTCTACAGGTTCATCTTGAAGCGTTCGTCTTTGGCGATAAGTACGGTCTCCTGACCTTCAAGCAAATGAACTACAAAAGAGTCCTGGTTGTGCTCAAGGGCTATTTTTGGCCTCCTGTCGAATTCATTGAGCTGCTCTACTCCTACTATGGTGTTACTTCCAAAATCCAAAACTATTTCTTCGACCATTTCACCTATGTCGTTTCAAATTCTCGTGCACTTCCAACAGACGTTGAATGGTTCAAAGAGGTCGGTGGATGCGTCCCTGAGTTCGCCTTGGCTGTGGCGACAGCCATGGTTGAGAGACGCATGATGCACCGTCCTTCTCCAGAGGATAATTCGGGCTATGAATTTTGTGACCCCCCAAAGCGATATATAAAGGCAGGAGGCAGAAAGAGAGCTGCTGTGAGTTTGAAATCATAAATTTCGGTATCAAGTTACTATTAAGCAGTGCTGACGACAAAATGCTAATATTTAGCCGGTGTCTGAGGTGAAAGCAAAGTCGGTGAAACGAGCTCGCAAGAACACCTCATCTGAGATCGATTGGGACTAGCTGCAGTGCTTTCATCTCACTTTCAGGATAATAGACCATCGTCGAACTCTACGGGAATTAGTTACAGGGCCTTCAATTTACATTCAGGTCAAGAGCAGATAGCATAGCTGGAATCCAGTCAGAGATCTATTTCAAAATAGCACCTTCAAGGTCTGTAGACATATCATCATAATCGCCTCGATACGAGCTATCGTAACGTCCTATACATGGATAGACGAGAATAGCACTCATAGCAGCCAGATCTAGGACCTCGACATCAGCAGCTCGAAGCTTCTCGCCTATATTATAAAATTTACAGTCTGAATCGAAAGTCATATTATCAACCTACAACATCCTTGGGAGAAAAAAATCCGGTGGTCAAATAAATATTCACACCTTTTTGAAGAATTGTAAAAGTTCGTTTTTGTCTCGTAGTTTGGAGATAAGAGTTTCCAGCTTGTTGACAGGAAATGGCCTATACGGAGTACTGCAATGTTTATTACCCGTCTGGGAAGTCGACGTCCAAACTTTAGGACATAGAAGAAAAACATTGGAACGAGGTCCCAACAAAAAACTACGGCATAAATATCTGAATTCTGTCTTCTACTCTTTTTTTCCTCCCTTACACTTTAATGTGCAAGGCATACATTGATAAAGATCGCATCGTTTTTAATAAGGCATTTTGCATTTTGAATTTTGCTTTTTGACGTCATGGCTACGCCGAACCATCGTACAGTCATCTATGCTGAACTCAGTTTGGCAGTTACTCATCAGAATGGAAGTTGATTATACGAGTTTAGGATCCATAGTGATTCACTATACGTCATTTCTGCACTGTTTATAATACCCCATTCTTTCTCATTGCGGGGTGTAGGATTATATCTTTCGATTATAGATAACAACATACTCATACTGCTTGCTTGCTTGTTTGCGATCGAATTTAGTTTTCATCACTATCAAGTAGATCATACTTATCATACAAATTCTCTCTCATCATATTACAACTACCATGTCCAGCACCATCAAAACCAGCGCAGGCACCCAGCCTATCGACCCCTACAAAGCCAAAAACTACGAAAACCCGCCCTTGCAGGAGAAGGTCGACGACCTCGTCAAGTTCATCAACGAGGTCAAGTACGGCATGCTGACGACCAAGGCGTCTGACAGCGATCTGCTGACGTCGAGGTGTATGGCGTTGGCGGGGACGGTACGTCAAGCATTTATAGTTGTCTTTCATTTCATTTGAGTACAGGAATGTACTGACGTCTAGGTGCTGGTGCTAGGAAAACGGCGGAATCGACCTAATCTTCCACACGAACCTCTTCTCGGGCAAAACGATGGATCTCACCGTGCACCCGACCGAGACGAACATGTCCTTTCTCGACCCTACTTCCGGGTCCTGGGCCTCCGTGTCCGGCACCGCCTCCATCCTCGCTGACCAGGGCACCGTCCACAAGTACTACTCTCCGGCCTTGAAGGCCTGGCTGGGCGATCTGGGCGATGGCATCCACGACGGCGGGCCCACGGACCCCCGTATCGGCGTCATTCGTGTAGAGGCCAAGTCGGCTATCTATTCCATTGCCCGGAAGGGCATCATTGGCAGGGCGGTTGAGACAGGTAAAGCTGTAGCTACGGGGGATACGCCGGCCGTCAATAAGATCAGGGAGCTGAATGAGGAGGAATTGGCTGAGTGTGAGTTTCCTCTTTTTGCGCCTTTCGTTCTGTTTTGATGAGTGTCTCCATGTTGGGAGAGAATTCACTGATTTGTGTGCAATCCAGGGCGTCGGACTCATAAGTAATAAATATCTGTCAACAGATGTAAGAGCACATTGCATAATGCTGAGGTCGAAGTGTAACTCTGTCTTTATTCCTGTCTATCGTGTATTGTTGTACATACATATCGCATGAACCAATTTCCCTTTCCTTTCCCACGGGTATCATACTTTGTTAACTGCCCACAACTCCAGAAAAAGAAAAAAACAAAGTCAGGATCTGGAAAAATAAGTTCTGTGTGCACCAGTGCTTTCCTGCTGGATGTAAACAATAAGAAACTTTCGACAAGTGTAGACCGATCGATTTCACAATTAGATCTGTTATACTGTTAGAATATGCAAACGCTATAGGGCAGGCAAGTATCGTACCAGTCTGAGAGGGAAACGGGGAGGAACGCGTCCATCGTGAAGGAGCATCGCGATCGCTTTCTGCGGAGTCGACTGCAGTTTGCGGTACGCCTCGCGAATGTGCCTCGGCTCAATCGGAGTCCTGCCCTCCTCAGGAGGATCAAACAGGCCGGTCTCGCGCTTGCGCTTCTTGGGGTTTTCCCCGTTTCCACTGTCACCGCCTCCACGGCTCTTCTTTTCACGATCCTCGCGATCCTTGACCTTCAGAGCCTCTTCGGTGAGCGTCTGGACAATCTCGAAGGTAAGGAAGCCGAGAATGTCGACGATATCATCGTTGGGCTTCGACTCAGTCACGACACCAAATCCAGCCCACTCGCGAAACCGCTTGCCCTTGCGGAAAGTGAAAGAAGCCTGACGGCAGTCGGACCAGAACACGTATTCTTCCTTGGTCATGTTCTTGGTTCGTTCATCAGCTGTCGCGAGACGCTGGAGGGTGGCATAATTCTGCTCCTCTTCCTCCTCGTCTTCCTCATCTTCCCTCTCGGGTACCTGGACAGAGTAAAAGCTGTTGACATCCCAAGGCAAACCAACTTTCGCCCTCTTATTCTTGGGTTTCGCGGCAACGTCCTGCGGTCCGGCGACGCCAGCGCCAGCCAACGGATCATCAGCTGCGGCAAAATCAGCAGCATCAGCCCCAGCTTTGTCGTCAGAGTCTTTGACATTCTTGCGAACGTCTTTCCAGGACAGGAAAGTTCGAAGACGAGAAACTTTCGCTTTGTCGTGGCGAATGAGGAAAATCAGATCGTCGGTTGAGATTGAACGGTTACCACGACGGGTAGCCAAAGCAGTGCTGCGAGTGAGCTGAGCACAAGTTAGCAATTTCTCATATCCACCCAGACAAGTTAACAATCGGTGAAGACGGTACCATTTCAATAACCTGCTGGCGCACAATCTCCTCGATCAGAGTAGTCGTTTCTGCAGACGGTTCGGCTGTCTCTCCAGAGACGAACATCATCTGGTCAATGGCGTTAATCAGTCTAGCTCTAAACTCGTCCATTGTTTCGGTGTCTTCCGGGGCCTGGCCTGATATGGACTGTATCTCCATCCTGTTCTCAAGTTGAAACGAAGATCCCGGCTCGTTGGGATGTGCATGAGTGGAAGTCATGCTTCGAAACATGGGTGAAATGTACCAAACTTGTGATGTGAAGGTAAAGTGCAGTTAACAAGTAAACATAAGGGCGGGCACCATCATAACGATCCTTATGTGACAGAGAAAAAGTGTAGAGTAGCGAAGTTGCTGAAATCAGAGCCTTCAGCAAGAAAGCAGAGTCTCGCGAAGATGTCCAGGACTAGATCTAACGTGTTCTGTCGCGTCTCTGCGCGTCCAACTGAGGCAATGAAGGGAAGCAGATATGGAAACAAACATTCGCCCAAAACAAGACAATGTTGCGAAGTTCTGACATATGTCGAATGCAGACGGTTCGAATCCGTCCAAGCACAACACAGTCGTTAAAGCTACCGACATGTCTCACGCAGATTTCAAGAGCAGGACGCATATGGATGGAAGTCCCATCCAGACACCCGGAAGACACCGATAATCTTTGAATTGAAGATAGATTCCCGCTTACCTGCTGGATTTCTTGACGGTACTTCGGGGAGAATTCCGTCGTCGACATGATGACGGCTTTTTAGGACGATTCCTCCAGGGAAAAAAAAGTTCCAAAAATCCAACAATTTATGACAAATGCACAAAGTATTCAACAAAAGACAGGTATACAGCAGGAAGTGTTCTTTAGATGAACATATCAATTATCAAGAAGGCGCATTCGGTTGAAGATGATGGTGCTGCGGAACATGTGAATAAGGTCTGCGGAAATTCATTGTTCCGCCCCGATCAATAGGCCTGCCTAGTGTGCAGCGGGGATAGCGGGGAATTTGAAGCTTTCACCAAAGACTCCGGACCTTTTTCCCACAAGCATTAATTGACATTTACAGGAGGCCCAGCTGCGGTTAGGATTGTCAAGATGTTGTATCTTGTGGGATTGGGTCTGGCAGACGAAAAGGACATTACTGTCCGAGGCCTGGAGGTTGTCAGAAATGCCGAAAGGGTCTACCTGGAAGCATACACGAGCATCCTTCTCGTTGATAAAGAGAAACTAGTGCGTCCTTCCCAAATGGCAGATTAAATCCTCTCGATTGCCGTCTTTACAACTAACTGATTTCATGGTTTATTAGTAGGAAGCCTTTTATGGACGGCCTGTCATTGTCGCCGACCGCGAATTAGTTGAAAGTGGCAGCGACGAAATTCTCAATGGCGCCAAGGACGTGGACGTCGCTTTTCTTGTCGTCGGTGATCCATTTGGGTATGCTGGATAGTGGTTTTGTCAAGTTGATCTATACAGAAGCTAATCGTGCGCAAGGGCGACCACGCATACGGATTTAGTCCTGCGGGCTCGCGAACTCGGCATTCCCACCAAAACGATTCCTAATGCCTCGATCATGTCGGCGATTGGCTGCACCGGCTTGCAGCTATACAACTTCGGCCAGACGGTGAGCATGGTGTTCTTCACGGAGACGTGGAAACCGTCCTCCTACTACGACCGCATCAAGGAGAATGTCAAAATGGGATTGCATACGCTCGTTCTGCTGGATATTAAGGTCAAGGAACCATTGCTTGAGAATTTAGCGCGGGGAAGAAAGATATACGAGCCTCCACGATTTATGACTGTTGCGCAATGCGCACGTCAGATGTTGGAGACTGAGGAAGAAAGGAAGGAGGGTGTCTATGGGCCTGACAGTCTGGCGATAGGCGCTGCACGAGTAGGAGCGCCAGACCAGAAGTTGATCGCTGGGACTCTGAAGGAACTGACAGAGGTAGACATGGGAAGCCCTCTTCACAGCCTGGTGCTCCTGGGAAAAAGAACCCACGACATGGAAAAGGATTACATTGAAGAATTTGCTCTGAATAAGGAGACATTTAACGCTGCCTGGAAGAAAGGATACACAGCAGCCTCATAGGAATCCTGCTGTCGAGTGTTTGGGCAATATTAAATGTGGGGAGTTTATCTTCATTCTTCTCTTCACCACAACTGCCGATATCACTTTATGATAGATTAAAAAAGTTCAAAGATTGACAGCCAATAATTAACGAAAATTCAGTTCAACTAAGTCCAATGATATGGGAGTATGCCGCATTGCACGTGACTGCCGCTATTGGAGCCGAGATCTATCACAATCACGAAGGTTGAACCAACTATATTTTCTTTGTGTACCCATTGTCGACAGTTATGATATATTAGCTAGACTATGTGTGGACGACACCTCTGGACTTATTTGTGTCACTGAGAAGGAACGTCATTGCCGATTCTGGCATCAAAAGGTTCCAACCGGTCTTAGCCCTCCGTTGAAGACGCAGGCATTATGAGCCTTTGAATCATATACGACCCTGATTGTTTGCTCCAGGTTGCAAGTAGACATACTTCCTATCATCCCAGAAAAAATGCCGGTTTACAAACTCCATGGCTTTCGCTGGCCGCGGGGCGGCATACCGAGTATTCGAGTCTTCATTGTTCTCAACAACCTCGACGACGCGGCCGCCGAGTATATCCAACAAAAGCGGACGTCCAAGCTAATTTTGGACGCATTCAAACGCCACGACCCTCAAATCATGGAGCATCTCCCTGGACTGCAACTTATTGAGCAATACGATCCTGACGACATCAGTGATCAGGCTGTCAGTCAGCCTTATGCATATGTCGCAGACAGCGTCACCATCCTTCCGGACAGTGAGAGACCGGCCAATGGCCTCAGCAAAAGTATTGAAGCCCCATTGGACAGCGCTGCTATCTCCCCGCAAGCCTGGGACGCATTGGCCGAACTCAGGGACAAGATCGCCCCAGGCCAGGAGATTGGCTGGTGGATTGTTTACAATGGCGACCCCGAGCGGTGGTATCCCGGAATGGAAGAAGACTTGGAAGAAAACAGCTATTCTGAAAGCGATGTGACTTCACAGACGGGACAGTCAGATACTATGGTAAGTCTTGCATCTGTCGCAGTGTGACAATGATTCATTGCAGACACTGAATGATACTCGCAGGAGCCTCCGAAGACACCGAATTTGAAGAAAAAGAGGTCTTTTTGGCGAAGAGATGGTTGACGCACCGCATTCATTGAAAGTGTGGTACACGACGCTCATATGATTAAATAATACTTGCAGTTCTTGACAGAATTTCGAACAGAAGGTGCGGACGATGTTGATGAATTGTTGGATATGCGATATGTTGTCCCACGTTGACCGGGTCAGCGCAGTGATTTTTCGCCATTCTGACATATTTATGGTTTTATGACACATAAATTCTATTACGAAGACGGGACTTTTATAACATTTCCATGATTATGTGAGCTCAAATTTTGTTATGTCAGGGGACTTGAGGGTGGTACCGCGCAGGAGTCGTATTCTACACATGTGCGTGACCCATGCATCACTACTGTGTCGATAACCGGCCAATCAGCCTAATACCATTATCTCCACCGAAATACAAGACAGACCACTTAATTAACGAAGAAACACACTGGTTTACATCCTAACTACTGCGAATGCTTCTGTTATGTGAAGATTGCCAGCCGCCCAATGAAAGGCGGTGAGATCCGGCAATATCGGAATCCCGCAATCAAGCTCCAGAAACTCCGATCAATCGAAAGATGCGACGCTCTCAACAATAATCTCATCGCAAGGAGTGCCGGCCGATCGGGAAGCTGTCGGACTCTTGCGGCTTGCTTTGTTAACGGGATGGTCCTCTCCTTCATTCTGATACAGAATCGCCAGTGCGTGGCCCCTCCGTGACCCGACCCCTATTACCAAGTGCGATTGCTAATCCGCATGTACCTCCAGAGGCAAGACGCGCTTGGCGAAGTGGTATGCACCTTACACTGTAAGTGGCTCTGAGATGGTGAAGATGTGTTATAATAGTCAAATAAATGCTGATGACTTCTTCCTTTGCAGGACGATGAGAAAGTAAAGCTCAAGGGCGAGGTCCGTTTCCGTTCCGTCAAACCCTCTAACCCCAAACCACTACATATCCATTCCTGCCTTCCGGACACCAGCTGAACTGAACTGAACTGTTGCTATCCACAGGTCCACCGCCTCGTCGCCCCCCGAGACCAAAAGTATCAGTCCAACTTTGTCGAGTTCAAACGCAGCACCAAGATTGTCTACCGACGGTATGCGGGTCTCTTCTTCTGCGTCTGCGTGGACGCGAACGACAACGAGCTGGCGTATCTCGAGGCGATACACTTTTTCGTCGAAGTCTTAGATCAGTTCTTTGGGAATGTGTGTGAACTAGATCTGGTTTTCAATTTCTACAAGGTGGGTTCCAGGTTCACCCTCTCCTTGCTCGCCGTTCTCCGGTAGAAAAGAAAGAAGAATGCTGTGGCTGACTGGATTTCTTGCCAGGTCTATGCCATTCTCGACGAGGTCTTTCTTGCTGGTGAAATTGAGGAGACCAGCAAGCAGGTTGTTCTGACCAGACTCGAGCACCTGGACAAGCTCGAGTAAGGACACGACCTGCCAGGCAGGTCCAACGCAGTGTACAGGGAAACTGGCTAAATTTGGTATTGTTCGAAATTCCTGATATCCATGCATTTGAGGTGGATTCAACAAATGAGTCACCGTTCGGAGTTGGGGAGTTTGTGTTATACTGTTCAGCTGTTTTGTATCGATGATGCCTTCATATGGAGCGCTTTTTTAGCACGGTATTATACTAGTCAGGATACATAGCATATTATGCCCTGGATTGCAACCGATACGGACTTTTCTCTCTCTCTCTCTCTTGCCATTTTACTTGATTTTACTTTCTGCTTTCACTATTACAATCAGGACGCCATAATCGAAATTGCAAGATAGTGGCCGACGAGAGTCAAAGAGAGATGGAGATACGAGTCAGTGTCTAACACCCCTAGCCGGTTCCGAATATTCCGTACAAAGCAGAGACGGAGGACCCCAGTTTTCGATTAAGCCCCAAAGGAATTATGGTTAGTACGTCCATCGATCCTTATTTAAGCTCAGATAACCATGATGATAAGATCTAAAATAGATCTGGTTGGCATTGCACATTCAAATTGTTACCATCAACTTCCAACTGCTGTTAGTGGTTAGTGAGCGATTGGGTGATTTGGGTTGCAGGTGAGGTGATGAATGGCGCAAGGCGCTTTTATCTTGGCATGCCGGCACGCGACACACCAAGCCCCGAGGAGTCATTATTTTAAGAGCGCGGGGAAACCCAACTCGAGAACAGTTCCTGAGTAAAATAAAAAAGATCACTGCGAAAAGGCAACGACGAAAAAGCTACATCCCCGACAGAGACCCTTTGCGGAAGATTGTCGCCTTGTGGAGGAGAGGGAAACATCGTTTCGGACACCATGTGATTTGCCTGCCACGCATTATATGCACTCTTGATAACGACCGATCCTGACTGAGCGTCGAGCAACAGCCGCTATGAAACTGAGAACCGTCATTCGATCAAGTCGCTCTGCGAGACGGAATTGCTGGGTTGCATTGTCGTCTACACCATGATTTCGAAGACCCGTCGGAAGGACTACCGGACAGTTCACGATCGCAGGATGAAGAGGGGGAAACAGGGAATCAACTGCGGTGAAGGGCGGCTCGAGCGAGTTCCGTGACTGGTCGACGACTTTGTTCTGCGCTTCTGCTATCAAGGTAGCATTGCAGGAGGAACAATGGACCAAAATCTGAAGATCTTGCACTCACATGACGGCCTTTTGTGGGGGTTCCGCCAAGATGGCGACATGGAGATACTCACCCTCGACTTATGAGAAGACAGCACGCTTCTCGAGGAGAGAGATAAGGTCGTTTCCCGTCAGCAGTTACCTTCGACTTCTTGGCATGATTGACGATCACCTGGAAGACTCGAGGCCTCCCTGAACCGAGTGCTACACAACGCGGGACGGAAAACCGCGCGAACAACTCGGCTGCTGAAGCAGGCTCTCTGCTGGACGAGATTATTATCGCTCACAGAAAGAGTCCTACTTAACAGTGGAGAGGGCTCTCTTGTGCTCTTCCATGTGCTCTGATCCGCGCCCCACGCACCGTTTCAACCTGCGCCGTCCTGACCCAGCCTGGCCAATCAGCTCCGCCGCGGCGAAGCACACTGCCGCAGTCTCCTGAACGGCGGACGGAACCGCCAATCGCCACGCCCGCGTCCCTTTCCACGACGTTCGCCAGTCCACCATGCTCCCAAGGACACGCACTCCCGACGTTGCTTTGCGTCTGCATACGCGGCCTACCTAATCTTCATCACGCACGGGACGGCAGGGCACGATTGAGTTCAGAAATAGAATGCTGCAGATGCATCGTTTGGCCCAGCTTAGCACCAGCCGTGCAGTGCACGCCATCATTAGCGAGGACACTGGGATCTGAAGCCCCGTTTCTTCCGCCTGCTTTCCCACTAGGCTTCAGATATGAACGGTCTGGTCCGATTTACGGAGTGCTGTCTGTCCCAAGGACCCTCTCCACTATTTCGGTTCCCCCTGTTAATCGCTCCCTGCTGCGTCATACGTTGCGCCAAGCCTCCTTTCGCATTGGAAATTGGAGCGATGAATAAGAGGATGAGCACAACACGAAAAAAAATAGTCTGCGGGGAGGGGGAAGACTACGCCTAGATTAATACATGGCGTTTTGAGCTGACAATCCTTGGCATGCAACGTCAGTGCCGGTATCGTCACCATTTCCATCGGTTATTTATTCGTTCATATCGACCTTCTGGCTCGATCTCGAGTTATTTAAATAGACTACGTCTCCAAAACTGATCATCAGTCGTTCCTTCGCATTCTGAAACTTGCTACAGAAATCACTCGTTCATGTTCTGATCATTCCACTCGTTGGAACTGCGTAAATCCTGTTGTATATATTGTTATCTTACCACGTGCCACCTCTCGATCTGTAACTACCCTCACCATCATGACCTTGAGGCACGCAGACACTCTGCAACCGCAGCCATGGACCGATATTTTCACGGATGACACGTGCATCGATCGGCGGAAGTGTCACCGCACGGTGCCAATGAAGGTGCTGGCCCTGGGTGTGGGACGGACCGGAACTGCTTGTACGATTATTATCTATTCCCATCACCTCTCTGATCATCATGCTGATTGAGTATTGGAACCAGCCCTGCGTCAGGCGTTGCAGAGACTTGGATATGTCAACACCTACCACATGATGTGCGCCAGCGTCGAGAATCCTCCAGACTGTCTCATGTGGCTCGACGCACTGTGCGCCAAGTACGATGGCGTTGGCGAGTTTGGGCGGAAGGAATGGGATATGCTACTGGGTGACTGCCAGGTACGATCGATCCATGGTTTCTATCTTGTATCTACATCTGACGTGTCATTAGGCCGTCTGCGACTGGCCGGCTTGCGCCTTTGCCAAAGAGCTGATTGAGGCATACCCCAATGCCAAGGTCATCCTTACGACTCGGGATGTGGACTCGTGGCATGCGTACGTTATTATTCTCTTTTTCCTCGGTGAGTCGTGGCTAACGGAGATCCAGATCGGTGATGAAGACGGTGTACTGGCGCGTGACCGATCCAGAGCACAAGTTCATCTCGCAGTTCAGCTGGGCCGCCGGCATGTACTATCCCATGCTGAAGAAGTTCTTCGACACGTTCTTCAAGGGCGACTTCCCCAACAAGGGCAAGCAGGTGTACCTGGAACATGTGGAGGAGGTGCGCCGCTTGGTGCCACCGGAGCGACTGCTCGAGTACAACATCAGCGAGGGCTGGGGTCCGCTGTGCGAATTCCTGGGCGAGGAGGTGCCGGACACCCCCTTCCCGACGGGCAACGACATGGCCAACTTCTACAAGCGCTGCCGCACGCGCAACCGACGGCAGATGATGAACTGCGCCTTGCATGCCGTCACTGTGGGCAGCGCGTATTTGGCTGCGGGTGCTGCGGTGTTTTATCTCTTCAAACGATTCCGTTCGGGATTGTAATCCTTGTGCGCGGGTGCGGGCGCCCTTGTCATTCGCTTGAAGGATTCTTTCCTCCGACATCGACATATTCGTTTATAGTATATCTTTATTTTACACTTCGTTGTGTATACGAAGAAGTGGGGGCGTGGTCGATGGAGGCATTTCTCTTTTCTGCCTGTTCGCTGGCGTTGAGGGTCTGGAAAGGGGAGCAATGTCCAAGTGACTAGGTTAATTAATTTAATTACTTTGTTTGCAGACTGCAAGTTGATATTACAGTATCTAATCAAAAAAAAAACATATTCAATATCCGCACAGAACTGGCCAACTCGTGTTTGGACTGATAATCTCAAGTTCTCCTGTAATGTATTGTACCATTCCAGACTGGTAATAAAACCGCCGGCATCGCCCATCCACCTAGTCCGCCCTCGCCCCATAGCGGCGCGGCTGCTTTACCGAGGCGCCACTTGGTGAGATGCCGAGCCAATAAACGCAGTCGAGAGCCGCTGTCCACGTACTCCGTTTGTCGAGCAGAAGATTCGTAAGAGAAAGGGTCTGGATCTGATAAGTACGAGGCAGCTGATCAGTCAAACAAACCAATCTAGAAGCCCAAGCTGCGTGGTACAACTATGATACCTCGTTCGTTATTATTTTAAGAATTGAAGAAGCAAGAAGAAGAGAAAGGAGAAAGAAAAATGGCAGTGAAAAGTACTATGATGACGGTGTAGCGTTTGGTCATTACTGGCCTTAGCAACTTTAACGAGAATTAGGTAATTCATTTGTTTGTACTCCGTACGGAGTACTCCGTACACGGAGTATAATAATTAGTTCCAAGGTTCGTTCTCGGTACCTAACCGAGATAACCTTTTTTTTCTCGAAGAGTATGGAGTAAAACTTCCGGAATCCGGAGCATTTGTAGAAGATGCACCCTGACTGATGACTGATCCAAGCAAGCTGATTCTGATTGTGATTCAGTATACCTGTGGCTTGCCCGTGAAGTAGTCTACAGAGTATTGATTCCTGCCCTATCTGGGTCTGAACTCGAAAGCCGCGCGGCCATTCTGGCTAAATACAATTAGCCAGCAGTACCAGTATACGGAGTACTCCGTATGGAGTAGACTTGAAGTTTTTCTAGATGAATCTGTGTGTTCTCTCCTGATTATCTTTACTGATCAGCGGCCCAGGGCCTTGCCAAGAAAGCTTGCGTGGACCTCGCGGCCGACTACCTGCCCAGACAGGCAAGGATCCGGCAGTCGTCTGAAGCAGCGACGGAAGGAGCCCCTTCAAACGCCAAGCCGCGGCGGCAATTCGGCCACGAAGCTTGACGCGCAGTCGACTACGTAAGCTGGATTTGTTATTATCCCATGGATGTGAATGCTGTCCAAAGCCTACTCTTTTTTTTTTGAAACAGCTCGACGACTGTGGCAGTATCGCTCTACAAGTTACGCAGCGAGGGACCAGTCCAGCAAGTACGGAGTAATCCAGAAACAATGAATTACTCCGCCTAGGGAGGAAATCTTCGAAGCTCTCTAGAGCCCCAGATGCTGCAGGGGTTCCCCACTTGGCCCTGCGGCAGTTCCTGGACGGGCATAGTTCCGCCCCGACATCCAGCCACAGACAAGCTCATCTGAACCGAACTTTGACGCTGACGACGCCGATACGGCTTTTTTCTCCGCTTCGCTTGGAATCGCGCATCACGCCCTGACTTGCCTTCCACGTAAGCAGCGGCTATCGATCGGTCTGGCAGTCAGTCAGTCTGCTGCACGCGAGACGGCTTGTTGGCGTTGGTGCAGACAAAAAGCTTAGCGTCGCGACGCACCCGCATATTCCGTACGTATCAGCCACTACGGAATACACCCCGCAAGCCATCGATTGAAGTTTGATCGCTTTTTTTTTCTTGTCCAGTCTTTTTCTTTCTCTTTCCCTTTCTTTTTTTTTTTCCTTTTTAGTATTTCTTGTTATTCATAATTAAAATTACCGCGAAATCTAGGCGCTTATTGAGCCCGCAGGGACGCGGAAAGGGCTGTAACGTCGACTTCGACCAACTCGATTCGATTGGAGACGCGACTCTAGACACCCCGACACGATATACAAACTTCATCATCAGCGGTCCTTCATTATTCTGGATCGATATCCTTCCTGCTAGCTTCTCCCAGCATAGAGCGCTAGCCTCGTCTTCGAGTAATGCGAAGCCCTCCATGGTCCGAATCCGCTGTCCTTTAAGGACGTCCTCTCCTTTGATCGCCATTCAACTTGTGATCTTATTACTATGCATTCTGCTCACTGGCAATGGCGTTGTTGCGGACAATATCACTCAGCCAATTTCGGTCTTCAAGTCGGTATGTTAAGTCGAAGCAGGAGGGTGGCAGCCGGCTAGCGGCGTGGTTCTTCATCGGAGAGCCGGTTAGGATGCTGATGAGTGAATTTAGAGACCGGATCTCTACCCTCCGATATTGACTCTGGAATTGAGTGACCAAGCCAGACTCAGTCCAGGATACATCTTCGTCAGTCCCTACGAAGCCGAGAACCCGGGCCCTTACATCTACGACAATGAAGGGGTACGTCAGTAACGTCATGGACGTTTCTTTCTGACTATTCGGCTGACCTGTTTTTAGAATCTCGTTTGGAGCGGATGGGGTCAATCCGGACCAGGAAACGCCCATGCGCCGCATGTATGTGACTATAAGGGCACCCCGCATCTATGCTTCTTTCAAGGCAATCAGCAGCGCGGATATTGTCGCGGTCATGGCATCATCATGAACAACCGGTATCAGATTGTGCGATCGGTGCAAGCTGGCGGCGGCATGTCGTCAGCCGACATGCATGAGTTCAAGCTTATCAATGGCGGCAAGACCGCTCTCATGACCATCTATCAGCAGCGACAGTATGACATGAGCCGGTGGAACATCCGGACTGGCATGGCGTGGATCATGGAGAGCATCTTCCAAGAAGTTGACGTCGAGACCAGCAAGGTTCTCTTCGAGTGGCGGTCCCTCGACCACGTCGATCCCACCGTCAGCTACACGCAGCCAGCGTCGACAGATACGTCGGGAGATGGACTGAACCCGCATTCACCGTGGGACTACTTCCACATTAACTCGATCGACAAGAACGAAGACGGTGACTATCTCATCTCGTCGCGGCATACGTGTGCCATCTACAAAATCTCGGGCAAGGACGGATCGGTGATCTGGCGCCTGGGCGGGGCGAACCCATCGTTCACGAACATCAATTTCAGCTTTTCGCAACAACACGACGCACGATGGCTGTTGGAGAATAAGACGCACACCGTGCTGTCCCTCTACAACAACGGCTACAATGGCTTCACCAAGACACATGATTACTCGTCTGGCATGATCATCGTTATCGACCACGTCAGCAAGACGGCCACCCAGGTCCGGGAATACGTGCCGCCCGGGCTGACGTTGCTGAGTTCCAGTCAGGGCAACCTGCAGGTGCTGCCCAACAACAACATTTTTATAGGATGGGGGAACAATCCATTTGTGTCGGAATATTCAGAGAATGGCGAGCTTCTCTTGTGGGGGTACCTCGCCAAAGAGGTGACCATGAACTATCGGGCGCAAAAGTTCGACTGGGACGGCAACCCGACCGACTCCCCTGCCCTGTGGGCTTATTCGAAGGGGGTGGCAGAAGACTCTCCGACGACGCTGTATGTGAGCTGGAATGGGGCCACGCGAGTGCGGTGGTGGAGATTCTACGGCTCTATGCAGCAGCAGGGGCCGTTCAAGTTGCTTGGTATGGCGTACAAGAATGGCTTTGAGACGGAATACACATACGACAACTACACCGCGTGGTGCTACGCGGAAGCGCTCGACGGGGATGGGCAAGTTCTCGGACGGTCGACGACGCGCATGACGTTTGTGCCTTCGCCGGAGCTGAGCAGTTTTTGCGGAGACGCGTTCTGCGAGAATGCGCCTGCGTACGGGTATCCGGGGGAGGACGATCCATCGCCTATCATCCCGCCTCCGATCCAATATCCGCCTGAGGGCTATTCTTCCGGGAACTACACGGGAACCACGCCGTCGACGACAGTGGGGGGTGCTGGGTATGTTTACGGCTATAGCCGACCGCTTCAAAACGCGTCCTGGATCACTTCCGCCGCGTGGGTAGTCGTTGTGGGCGTAATCGTGATAGTGCTCGCGCTGCGCTGCAGACGCCGCTCTGGGAGGGATGGCCATTCGAGCGACAGCGAAGACGAGAGCGGGAATTCAGTTCGCACGCGCAGACCCAGATCCTCGTCGGGTAAGAATAAAGCACGATGGTGGCACTGGGGGCGCTGGAGGCAGACGCCGCAGAAATACTATGCTTTAGATAGCATAGGTGAGCGTGGTGAGTCGTGATCGTAGATTTCTCGTCAGATATTTTCTCTCCATATATATATATTTTTTCTTGTATATACCCTGTACATATGTGCATTACCTATGTTGTCTGCCGTACGGAATATTCGAATCGGTAACATACCGGACGGTACGTAAGTAACCGTTACGGGGTAGCATGACGTATGTACGGAGTTAAGTAAACAAAACGCCCATCAAAATCAGGAATTACGGAGTATTGAGTAAAAGCAAAAGACAAGCCTGTCTTGGCTTGCTTGGCTTAATTGAATAGAAGAGTAGGTGTTAGTAGCAGCCAACAGACGGGTTCTTGAAACAGAGGACGTTGGAGGCAGATCAGGCTTTTTTTTTCCCATTGGAGATTTTTTAATTTATCTGCGATGTGATCTGCATGCTTGCATTGTACGAAGTAACAGTACATGTACTCCGTACTGCAACTACAGAATGAAGTTTCAGCAATAATAGAATCCATATTAATTAGGAAAGAATAACATGCCAAGACAAGTCTACAAAGTGATTACTCTGATACTCCCTAAGTCCATCCCCTTTTCATTTTTTTTTTGCCCAATAAATGCAGTGCCGATCTTCCGCCGTGCGAATCGCTGTTCTTGGCAGCCGGAGGACTCGTCAGCCAACTCCAGCAGTCCGCGGAACGAGAGTGGAGAGCGCGCAGAGACTTCTTGACTCTTGGGGATGGACCAGGACTATTACTGAACTGTCTGATGTTGTCGATTATTAGTTTTCTTCCGCCAATTGATTGTTGCGATTATTAATGGATTCTTATTAAGGAATTGTTCTTGAGTGTACTGTACAGACATCTGACCCTCTTCTTCCTGCATATTCTGGTTTGGTTGTTATTGCTATATACTATTCCTGCTGTCCGCGTCAGCCACCTCCGCTCCACGCCTTATCAATCAATCATCCACGCAGCTCGCTGCTGACGTACGTGTGCTGCTGCCCGCTGCTGCGACTGGACCGTCACGGTTTCAACTTACTTAACGCCAGATCTGGCCGTCCAATTGCGGCTTCCGCATGCTTCCAAGCCACGTCTCTGTCGGTGCATGACTGATGGCCTCGCGACCCCAGAAAAAGCATGGCCATCCGCATGCTCGCTCCGAGTCCCGGACCACTGCCCACGACATGCCCCTCCTCAATCACAGTCAAAGTCACGATCGCAGCGACTACAGCCATTATCAGCAGCAGCAAGAGGACGACAATGACAATTACACCACTTCCTCAGACAACATAGCCAGCAGCTCCCGGCGGCAGCACATCCGCAATCGCTCCGTGACCCAAGCCCAGATGCCCGGTTTCCAGAAGCCGCAGGACGGCAGGTC